CAGTGCTGGGCACAAGCTTGCTTGTACTATATAAATGACTGTTTGCTTTGGCAGTTTAGTTAAGTTGTTATCATTATGGCTGCCTATCAGTCAACTTATGTGGTTTACCAAACTAAATTATATTCTTTAAAAAAGAAAGAAAAAAAGATAACAACAACAACAAAATTCACAGCCGATACACTTTCTGGGCATTGTCCTGTCTCCCTGGTGTCTGCTGTGCCAGCTGTGTATTAATAGTGGTTGGCTCAGTCAGTAGAGCATGAGACTCTTAATCTCATGGTTGTGGGTTCGAGCCCCACGTTGGGCAAAATATTCCTGCACTGCAAAGTGTTGGACTCGATGATCCTTGTGGTCCCTTCCAACTCTGCTATTCTATGATTCTAGGTTGATCACCATAGCTTTGTGACATCATTTAGGCTGAGAGTTACTTGTGTGGCAAGTTCCTGCCGCCCCCCAGTGGATATAATGACACATGACACAATTATTAAGCTTAATGGGCTAAATAAGGCCACAGGTGATGAGCAGTATTGGCTTAGGCATTGGTCCTAACCGACTATATCCGACTTCAGCCCATCCGCTTGAAGTCCGGGAAGGGTTAACCACCAGTAGGGGGAGTCCTGCTGATACACATCAACTAGGAATTCCCCTGAGTCACCGATTGGGGGTGTGCCTTAGGTCCTCACCTCCCCAGGCTTCAGATAGGGCTACGCCCCCCGACACCCCCCAGAATCCTTTATCGGACTACCCTTCAATATGTGGGGCAGGCGATGGCGCTACCTCCCCCCTTCCATCTATAGAACAATACCAATGTCTAACTGCCAGTAACAAGGAAGTTGTGACAATTTGCTACGAGGTAGGCAAAAACCAAGTGACTGGTGCCAATTTGCCAAGTGGAAAAATTCCTACCAGGCCCCTCAACAGCGACCATCCAAGGTCCATAGCAAGGTCAAGGAGGGGAGGGTGGGAAAAACCGGAACAGCTGGCAGGCGGCAAAGAGGGAGATCCCCAGCCGAATCCTGCCTTAAATAGGGCAGGTCACGCCCCCAGAGCCAGCCGATTGGCTGGCCAGGGGGTGACGCGGCTGGGAATCCCCCCAATCGCGCGGGGGCCCACAACTCCACCTCCTTAGTAGTGTGGAAGTGGCTTTCCCCAAGGTGTTCCAATTGGCATTTATGGGCTGCATTAGGGGAAACCAGGGAAAAATGATTGTAGAATCATACATGCAATCTGAACCTGCAATGGAGGGTCTTGCTTTTCCCATAACCACAGCCTTGGGTTAAAACAGAAATCAAACATCGTGTTCTGCCTTTCTGGCTTTCCAGCTTGCTTCTTTACCTCTAGGTCTCAACCCTGGCGGCAGCAGGAGGCCCCATTAGCTAAAGTGGTGCTTCAGGTTAAGAACAGTTTCAGGTTAAGAACGGACCCCCGGAACGAATTAAGTTCTTAATCCGAGGTACCACTGTATAAGTCATCTCAAAGTCATTTACTTCACCCTTTCAAATTCTCCATAAATCAGTATTAAAAATACTCTAGTTTATATGGGGTGGGGTGGGGAAGAGAGAGAGAGAGAGAGAGAGAGAGAGAGAGATGAAAGAGATGAGAGGGGTGGAAAAAGGAGAGAGAGTTAATAGGAGCAATTTGAGTACAATAAATCTAATACAACATGCCGCTTCATTATTGAGCTTTGTTATTCCAATCGTCAAGAAAAAAGCCATGCTTCTATTTAAATAAATTCTTAGTTATTTCCATCTCTTGCTCCTTTCTCATGACCTAGTAAGTATTGCGGGAGATGTTCAAACTCAGTTCGATTTTTCTCTGCTTTCTTTAAGTCAACTTTTCTCCAAATGGGACAAAACTGCACAACTCCCACCACAGACTGCCACTGGAGGGAGCTCCAGACATTTGAATGAGACATTTGAAGCATGGAATATAAGCACAAGGCTGGTAGAAAGCTGAAGATGCATTAGATCAAAAGGATGCAGCTCTGGAGGACCTTTCCCAAACCACTCGCACACACCAACACACTTGTCTTCACTCAAAACAGTGCTGACTTGCTGCAGCCAGCACATAAAAGTTAGTCTAATTGAATTCAGTGGGATTTCTGAGTCAGAAGGGATGGAATTCCACTGCAAAGCCAGTTCCAGGTTCTGGAATATCCTGAGCCAAGTCACCCACCATGGGCTCCTCCTTCAGTCTACCTCAACCTTCTCCAGCTTGGTAACCTCCAAGTGTTTGTTGCTGGACTACAACTCCCATCAACCTCCCTGACCACTGGCCATGATGACTGGGAGTCGTGGCAATTGGAGTCCAACAACACCTGAAGAGCACCAGCTTGGGGAGAAACTGGTCTACAGTACCTGGTTGCCCTATCTGGTTGAAACCAGTGCAGTTTTGAAAGGTTCAGCCCACCATCTTGATTCAAAAAGGTGTCCAGTTGTATCCAAACAAATACAAACTCTGTGTTCAGCATCTTAAAGCTAAAGGGACCCCTGACCATTAGGTCCAGTCGTGACCGACTCTGGGGTTGCGGCGCTCATCTCGCTTTATTGGCCGAGGGAGCCGGCGTACATTGGTCATGTAGCCAGCATGACTAAGCAGCTTCTGGCGAACAAGAGCAGTGCACGGAAACGCCGTTTACCTTCCCGCCGGAGCGGTACCTATTTATCTACTTGCACTTTGATGTGCTTTCGAACTGCTAGGTTGGCAGGAGCAGGGACTGAGCAATGGGAGCTCACCCCGTCGCGGGGATTTCAACCGCCGACCTTCTGATTGGCAAGTCCTAGGCTCTGTGGTTTAGACCACAGCACCACCCGCGTCCCATTCAGCATCTTAAGAGCTGTCCAAATGCATAGAGACTATTCTCTAAATATATAGTAGATTAGGTAGATAGAGCTTGATTTTATTATATCAGAACAAAAATGGAATGGCATATGGTGTGCAGTAAAAAATTATCATTAAACTTATCTGTTCATTAAGCACAACATAAATTATTGTTGTGGGGTTAATCAAACACTAGCTACACTAAATGACAGTTGCACAATTTAGAAGTTGGAAGTGCTAAGCTGATCTAGAAAAAAATATTATGATACCCACATTTTTGGCATTGAAATCTAGGGTGCTCTGTTCAGTGGGTTGCCACACATGCCAGCTGGCTGCTAATGAACTCTTCCCTCTCGTGGAGAAATACTTGCAGAACTCTCCTCTTTTTCAAAAACATATCCCAAACATTCCCTATTCAACAAACAAGCTTCCAGATACAGAAGCAGGGATTGAGTGAAAGAACCTCTGCATGCAAGACGTTGATGGAACATGTCGTTCAGCAACATTCTTTGGAGCCAAAGGTTCCATACACCTGCTTTAATGTTATGAAGTTTGCTAGCCTTGCCTTTAGAATAGGGTGGGGAAGCTGTTGTACTCCAACTCCCATCAGCCCTACAACCAGCATGACCAATGGTCAGAGATGATGGAGATGGGACCCACCATCTGGAGAGCCACAGGTTCCACATCCCTGGACTGCAGCATTTTCATACAATTTGTCTTCCTGCTCTTCCCCCTCTATCACAATGAATTTTGAGAGATGAACTTCACAGAAGCCACCACCCTTTTACCATATGAACCAGTTGGGACCCAGAGATCATCATCCACAGTCCTTCTCTGCATGCTACCTCTGAGGTCCAGACAGCATGACATAAACGAGTAGCAGCTTTATGGTATGTTCTCCCAGGAAGGCCCAGCTAGTATCAATCTTGTCATCATTTTGGTGCCAGGCAAAGATGTTTTAGTTTTCCCAAGTATTTGATTAGCACCAATAAAATGATACTGTACTGTTAAATTTTATTTTAATGCTTATGTGATTTTATGATTGCAATTTATTTCTTGGCAGTAAGTTATTTTGGAACTTTGTTTTTTAGTGGGATGGCGGTAAACTAAACTAAATGGTAGTAGCATTTGTACCCAGGAGCTAGTTAAGTCTGGTTCTTGTCTTTCTTAGGGTCTTAGCCAATTCCTGTAACACGTCAGCCTCAACACAGTCCCAATGATGGTAAGTTGGGATTGCTGGTCTAGGGCCATTTTTTTCCACTTAGGCTCTGAGAGGATCCGGGTTTGAATCCTGCCCACAACCTGGTGAGAGAAAGATGCCAGTGTCCTGGGAAAGGAGCCCAGAGCCTAGATCATATGCATTGAATAAAGGTTACAGGTTGAAGCCTTGATACCTCCAGTTGAAAGGACAAGGCAGCCAGTGATGGGAAAGACCCTTCTCTGCTGGGCACCCTGGAGAGCCGCTATCTGTCAGAGCAGAGCAAACAATACAGTGGTACCTCTGGATGTAAACAAGATCCGTTCTGTTTTTTGGGGGTTTTTTTTAATGGTTTGTGTCTTGTTTTGTTGGTCTTATGTTTTTTTTCTTTTTTTTCTGTTTTGTTGTGTTTAAACGGTTGGAAAATTAATAAATATTATTTAAAAAAAACAAAAAAACCCAAGATCCGTTCTGGAGCCCCGTTCGCATCCTGAAGCGAATGCAACCCACGTTGCCGCTTCCGCACATGATGTCATTTTGAGCGTCTGTGCATGCGCGAGCAGCAAAACCCGGAAGTAACGCGTTCTGTTACTTCCGGGTCGCTGTGGAGCACAACCCGAAAACGCTCAACCTGAAGCTACTTCAACCCGAGGTATGACTGTACCAGGCTCAATGGACATGAGGTCTGGGCCACCATAAGGCAACTTCCTCTGTTCGCCAAGAGAGTCCCTATTCCATGGAATGATTTCTTAATTCAGAGGTGTGGAACCTCAAGGGCCACATTCCCTTCTGGGCGACCTTCTGAGGGCCACCTAAGAGTGGTGGGTGTGGCCAGAGGCAAAATTGGGCGGAGCAATGAATGGAAACTTTCTTTGTACCATAGTTTAGTTTCGACACAAACTCACACTCAGGCAAGCAACAGGCATTATCAGTGTCAGAATCACAGAACTGTAGACTTGGAAGTGGCCACAAGGGTCATCTTTCACTCAACATGGGGCTCGAACCCATGACATTAGGATTAAAGATGCTCTACTGACTGAGCTATCTAGCGTCAATGGGACATTGCAGCTGGGCAGAAATAATGAGAGTGCAAAGCAGGGTCCATGAGGCCTGGTGTGTGGCAGCCTTCTGAGGGACAAGGAGAGAGGCTTGGAGGGCCATATCTTGCCCTGGGCTTGAGGTTTCTGTGGGATTTCCAGTCAAATTCACAAATCCACGATTGCTAGACAGGCACGTGAGGAGCCGACACTCATAGAGTCCCTGAATCAATATAGAAGAGACTGTATGAGGTCACTTCCTTAATGCTTTGGCAGGAATTTCTAACGAAGGAGACAATCCTTTGTACTTCCTTACTGTCTGAGCTCTCTTGCTCTTCTTTCAAGCCAGCGATGTGAGCAGACGTACATGCTCAGAGCCCAAACTCCATTTTGGGAACTAGTTTTGTATTTTGTAACCAGGAGGCATTTTTACTTGACTGTTACTTAGAAGTATTAACTAGCACTGTTGAATGTAAACCTTTCAATTATTAAAAAAAGATGTCATTTATTCTTAGAAAAGGGGACAAAGAGAGAGGAAAGGTCAGCAGATCACATATAAATAGGGATAAAAGGTGTGATCACCTAATTCCTAGCTTCTAGTAAGCTGCAAAAACGCCTAAGAGGGTTTACTCTGCTAAAAAGGGCTCCACAGCCTGATTATTCTCATATTTCTCACACACAGGTGGGACAGGTTAAATTTTTATTTACAGATTTAATCCTCAATCCATCTGCATCAGTTCCCCGTTCCCAGTTGTCAAGGCTCAGCCCACCAGTAGCCTCCCCACAAAAAGTAGGGCAAGGAAGGGGAAACAACACCACCTGCAAGTTCAATATAATAATAAGGGTTTATTGTTTTCATATTTCTTTATTATAAAGCTATATTTACATAGAACAAATCTTTACACACACACACACACAGAAAACCCAGTTACCAACAAAGATCTGACACAATAAGATGTCCTCAGCTGGTATAAATTAGTGTTTTGTACAAAGAAAGTCAACAGCCACCTGAAAAAGGTTATACAGATGTGAGCTTCCAGGTCAGGCTCCTGCTCACCGCCAACACATGCCATTTCCTCACAGCAAGACCCCTTGGCCCAAACCGCCCTCCCAGTGCAAAACAGACAGCAGGTACACCCACCTCACCCAATCCATGCACACACACCTTAAATGCTTAATATGTGCCAAAGCCACAAGCAAAAGTGAATTAAAGAACTCCAAATGCCTCTGGTCAACCAAATCAGCCCATAACCACAACACTTGGCACTTACATAGGTGTTCAAAGTGTTTATGTAGATATTTGCCTCATTCATCCATACAACACCCCTATAAGGTAGGCCCATGTTAATAACCCTGGCTTGCAGATATGCATACCCCTGTTCTCTCAGCCTAAGGTCACCCAGTAAGTTTATGATTGAGGTTTAAAGTCTGAACCAATTCTTTCTGACTTATAGCTCATGGCCACTTTGCTTAGCTGGCTCCCACTAGGTCACTACTTCTGGTCTGCCTCTCATCCTCTGGTCAAATAAAGTGGTTGCTGTACCCACATAACCTGTTACAGCAGCTGCTGCCTTGAAAAGGTCAAGTTGCCAAGTGGGTTGGCCAGATATCCTGTGTCCTGGCTCCATGTGTTGGAGACCATGTCAAGCAGTGGGGAGTACAAATTGTAACAAACCTGCCCAAATTGGTCAAAACTTGCTTTTGGAAAAGGCCAAAGGACAGGTTTTGGCAGAGGTTTTCCAAATCAGTCCTTACTTACAGTTACAGGATGCATGTGTCAGAGTATGTCCAACTGCGGCACCAAGTGGTAGCAGATGGATTGGTGGGATGGCAACACTCCCCTGACCTCCCATCAAGGAAGTCCCATCTACTGCCTACAAGGAGGTAGAGGGGAGGTTGGTGTGGTGTAAACGCACCAGCAGGAGCACTGGATTGGCTCAGCTTATACATTGCATGGCACCAACCACACCATTTGCCCCTTCACCTCCCAGTGAGAAGCAGCGACACAACTGACGGGAGGTCAGCTGAGTACCATCTGCTCCGGGTACCAAGAAAGGTCTAGGCTTGTAATCTGGCATAGAAAAGGGTTGCCATTCTCACCCTGGGCAGGGCTCTTATACCTAAGAACTGTAGGGCAGGCAGAAATTCAGTTGGTGCAGCTTTTCCCTAGGGTAGAACTGCATCTAGGGGGAAAGTTCTAGTGGCTGCATTGCTGCATTTCTGGGCATACGTCAAAAGCACAGGAGCCTCGCCAAAGGGGGAATGGGGAAGTGGCTGTCCTATATTAAGAGGGCTCAGTGATGGGTCAGATGCAAAATGGGGTGGCTGAGACACCCGCATGCACATTCTCCACCTGACAAAGTGCTTCTCACAGGCCAAAGGCCTTCTGGCTCCAGCTGTGTCCTCTGCTGCAGAAGGGGCCCAGCAGCTGACTTAGGAGGACAGGAGTGCTTTTGCTACAAGCCACACCTTGGCACATTCCTCCAAACATGAGGGACATGACACAAGGTGTAGGGATCCTTGCAGGCCCATTGTTACCCGTTTCTTCATCTCCCCCACTCCCATCCTGGGTAACCTCAGCATCTTCTTCAAGACACCATTCCCTATCCTGGTGCCATCCAGGACTACAACTACCAGCAGCCTTCAGAAAGCACCAGGTTGCGGAAGGGTACTCTAAGCCTCAGCCTCTGGTGACAGTAGCTGAGTTAAGGCAAAGAGAAGGAGGGATAGAGAAGATGAGGTGCAAGCAGCTGAAACCAGCCTGAGTAGGAGATAACACTAAGAGATAACGCAAGAGGACAACAGCAACGCTGCACTCGTACATCCTTCCACTCGGTGTTGTCTAGGCCGGTGGGGTCACGTTCTACCATGGGTGGAAGCCCCATGCAAGCGGATAGTTTATCAAGCAGAGCAGACGCATGAAGGCTGGCCTTTTCTGGGCGGGACTTGATCCTGCAAACAATGACAAAGGAACACTAAATCAGAGAGCTGATACAAAGCCTTACTTGATTTTCTTACACTAATTGCAGGGTGGAGAACCGTTGGCTCTCCACAAGTTGCTAAACTACAACTCCCACCATCCCTAGCAAGCCTGGCCAATGGCCAGGAATGATGGGAGCTGTAGTTCAGCAACACCTGAAGACCCATAGGAGGTTCCCCACTCCTGCATTTCCAAGCCAGCTTCCTTCCAAAGCTGAGACAGGTTTTCGGGTCAGGGCACCCATGTCTAACAACCCCTTCTGCCTGTTATGAGGGGGAGGAGAGGATACGTTTAGTTTATAAACAGCAAGACAATGTGGGCATTTGACTTCTACTATGTACAGTCTCTAGACCAGTGTTTCCCAAACTTGGGTCTCCATCTGTTTTTGGACTACAGCTCTCATCATCCCTAGCTAGTAAGACTATGGATGATCGGAATTGTAGTCCAAAAACAGATGGAGGCCCAAGTTTGGGAAGCGCTAGTCTAGATCAACTTTCCCCATCTGGTGTCCTCCAGATGCTGTGGGCTACAACTCCCATTATCTTCTGACCATTGGCCATGCTGGCTTTGCATGGTGGGAGCTGGAGTCCAGCAACATCGGGAGAACCCCACACTGGCTGCCTCTGGTCTAAAAATAAATTTGTACAAATACATCTCTGCAAAACTTCCCTTTTTATACTTAGCTTTCCTGATGGGTTTTACTGTTTATTGTCTAGTCAATGCTGTTTTATTTGTTTTGTGGTTGTTGTTTTTACAGGCTTGTTTCTTAATAGGGTGTTTATTGTTCGCCCATTGTGAGGGTTTTAGCTGGAAGTTGCTTTAAAGTAAGAGGAGCCCATCTAGTCCGGCATCCTGTTCTCACAGTGGCCAGTCTGGTGCCTGTGGGAAACCTGCAAACAGGAGCTGAGCACAAGAGCATTCTCTGCTACCCAAACAACTGGTCTTTCAGAAGCAATCCTGCCTCCAACTGCTGAGGCAGGTCACAGCCATCATGGCTAGCAGCTTTTTCCTCGACAAAGGATAGGCTTGGCTAGAGAGCATCTTAAACATGCTGTTCAACAAAATAAAATCTGGGCATTTTTTTAGAGTCCTCTTTTTGGACGAGCGCTGGGCAAGCAGCCCATTACAACCCCCACCCCAATAACCTCAGCTGCCATCAGAATAAGGCCTACAGATGGATGAATGCACTCCCTTTTATTCTTCCCCATCCCATGCCTTGGGAGAGACCAAAATATGAAAGCCATTCTATCATAAGCATTGTCAGAGGACCACAACACTCTGGATGCTGGCACTGTATTGTCCCTGATCTGGGAGGGGTGGAGCTGAAGCTCAGTGGCAGAACACCTGCTTGGCATGCAGAAGGTCCCTGCATCTCCAGAAAGGGTTGGGGAAGACTCTTTGCTTGAAATATATAAAAGGATGTCACATAGAGGAGGGAGAAAGGTTGTTTTCTGCTGCTCCAGAGAAGCGGACACGGAGCAATGGATCCAAACTACAAGAAAGAAGATTCCACCTAAACATTAGGAAGAACTTCCTGACAGTAAGAGCTGTTCGACAGTGGAATTTGCTGCCAAGGAGTGTGGTGGAGTCTCCTTCTTTGGAGGTCTTTAAGCAGAGGCTTGACAACCATATGTCAGGAGTGCTCTAACGGTGTTTCCTGCTTGGCAGGGGGTTGGACTCGATGGCCCTTGTGGTCTCTTCCAACTCTATTATTCTATGATTCTATGATTCTAAATGCTGGAGAGCCACAGACAGGCAGTGAAGACAATACTGATCTAGACAGTCTGACTTAATATAAGGCAACTTTGAAGTTCCTATACCTGCTCTAGAAAGGCATAGGCCCCTTGTGCGAAAGGCGGGGACGAGGGCGCCGGTACTTCCGCCAGCCATTCTGCCGATGCCCCACAGCACTCCGAACTCTCTTGGGGTGCACCAGGTTCAAGACATGTGCTTCCACAGGTTCGTTCCCATCAGATGTTTCTGACAGAGGTCCTGAGAAGGGTGGAGGGGAGGAAGCAGAAAGTTACTGAGTGAAAATGCATCCCCCAAACCTCCCAATTCCCCCTCTCAAAATGTTGTATGCAAAAACAAGCCTTTGCCAACTCCAGAAGTTGTTGGACTCCAGTTCCCATTTGCCCTAACCAGCATGGCTAGTGGTCAGGGATGATGGGAGTTGTAGTCTAGCAACTTCTGGAGGGCCACAGATTCACTTTCCTGGCTTTAAAGCAGGCTTTCTCATCCTGGTGCACTCAAGATGTTTTGGGGCTACAACCCCCATCATCTCTGTACACTGGCCAGGCTGACTGGGGCAACAACTGGATGACCACAAGTATACCACCCCTGCTTCAAATAATATAAAGGATTACATATTTCTCTCAGGTATACTTGATGGCACAGTATAGACAATTATCTCTTGGATAATTGTAGGAGCATGCACTCACAAACACTTCCCTCCTCATTGTTGGGCCACATACCTAACATTACAGTAGTACCTCGGGTTAAGTACTTAATTCGTTCCAGAGGTCCGTTCTTAACCTGAAACTGTTCTTAACCTGAAGCACCACTTTAGCTAATGGGGCCTCCTGCTGCTGCTGCTGCTGCTGCGCCACCGGAGCACGATTTCTGTTCTCATCCTGAAGCAAAGTTCTTAACCTGAAGCACTATTTCTGGGTTAGTGGAGTCTGTAACCTGAAGCGTATGTAACCTGAAGCGTATGTAACCCGAGGTACCACTGTACTGCAATGAATCAAAAGATATTTGTAACTTAAAAAATCTCTCCATATGCCATCCAACGAGATCAATTCAGAGCACAGCCTGGAAATTTTTTAACCTACTTTTAAGACTGGAGGTGGTATTCTCCTTTTCCGCCCTGAGTGTTGAAGGCAGTTTGTATGTGAGAGAGATACTGTTGTGTTTGGTGAGTATGCCCTCATCTTGCCATCACTTCTGATAAACAGATTTCCATAGTGTGTCAAAAAAACCTCTTGGAAAAATAGCAGCAGCAGTGAGACAAAATAAATATGCATTTGCACCAAGAACAACACTCATTCAGTCATGCCGCTCCCAAGTCTCAAAACAGCCAACGACAACAAGGACTAGAATCTTGTTTTGTGAAGGAATAAGAGAAAAAGGTGATAATATCAGAACACTGAATTGTGAACTATATAACGAATTACATGCACGTACGTGAAACAGATACACCCCAGGCACAAGTCAGTGCCTGGCAGAACAGGGTAAATTACAGGAGAACTTGGCAGGTGTTTCATAGTACTTCATCCCTTGCAACTGTACTTAAGCAGGCAGATGCAAGACTTACATTCTCCAAGTACAGTGGTACCTCAGGTTACATACGCTTCAGGTTACATAGGCTTCAGGTTACAGACTCCGCTAACCCAGAAATAGTGCTTCAGGTTAAGAACTTTGCTTCAGGATGAGAACAGAAATCATGCTCCGGCAGCGCGGCGGCAGCGGGAGGCCCCATTAGCTAAAGTGGTGCTTCAGGTTAAGAACAGTTTCAGGTTAAGTACGGACCTCCAGAACGAATTAAGTACTTAACCCAAGGTACCACTGTACAAGGTTCCTTGCATATCCTTAATCCATACTTAAAAGATGACAGGCACTTCTCCATCAAACATACCTAATTGAAAAGCATGGTATCATCTTTTTAAGGCAGGAGTGAGAAACCTGCTGCCTGTCCACACATGTTGTTGGACTTCAGCTCCTATCAACCCTGATGGTTGGCCATGATGGCTGATGGCAGGTGGCGTCCAATAGCTTCAGACACAGATTCACCATCCCGGGTCTAACAGTAAATTGGCCAACGTATGCTTTGTCAGTTGAAAACAGCAAGTTCAACTGAAAACAAAAAGTCTTATAGAACCTTAATAAATATCATCATAGCATAAGCTCTATATAGCATATGCTACTCTAGCATACAGCATAAGAGGTCTGTAATGGCTGCTGATTTGTTATCAGGTTAAATTCAAAGTATTACTATTGGCACATAATGCCCACAACAGCTTGGGATCAATTTACTTGGAAGGATCGCCTCAACCCATCTGTGCCTAGTTGATCACTTAGATCTGCAGAGCCGGCACTTTTACAAGCGTCAGTTAATCTCCATTCTGTACTTGCAAAAAATCAATCTCTTAAGTGTGGCAGCACCTACACTTTGGAACTCCCCGTCCATTGATATTTAAGAACAACAACACCATTTATATGCCAGCCATCTGACTGGGTTGCCCCAGCCACTTTGGGCAGCTCCCAACAAAATATAAAAGACACAGTAAAACATCAACCATTAAATGCTTCACTGAATAGGACTGCCTTCAGAAGTCTTCTAAAAGTCAAACAGTTGTTTATCTGTTTGACATCTGATGGGAGGGCAGCCTTCACTGAATTGTTTTCAGTGCCTGCTAAAATCTTTTACTATTCCAGGCATGTTATTCTGACGGGTGATTTTTGTAGGTACAAACATTTTAAAATTACTGCTTCTATTTTATATTTCAATGCAACTTGTTTTTAATGTTTGTTCTTACTGGTATTTTGAATGAGTATTTCAGATCGTCTTGTAAACTGCTTAGAGCTCTTTTGCTCTAGCAAGCGGTATGCATGAACACTGAGTTAACTTAAATAAATAAATAAGCTTTCACGGACTACAGCCTACTTCATCAGGTGCACCGAATGAAGGCATAAGTGAAACAGCCGTTACAACGAAACACATCAGAGACTTCAGAGCTTTGAGAACTAGAAATTTGCCTTCTTTTACCGTTGGAGATTCCTGCAAAACTGAACAAGTACCATTCTGATTTCAGGCTAATGCCATGAAATCACACACTGTGCGCAGTCCTGATCTAGAGATACAGTGGTACCTCGGGTTACATACGCTTCAGGTTACAGACTCCGCTAACCCAGAAATAGTACCTCAGGTTAAGAACTTTGCTTCAGGATGAGAACAGAAATCGTGCGGCAGTGGTGCGGCGGCAGGAGGAGGCCCCTTTAGCTAGAGTGGTGCTTCAGGTTAAGAGCAGTTTCAGGTTAAGAACGGACCTCCAGAACAAATTAAGTACATAACCAGAGGTACCACTGTACATGTGTTTGAATGGGTGAGCTTAGAACTCAATCAACAACCAGATTTAAATGTTTTCGCTAAACCCAGAACACTGAATTTGTAAGCGATGTATTGTCAGGTGGCCATAAAGTAGCATGCATGCCCCATAGGACCACACATCCTCTGTCTGCCATGGGGGACAGGGCATGTTCCTAGGGTCAACAATGACCACTCCTTACTCTAATGTGTGGGCAGACCTGCAGGACCCGGGAAGGCGGGTGGGATTGCACCTCTGGGAACAAAGGATTGTGCTCCACTGTGCTCCATGCTCCTTCCTCTTAAGGAGGAAGCATCAATGAAAGGGGGGGGGAGAGGATATTTCTGTAATCTCCCAGGGGACTCCTGACCTCACCAGGTCACACCAGTTCCTTCTTCCTACTATATACATCCATACCCCCTACTTCCTCTCCCTTCTGTTTCATCCCTGTCAACTTTCCACCAGCCCCCAGGTCTTGCTGCTCAAAGTGGCCTGCGTGGAGTCAGGGTCAAATGCAGTAAACCAGAGTTTACTGGTTCAACACAAGGGCCACATTCCCTTCCCAGGCAACCTTCTGGGGGCCACAGTGTGCAGAGCAATGAATGTGTTGATTTTGACACATTCCTCTCAATGCTCCGTCCGGGGCGAACCAGAAGCACTGATCTGCTTGATATTTTGGAAAGCTACCACCAGTCCTGGGCTAGATGGGATCAGTGGTATGATTTGGACTTGGTACAAAACAGCTCCTTACACAGGGCTGAAAAGTCCAAACTGTGCCAACCCCTAAAGCAACACAAGCATGAACTGGCACGTTCATCTGTCTTAATTTTGATCTGCCAGGGCTGTGTTCATAATCACACATATAGAATATTTTATTTCTTGAGGTGTGCGAAGTTAAGAAGTCAAAACCATTTGAAATTAATGGACTATGCAGAATTAGATATATTAACAGGAAGGATTCGAAACCTGCGGGATCAGAGATTCTTAGAGGACTGGAGTAAATATTTGAATTATTTGAAAAGCAATTGTGATAAACAGATTATGCTAGTAGGACTGCAAGGAGTTCTGTAAGGAGGATCACAAGAAAGACTTTGAAAAGAATTACCGGTATTAGTTAAAAGTAATGGAGAAATAAGAAATGCAGAACAAGTGATAAAGAACAGAAAATCTTCAGAGGTTGTTGACAGAAGTCTAAAATATTGTATAAGATAAGAAGTTATGTTAAATGATTGTTGGAATTTGTGTGTGTGTGTGTGTTTGAGAGAGAGAGAGAGAGAGAGAGAGAGAGAGAGAGAGAGAGAGAGAGAAATCAAAACCATTGATCTGGAAGTCATGCCTCTATATCTTCTAAGAGCCTGAGAGTAAGGTGCAGTTACTCAGTGAGGCAGAAAACGCACTCTGTGCATGCTCAGGAGCATTCTTCACCAGAAACATCACACACACACACACACACACACACACACACACACACAACGGCCTAGTTCTGCAGTCTGGCTGAAATCAAGCCTACCAAGCAGATCCCATTTTCTCATTCATAAAATGTGCAAATGGGATTTTCAGAATAAAAATTTGCTTGTGCCACGCTGAACTTTTCATTAATAGGAACGCATTTGAAAAACAACGACAACTAGCAGTGCTTGGTTTATAACACAGAGCACAACTACTTTATAATATGATCATGGGATATGCAGAAAGTATGAAACAATGCAACTACATAAAAACATGAATCTATTCCCAAAATATAATTACAAATGAGCCTCTTACATATCATGTACATTAAGTAAGTATACAAACTCGTGTGAGCTTGCTTTTAGGCCTAATTTGAGACAAAATAACTCTCATTTCCTCATCGATGCAAATTAGCCTTACTCTATTCTGATGTTTCATATTTGTCAGAATTGAAAATCCCATTTCACAGCAATTAAGTTATCAGCATCACTTGATGCTCTTTTGGGGGGGGATTCATTCTGCATATAAAATTTTGTTTTGATTCTATACTGTACTACACTGAAATGTTTAAATGTTTCCTTGATTGTCCTTCAATCTTCCAGCCACACTTGACATCCTCTCCTGCCACATCAGTGTTCAAAACAGTAACCATTAATTACTCATTTATTCAAAATCCAGTTAAAACTATTTTGTTTAATTAATTCAACAAAGCTGATGAACTTGATTAAGTGACACCAGCTTTTCAATGTCGGATAGTCAGTTACACCTCCAATTTTTCCCTCCCATTGCCTCTTAGCAGCCCCCTAGGTAATCCCTTCCCCCGGGGGCAATACCGCCCAGTTTGAGAAGCACTGCACTAGATTATACTTAGAGTAAAGGTAAAGGGACCCCTGACCATTAGGTCCAGTCGCAGACGACTCTGGGGTTGCAGCGCTCATCTCACTTTATTAGCCGAGGGAGCCGGCGTACAGCTTCCGGGTCTTGTGGCCAGCATGACTAAGCCACTTCTGGCAAACCAGAGCAGCGCACGGAAACGCCGTTTACCTTCCCGCCGGAGCGGTACCTATTTATCTACTTGCACTTTGACGTGCTTTTGAACTGCTAGGTTGGCAGGAGCAGGGACCGAGCAACAGTAGCTCACCCCGTCGTAGGGATTTGAACCACCGACCTTCTGATTGGCAAGTCCTAGGCTCTGTGGTTTAACCCACAGCGCCACCTGTGTCCCTTACTTAGAGTAGACCCATTCAAATTAACAGGCTTAAATTAATCATGTTCACTAATTTCAATGCGTCTACTCCAAGCATGATTAGCAATGAATTCAAGCACCCAACACATTCCAAGATTATGGTCTGGCTTCCTCCTGCTATTTAAAGTAAATTGCCCAGTAGTCATGGCAATCGGCCCAGGCCTCAAAGCCCATTTCCTGAATTATCTCAAACAGGAGCCATTCAGTAGTAAAACTATTTCCTTCAGCCCCACAACCTGCTACTTCTTACTGCACTTATAGCACTCATAATGTGCTATGGCCACATTCACACCATTTTCTTAAAACAAACAAACATGATACCACTTTAAGCTGTAATGGCTTCCCCTAAATAATTATGGGAGCTGTAGTATGTTAAGGTGCCAGGAACTGTCAGGAGCTGCCTCCTGCAGCTACAATTTCCAGAGCTATGTGGGAAGAGGGATTGGCTGTTAAATCACTCAGAATTGCAGCTCTGCCTCTGTGAAAGAGCTGAGGCACATCTGGCCCAGGCAGCATAGCCAACAGCCAGAGATGAGGGGAACTGGGAGTCCAACATCTGGAGAGTGTGAAGTCACAAAGACCCCATCTGCACTATAGATTTAAAGCACTGTTATATCACTTTAAAAGCAATCATGACTGGAGGGTTGCGGGGAGAAGAATCCTGTGAACTGTAGTTTGTTAAAGATGCAGAATGTTTTCCCCATCCCACAGAATTTGAATTCCCAGAGTTCTCTGAGACAAGGGATTGATTGTTGAACCAGGAGAAGGGCTATAGCTCAGTGGTAGAGAATCTGCTTTGTTTTCTGAAAGTCTCAGGTTCAATCCCCAGCATCTCTGCTTAGGGCTGGGACTCTCCTGAAACCTTGGTAAAAGGCAGCTTCCTATGTTGCTAAGCACTCTGAGCACCCTTAACAATCTACATTTCTAGTAGTAGTAGTTATAGTAGTAATAATAATAATAATATTTATATCCAGCCACTCTGGACGGCTTCCTGCATGTATGAAAACATAATAAAACAAAAAACATCGAAAACCTCCTGATACAGGGCTTCCTTCATATGTCTTCTACAAGTTGTGTAGTCCCCCCCCCCCCATTTTTAAAATGTTTTATTCATTTTATGGACAATCTTTACAACAGAAGACTTCACATCTAAAGTAAAACAGTATATAACAAAACCTTGAGTCTCATGTTTTCATTTATACTGATTCTTCTCAGGTTCCCTTATTTTCATATTCCTTAATATTTGTCTCCTTCTTTTGGTTCCTTATTCTTAATCTCTTAGATCCAATATATATGTATTTAACAATTTTTCAATTAATGCCCTCACCTCCCTCCCCCTAAACCCGTTGCTTCCCTTCACCCATGTGCGACCTTCTTTACCTACTGTTGCGTTAACAGCTGTTTATATTTGTTGTTCTATATTTGTTATAATATGATCCTATATCCTTGCGCCCTTTAAGCTGTTGCCTATTAATTTTAAGCTCTGAAACCAACTCTTTTCATGTAAACCTTTACGCATTCCCACTCTTTGTAATTTTTTTTGGTTGGGGCAGCCTCTAATTGATGCTGTTACCTTTACCATCTCCACAAATTCACAAATTTTAGCTCGCCATTCTAGTAGTTCTGGTATTTTGTCTGTTTTCCAGTTTTTTGCCACTAATATTCTGGCTGCTGCTGTTGCATACAGGAATACATTCCTTTTATCCTTGGGGATGTCACTAGATATTAAGCCCAGCAGGAACGCTTCTGGATTTTTGGAAATTGAACTCCTAAATATCTTCGAGCTCTTCATGTACCACAGTCCAGAACTGTTTAACCACCTTACACACCTTACATTGTCCCCACCTCTATTTTACATCTCCAACAGAGATTTGAGTGTTTTTTGTACGTCTTTGATAAATTTACTGGGGTGAGGTGCCAATAAAACATCTTCATTATATTCTCCTTAATCAGATAGCAAGCTGTAAAGTTTGTATCAGTTTTCCATAATCTAAGTTGTGTAGTTCTTTATCTCCTTGACATCTGACTGGAGGGTGTTCCACAAAGAGGGTGACACTGCTGAGAAGACCCTTAGTAATTATTGGAGGAAAGCCATCACTATTTTCAAAGTGCTGCAAGAGTGCTTCAGATGTATAGCACAGAGGCAGGGATGTAATTTAATCCAGCAACATCCAACACTGGCTGATGGAGACTGAGGATGCAAAATGAACAGATTGTCTGGAAGCGACCATGGCTTTCTTCCGATAACTCCAGCACCCATGCTACTAGATTTAGGTGCAGTAGCTGAGTCCTGTCTGGTTTTTGGCCAAGATGCCCTTTGCTGGCTGTGCCACAGTGGAGATGGCACTTTTCTGAAGCTTCTTGGGGATGTTGTCTTGACTTCCCTTTCCAGACCGTGTGGCCTTCACAGGATGGTGTTTGTTACTGCTATGAAAAGAGCTTTGTCTGAGCTGTTATTTTTGGGTGGGGCTGGGAGGGAGGAAGAGCATTGGATTCCTGTCAACAAAGGCCCATCGGCCAGACCTGCATGGCGGCAAGCATCTGCCTGACACGCACCAGAACTAGACACGTTGCTGCTGGAAGCGGCATCAGAGGCTCTTTTCTTTAAATTAGGACCCATGGCAACGGTCCAAGTTGAGTTCAGTGATGGGGAAAAATGTCAACGGCGCTGCCTAGATGATATTGTCTTGCTGTGCCTTGGACAGATATGCCACTTTATTTATTTATTTAATGACGAATTACATAATATTTGACTGTATGAAAGGACATTTAATTTCCTTCTTAAAAATTATTGTTTTTATAATTATACCTTTTATAATAAACAAATACCTTCCATATCTCCTCAAAATCACTTCTCGTGCATATTCCCTGTCTTACCTTAATAGCACTTGTTAATTTATCATTAATAGCTATATCCCACACCTCTTTTTACCATTCTTCCATTTTATATTCACCTTGCCCCACGGCGTTTCATTCTCGTGCAGAAATGCCTCCCAGAGACAAGCTAGCATGAGAGATGGTCTAAACTTGCTGAGCAACATGCCCAGAGCTGGCCCAAGGGATGCAAGCACTTTATTGTGGACATGGTGATGCATGCATGGAAGTTTATAGTGTAGCATCCACACAACACAGTCAGCACTGTAGTGCCATCCTATACCCCTTTACCATTTCATATGGATTTACCATTTCCACAGAAAATCCAGTAAGAAGAAAAGCAATGCAGAAAACTGTCCCGATTAAAAGGGGATGAAGAGAAATATGGGGTGGCATTTTGCAGAGGGCGGCTTCATGCAGATGCCGTGATAAAGATGTATGTGTGAACAGCACCAATTCCACAATAAACTACTGTGTGAAAGCCACCCCAGTTAACATTCACCATCTTATAAACTTCGGCTCTCCTACACACTAGTGACAAACAGAAAGACCTACCACCTTTGATGATATTAACCAATCCTCTTTTCTGTCGGCTGCATTGTATCACCCTGTGTTATGTGAAGACACATGTCCACTTTCAGGGTTACTAACAAGGTTCAATGAGAACCTTCCAGAGGATAATAAAAGCAGGGTTTTTTAGGGGGAGGGGTGTGGGTGGGTGTGTTTGTAGAAACTGTGGCAGTTGCTATTTAAAGCAAAATAAGGATACAGCAAAATCAAATACAGTTGAAGTAAAATTAAATTAAAAACCCAGTGACTCATTTAGCACTGCATATCATTTTACCCTAAATCTCACAGTTTTGTTACAAATTTTCAGAGCTATAGTGATTGCAAGAAGACTGCAAGATGACCAAAGCTGTAAGCAATTTGCCAGCACCCTGTTTCCCATTTTTTGCACCGCTGGGTGGATAAGATTCTCTCTGTCTTGTTTCTATTTTCCCTCTTTTCAGTGGGGACCTGACTCCTTACCAATCTGTAAAGCACCGAGCATAATGATGGCAATTGGCATCATCTTCAGACTAGGACAGAAGTCTACATTTCAAACAACTGGCGAGAGATCCTGGTTTTATGGCAGTTGCTACTTGTTAAGAATTGGCACCTCTGTGTAAAGACAGGAAAACAGGTATCCAATATCATATGCACAATGCAACATCCAGGTGCTCCAGGTTAATTAACCCATGATCTGGTTCTATTTTCACCTGCGTTAGTAATCTTCACTCTGTATACCTGTCTTCAAACGCCATCTTTTCAGCTCTTTAACTTTATTGACAATGTGTCACAAAGTGGTTTAAGTGCATTAGTCTAACACAGATTTACCTTTCTATTCTGCACATACCTTTAACATGTCCTTTTGCTATAATTCAAATGACAGGGGCCTGCTGAGCAGTTCTGGGAAAACACACACACATGAACAATGGTTCTGCTGTGGATTAGGCAAGTGAATTATGGTGCGGGAGGAGACTCTTGAGAGTCCCATGGACTGCAAGAAGATCAAACCTCTCCATTCTTAAGGAAATAAGCCCTGAGTGCTCACTGGAAGGACAGATCGTGAAGCTGAGACTCCAATACTTTGGCCTCCTCATGAGAAGAGAAGACTCCCGGGAAAAGACCCTGATGTTGGAAAAGATGGAGGGCACATGGAGTAGGGGACTGCAAAAGCTCTCCCCAAAGTACTTGCCCATTTGTGGATTTAATTGAGGGGAATGAACCTTTTCACCATCAGCATGCAGTAAGTAATGCAGGAAATGTCTTTCACATACACCTGTGCTTGGAGGAAGCACCAGCTTCACCTTCTAAGAAAGGGCCATAGCTCTGTGGTAGTGCACATGTTCTGCGTGCAGAAGGTTTCAAGTTCCATCCCTGGCAATCTCCAGACATGACTGAGAAATCTCTCTGAAAACACTGAGAGCCACAGTCAGTTAGTGTAGATAATACTAAGCTAAAGCATCTTCCTGTGTTCCCAACAGGGTAAAAACATTCCCCTCTATCTAATAAGGTAGGGTGAGGAACCTGTGGCCCTCCAGGTGTTGCTGGACTTCAACTCCCATCAGCCCCCAGCCAGCATAGTTAGTGTTGAGAGAGGATTGGAGCTGCAATCTAACAACATCTGTAAGGGCCACAGGTACCCAACCCCTGCAACAAGTCCTGTTTATTTGCAAATGCTTTAACAGGAGCCCTTAAATCTCCCTGCGCACTTGACGGTCAGGTCCTGGAAGACCTTTGCTTTCTCCTGCTCTCATCAGGACTCACATTCAAATGCTACAGCAGTGTGACTTTTATGAAAGGTATGGCATAGGCACACAAAACACACCTCAAGGGGAAGCACTTGATAGACTGATGTTTGCACAAGCAAGGGAACTTATCTGAACAGCTGAACTGTTAAGATTTTGGGGAGGTGTGCTGCATGGAATGCCCACAGCAGGTCTGTCCTCCCCGCCACTAATTAAGATATCTATTTTTCTTTTTCAAGCAGCACAATAACAAGTTCACCTTCCACCCTCATTTACCCTCAGTTTATTCTCCATCCCACATACTCCCCTCCCAACATGCTTCGCTCCTTCCTGCAGCCCATCCTGGGCAGCTGTTCATGAGCAGCTGTTGCTTGGGCACTTCCCATTCAAATGTTGCTACTAGAGCCACTTCTTCACACACCGCAGAAATGCATTCCATGCAGATCGTAAAGTGAAAGGAAGGCATAAGTCGCTAATTCTAAGCATTTGTACTTGGAAGTCAATCCTGCAGTTTTCGATGGAGCAGGATCTCAGTGTACAAGTCAGACCCAAGCTCAAATCTCAACTCTGCCATTCACTCCCTAGGTGTCCTTGTGAAAGCCACCATCTCCATGTCTCATATCTGCAGTATAAGGATAATAATATCAACCCTCCTTTCATGGTTAACATTGTAATGATTCCTCATATCAAAGCATCTTAAAACAGCCCAATTACAGGGGTTGTTATTTTGTACTAATGAGCAACTATGGTACATACCAGGTTTTTCAACTATGACATGTGACCTGGTTTAGATGATCCTATTTCACCTTAATAAGTTAACATATATGCAAGTCTTGTGACTTTCCTCCTTGATGTGAGCTGGTTAAAGCTGGAAGTGTCCAAATAACCATGGTTTCCCAGTTCCTCAGGACTAGGAAACTACGTATAATATCCTGGGGCGCTTCCATATTGATGCTATTTTGGAGTGGGATTGAATGACATGCTGGCAAATTCAGGTTGCACATTTAAAGTTGCATTTGGTGCTCTTGTGCAATAAAACCACTTCCTACAAAAAAGCAGTTTTTCTTTACAATAAAGAAAGTAAGGGGAAGTGCTTTGGAAAGTGTTGGGATAATAATTGCTTGATGCAACATCATCTAACCTCCCTGTAATCAGACAAATCAGAATGAATGTGCAAGATACATTCGGTGTCATCTAACCTCCCCGCAAACTTTGTGCAAACAAATCAGGATGAATGTTCAATAAACAGGTTTCCTGAAAGGACCACCTTTTCGGAACAAGCTAGGATCACAAAACATGCTTTGAAGCTTGTTTACAATCCTGGCTTGCTTCCCAACCTGGTAACCATAGTTTCCAAGTTCAGACAAAATAGGAAACTATGATTCTTGGTAGACTTATGCTGTAACTGACTTGTGCTGAGAAGGAAAGGGTGATGTACCTATCACAAAGCTTGTTCACGGGCACCATTGTCCATTGTCCAAACTGGATCAATGTAAAAAAAATCATGTTCGCCATCACATTACATGTTAAGCATGTATTTATGAGGCACATTTGAAATCTGACACACATGCATATTCAGAGGGCTAAGATGCCAAATGCTCGAATGTCAGGCTCAGTGGAGAGGAGGGCGCAAAGCAACCTTGTATTCTCCAAGATGGTCAAATGCTTGTGAGATCAACCTATTTCAGCTCCCTTCCCTACCCTACCCCTCTGGCTGTCTTCCAAACCCCCATCCTCTGGCTCTGCATCCCTTTGGGACACTACCTCAGTCCCTGGTGCCTTACAAAATTCCCATGACCTACCTTGCCACTACAGGCACAAACTGGAGGCAAAGACCAGAGAAAGATCACGAGAGGAAATGCCAACAGGGAGGGTAGAGAAGAGACAAGCGCAGTGGCTCAAACCTATTTAGAAGCCACACCTTTTGCTTCCCATCAGTTTCCAGATATGGGGAAGCTGGCTACAGATTTATAGTAGAGGTACAGATTTACAGCACAGTGCTCTCTGCCCGTGCTCAGAGGCACTCCTTCTCCACAGGGTCCAAAGTGAAATGCCAGCACTGGAAACGGGTCCCAGGACTAAACCCTGCCTCAAATTAACCTTGGCAGTAGCCATTAACCACAAAAGAATCCGAGTACACACAGAGGGACATTATCAGCACCTGGCAAGAAGGACCAGCTTAAACAGCCGGAAAGAGCAGGCTGGTGCCAGTCTCCTTCCTCCCATCCCAACCTGCCCACGAAGTGGTACTCGAATGCACCACCCTGGGCAACCTGGTCCTGGCTGTGCCAAGAGGGGGACGTGCTGAGATCTCACATTGGCTACAGTCCTTTGGCATCTTCTGACAAGGAATGGAGGGTCAGGTGGTGCTCCAGTCAGCTGTTGCTCTTTAAGCCCATAAAGGCAGCTCAAAGCTGCCCTCTTTACTCCCTGCTGCTACAGGTACCCTGGTGCACCATCAAGGTCTCCTCACCTTGAAAGCCTCTGCAGCCCCTTTCCCCTCAAACTGAAAAGCATTCCCCAGGCTAAGAGTTGTCCTATTTTCCCTGCCTCTTGCCCCATTGCCCACATGTGGCTCTTCATTAGAAGGGCACCCAGGAATTCAACAGATGAAGCCTTCCCCAGCAGCGAGTGCAAAGCGTTCCCCTTTGGGACGCCTGCTAGTGGAGCCCCTGCTAAACAGGCAGACATTCAGCAGGTAAAAGTATTCCCCAGAAGAGGGTGCGTAGCCTTCAGCAGCTGAACCTACGCCGATTCATGTGGCTGCTAACAGGCAGGCATTCAACAGATAGAAGTCAGCTGGCAGAAGGTGAGCCGCCTTCATCTGTTGAACATCTGCCAGCAGAGCGGAGGCTAACAGGCACGATCCCTGCAACTTGCACGGGACTCGTTTTGGGATCCTCCCCGCCCCCAAGGCAAGCGGGTTCTGGACAGCTGCAGGGTGGCAGGGAGAGGGTGAAAACCCCACTTCCACCAGACCCTACAGGCAGTCCCACGCTGGTTTGTGATGTGCTCGCGTGCAGAGAAGCATGCCTGCCGCGCGCGGGGAGCCGGGGGGAGCGCAGGCTTCCCCGATCTTGCTGCAACAGGCGCTGCCTGCCAGGGGCGCAGCAGAGAGCAGAGGAGGACCGGCGCTGCTGCCCGCCCGCCCGCCATCTCGCTGTCCGTGCCAGGCCGTCTCTTTCTGGCTCTCTCGTAACCGGAGAAGGGGGCGAGAGGGCGGCGCGCCGCCTGGCACGTCCCCTCCTGGCCGAGCGGGCGCCCCGACGGCGAGCAGAGGGCGAGAGGTCGGGCAGCAGTTTGGTCAGGAGCGCGTCCTTCGCGAGGGAGAAGAGGCGACCCGGTCGACGCTGATCCCTCCTTCCCACCCCGCCGCTTAGCGTGCACGCCCGGCAACAAGTGCGGCGCTCGGAGCCCCGATCCCGCCTGCCCTCGAGGGTCAAGCGAAGCAGCAACCCACCTCCGGAGCCGGGGCTGAGAGCCAGCCAGAGAAGGAGCAGCGCCAGCAGCCAACGCCGCACGCCCATCGCGACGCCGAGGGCCGAGCCACGCCAGCCGGCTGCAACAGTCACGCAGCGAGCAGCAGCAGCAGCGATCGCGCCCGCTCCCACCGCGGCCCGCCTGCATTTGTAGGCGGGCGTCGGGGGAGACCCAGACCGTCCGCCTTGGCTCGCAGCCCGCCCGGTCATGTGGCTGCCTCCACACGCCCCCCCCCCCCGCGCGCGCGCCTGCCGCCACCTCCGCGCTCTCCTCGTTCAGCCTCCCTCCCCCTCACCCCACCCCACGCCCCACACAGCAGCTTTGCCTCCTGCGGTGGGCGAAGGACGCCTCCGCTAGGAAGAGCGGCTTCCACCACCACCCCGCCCATCTGCGGGATTTACTCCGCCCCTGACAGATACGTTCAGGACACCCCCAAGAGATGATCACAGCCCCTCCTCCATACACACAACTGGTACCGCAGTTCCCAGCCTCTCCCCTCCTCCCCCCCCCCCCACGCAACCTGGTTCTCAGATACCGGAACCCCCTTCCTCCCCTCCTCTTCAAACACTCCAAGGCACCCCTTCCAAGGCTTACCCCCAGGACTGTCTATGGGTAAAGATAAAGGGACCCCTGACCATTAAGTCCAGTCATGGCCGACTCTGGGGTTGCGGAGCTCATCTCGCTTTATTGGCTGAGGGAGCTGGTGTACAGCTTCCGGGTCATGTGGCCAGCATGACTAAGCCGCTTCTGGCGAACCAGAGCAGCACACGGAAATGCCGTTTACCTTCCCGCCGGAGTGGTACCTATTTATCTACTTGCACTTTGTGCTTTCGAATTGCTAGGTTGGCAGGAGCAGGGACCGAGCAACGGGAGCTCACCCCGTCATGGGGATTCGAACCGCCGACCTTCTGATCAGCAAGTCCTAGGCTCTGTAGTTTAACCCAAGTCCCCCTTAAACTTAAAGCGCATCCACTTGGCCCTCAGAGGGTTGTCCTGATAAGAATTTGGCCCTTGGACCATAAAAGGTTGCCCATGGTTGGTCTTTCCCAGGCGTGGGGAGCCTCTGGCTCTCCAGATGTTACTGAAGCGCCATTCCACTCATCCTTGGCCATTGGCCATGTTTGCCACGGGCTGGTGGGAACTGCAGTTCATCAATATTAGGGCAAAGAGGTCCCTACTCCTGGTGCATTCCCCAGGCATTTTGCTGCCCAAGGCAAAGGACAAGATGGCTTCACCCTGCTCAGTCTTCATGCAAAAGCCGACCAGACTGAGAGTGTCATTTCTGTACTGTTGGTGACCTGTGTCAGCATCCCAGACCTGTGACAGCATCCCTTAGCCTCACCAGAAGTCTATAGCCTAGTTTGGCTGGTGCAAGGACACACAGCCCTGCTCTCCACCTGGACAGCACTACTAGTCCTCCAGCAGCTGTTGCCTGAAGCAGCTGCCTCATTCTGTATAATGTTAGGGCTGGACCTGCTTCCTACCCCGGAGAACTGTCATCACCTTTAATTTAATTTTCCTCCTCCATCAACTATATTTTATCCATACGAAAAAACCACTCACTGCACAGTCTAAATGAGCCATAATATAAATGCCAATATACTTGCCATAATATATCAAATATAATACCGATTTCTTTATTGTAAATGACTTGGTTTGAATCAAGTGCTCCGTATATACATTAGAAATATTAAAAGCAATTTGACTCCACATTATAACTCCATTTACTTGGTAATATATATATTTTTCCCCCAGGCCTTTGGCTAATTAAGCAATCTGTGGCCTTTATGAGTTTTTGGGAGGGTGTTATTGTTTTGTTTGCTACTGTGTTACGTATTTTTGTGTTTTTAAATTGCAAACCGCGGAACAGAAATTAATAATAATAAATAATAATAAAAAATAAAAATAAAATAAATAAAATTATTTGGGAGGTGAAACTTCTACCGCCGCCACCCAGCTCCCAAGTATATGTGTGAATGAGCCCACATCCCAGGTAATAAATGACCATGGATAGAATGTCTGCACCAGTTTGTCGCTGGATCAAATACTTTTCAGTGGAGAGGCAGTTTACATCGTCAAGGGATGTTATGCCTGGGCTTGGGATGAATTGCCCCCCTGAGACTATAGGAAAGGTAGCAACTTGCTCTCTTTTGCTCCAGAGGAACTAATGGGTGGAACCGCAAGGAAGTTGGATTTTGAGCTAAAGATTGGAGGGAGCTTCCTAGCTAAAGGAGCTGTGGAACAGGCTGCCTCAGGAGCTGGTGACTTTCTTTTGCTGGAGATACTTATGCAGAGGCTGGGCAGCTGTCTGTCAGGGATGCTGCAGTTGCATCCTGTATTGCAGATCCTACATTGAGGAAAGGGTTGGACTAGATGAGGCGCCTTTCAAGTCTATGATTTGAGTCCATTCACCCCTTTTGGGCCACAATTCCTCTTTGAGTGAGCATCATCATGGCATGCTCCCTTATTTCCCTTCTTCACTATTCATTTCCCCAAATGTCTCACAGGAGTGTTTAGCATCCCTTCATCAGTCATCACTATTCTCTCCGTATCTTTTGTTTTTGGAAGCCAGCCACTGAGTTTAGCCTCATTGCTTGTCACTCTTTGGTACGCACCGATCACTCCACTTAGAAGATTGCATTGAACCAAGTGGTGGGCACATATACACATCAGAAGGGGAGATGCTGTTGGGCTCCCAATTCCTATCAGTCCCCCCCCCACAGCATTCCCAGTGGTCAGGGATGATGAGAGTTATAGTCCAGAGACATCTGAATTCCCTTATTGTCTTAAGTCCAAAAGTTCATCTAGCCCAGCACTCTGCCTCCAACAGTGGACAGCTAAGGGCTCAAAACAGGAATGTTGGCAAGCTGAGCATGTAGGAGACAGAAGAAGATCAAAGGTCCTCCTAGTTTAGCATCCTGCTTCCACTGTAGCCAATCAGCTGCACTAAAAGAGCAAAATAACTCAGTATGGAGAAAAGTTATGAGGAAATGCAAAACGATTGTCACTTTAAAGGAGTTTGCTTTAAGTTGCTACACACGCCACAGTGAAAGAAAAGATAATGGGAGCTGCTTCTCCCCAAAATCATCCTTGCAAGGCCCATCCCCTTTAGTTGGGAGGAGATCTTATGTGCTCATCCTATCCTTGAATCTCTGGAGCATTTCTGCTTCTCCAGGCTTTTGCAATTTGTGTCTTGGCAGCTGTTAACTACATGACAATTAGGCCTTTTCTGAGAAATCCTCCCAGATTCAGTGCAGTCAAAGTGTGCAGCCGCTGAAGTAAAAGGCATTTTGAAATAGTTTTTTTTTAAAAAAAGGTTTGCTATCCTTCCCCCACCCCACCCCCACACTCGCAAACCCCTAAATTCTCTTTCATCACCACCGCCAAACATGTAATACGTGCAATGCAACCACATGTTTTTGCAGCGTGGTTTAGAATGACCTTTCCGTACTTGGTTTACCACTCATGTGAAGTTTCTCTTACGTTAAAACAGGACAGGGAGTTTTTTTTTTCTGTCGAGGGCTGCATTCCCTTGGGAGTAATCTGTCAAGACCTGAATGCCACTGCGTGGGAGGCCAAAACCAGTGATGGACAGGGCTGAAGCCAGTGGTAGCCAGGGTCAGATCCGAAAGTGAGTGAGGCACTCCTTTGTGCCCTCTTCCTCCCCCCTTGCTTTCTCGGTCCAAAACCAGTGATGGCCTAGGGACAGACCCAAAACTGAGTGCAGCATGACTTTGTTCACTCTCTCCCACCACTTCTTCTTTCTGTGCCACCCCTTCTTTCTCTCTGCAGCACACCTCTCTCAGCTCAGTCTCTCAGCATGAGAGATGTGGCTTCAAGCCCCATGGTGGGCGAAAGATCACTGCATTGCAGGGGGGTTGGACTAGATGATTCTCATGGTCCCCTTCCAACTCTGCAATTCTGTGGTTCTAGGATTCTGCCGTTCCTTTCCTTCTCTCTCTCTCTGCCACTCCCTTCCACCCCTGTTCCCTCTTCTTGCTACCTGCATGAACCTGGACAACAGAGCTATAATTTGCCCATGCCTGTACAGTGGTACCTCAGGTTAAGTACTTAATTCATTCCGGAGGTCTGTTCTTAACCTGAAAGTGTTCTTAACCTGAAGCACCACTTTAGCTAATGGGGCCTCCTGCTGCCACCGCGCCACCGCTGCGCGATTTCTGTTCTCATCCTGAAGCAAAGTTCTTAACCTGAAGCACTATTTCTGGGTTAGCGGAGTCTGTAACCTGAAGCGTATATAACCCAAGGTACCACTGTATTGAAAAGAGGAAAAGAAGAAGAGCACTCCACCCAAAGAGGGTCTTCATGTTTTGTTTATATGAATGTACAGCCCAGCAGTGATAAAAGGGGCTAGGTACACATGCATATACCTTTTCCTTGGCAATATTTTCTGACACAGATCTTCAAGAAAACCACAGTATAGTACACATGGCAGTGCACATCCCAGAAAAATGAGCAAATCATAAGGTTGCTGGTGGAGTAACAGTTCTACTAGCCCCAGCCAAGCAGCTCCCCTTCCTACCCTCACTCCCCGAAATCTAGCCTTTGTTTAAAAGATTCTTTATCTAAATGCTCTCAGAGTTTGAGGGCAGACAGAAACAAAAGCATGTCGAATCATCGCCTTCAGGCTTAGACTGAAGAGAGCAAGGGGGCCTCAAATGATCTCTCTTCTGAAATTTGCTACTCCCTGTCAAGCTTCCATCCAAACAGCTGTGGTCAAAGGGGATCTGGGCGGAGGTGGAATAGCTGGCAGAGGAGACTGCTAGCAGAGAGACCACCAGGCCTTCTCAGGGTGTTGCTGGGTCAGACTGAGGGAAAGCCAAGTGTGCACCCACCCACCCACCCACTCACTCTCACTCTCTCATATAGAGAAAGGTCAGGCCTCAACCTCACATCACTTAAGGGGTGAGTATGGGTGACTGTGTTAGGGTTGACATATTTTGAAGAGCAAAAAAGAGGACACATTTGGCGACTTCTACATTTAACTATGACGACTCTCGTTTTACATACCCTTGAAAAAGAGGACGTGTTCTGGAAAAAGAAGACATACGGCAGCCCTCAGCTTCCTCCCCATTTCTTATTGTCCTAGTCTTGAACTCAGTTCTCTACACTTCTTCTTTGGCGATCACTTGTAGCCGTGTAAAATTGTCTTCCATAAACACGGTTTTAACAATGAGTCTGTAAGTGACTGTGGAGGGAAATTCTGGATCTACACATCCTTCCACAGTGGGGACATTGGTTTCCGGGCGGGAGTTGATCACGGTGAGGGTTTGCCAAGTGTGCCTTCCTCTTAGCACGTTTCTCCCTCGCGTCCTGAGTTCGAGCGTCTTCAAAGCCCATGACACCTTTGGCAAAGGCTGTTCTCCAACTGGAGCACTCATAGGCCAGTGTTTCCCAGTTGTCAGTGCTTATACTACATTTTTTTTAGATTTGCCTTGAGACAGTCTTTAAACTTCTTTTGTTGACCACCAGCATTACGCTAAACTTACACATCAATTTGCAATTTTTTTAATTAAAAAAGCAGTCCTCAATAAAACTCATCAGCAATTTAGTATGAACTTCTCCTGATTATCAATCTATCTATCTATCTATCTATCTATCTATCTATCTATATCTGTGTTAAGGTGACCGTCATGCTGCAGTTTGCATGGCCACCAATAGGCGGCCACGTCAATTTCACTGTGAGGAACAGCAAGAAACCAAGCTGTTCAGCATTATAGGTGCCTGCAGCAAAGTTTAACAGAGGAGGAAGGCACTTATCTCCCACAAATAAAGCACAGGTAACCCAAGAACAAACCTTGATTGCAGTTCATAGCTTGTCACAGCTTAGCCCTGGGAAATGGAGATTCACCCATCCCTAGCAAGAACTGTACATACTGCTACCACCTTCATCTATAGCAGCCAAAAGACATTCGTTTTTGCTTCCACCAAGGATTGCATCAAACTAATCATCTTACCAACAAGGGGAGTTGTGAGGAGATGGAGCAGGGGGCTCTTTTGCACTAGTCCTCAGATCTCCTGCCCTTTGACCTTTTTTAAAACACTACTTACAGGGGAGTGGAAAAGAAAGAAGCTTGATGAACTGTAGCCATCCAGATTCTGTAGCAGCCTCTCTCTCCCTGAAATTGCCTCTACAGCAGCATTTGATGGATCATCTTACCCTGAGAGGGTGGGGAGGAGGAGGAGGAGAACAGAAGCAGTGGCATCGCAACGGGGGGTGCGGGCGGTGCACCCCGGGTGCCATGTCTGGGGGGGTGACAAGAAGGCAATCTGTGGGGGCTTGCGGTAGCATGAGCAGCCATCGCGCTGCCGCAGCCACATGTGAAGGATCCTCCGCAGCTGCAGCCACGAGCAGAGGATCCCGGCGCCAGCAGCAAACCGCTATGTACAGCATATGTGCGGCTTTGCATGCATGCGCCGTACGTAACGATGCCGCACATGAGCTGTACATAGTGGTTTGCCGCCGGTGCTGCTTGAGCACCAGACGGACGGCGGTGGGATCCCTCCGTCACCACTACAGCCGAAAACGGAGGATGCTCCGTTTGCGGCTGCAGCTGTGAGCAGAGGACCCCAGCACCGTCCGTACAGCGCTGGAGTGCCGGCGCCGGCAAACAGCTATGTACAGCGCATGTACGTACGCTGTATGTAGTGACGTTGCACATGCGCTGTACATAGCGGTTTGCCACCCTGGGTGTCAGAAGTGCTGTCTTTTCCATTCTTTTACAGCTTTCTTTTTAAAAATAAAATGATGCTTATTGTTGTAAAGACCTTATGTGAACCACTTTCTGAGGTCTGCCTCAAAAGTGACATATAAATACTGTAAATAAATACATAAAATAATGGTTGGTTTCCTTGCTTTCCATCCTACCAACTCCAATGGCCACCAGCCACAACTGCATACAGCTGGAGGTTTCTGAAAATGTAAATCTTTGGGGTTCACCACCTTCTCAGTTTCTAGAAGATCTGCCTCTGGGGGATCGCTTTGTCTCTACTGAATGTATATGCACGATCATAAGCAACATTAAAGCAGTAGCGTTTGGCAAGCCAGCTCACACACTGCAGCTGCTGAGCTCATTTGAACTGATGATAACCTATTGTAAGATAATTATTTTTCTAGCGCTGTATTATCTAAGCAAAAAGGACACATGCTGTCCTGGCTTTTAAATCGGTGGAAGACAAGGCGATTGCGCAATAAACAATTGCAGCGTAATGGAAGTGTGGTGGACATTTCAGCATTTTTTAAAGCTTCCATGATCTTCCCCACTATTAAATACTCACCCTTGCAAAAAAAGCCACCGAAAGCCCTACTCAAGTCTACTCAGAAGCAAGTTATACTACAGTGGTGCCTCGCAAGACGAAATTAATTCGTTCCGCAAGTCTCTTCGTCTTGCGAGTTTTTCGTCTTGCGATGCACGGTTTCCCATAGGAATGCATTGAAAATCAATTAATGCGTTCCTAGGAAACCGCCTTCAGACCAGGTCCGGGGACAGTCTGTCCCCGGACCTCTTCTGAAGGCTGGGGGAGAGCAGGGCTTTTCTTCCCACCCCCAGCATTTTAAAAACCCGGGACAGCGGAGGACTTCTCCGCTGTCCGGGCGATCTTAAAATGCTGGCGGGCGGCATTTAAAATCACCCCGGGACAGCGGAGGACTTCTCCGCTGTCCGGGGCAATCTAAAGCCCCTGGGAAGGCAGGCAGGGGGACAAAGACTTTTGCCCCCGCCAGCCTTCAGAAGAGGTCCTGGACCTCTTCTGAAGGCGGGCGGGGCGCAGTCTTGCTCCCCCGCCTTCAAAAGCCCTCCGGGACAGGCAGGCAGGGGAGCAAAGACTTCGCCCCCGCCCGCCTTCAGAAGGTCTTCCCTCCCCCGCCCGGCTCGGGCACCGTTCCGAGCCGGGCGGCGGCGAGGTCTTCCCTCCCCCGCCCGGCCCGGGCACCGTTCCGAGCCGGGCGGCGGCGGGAGGTGTTCCCTCCCCCGCCCGGCCCGGGCACCGTTCCGGAGCCGGGCGGCGGGGAGGTCTTCCCTCCCCACCGCCCGGCCGGAGCACCGTTCCGAGCCGGGCAGAGGCGGAGGTCTTCCCTCCCCCGCCCGGCCCGGAGCACCGTTCCGAGCCGGGCGGCGGCGGCAGGTGTTCCCTCCCCCGCCCGGCCGGGCACCGTTCCGAGCCGGGCGGCGGCGGCAGGTGTTCCCTCCCCCCGCCCGGCTTCGGAGGGCCTTCCCGAGCCCGGCGGCGGCGGGAGGAGGTGTCCCCGCCCCGCCGCCAGGCTTCGGAGGAGGTCCGAGGACAGTGGGGAAGGCGCGCTGCGCTTCCCCGCTGTCCCTGAGATTTCCCTATGGGCTGTCGTCTTGCAGGCAAGCCCATAGGAAATTCGTCTTATGGCGCCTCCAAAGCGGAAAACCCTTTCGTCTAGCGGGTTTTCCGTCTTGCGAGGCGTTCGTCTTGCGGGGTACCACTGTAACTCCAATGGCTCTTACTCCCATATAAACAAGGTTAGGATTACCACCTTAGTAGCTCAGATATGGGGATAGTGATTCTGATCTGCGTTACACGATTGTTTTAAAGATCGCAGCAAGAGGGTATCTGTAAAATGCTTGGCCCATTTGAAAAGCTCACTCCTTTGGGAGGAAGGGCGGGATATAAATTGAATAATGATGATGATGTTAAATATTTATATAGCGATTACATTTCCTGGATGTGTAATGCTTACATGAGCTAGAATGAACATACGGTTCAAAATGGGGACACTTCCTATCCTGCACAAATAGATGGATGCATGGAAAACACAAGAGGCTTAAGATAAGCTTTCAGGGTGATGTGTGAGAAGAGTAATACTTGAAATCTGTACAGTGCTTTCAAGTGTTTAAGGCTTTTCTAAGATGTAAACCTTACCGCAACCTTGTTGTAAAGTAGGAATAGGTAAAACCTTCCAGATTTTCCTGGACTCCAAACCCCATCAGCCCCAGCTAGCACAGGACGATGTGAACTGGAGTCCAATAGCATCAGGAGTGCCATAGGTTTCTTACCTCTGTTATAAGGTTAATTCGCTATTATTGCCCCCACATTTGCAGAATGAGGCTGAGAGAGGCCTTAGCAACGGCGTAGCGTGGGTTGTCAGCACCCAGTGCAAGGCAAGTAATTTGCGCCCCCTAACCCCTAACCTGCCGCCGCTGCCAGCTTCTTCTTGCTGCTGCCTGGGCTGGTCTGGTGTGGTTCTCTCCCGCGCTCAGCGCTGCGCTGGGCGGCCGCTGCACTGTCCCTCCCCCAGATAGTCCCTCGCTCTCTCTCCGCACCGCACGCCTGGCACCCACCCCCTCCACAGGGGGCGGCGACCCAGCGGCTCGGATCGGATTCGCACAGCCAGCACTGCAGTGAGAGAGAGTGAGTGAGCCAGGTAGGGGCAGAGAGCTGTGAGTGCGAGTGCGCCCCCCCAGATGTTGCGGCCGGTGCGGCCGGCACCCCCTGCACCCCCCACGTTACGCCACTGGGCCTTAGGCCACCAGGTGAGGCAAAGGAGAGATGCCTATCAAGGACTTCCTGGTTCTCAGCTCCATCTCTTAATGCTACAGCACAGCAAATATTCTATGCCATAACCACCTCCAGCTTTGTTAGCCAAGAGTCACAATCTTTTAAAGAGCTGCAACCCAACCAACGAAACATTTTCAGCCTTACGAGTTTGGGCCAATCAGTTGATTAATCTGCCAATTAGATTTGTGCACATCTACATGTTGGTAGAAACCATAATGCCAAAGCAGTAAAGATACTTCCTTTGTTCTTAGATAATGCATTAACGTGTTGCAGCAAGCACCACCTTAGAAGAGTATTTCCCTCCTGGGGACGGAAGAATGGAGAATGCCTCTTTTATTATGGAGCTTGTGGTATGAACTTTATAACTCCTTGTTTTTTAAATGGAGTAATAATACATTGGGTGCCCCTGTCTCTCTTTTTTTTTCCTTGTCCAATTAATCAAGAACAAATTTAGTCAACTAAAGGTATTTTAAAATCAGTTAATCTAACATTTATTTTTTTAAATTCTGTAGTCCTAATTATAATGTCAAAATGTCAGATTGACAGGTGTTCTATCCTGTTCTACACTCAAGGTAGGAGTTCCTGGCAATCTTTGGGCTTTTCCAGGCAAATGTTCATTATGGGATGGGCGTTCCTCATGACTGCATTCCCCCCCGCAAGCATTCACACAATGAGTTGTATTCAACAGAGTAGAGCCACTGAAATCAGTGTGCCTAAGTTGTCATGTGCATTAACTCCAGGTCCACTCTAGGTTTATTGTCTTATGCCACGCAATACCATTCCAGGGGGATCCGATGCTAAGAAAATCCAATGACCCATTTGTGATATCTGAACAACTCTGCAAAAGGAACGGGAAACCTATTGTCCAGATGTTGCTGGACTCCAAGTCCCATCAGCCCCAGCCAGTCTGGGATGATGTGAGTTATAATCCAGCAACATCTGGAGGAGCACAGATTTCCTACCCTTGGTTTATATGAAACCCCTATCTGGAGATCCCTTTTTCCTCTGAATTCCCTGTAGTTCAGGACATAGGAACATAGGAAACTGCCTTATACCAAGTCAGACCAATGACCAATCTTGCTCAACATTATCTACACTGGCTGGCAGTGGCTCTTCTGGGTATAGTTTTCTCCCAGCCCTACCTAGAGATGCTATGGATTGAAGCTGGGAACTTTTGCATGCAAAGGAGATGCTCAACCACTGAGCCCTTTCCCAACAGTTATCTCCAAGGCTTGAGTCACTTGTGTCTTGATTGAAAGCCCTCATTGACATCTATCTTGGATTTTATTTTTCGCTGATGTTTAAAGTTTGCAAGGGCATTGTTTTTGTGCTCAAGACACCTGACAGAAACATAAAGAGGAAAAACGTTAGAGCAGTGGAGGCATTTTTGCAGCCTTAGCTGGCACGGGTTGCCAAGTTCCTCCTGCGACAGAAACATCTGCATCGCAAGCAGAGCCAACACAACAAAAGATGTAGGGCAGGGGATGGAGAGATTAAAGAGAGGGAGGGAGGGAGAGACATTGAAGTGCCTCAAGGTGTCTCTGCAAATGGCCTGGAGTCTGGGGGATAAACAGGAACCAGCCAAGGAAGTGCTCTTAAGAGGAAGGATGCCGTGACAGAGTTGGTCTCAAGACAGCTCATGCTCTTGGAATGTCAGTATTGACCTGGATGGAAAGTGGGGGAAGGGATGGGGGGGAGCATTTCCCCAAGCGCATCTGCCACAAAGCCGCTTCTGCCCATTGCAATTTTGGTGGCTCATGAACCACTCACTCTGTGTCTTAATCATCAAAAATGTCTCTGGTATCTTTAAAACACCACTACTCCTGACCATAGGAAGCTGCCTTATATTGAGTCAGACCATTGCTCCATCCAGCTCAGTAGTGTCCACAATGATTGGCAGCGGCTCTCCAGGATTTCAGACAATGGGAGTCTCTCTCAGTCCAACTTGGAGATACTTGGAAATAAACCTGGGACTTTCTGCAAGCAAAGCACAAGCTCCACCACTGAGCCTTCCCCTAAATGTACCCATGGCTAAGTTTCTCCAGCAATTATTTTTTCTTTGTTCTTGGGAACAGGGCCCCTTTGAGAAGTGCAAACACTTGCTCACTATTCCACTTTGATTCCAGTGGAAGATAAAGCTTGCAGTGGGAGCTAATTCAGGCAATGACATATGCGTGTTTTGTTTGTTTATACACCACTTTTTGACCCGAAGGCTCCCAAAGTAGCAAACAGCATGTTAAAACAACAAAATATGGAGTAGATCACAATACAAAATCCCTAAGTCAACCAGCAAGTGACACATTTAGCAGCTAGTTTCACAAAGTCTGTTGCACATACTCCATAGACACTGTCATGGTCAAACAACCTATCCCAGGGGAGCAACCAAAGCACTACCACTTAGCTAAGTCCTTTCCCCTCAGTTGGGGTTCATGTCCTAGAGAGCACTAGGGGTAATTTTTTATTATTTAATCGAAGGAAACTCTGTCCAGCTCCCTATAGGCCTCTATGGGGGTTGGTTTCACAGCACTTGCTACAAGGAAGGAGCCAAGGCTCAGTGGCAGAGCACATGATTTGCATGCAGAAAACCCCAAATTCAATTCCTGGCATCTCCAGTTAAAGAAGGAACAGGTAGCAGATGCTGGTGAAGATCCCCTAGACCCCTGATTGTCAAGTAGTCATACCTGGACTTATGGTCCATGCCTACATGGTACTAGTAAGTCTTCTCTACATCAATGATGTCTGTTTTTCAGAAGGGTGATGGTTAGATTCACTTGTGCTATCCTGGAAGGCAAAGTACTTGGTGCCAATGTGTCAAAATAAAGTGGGGAGGCTGAGCAGTAAGAGAAATATTCAAATCCAGCCTTCACTAACCTGGTGGCTCTGGAGGTTTTTGGCTACAACCATCAGCCCCAGCTAACACAGCTTGGACTACTGCAATGTGCTCTACGTGGGGCTACCTTTGAAAGTGACCTGGAAACTATAACGAATCCAGAATGTGGCAGCCAGACTGAGAGTGGCCGCCAAGACCATATAACACTGGTCCTGAAAGACCTACATTGGCTCCCAGTACATTTCTGAGCACAATTCAAAGTGTTGGTGCTGACCTTTAAAGCCCTAAACAGCCTCAGCCCAGTATACCTGAAGGAGTGTCTCCACCCCCATCGTTCAACTGAGGTCCAGCACCGAGGGCTTTCTGGCGGTTCCCTCCCTGCAAGAAGTGAAGTTACAGGGAACCAGGCAGAAGGTCTTCTCAGTAGTGTCACCCGCCCTGTGGAACGTCCTCCCACCAGATGTGAAGGAAATAAACAACTATCTGACTTTTAGAAGACATCTGAAGGCAGCCCTGTTTAGGGAAGTTTTTAATGTTTGAACTTTTATCGTGTTTTTTAGTATTCTGTTGGGAGTCGCCCAGAGTGGCTGGGGAAACTCAGCCAGATGGGCGGGGTATAAATATTATTATTATTATTATTATTATTATTATTATTATTATTATTATTATTGCTGTAGTCAAAATACCTGGCAGGCACCAGGTTGGCAAAGGCTGTTTTGTCATCTCTGTGATTTAGGGCGACCGTTCTCACCCACGTTGCTAAGGGCCAAATTTAATCTGCAGTAACTGTGTGGATGTGCTTTAAAAAAACACAAAAATCAAGTGCAACAGCACAATCTGGATTGGGACCCTGGCAGGGGAGGGGAGATTTACCCCTTTGCCCCCACCAAGGTCCAGATCTGGATCAGGGAGCCTCATGCTTGCTATTGGATATGTGTGTAACTCCATGCTGAGGCTATATAGGACCAAACCAGAATGCATAAAAATCAGACTGATTCTGAAACATCACTCATCAGCCCACATTTCCACAAGGCTATAATGCTGACAAAACTCCACTTTCTCTGTGTGCCAAGTGAATGATGGAATCATCTATTTGTGATAAGGGGCAGCTGTCACCACTGCAACCACAGTTGTGTGACAGCTTTATCTACACTTATATTTTTCCGTGCTCTTTGTAGGCACAGGTCTGCACTTAAAAGCTCTATGTCCAAGCAGATGTTGTTCCCTGCCCCTGCTCCCCACCCGCTCAGAGCTTTTCCCATGAAAACCCACTCTTTAGTGTTAAATCAAGGCAAATATCAGTTTAGGTTTTCTGTGAATTGCTGTTTGCTCTGATTCAGCTTGAAAGAGTGGCGGGGGGTTTTGCAAGGAAAGCTCTGGAGCAAAAGGGGGGGGCACTCAGACATGAAACCTTAAAGTGTGGGCTACAGGGGAAAAGTAAGTATGGATAAGCCCTGAATAAGCACTCAATCAAAGCATGTCAACAGTTTAGTCACCAGAAACAGCTGAGCAGGAAAAAAGAGTGTGTCCTTTTTTCTTGTTCTGTATTGTATGCAAAGGAGCAGGAGCCAAGATGACAGCTATCTGTGCCACAGAGACATTTTCAAAGACCATGTGTGTGGCAGGGTTCTATAGAAGCACAAGAAACACAAAATGAGGAACAGAGGAACACAGAATTCAGCTCCCAGAAAATCTTTCTTTTTTTAAAAAATGGAACCAAGTCTCTAGCACAGGGGTCAGCAAACCTTTTCAACAGGGGGCCAGTCCACTGTCCCTCAGACCTTGTGGGGGGCCAGACTATATTTTGAAAAAAATACCGTATTTTTCGCCCTATAGGACGCACCGGCCCATAGGACACACCTAGGTTTGGGGGGGGGAATAAAGGGGGGGAAATTATTCCCGCCCCCAGCCGCGGCTTCAGCGCGCTCCCCGCTCCGGGCAGCAGGCTGCTATCCGCAGCCTAGGGAGCCCTGCAGGAACTCCCGCACGGCTCCCTAGGCTGCGGATATCTGCCCGAAGCACGGGGCGCTCTGCTTCAGCACGCCCCACGCTCCGGGCAGCAGGCTGCTATCCGCAGCCTAAGGAGCCCTGCGGGAACTCCCGCGGGCTCCCCAGGCTTGCTGATAGCTTCCTGAAGCCTGGAGAGCGAGAGGGGTCGGTGCGCACTGACCCCTCTCGCTCTCCAAGCTTCAGCGAAAGCCTGCATTTGCCCCATAGGATGCACACAGATTTCCCCTTCATTTTTGGAGGGGGAAAAGTGTGTCGTATAGGGCGAAAAATACGGTAAATGAACAAATTCCTATGCCCCCCAAAAAACCCAGAGATGCTTTTTCAATAAAAGCATACATTCTACTCATATAAAAACACCAGGCAGGCCCCACAAATAACCCAGAGATGCATTTTAAATAAAAGGACACATTCTACTCATGTGAAAACATGCTGATTCCTGGACCGTCCGCAGGCCAGATTGAGAAGGCGATTGGGCCACATCCGGCGACTGGGCCTTAGTTTGCCTACCCATGCACTTAAGGCTAAGAAGAACTACTTGCAAGAACGTGGACAGTGCACGCTAAAATATCAAAAACCAGAAGAGTAGCTGAAGATTTTCAGTAGTTGGTGGCATGGGGTTTTCAATGCCTTGCATAGTTCATTGCCCGTTCCCTTGATTTGCATAATTAGAACAATTTATTGCAAAAAGGTAAGTATTGTGGAATACATTAAGTTAATTTAAAAGGACACAGAGCTTTGCTGGATATTTCAAATCTACGCAGACTGCAACATCTGGTTTTATCAGTGCCAAATTTTGATGGTCATGGGGCAGAAATTCAATATTATACAGCATGGTGTATAGACAGCCTTGGTCACCCCTTCCTTTTCAGTTATCCTAGAACCGGGAGGTACTTTGGATGTCATTTGATCCAATCCCTTGGTTCAATGCCAAATATGTGATACAGGATGCAACGAGAGCATCCTTGACAGACAGCCTCCTAGCCCCCCTGCTTAAATACCCCCAGTGAAGAAGAGCTCACCACTTCACAAAGAAGTTTATTCCAATTGGTGGGCAGGAGGCTCCTTACCTATGACTCTGTGATAACAGAACTGGGGAGAGATGCCCAAGGTTGTCTGTACACTGTCCTATATACCGTATTTTTTGCTCTATAAGACGCACTTTCCCCCTTCTAAAAAGTAAGGGGAAATGTGTGTGCGTCTTATGGAGCAAATGCAGGTGGGAGGCTCTGCTCAGTGCTCCCTTTAAAGAGCCATGTGGAGCGTGTGGCTTTTCCCACTTCCAACACTGCCAGATGTTTGCGTGTGTGCATAACATTTGGGTAGTGCATATGTACATAAAATTCAATGCACGTAAGCCTGAGTGGTGCAAGGAATAGCCCTCACAAAATCCTCAGGGAAAAGCCCCTAAGAGCTGCACACAAGCTCCGCGCGCTCTTTAAAGGGACCACGGCTCTTGGGAGAGCCTTCCTCCCGCTGCCCAGCGATTCCTGGCTTATGGGATAGCCGTGCGCAGCCTCTCCTGGGCAGCGGGATGAAGGCTCCCCCTGCCCAGAAGAGGCTGCGCGCGGCTAAGCCAGAAGCCAGGACAGCAAGAGGCTATCCCAGAAGCCAGATCCCTCTTGCTGTTCTGGCTTCTGGGATTCAGAATATTTTTCCCCCTTGTTTTCTTCCTCCAAAAACTAGGTGCATCTTATGGTCTGGTGCATCTTATAGAGCAAAAAATACGGTATGTTCTGCCCCCGAGGCCATCCAGATTCAGAGGATGCAGAATGTCCCTGCAGAAAATCTCTATCTTCTGCCCGCAATGTCTGTGCCACCCATCCATTCCCTTCACAGACTCACTTTGTGCACCAGTCTCAAGCTCTTGGGGCAGAGTCAGATGACTGGGACCCCCCAACACCACGCCGTAGCCACTTAAAAGCTTTCTGTGCCGCGACGATAATCACATAAGGAGCCAGTCTTCAGTAGCCTTCAATTACAGTGGTCAAACTCACTGTTATCACTGCCACCCCACAGGCGCTAGGAAATCTAGGAGACTGGAGACCACCAAACCAGCCAAGCCTTTCCCAAAATTGCTCTGTGCATCTCTAGGATTTGTGTTGATTGTTGTCCATCAGCTAAAAGGGTTTTGCAGAAGCTCCTGCCAGGGTGCCAGCTGACCATCTGGCTCTGCTGATGGGCAGTGGTGGGGGGGTTGGGGTGGGGGGGAATGCAGAATCACAAGTCTACATCCTTTCCCACTTCTGTTAGTGAATTTCCCTTGCTGGGATGAGAAATCCTGGTGATTCTCCAATACGTGTGTTGCTGTTTGGCTTTTTCTCATTCTGATGCTTAAAGGTTATTTTTTAATGGGGTGGGAAGAGAACGTCGCACTTGTGTGCCACAGATATATATATTTGACCATAGGGAAGTGCAACACTTGCACAAGCACAAAGGCCCACACCTGCCCTGGCTGCACAGGCCGCAACCTTATGTACACTTACCAGGGGATAAGCCCCTTTTGAACACAGTGGAGTTTACAGCTGAGAAAAAATGCACAGGGTTGCAATGTTAGTTTAGGAATGCAGAGCAAGGCACTATGTCTGTCCTCCAATAACTGTGAACCCCCAAATCTGGTATCTCCCCCCCCAAAAAATATACAGTGGTACTTCAGGTTAAGAACTTAATTTGTTCCGGAGATCCGTTCTTAACCTGAAACTGTTCTTAACCTGAAGCACCACTTTAGCTAATGGGGCCTCCGGCTGCTGCTGCGCCGCCATCGCACGATTTCTGTTCTCATCCTGAAGCTAATTTCTTAACCCGAGGTACTATTTCTGGCTTAGTGGAGTCTGTAACCTGAAGCGTATGTAACCCTGAAGCCACTGTATGCCAAAGTTGTGTGTTGATAGTATTATTAAAAATGTGTTTTTTAAGCTTAGGGGCTTATCTCTGCTTCACCACTGCTGCTTAAACATGGGTAGGGCAATTGGCAGGGCTGAGGGGGTGGGGAGGCTTATCTCTTAATTCTCTAACAAGTATATCATCTTTCATATAGTTTTGGAGGGGGAATCTAATTGGAGAGTTCATAGTTACTGAGGCAACAGAAATGAGCTGTTGGGCAGAGAAACCTTTTTAATAATAGCGCTCTCTATATACAAGGGAATAAGGGCAAACGCTGTTCCTTTTCTTCATAGCCTGAGGACAAAGTATGAAAAAGGAACAATCATGGCTTATGGTGGTGCAAAGAGCCCAGAAGGGAAATGCTTTAAAAAGGAAACTAATGTGGGACTAAACTACCAGTGCTCACTTCCAGATGAATTGTTTATTCAGCGTTTATCCTGATTTGTTTGCATAAGTTTTGTGTTTAGACAAAGTTGGCTATTTATTGAGCACTCATTGTTATTTGTGGTTAGGTTAAGCCACAATGCATCAAACCATTGTTTTCCTAGGACATTTCTCTATCACTTTCCTTGTCATGAAAAGTCTGCCTTTGGGGGGTGGGGGAAGGGGGTCTGTTGCACAAGAGCACACTTGCTGCACAAATCCACTTTAATTGTGCAACCTAAATCTGCCGGTATGTGATTAAATTGCATTCAAAAATAGTGACAGTCTGGAATTACCCAGTATGTGCAAAATAAATGTTGAGTTTACATGAAAAGAAACAGATTGGATGAAAACCACATCTCTAGCAAGTAATACCATCCCTGCCTTCCACACTATCAATCAACCCATAGGTATATCTATACTATAGAGCTAACCTAGATGCATAATTTTATATGCTCAGACAATATACCACTTTGATTTCTCTCCCTTCTGCCCTCACCCACCTGACAGTCCCACTTCCAACACTGCCAGATGTTTGCATGTGTGCATAACCATAAAATTCAATGCACGTAAGCCTGAATGGTGCAAGGAATAGCGCTGACAAAATCCAGGACTCAGCCATGCAATCGGAGCCTATGGATGGTAGGTTTTAAATGCATATGCCCCTATTCAAATACTATGTCAATGTATGGACACATAGTGGTGTTGTAGTCATGACAAGAGAATCAACTCTACAATTCTGTGATTCTATTATCTCTATCACACATGGGGAAAGTATGTGATGAACTCAGCAATGGAGACAAACCTGTATGTTAGGCTTTGGTCACCTCCCTTTGGCCCCCTCCATAAAATATTTGAGGGGGCTGCCCCCCCAGTCGATGGACATTGCCATTCAAATTGTGTGTTCATGCCACGTGTTGTGATTGATTATGTGGGGCAGAGCTTACCTGCCCTCCTTATTCAAGTTGGCAGTCCTGCTCCAATCGCTCCAGGACATAATCTAAGTGGAATGGATCCTACTGACATCTAAACCAGAATCAGTATACAGCCTCAGCAAGGTGATGATCCAAGGAATATGGGGACCAAAAAGCAAATCTTGCAAGGTTAGAGCTCCAGGAAGAAATAGACAAGAGCTTTGTCTGAAGCTTCAGAGGAGGCTTCAGACATGACCGAAGGCAACATGAAGGCCCCAAAAGGTGGGAAAGTAGCTACCATAATAGAAGAGATTCGGTTGGGTGCATTAAGAAGGAAGAGAGGGTTGTGCTCCTTGTGGGTCTCCCACAGGCATCTGACCACTGTGAGAAAACAATACTAGACTACATGGGTCATTGGTCTGATCCAACAAGGCTCTCTCATTCTATGGGAAGCGATTCATAAATGGAATCCAATAATGTTCTCATATTAAAACAAGGCTGCAATCTTAGGCATGTTTACATGACAAGTAAACTCCATAAAAATCACCAAGACTCACTTCAGATACAATATGCTTAGTATGGGAGTGTTAAGGTAAAATATATGGCTATTTCTCTTTCAGAGAGCTAACACGTGAAACAAATCTCCCTTCTCCCTTCAGGGTAGCGGGAGAGAGAAAAATGAGCAGGGCAACAGACAACTTTCTACCAGTAGGCTACATTTCAACCACACAAAAGCCAGAGGATTGTGTATCAACAGCTCACTTCATCCTCCATCCAGGCATTATCACAATTCTAAGGACATGTTTCAGTGTGGACAGGTGTGGCCTGGCATAGGGAGAGGCCTGGAAAGGGCCCCATTGACCAGTTTGAGAGGCCTGATTTGGCCCCTGTGTTTGTGGTTCCCTGTTCCTCTGTTACATGGTAAGGAAGCCTGATAGGAGACCATCTGGTTCTCCGGAATGCCAAGCCATCGCTACAGTCCCTGGCAGCTGCTCACTCCAGATTCTCCTGAAACACCTTTCTTTCCCCCCGTCATAATCCACAATCATCTAATTTTCCAACATTCTGGGGAACTCTTCCTTCCACCAGAACCCCCGCCCCAGTATCCGCATTCCAGCGTTCCTTGGCCCCCACCCCAGGCCACCTCACTGCCATGCATCCTGTTTCCTAGAGACATAGCAAGGCCCTGAGTCACGCCACCGATGGCTTCTGCAGGTGACGGAAGGCTAACAATAGCCAACAAAGGGAGGATGTCTCCCTTGCGCACGCTCCCGGGCCAACCTGGAAAGCATCCTGCCACAGTCCTTCGAGGAAACTCCGAACAGAGGACAGCAGCGCAGATGAGCTTGGCAGCTCAAATGAACGTGCCTTTTCCAAGGAAATTCTATTTCCTGTTTGCAAAAGAATGTTTTGTTTGGGGGTGGAAGGGATGATGGGGCTGAGGGAACTGCCCTCTGAAGCAGGTGCTTGGCAGGGGCACAATCTCCACACCTTGCAACTAGGGATGGAGCAGAAATTTACTTCGGCTTGCACTTAAAGGAGAACCTACCTGACTGCCAAAACAATGCATCCATTTGTTAGAAATTTGCCCTTGTCTTAATTTTGCGGTGCAGTTCTCCTACCAAAGAAGGCATAGAAAAATTCATATATGCAGCGAAAGTGTGCATAAAGATGCATATGTATCTGAAAGCAGCGTACAAGAATGCATCATAATGTGGAAAACTTGTTTGCAAAAATCTTTTCATTGGTCAAAAACCACACAGAGAAATGTGTCCATTAGGAGAAATTTGTACTAAAATACTGAAAATAGTGTTACAAAACCCAGGTGTCTGCTGAGTGGTGGCAAAAGCCTATGGACTCCTAGGTACATACACTGGGTCTGGGTCCCTTTGCAGAATGGAAGTCATGGCGGAGACTGTCATGCTTTAAGAAATAGGGTTTATTCACCTATTTACACCTTCAGTCTGCATGGAGGGAGTCCAGATCTTACAGCATAGGCATTTCAAGAGGCAGCAAGGCAGGCAGCCTCCAGTCTGCCTCTGCCAACGATGGATCCCAGACCTTGTCATGTTGATGGCCCTCTGTTGTTCTATTGATAGCCATAGCTCAGCCAAGTTGGTTTGCATAAGCCAGCCCAGGAATTCCTCTGCAGCTTGTATTTCTCCCTTCCCACCCCAAATAATCACAATCGTAGAATTTATTGATTTCTAGGGTTTACCCTAAATATAACAATACTAACAAGGCTTTTTAAAGATCATGAATTACTTAACTTGCATCAGACAACTGAATTTAAGATAGGGAAAATGGTAAACTGAGAGAACCAAAACACCCTTACTTGCAGCTCATGCTGGCAAATGCCCCTCATCCCCAAAGGGACGGATACCATCACAGCCCCATTAAGGTCTTCAGAAAATGTGCTCAGCACACAAGCTCCTTTATTTCTGTAAAAATCATTATTATCAGACTTGACATGTTGGGTCAGGCAATTGGTACTTCTAGTTCCAGGGTTCAGTTGCCAGCAGCCCCAGGAAAATTCATAAACAGGACAAGACAGCAACATTCACCCACTAATAGTAAGGGAAATCAGCAGAAAGGCTCTCTCAGCACATTTGCTCCAAGACTCAAGAGGCACTTAAGAAAATGTTGTGGCTCTAGACAAGGGGCTTCCAGAACTCCCATTCCCACCCAGCGGAGGGGCTTTGTATCAGCTCCTCCTTTCAAGAGGTGGGATGGGGGACATCCCCCCCTCAGAGTGGGTTGAGGGACATCTCCACCACCACTCCGGTGACAAAGCTGGATGGCAGAAGGCCTCCCTTCTCACTGGCTTAGCATGAGGGGAGGTGTTCCACATAGCTTTGCCCTTAGTCTCCTCCTGCCCCTGAAGGCCAGGGAGACCAGCAGCAAAGCTAGGCAGTGGAACAGAGGTGATGCCACTTGGGGTGTGCTGCCTGAGGTGGCTGCGTCACCCCACCTCATGTGTGGGCCAGCTCTGTCTCTACATACCCAGAGACTTTTGGTGGTATCCACCCACATTTTACTCAGAGTGGACCCTAGCTTAGGTTCTACTCTGAATAGACTCAGAGTAGAACCTAAGTTAGGCCCATTCATTTCAGCAGGTCTACCCTTGAGTAAAGCTTAGCTGAATACTATTGTTATTATCCGTTATTACAACTCCTTCGCCATAAGGTCCAAGGGCGGGCTGCAGCAACATAAAAAATTCAATATTAAAATCAATTAAAACAAATGACTGTGCAGCCAGATGAAATTGGATGGATCCTAAGAATTATATAACTCAGGTGTCAAAGGCCAAGGTAAAGAAGTGTATCTTCAGAACATAGGGAAAGCTACACCATGACAGTACAACACACACTTCTGTGGGGACCGAATTCCACAGCTTGGTGTCAAGTATCAATTAAATATCAACATGATGGGCAGCGGTAGATGGTGTCCATTGGGACTGGAAGGGCAGAAGGCGTGGAGACCAACAGGAGATGAAGCCAGATCCAATGACAAGCAGAGCCCCCACCCAATTGGCTATCAGCAAGAAGCCAGACAAGTGGAGACTGGCTGAGGACAGTCTGAAGTTGGTGGTGGTAACAACAACAAGAACAACAACAACAACAACAACAACATGTTATTTATACCCTGGTAGTGTCCCAGTTGTCTTAATGGAGCAGCATCCACTAATTACACTTTAATTAACTGTTTCCAGAGGGGTGGTCATGTTAGTCTTTTTCAGCAAAAACAACCAAGAGTCTCATGGCATCTTAAAGATTAACATGTTCATTATGACATAAGCTTCTGTGGGCTGTAGCCTCTCAGAGGCATCATATTTCACAGACTAAAACCTGGTACGTATCTATAACTCAGGGAAACATTTCATGCATCTGAAGAAGTAGACTAGGTCCCGCCCGCCCCCGGAAAAAAGCAGGTCGGCCCCCACAGCTCTTCACTTCATCAAATCTGGCCCTTTTTGAAAAAAGTTTGGACACCACTGCGCCCTTTAGCCCTGAGCTGTGAGCCTTAGAAGCTACCCACCACCTCCAAAGTTGCCTAAGGGGAATCACCAAGCCATTTTCCTGTTTTCCCTTCTCAACCTTAGCGTGAGATAACCAAATTAATTGAACCAATTATTCTGTTTAACAAACCACCGTCCACAAAAAAACAGTGTGAAGTAGGCAAGAGCCTACCCCACCCTGCCTTCCCTTCCCAAACCATGGCAAACTAGTGAAAATAACTGCACCAAAGTGACCACCAATAGCAGTGGCTATATCTTCCTGCAAGTTACTCATATTTGAAGAGAATAAAGCTCTTCAGCAAGGAAGATACAAGAATGTCTCACATGTCCTCAGCAATAGCAGCCTATCCATACGTGCCTAATAAGTCCTAGAAAACTGCCTCCATATTTTGCTTTCTAACTTTCTTTACTGATGTCAGATTTAGCTTCCATTTTTGTTTTTAAAGGAAAACCAGAGTCTGGGACTCCTGCTGGGGACTGGGGGAGAGGGAAGCAAACATCATTCCAAGTTTTACCCCCAAATTAACTTAACTCACCTTTAGTTCACCCTATATGCAGGTTAGAGAGCTTAAAAAGTTATTTCCACAGCGGGTGTTCCCACCACGGAAAACATTTCTAAGCCCTCCACTTTGCGTACTGGGCTCTGGGAAGGTTGCACGTGGGCTCTGGGTGCCTTAGTGAGATCACATGAGATCTTGAACGGTCCTGTGAGATCTTGTGCTGGCTCCAGAAGGTAAGATGGCACGCATAGGGTGGTGGTTCCAAGGGATTGTTCTGGCTTTACACAATTTTGCTTTTCCATGCTACTCCTCTGGAATGTAACCCCTACGGAAAACGCAATCCTGCTGTATTATATAAATCTGCCTTATATTGGGTCAAGACACCGATCAATGTATCCCACTTTCCTCTGCTCTGAAAGATTGGGATCCTCCAGGATCACATGTGGGTATCTTTCCCTGCACTTCTGTTATGAGATAGGGATGAGTGAATCTGTCAATTCTGGTTTTCTCTCAGTTTCTAATTTTTCCAATCCTAAATTCAGTTCACCACATTTTCATATCAGTCTGCAGTTACAATTTTTGAAGTCCTTGTGAAAACTTGTCAGCATTTTAGTGCAATTGTTTTTTAAAAAATAATATGCACATTAAGAGGTAAAGGTAAAGGGACCCCTGACCATTGGGTCCAGTCGTGGCTGACTCTGGGGTTACGGCGCTCATCTCGCTTTATTAGCCGAGGGAGCCAGAGTACAGCTTCTGGGTCATGTGGCCAGCATGACTAAGCCGCTTCTGGCAAACCAGAGCAGCGCATGGAAACGCCGTTTACCTTCCCGCCGGAACGGTACCTATTTATCTACTTGCACTTTGACGTGCTTTCGAACTGCTAGGTTGGCAGGAGCAGGAACTGAGCAACGGGAGCTCACCCCGTCATGGGGATTTGAACCGCGACCTTCTGATCGGCAAGTCCTAGGCTCTATGGTTTAACCCACAGCGTCACCCGCATCCCTTATTAATTAATATGCACATTACTTGCATGCAATTTTCTCCAACATAATGCATTATTGTGTGTTATTTCCCCCCAATATAAGGTTTTCATGTTTGCATTCCCCGAATATACCCATTTTTGTACATATTATTTGCTGGGAGAACTACAAGATTTGGAAATGGGCACATCTTAAAAGCATGGCTCATATTGTTTCAGGAAGTATGAAGGTTCATGGAAAAATGTAAACCGAATCACATTTCTCTCCCACCCTTAAATTCTGATGTCCTTTTAACTGGTGATGGGAAGGATTGAACCTGGGGAATGTGTGCTCTACCACTGAGCAAAAAAGATGGATAATTATTTCGCAGAGGAAGTGTTGGGCACCGATTTGAGAATAACATCTGAAACAGAAACACTCTATTCCAACTTATCAGTAGCAATCCTTATGTTCCACTTGTAATAATGTCCCTAATTGCTGCATAACAGACAGATGTTGGCAAGAGAAGTTTTTCCCCTGGCATGATGATGCAGCAATGGAAGATTTCACCTGCTGGTTTCTACCTGTTATGCCATGGCACAGGGTCTCAGTCCACAAAAGACAGTGTCATACTTTGCTTTTAGCATGTCATTCAACAAGTGCCTGGAATGAACATAAATATAGACCACATAATCCCTGATCTATTATTATTTCACATTGCACTTTTATTCTACCTTTGCTCCACAGAGGTCAGAGCTCCACCCATTTTATTTTTATCATCATAACAACAACAACTGACCCAGAGCTTCAATGCCATCATGACAAAACAGAGATTTGAACCAGGGTCTCCCAAATGTAGTCCAACATGCCAGCCATTACACCAAAGGTTGGAAATCAGTGACCTTCCAGGTGTTGGTGGACTACGACTCCCATGATCCCTGTGTATTAGCCATACTAACTAGGGACAATGGGAGTTGTTCACCTGGAGAGCCACATGTCCCCCATCCCTGTGCCACACACTATACTGGATCTGGGCTGATTCACCCATGCATTTTTCATCATGTGATCACTGCAGCTTCCATTGAGGCCGCACATGTGAGTGTGAGTCTTTACAGATCAAATAGCAGAGAAAGTTTCCATGTCATCTTAAGCACACAGTGTATTTCAGCGTGGAGCCAGTTCACACTTTTGGTTACTGGTCAACATCTGTTTGCTGAGTAACCCAGTAAGGAGAAACCAAGTGATGTAAAGGGATGTATGAACCAGTGCTTTGTGTTCCTGGCTTTATTTTAGTCCTGTGAAAAGGATCAGGGCTTTCTGGATCAGGGGGGGGGGGGAATCCTAGGAGCTTTATGCTCCCTTCTTCAGCAGCGTTTCCAGGTATCAGCAGGCATATTGGAAAGACAGAAAAGTTGATGATCTGCCTCTTCAAAGCTTAACCCCTTTCCCCTCCAAGAAACCGATTAGTGGCAATCTCTAGCGCTGGGATATAAGGACATTAACCAGCAGCCTGGGGAAGTTTATAGGAATGCAGGCTCAGAATCACTGACAAAGGGTGAGAGGTGCTAGCCCTGCCCTGTGGCCTAGCAAGCCATGACCTCTGACCTGGCTGTAAATGGTGATACTTTACAGGCTAAGCTGAGCAGCCAAGGAAGCACACACACAACCCTCCTCGGCTGTATTTTTGACCTGGCTGAGCGGCCACAAGTTGTTTGCCGAAATGCCTCCTTCCTATCCTTGCACAGCTGCATCCAAGCCTAAGCGTCATCATGAGGCTGCCAAGGGAAACCCTTTTTTGTAATCCTCCCAGGGTTTGAACTAGAAAATCTGGTAACAGTCCCCTAATAGGAACTTAAAGCAAAACGGGCACTTGTGCTGCTAGCTCAGTCAATTTATGTTGGTGTCACCCCTCTCCTGTGGCCATCTGTTTATGCTCAGCTTAAGTAGAACATGTTCACAGCTCACAATCCATGCAGGTAAGGATCAATGAACAGCATTCGCTGCTGACCCCAGAGTCATTTTTGGGAAAGGACATAGATCTCTCCAATGAAGGTATTAGAATGTTGCTTTCCAAATGCTGCCAAGTTATTCAAATCATGTGAAACTGCACACATACACACAGACATTTTTTATCATTTATAACTTGTACTTGGTTGAATATATTGGAAAGAGATCATTTGTTCGTTCATTTCCTCCAGAAAGGAAGTGTTTGGTGCAAGGTATTTAAAGGAGTTTCAATGCTCTGAAACGCTAAGTAAGTCAGGGTTCAAGTTTAGGGTTTCCAACAGGTCAGAACAAAGTAAAAAAAAAAAACAACACTTAAAAACTGCCCATTTTCCTGAGGTTTGCTATGCAGAAGTCAACAAGTAAAGGCTACTTGCTCGTTGAGCCAGATGGAATTGCTGTTAACAGAACAGCTTCAGTTCAAAGTTGGCAGCCCTATTTTAGTTCCATCTCTTATGTGGTATTACTCTAGGGCAGCATTGGGAAAGTCAGTCTCCAGCTGTCTCATCACTTTTTAGTTTAGTTTCACCTGGCTTGATACATTGGCATATCTTTGGCTACTACTATTTGTTTATATTATTATATGTATCAGAGCAGACCCTCCAAGTGTCCTTATTTTCCAGGGACATCCCTGATTTAGAGAAGCTGCCCCGGTTTCTGATTTGATCCTGGAATGTCCTGCTTTTCCTTAGGACATCCCTATATTCATTGGAGAAATGTTGGATGGTATGGAATTTTCCGACCCCTGAGCCATCTGAAGGCAATCCTGTATAGGGAAGTATTATTATTTTTTTAACGTTGAATGTTTTATTATGTTTTTATATGTGTTGGAAGCTGCCCAGACTGACTGTGGAAACCCAGTAAGATGTGTGGGGGTATAAATTGTAAAATTATCATTATGGAATGGGACATCCCTATTTTCATTGGAGAAATGTTGGAGGGTATGTGAGAGTTGGGGAGCTTTTTCAGCCTGAGGGCCACATTCCTTTCTGGGAAGCCTTCCAGGGGCCATATCAGTAGTGGGTGGGACCAGAGGAAGAAGTGAGCAGAACGAAGGCAAATTTTGCCTTTTATAGGCTTTCTGTACCGTTTCTCTATCTAGATGGGCAAAATCCAAAAGGCATTATCCTATGAGGTGGTGTGGCTTGGGAAGAATTTTAAGGGCCATAGAGAGAAGTCTAGATGGTCATATTTAGTACCCAGCCCAACGCTTCCCCACTTATTTTTTATATAAAGAACTTATAAGGCTTTCCACTCTATAAATACTCAGTATCCCTGGGACAAAACGCCAAACACAAATATGGACTTGATATTTTTTGTTTCAGATGGAAGCTTTCTATTCAGAAACCTGTTTGAAAGTCCAAATGGATTAAAGTTATTCAGAAAGCCAGTAGGTATTCAAATTCTAGACAATGTTTTGTCAAGAAATGACAAAAATACTCAAGCTTCCCACCCCAACCTCACTGCAGCTTTGATTACGAAATCAATGGGATGTTGAAAGGAAGTCCTGACGTGGATATAGGTGGCTTACTTGCCCCAGAGTGGAAAACCTTGCAGGATTAGCTACTTCTGGTTTTGTTTTAAAAATATGTGGAGTTTAGCCTGAGTTGAAAAAGTAACTCATAAATTACCATGTTGCCAAAGGCTTGGATGACCCTGAAAAATTATGTGTTGTTTTGTGGGATTTTATCTTCTATGGAACAAATACACACACACACAAGATTCCCTCCCCACAGTGTAACGTGAATACAATGTACATTACGGGCCTTTTAGTTTAATATTTGCTACACCAGCTTCATTCAGGTGGAATGTTTCTTCGAAGATCAGCAGGAGCAGCGGCTATGAATAGCGGGTGCAGCACATTAAATATTCATATTGCTTTTTAATTGAATTTAATGCTTCTTTTCTTTCTTATAGTGTATTTTATTACTTTATATTTTGTTTCATAATGCATTCTATGAAATTCAATTTGCAATACAATAAAATACAATATAAGTAATAAAAGAAGCAATAAAAATACAATTAAAGCCATACAGCATCTAGCAGAGCAATTGCTACTACAGGCAGAAAAATCATTTAAGTGGTCCGTCAAGACCCTAAGCAATTTTCAAGTGGTCTGGGGGGTTGGGGAAGCTTAGAAATCACTGCTCTACACTGATTGGCAGCAGTTTCTCCAGGGTTTCGGGCAAGAGTCTACTTCAGTCTTTCTTGGAGATGCAAAACATGAAAAGCAGATGGTTTATCATTGAGCTATGTCCATTCTCCAAGGAATAAACTAAAAAGACGAAGCATCCAAACCATCCAGTCGCCCTCTCCTAATGTTTGGATACCTGTGCAGAATTAAATGTTACCTGGCAATATTATCCCTATCTCTGGCATAAAATGAGTAGCAAAATATGAGACCTTTTCCCCTACCCAATAATTTTGAACAGTGCTGTGGGGGAAGATGATGCTAGGCTGAGTTATCTAGATTGCCATTAAATGAATTAAGATCCTCAAACGGCAGGCTGGTCGCCATATGAATGGCAGGCTAGAGAAGTGGCCAGTCAGGATGCTATTTTTAATTACTAGCAGCAGTGGAAAGAAAACCCTCGCCTCCTTGTTGCCATGGCAACTTTAGTTCCCATCAACCTGAAACTTGGGTTGCCATAGCGACATGAACTGCCAAGCCACTTTCCATCACCAGGCCCCAATAAGGAATCAAGATGGCTCCTAAAGTAGTTAGTTGGAAGTTTTCCATACCTGAAAATCTTGGGTGCTGCTATTTCTCCAGGGTGGTGGTAGAGGGAGAAACCAATTATTGCTTATTTGCCTATGATAATTAATATAAATGTCAAAGCACCCCCTTGATTGAACTGAGATTGATTTTAAACGCATTAAAAACCATTTCCTGAAAGATAACGCTGTTATATGACACCCATTTGATGGCTAACACACGTTAAACAAGGGGTTTCCTCCTTTCAAAGGACACCCCAGCATTTCAGCATGTCTCCAGCATTAGTTTCGCATTTCTCTGTAATAAAGTCCCCCGAAATCCCTATAAAAGTGGGGCCCTGCTTCTCAGAACCCCATAATAGAGCTATCTTCCACTCAATACAGCCCCACAAGTCTCCATCAAACACAGTAAGTGTGGCATGAAAATGTAATAAATAATCAATAACTCCGTTCCAGGTCAGGAGAAGATCATTACTTCATGTGTCACAGGTTCAAGCCTTGCTAGTAAACTCAGGGGTTCTGGGATGCATCCTTGACTTATATTAGGGCCTTCCTGCTCAGCTGCACTAACACCAAACCTGAGATCTAGGGGCTGCCCCTGGTAATATCATGGGGCTGAGCCCTGGAGACAGAGGTTAATTGGGAGAGGGAAACAGTGGAGGGAAGACACCCCGCCCCAACTCAGAGTAATTTGTAGGCAGGGATAGCCCACCCATGAGGTAAGGTGAGGTAACTGCCTCATGGCAGCAGGATCCACAGTCGCAGTAGACCTGGCCTCCAAGGACTCTTGAGAGTCCCATGGACTGCAAGAAGATCAAATATATCCATTCTTAAGGAAATCAGCCCTGAGTGCTCACTGGAAGGACAGATCCTGAAGCTGAGGCTCCAATACTTTGGCCACCTCATGAGAAGAGAAGACTCCCTGGAAAAGACCCTGATGCTGGGAAAGATGGAGGGCACAAGGAGAAGGGGACGACAGAGGACGAGATGGTTGGACAGTGTTCTCGAAGCTACCAGCATGAGTTTGACCAAACTACAGGAGGCAGTGGAAGACAGGAGTGCCTGGCGTGCTCTGGTCCATGGGGTCACGAAGAGTCGGACACGACTAAACGACAACAACAACTATTTTCACTCACCTGCAGATCCAATTCTGTCACCTGGAGGGGACCAGGCAGACCTGGAGGCTTTAGGTCAGAAATGGAGGTCTGGCAACCGTAGTTCCAGGGTTCAGCCCCAGCTATGAAAGCAGAGTCTTGACATCAATTAAACGCAAAGGAACCCTAACATAACAGTATGTTCTAGCCCTGCTGTTGGAAATACAGTAAGGACCAGGCCTGAGTTTTAAAGAGACCTATCTCAGTTAAATCCTCTTTCATCCCCAATATGGGAAAGAGATGTGCGTCTTTGTGTGCTTGTGAGGAACCCCCTGAATTTTGTACGGTGGAAATGTACACCCGGTTTAGAGTCTCATCCGTTGCTCCACCCATTTTGCGTTTGACTCTGCCCACCACTGGAATGTGGTCCCCAGAAGCTTACACTTAAGGGAATGTGTCCCTCAGGCTGAAAAGGTTTCCCCATCTGTGAGGTAGGTAGATGAAAACTAGAAGATAGAGAAATAGACAGATATCCCTAGGATAGCAATGGGAATCAGAAGGGGGCCATTTCTCAAGAGTAGAGAGCATATTCCTTGGATGACAGCAGTCCCTGGTTCAGTCCTTGCCATCACCAGACTCACAGGTACCAGGGCTGAGGGGAAACCCCATCTGAAGTTGCTAACTAGACACCACCAGACACAGTAGGAAGCACCAGGCTAGACGCACCAGAGGTTTAACTCAAAGCAGGACCACTTCATAACCGTTACTTCCTTGAACAGCCTTCTTCCTTGCAAAAGTATACATTCAACCAGGGAACGCTAGCACTCTCCGCTGCCTCACAGCAGAACAACATGTTTCACCGCCATCCTGCAAACTTCCCTTTTGCTTTTCACAAAAGGGCCTCAGCACCTTCCTGAGAGCGCCAGCACCTGGCCAATATACAATGCGACTGGACTGCCACCTAGTGGTTCGTCCAAGATGCTTCCAGGTAGTCATTTATTATTATACGGGACATTTTGTTATTTTAAATGATTTGTTCCCTTTATTGCAGGACTCTGTATTGTCATCATGCTTTTCTGCACTGATGGATACAACCATATCCTTTGGTCTTTGGATCCTGTGCCACTATTCATAGACAAAATAGGGTCAAGGGAAACTGCCTAGGCAGACAAATAGTCCATCTAGCTCAGTATTGTCCACACTGCCTGAAAGCCTACCTGGTGGGGCTGAACCTGGGACCTTCTGCATGCGAAGCAGATGATCTGTCCATGAACTATGGCTCCTCCTAACGTCAGTGCAGGAGACTCGCAGGAGACTTTCCAGCGAGGTGTTTGGACATTTACTGAGATATGGAATGAGAAAAGTTGACAAATTTTCTCTACTATTAGTGTAAAAAGAATAAGACTCCAAGTTACATAGAATGCTTTGTCAGGCAGCTTCCACACCTAAGTACTTAGCAGTTTGAGACTTTGGCCTCCCCACAGCTTTCTTCCCTGTGTTCCATCATAATGTTAAGATAGGCATTCTTCTGTCTTGCCCCCACCCCATTCTTGACTAAACCTTACTGTCTTTCCCTATTCCATCCCTATTCCTATACTATTTTAGGTGGAATTGGTGGGGACTGGATTTAAGCACTGCCTGACACTGCCCCCCCCCCCTCAGGCCATCACTGCCCCCCCCCCCCAGTTAGCCTTACTTCTGGCCCATCTCAAAACAGCAACATAAAAGCACCACCACATTTCAAGCAATCTCTGCAAGTCCATTAACTTTTGGTCATCAGACGTCTTTTGGTTTCAACAGATTGCTGAACAAATGGCTGGATTTTGAGAATGTACAGATGTTTGGCTAAGGATAAGTCCTTCCCCTCCCACATCTTTTTTTGGATTCTAGGAAAACAAAACAATAAACAGCTTGAGACACAATAACAGTTACAGTCACTAGTTTTCCATCCCTGGCCATGGGCAGGGCTCGCTCTTTTTGCTCAGCAAAGAGCAATTAGGGCTGCATATTTCCAATATGAGGGAAATGATCCAAAGGTCCGGTTTTGCTGCTGCAGCCATGTGTGGGATGCCAATGGCCATTCCTGTAGAAGGACGTCAAGCTGTAGAAACTGCAGCTGGACTTGTCTCTCTCTGTCAAGTCCAGCTCCTCAGCTTTAAAGCAGGTGGCCCAATGTCAGCCCCAAGGGAAGAGCTGGAGAATGCCCTTTGGAGACCTTGAGGAGCAGCTCTGCAGCTCCACATGCCATCAGCCTTCCTGAATGAGAGAGCCTTGCTATGGACCTCTGTAAAGCAGGCCCCACTGGCAACAAGATTCTGCCAAATCAACAGATGCATCATCTGTCGACACAACTTTTATCAGTATGGGGTAGGGATGGGTGGATCTGCCAATTCCAATTCTCTTGATTTCCTGTTTTTCAAAAGACATTTAGTTTTCCATATTTCTGCAATCTGTGGTTAAAAACAACAATAACCTAAAGAAGATTCATCAGCATTTTAGTGCAAATTTCATCTAATAAACCTGTTTTTCTATGCAGTTTTCTATGCAGGCCTATGCAGGCCTAATATAGACATCTTTGCAAAGCAATTCCCCCTAATATCATGCATTTCTATGTTATTTTCATAAATATACGCAATATTATGCACAAATATGTTCATTTTTGTACACATTACTGGGCAGGAGAAATTGCATTGCAAAATTCAAGCAATGTAAATGTCAAAGGATGGCTGTTCTTTGCTTTGCATATTGTTTCACAAAATGCAAATTTGGTAATTTTGGAATTAAAAGAGAGCTTAAATGAATGTCTTCCCCATCCCTGCTTTCCCCTAGCAAAATTCGCAGATTACCACTGAATCAGAGCAAACATTAATGAGCTTTTCTCCAGATTGATGTTTGCTACAATTTAGCAGACTTTTTAGTTTCAGGAGGGAAAGTGGTGGGGCAAAGGCAAAGCCACTGAGACCAGTGTCTAGAAAGCACAGGACAAGCACAAGAGTGGATGGGCCCAGAGCAAGCAAAACAAATTCTGCATGTGTACCAGAGGCCTTTGATCTTGAAGCAACTAGAGTTGCCAACTTTTCAGCAAGCTGCTTCCACCTTGTCCTTAACTGTTGCTTGGTGCGCAGCCATTAGCAGACAGCCATGCTAGTGTTTGGGAGCTTCACCTGCTCAGGTGAGCTGCAGTTTCAAGTACAATCCTCCAAGTCCAAGTGTGGCAAGGAACTTTCTTCAGAAACAAGGCATTGACTACCCCAAGCCACTCTCTGCTGTACCTGATTTCCTAAGCACTTTGCATGTTAAGAGTTACAAATGCTTTCAGGAGACTGTGATGCACCAGCTGAGCAAGCAATGGGAAGGAGTTAAAAGTGTTGAGCTGGCTGGCTTCTCTGTGTTGGCAGCCAAGGAAGAGGCTTCCTGGGAAAGCTGCAGTGTAAGGGATTGATTTCCCTTGGAATTTGCCTTTGACTGGGTGAACGTTCTTGATGATACAAGAAGGCTCGGAGGTAGGCAGGAGAGAGTCCTAGCCAAGGACAGCAACAATAGCAACAGTTCATTAGAAACCCCAGGAGAGCCCTCACTATTCCACAAGACGGTTCTAGGTGGTTCCCTAGGACAGGGCTTTGTGACGGGGTGGCAGCAGCTGCAGCACATTAGAAGAATGGAGGAAGCAGGCTGCATGCAATATCCTTCTAACCCCTGGATTCAGCAAGTATTAAAATACACGCCAGGCTACCTTCCTGTATTTAGGTGATCTCCTGGGTTATGGGCCATCAAGAGAGCAAAGGGAAAATGAGAAGGCAACTCAGAGATACTCCTCCCTCAACTCAGAGATGGTTAGAAAGGCAAAGCTGGAGTTTAAAGTAGGCAGTGATATGATCTAGAAGAAAAGCAGCAAGCTGGAGAGAGAGTCAAATCAGCATTTGAGATCCATGTTTTATTTCTACTTGTTTCTTGGGAGAAACAAGACCCTTTGGGGGTGCTGATGCTCTGCACCCCTCCATCACAGCCTAATAAAGCCTCACATATCATAAAGACACCACAGTTTCCACTGTGCTTCATTCCAAAAAGAAACACAAACCTTGGGTACCCCCAGAATCTCGGACCGCTCAGAGATTGGTGGCGTGCAACAATATTCAGAAGCTCAGGGAAAGCAAGGAAATGTGAATCCAAAATGACTGTGGTCTGTCATTACATCTCTGGACAAGTGTTTGTGGATAGATTCAACAGCAGGATTGTTACTTCTGACAGATGCTGCTCACAGCTCACCATTGAAAAACAGTGTCTCTTTAGGGTCACTAAGGAGTTGAAACTGAAAGGCATTGAAATACCCTCCTTGCAGTTGGCAGCAGTTGTTGGCATAGAGCTAACAACACCCCTGGAACAGCCTGCAGGTTTTGATTGTGCCCTCCTTTCGCACAGCACTAGCAGTCAAGGGAGAAGCAGACGGAAGATTATCTTAGGCAGCAAAACTCTCGCTAAAATCAGGGAGTGGCTAATGGAAGCTTTTCCAGGAATCTGTGCGTGCATTTCTGCACGTTAGCAGAATCATGAGAGGCTTCCCGCAATGATCATAGAGGGAGGGAGGGAGGAGGTGTGATGGTGTGCCTTTTGCCAGCACCCCCGGGTGAGGATTGCCATGCCCAGAAGGAAATAAATGATGCACCAGCTGCCCGCTGAGGGCAAGTGCCTTGGCATAGCCCATGGAAAGGAAAGCAGCTGACTCTCCTGCTTCCTAGAGAGACTCCTGTTCATAGTCATGCCTTGCAGGCACAGCCATCTCCACACTGTAATTTGAAGATCATTTATTAGACTTACATAACCCCGGCGGATTGTGGCACTCTCTGCCAGCTGCTTTCTTGAACAGCAGAGTCAGAGCAAGGGCATGGATGGCAAGTGAAATCCTCTACTGTTGAAAGTCAATCTGGAAACGGCTGGGAGGGAAGCAGAGGTGTTTCTCTGGCCCTCTCGGCTACTGTACAAGCAGTGAAAGAGGCGGGCGGCAACGGAGCAAAATGTACCAGTTGTAAGAGCCAATGCCAGGCTGTTGGTGCTGTTCCCATGGTGACAGCATCCCCAGGGATGCCTGAACACAGCTCTTCCACTTCTTTACCCACAGAGATGTAAGTAGCAACCCTTGCATTATTGCCAGTGCTTGGAGTTAGCTAGTTTTTGGGGTTCTTTCCTGAAATGTTTTATTTGGGCGAATTAAGGCCCAGCTCTCTGGGCTGCAGAATCGCCTTTAAAACACCCAGCCCTCACAAGTTGGGGAAGTACAGCCCCAAACCCCATCCAAGAGCATAAATGAACTCCCAGGATCACCTTGGTAGTCTACAGCAGGTGTGGAGAACACATTCCCAAAGCGGTTTAACAACTGATCCCTCTTCCCAGCTCTGTGAAGGGAATAGGTGTCTCCTATCAACACTCAGCACCCTTAGCAAACTACAGTTCCCAGGATGCTTTGGGGGAAGCCACAACTGATAATATGGTATAACAATGCTTTAAAAGTCTGGTGTGGATGAGACCATTGTTTGCTTTGCTTTAAATTGCTGCTGCTTCTTTTGGATTTTAATATTATGTGCTTCTAACCTACCCTGGGACCTTATAGTTAAGGGCAGGCAAGAAATTTCTGAAATAAATACCTAATAATTAAATATTTAACAAATCAATGATGATGACAATAATAATCATCACCACCACAGCATGCAACATAAAAGGAGTCTGGGGTACACTCAACATTTTTCCTTGAGTGGAAAATCTATTTATTTCACGTGATTCATATACCTCTTATTGTAATAAAGCCTCAAAGTGGTTTACAAATCGTACATTTGGACACAATTTATTCACATCATTGTAAAGGTAAAGGTAAAGGTAAAGGTACCCCCTGACCGTTAGGTCCAGTCCCAGACGACTCTGGGGTTGCGGTGCTCATCTTGATTTATTGGCCGAGGGAGCTGGCGTACAGCTTCCGGGTCATGTGGCCAGCAGGACTAAGCCGCTTCTGGCGAACCAGAGCAGCGCACGGAAACACCATTTACCTTCCCGCCAGAGTGATACCTATTTATCTACTTGCACTTTGATGTGCTTTCGAACTGCTAGATGGGCAGGAGCTGGGACTGAGCAACAGGAGCTCACCCTGTCATGGGTATTTGAACTGCCGACCTTCTGATCGGCAAGCCCTAGGCTCTGTGGTTTAGACCACAGCGCCACCTGCGTCCCTTCACATCATTGCACCCTTAGTTAAACAAATGTCTACAAAACTTTCTGCCCTTGAGCTCATGAACAATCTCTTCTGCATTACAGCACTATCTGGAATGACATTTCCTAGTGTTTTATTCAATAATGATTTCGTGCTTAAAACAAAAAAACAAAAACAAAAAACTACCTTGTAATTTATTTCTTCCTTTACCACCAGGTTTCAGGCTGACTGTTTTCAAGAGAAATGCAAAGCCGACCACCATCAACTTCCTCTCTATTAAACGTCAGCAGCATCAAAGGACGATTTCCTCTGTTTACTATCTTCAGCTCCTTTCAAGTTGCTGCACTTTGGTTTTAAGCAATCTGTGTTAGATGAAACCACAGAGCAGTTCAGCTAGAGTACATTGACTCTGATAGGACAAAACCTTCACTAGTCTGCGTACTCTGGTTTGGGGCAGGACTTGCTGTTTGAGATAAACACGGACTTCCCCAATAGCTTAACCCTTCTCCTGCCTTCAGCGGTTAGGTAATTTTAGATTCTGGAGTTATTGGGGTATGGGCGTTTGGAGTGAGAGTGCATTAACTCCACGTACTTCAGAATAAACAGCTGAGCTGCAACGTGGGGGGGGGGGGGCGGCGGCTTTTGTTCATTCTGCTAAGTGGGACCCTGGACTTTTGCCCCAAAGTCCCACCCAGACGGTGCCGCTTCTTGCCTGCAAAGTTCAGTTCTCTCTTCCGATGTTCATAAACTCATAAATAAAAATTCCGTTGAGGAGGAAAGAACTGCCTTGAGGGAGGGGGTGCTTTTGTTTCGCAATAATTTTTTTGTTTTCCAAAAAATAACTGGGTACAAGTCTAGTAATATAATACAATCTCCACCAAAATCAAAATAAAAAAAATCATTGAGTTTGTAGTGTCATTTCAAGCATATTCTTAAGACGTTAATGGTTAATATAGCGTCTCCACAGCCAAATTTGAGCAGTTGGTGGGAGTGAATTGTTATCTTCTTCCCTTACATATGAAAAGAAAGAAGATCAGGTTTCAACAAAGGTATCTCTCTTTGTAACAACTTTTGCTACGCTCTTAAGTGAAAGCCAGATCCCAAATGTTGTTGAACCATACCTGGAGGCGTAGCTCAGGCTGAAATTTCCAAAACTCTGTTTATCTTGAGCAGATTTTGCAGTTTCACGCATTCCCTACACTAAAAAGGAAAGGAAACCTGAAATAACACAAAGCGATATTTGCTCCTTGCTTATACCATTTCCGTAATGGTTTCTCCATAGAAGTCAGTAGTTCTTATCTACTGTAATAGTAGATTCATTTATGACTCTGCCTTAGTTAAGTAGCTTAACAGGGAGAAAAACAGGAGTACTTTAAGAGTATTTGCAAGTAACAAAAGCATTACTTGCCCAAAGAGGAAGGTGAAGGAGAAGAGGAGCTTCTGGCCCAAAATATGGTGTTTTAATATACAGTGGTGCCTCGCAAGACGAAAAACTCGCTAGACGAAAGGGTTTTGCGTTTTTTGAGCTGCTTCGCAAGACGAATTTCCCTATGGGCTTGCTTCGCAAGACGAAAACGTCTTGCAAGTTTGTTTCCTTTTTCTTAAAACCGTTAATACCCAGGGTGCATTGCTTGAAGAGGTGCAGTTGCGACTTGACTTCGAGGAGCAACACATTGCAGGTGGTGTGGTAGCCTTTTTTGAGGTTTTTGAGGACTTTGCTGATTTTTGAAGCTTTTCCAAAACTTCTTTTGCAGCCATTTGGTAAGTTAAACTTTTAAAACTTTTTGGGGGGTTTTTGGATTTTGGGTTGGGGTGTTTGGAATTCAAGGACTTGGTGTTGGGGAGGGGTTTGCAAGAATCTGGAAGCTTGTGGGGTTTTTTCCCTGCATTTTTATGATTTTCTGTGACCATTGGGCCACTCTGCTTTTTTTAAAAAAAAATTCTGGATTTGAATTTCTGTGTGGTGGGTGGCTGGGGGAACAGTTGAGGAGGGGTTTGCAAGAATCTGGAAGCTTGTGTGGTTTTTTTCTGCATTTTTATGATTTTCTGTGACCATTGGGCCACTCTGCTTTTTTTTAAAAAAAAATCTGGATTTGAATTTCTGTGTGGTGGGTGGCTGGGGGAACAGTTGGGGAGGGGTTTGCAATTTCTGTGTGGTGGGTGACTGGGGGAATAGTTGAGGTTTTTGAAGACTTTGGTGATTTTTGAAGCTTTTCCAAAACTTCTTTTGCAGCCATTCGGTAAGTTAAACTTTAAAAACTTTTTGGGGGGTTTTTGGATTTTGGGTTGGGGTGTTTGGAATTCAAGGACTTGGTTCTGGGTTTGAATTTCTGTGTGGTGGGTGGCTGGGTGCTTTTGAATTTTTTGGATGTGAAGCACTGATTTGTTTTTATTTTTTTATTTTTTTGGCGAAGGTAGGAGCTGTGCTGCCATGGGACCCAAGAAGACTGCTGCTGCAGAGGCCGGCGAGGGGAAGAAGGCGAAGGTTACGCTGGAAATGAAGAAGGAGATCATCCGGAAGCACGACAGTGGAATGCGTGTGACAGACCTCGCCAGGGAGTACGGGAGGAATCCATCGACCATCGGGACCATCCTGAAGATGAGGGAGAAGATCCTTGCGACTGATGCAGCCAAGGGAGTCACCAGGATCGTGAAGAACCGCCCAGCTGTTCTGGAGGAGGTTGAGAAGTTGCTGCTCATCTGGTTAGAAGAGAAGCAGCGTGCAGGGGACACAGTGACTGAGGCCGTCATTTGTGAGAAGGCCAAGGCCTTGCACGCAGATCTCGTCCGGGAACAGCCAGGAACCTCAGGCGAGCCAGAAGTCTTCAAGGCAAGCAGAGGCTGGTTTGACCGGTTCAAGACGAGATCTGGAATCCACAGCGTGGTCAGGCATGGAGAGGCTGCCAGTTCTGATGTTCCTGCGGCTGAAGAACTGAGGGACATTTGCCAGAAGTGGAAAGATGTGCAGGCTTTTGCACAGCGGCACCACCCTGACAAGGACCTGACACGTGACCTTGCGAACACTTTTGATACGAGGGTCATGTCGCCTTTCAGGGAGGTGCTGAAAAGGCGGATGAAGCAGCAAGGTTCTTCAGCAAGAAGCAAAGAGTGGAAGAGGAACCTTCTTCGAGTTGTCCCCCAGAGTCTTAGAAAATGTACTGTACACTTTGTTGATTTTTAAATGTTTTTCTGTGATGTTTAGAAACTTAATTTATTGTTCCTTCAGTTTTAGAAATGCTCTTTACAGTATGTGTGACTTTAAAGAGCACTTAATAAACTCTTGTTGTACCAAATTTGGCTTTGTTTGGACTTTTTTTGACCATAGGAACGCATTAATTGAATTTCAATGCATTCCTATGGGATTTCGTGCTTCGCAAGACGAAAAATTCGCTAGACGAAAAAACTCGCGGAACGAATTAATTTCGTCTTGCGAGGCACCACTGTAGTTTGGGCAGTTTTGCCTAAGTATGGAAACTGAGCACATTTGTACCCTTATGTATATGCTGTAAACATCATTTCTGTAAATGCTATCTCTGACATTGCCTGTCACATAGGTACTTAATAAGCACAGAACCTCACGTGTCTGATCCCCTGCTTTTTTCAAACTTGACATTATCGTTATCAGCTTTCCAACCAAGCAACTTTTTTTTTACAGCTCCACATTTTGTATCCACCTGCACACTAAAAAAAACCAACCACACACAGGGTAGTGACATCCCGCCAAGTTCAATTATTTTAGCTTATTACATATAACAAGACAAAGGTTTGAGAGGTACAGAAAAGAGCAATGATATCATCTGGTCCACAACTTAAGAAAGAAAATGATTCTGAGAAGAGAAATGGTTATTGCAGAGATATAAACAGTGCCACGAATAATAAGATCATGATTCCACACAAATGGGGTGGGGTGGGCAGGTGTATGTGCTGGGAAGAATTTGTGGGAAAGAGAGGTATTAATCACCCCACCCACCTGCCAATTTCACTTACAAATACTCCCCCCTCCACCTTGATCGCATTATAACAGCAATAGATACAAGACTGGGAAAGGACTTTGTAAGGATAATTTGCGGTTTTGCCCTCAGACCTTTGAAGCGTTCGGTGAATAATATGAACTAGCCGTCTTGCTTAACTGAAAAAAAATCACTAGAAAGTGTTCCAAGAAATAACAGGACTCCTCTGCTGCCTGGAAGTTGGACTTTGCACCCCCATCATGTGCCTCATTATCTGTTTGTTTTATCTGGTGAACAGAACCTGATCTCTGGAGCGCAGAGACTGATGCAATCTGGAAAGTTATCTGGGCTCTCTTGGGCCACTCTGCCACAAGACGCACACATCTGTATTGGCAGACACAGGTCTTCTGGCGCTGGCCGGTGTTTTAATCTTTCTTCAAAAACCTTACCTTGCTGAAGAGTCTCCAGTCTGAAAAGGACATGGCTTGCTCTACCCGCATCATAGCAGTCTGGATTTTTCTTCTTCAGGGTATGTAACAGGGACCATGAAAAACAGGGACCGTGGAAAGAGGGAGGGAGGTCTTGTCTGCAGAACCATCCCCAAAGGCCAGTCCAGTCCATATGACCACATGTTCATGGTGAGTATGGCAGAACTGAATGGATCTTCTGGGCTGATTTGGCACACAAGGCTGGCAAATTTTTGGTTGCTTTTCTCATGAGCATCCAGCTCACCATTCCACTTCCCTCAGATTGTTCAGGGCTTGCAGATTCAACCGCTTCAGCAACTGCTAGCTATGAGGAAAGCCTTGGTTTATTGAGGATTCATCCCGATTTGCTTTCACAAAGCTTTCACAGAGGTTAGATTATAGTATTCATTGAGCATTAGGGATGGGAGGATCTTACAATTTCAGTTCACATTTTGTCATTCTTAAATTTAGCTCACCACATTTCTGCAGAAGTTTGCTACTTAGAGGGGGGGGGGAAGTACTCATGGAAATTATTCAGCATTTCAGTGCAACTTTTCTTCTCATAAGCACATTTTCATATGTAGCTATGACCGATGTACATATTTTTGCAAGCAATTTCTTCTAATGCTATGCATTCTTGTGTTTTATTTTCACTAATGTATTTGTTTTCACACACACTTTCTCCTAATACATTATTTCTTTTGGTAAACACTCTGGTGGGAGAACTACATTGCAAAATTTAGTAAGTGGGAATTTCGAAGGATGTCTGTGTTTCGGTTCTCATATTGTTTCAGAAACTGCAAATTTAGCTTTTAAATGTGAACTGAATATAATTTCTCCCCGATCTGGATCAAGCATTCATTCTGATTTGCTTGCGGGGAGCTTACATATCTTCCCATTTATCATTTGTTCAACCACACTTTTCAATGCATTTCTCTGTCATTTTCCAAACTGCAAAAACAAAACACCAATATGCATTATATTAGGAGAGTGTGCTTTACCCAAATGTATAATTAGGCAAAACTGTGCACACAAACAAATGTATATTAGGACAAATCATTACTAAAATGCTGATGAATTTTCATGAGGGCTTTATTTCCCTTTTTAAAAAAAAAAATGCAAACTGGTGTAGAAATATGGAGAACTGAATTTAAGAGTGGGGGGAGGGGAAGAATCTGAGAGAGACAAAAACTGAGAAATTCACCCATCCCTACTCTTCACAAAGGGAACCTGTAGAAAGAGCAGAAATGTCCTGCTTCAAGTCCTGGCTAACTCTGGTGCCTCGTCAACTCAGACTCTGGTAAACTGCTCAATGGCATTCTCCAGTCAATTTATGGCACTTAAAATTATAAGCCGGAGGGATGCTTAGCAAATCCTACATTGTGCCAAACATAGCCAAGAACCATTCAGTCTATGCTCGTCATGTTCCATGATTTGTGTCATTGGGCTTCCACCCTGTTATCAGCTGCTGTTCCCTTTGGGGCAGCGACAGAGAACAGACACTGAATTGTCATTAATTGCACCTGTCAATGCAAGCACTGGATGCAGGCTAACTCTCCAAACTCACAACAGTACGAATCAAATTATCTCTCCTACCCCATTCCCAGGCCTTTTCCCCCCTTGCACATCTTTTTCTAGGAAAGAAAAGCACACTTCCCATTCCCATGGCTTTTGCAATTTTAAAAGCAGCAGAAGCTGGGAGGAAGATATAGTCAAACTACCATTAGATGATTCTGCCTGCCATTGGCTCTGCCTCCACTTACTTCTCTCCTGTCCGCTCCACCAATCCCAATGGGCACCAGCCAACACTGCCCAGGAGCTTAAAAAGACTCCTAGGATCACAAACCATTTTTCTTTGTTTACTGTACCTACTTATTTATGTGTCCTTTAACAGTGTCTCAGCATGCAGACCATATTAGGGAAAGGGAACTTTTCCTGGCATGAAGATAAAAGTGACAGATATAGTTCTCCTTGTTTGATTTCTTCCTGTCATCAGGTGACTGTTAATTTGAAAAGAAAACCCAACAGGAGCATAAAAATAAAAGCAGACCCACCCCCCAAATTTTCCCTGTGCTCCATTAACTCTATCTAAATATGCTTTCAGCCCTGGGCATAACTAACTGAATTTCTAAGGCTGCAACACAGAGCCAAAGTACTGTATAGCACTGCATGCTCCTCCGATGATGTAAACCTCTGCCTGCTGCCAGCAGCGAAAACGTGGCACATCTGGTGCCAATTGCTAGAGCTGATTACTCTCTTGCCATCCTTGCTAATGGAATGGACCACACACTCTCACGCCAAGTGTCATCTCTCTTTACTGGAAACCAATGGTAGCATTAATCCAACGGGATCAGCTCTGCACAGCCTCTTCTCAACAGGGGAAGTAAACTTGAAAAAGTTCAGGAAACTTGTATGGTTTGCCTGGACAACTAGGATCAGTGCAATACACCTGAAATCAATAAAGAAGCAAAGGCTAATAATCATTGGGACTCCTACACTCAGTGAATAGGGGGAGGAGCCATAGCTCAGTGGCGGTAGAGCATTTGCTTAGCATGCAGAAGCTCCCAGTTTCAGTTCCCAGCTTCTCTGGGTAGGGCTGGGAGTGCTCCCTGCCTGAAACTCTGGAGAGCTGCTGCCAGCTAGTGCAAGAAATACAGAGCTAGATGGACCAATGATCTGACTCCACAGAACAGCCATTTACCTTCCCGCCGGAGCGGTACCTATTTATCTACTTGCACTTCGACGTGCTTTCGAACTGCAGGAGCAGGGACCGAGCAACGGGAGCTCACCCCGTCGCAGGGCTTCGAACCGCCGACCTTCTGATCATCAAGTCCTAGGCTCTGTGGTTTAACCCACAGCACCACTCATTGTAATGTGTCTTAATTTGCAATACAGTCCTCTGTTTGAAGGGTTGCCAGAGGACAGCCCTCTCTTTGAAGGGCCGTCAAGTCCAGTTTAAAGATATGGAACCAGGAGCACTGGTTGGTTCTTAAAAGACTAGAGGGGAAAGCTGAAGTGGTGGAGCCTCTGCCTCACAAACAGGAAGATCTCAGGTTCAACCCCCAGCATCTCCAGATAGGGAACGTCCCCTGCCTGAAACCCTGGAGAGCTGCTGTCAGTCAGTGTAAACAATATTGAGCTAGATAGGACAATGGTGTGCCTCTATATAAGGCAGCTTTCTATGTTCCAAGAAGACTATACTTATGTGGAGGGTTCCCCCATCCCAGCATATTTACTTTTAGAGACTTTCCTATTCCCTGAAGCATGATACCTGCAGGAGCCTGGCTTCCCTGCTCACCTTCCCCAGATATTTAAGGCTATATTTTCTTTCTGTTAAGTACCTCTGTGATACAAGAGGAGATGTGAAATCAATATTCCATGCAAGTGCTCAGTGAATTATAAATCTAACCCCCTGGCTTCCAATGATGGTCCTACTCAGACTAGACCCAACTGAGATAATAGGCATGACTGCCTTAGGTCCAATAATTTCAATGGGTCTCTGAGTAGGACTTTAGCATTTTAGCAAACAACTGCAGCAGGACAGGTGAATGAGCATTTGGCCATACATCCTCTCCCCCGCTCCCCATACACAACCCAGACATTCTTACTTGAATATGAATGGAGTGTTTCATTCTTTTTTAGGCCTCATCACAGGTTACCCCAGGAAAAGAAGTTCTGAATCAGAAGACATCAGAAACTGTACAATCACCCCTCCAGTGAGATCCTTAACATTGCTCAAAATTGAGGAATCTATTATTGCTGTTTGTGTGTGTGCATGGGGGGGGGGGGGGAAGAGAACGCCCTTCCCAAAATGTCTAGCATCTAGGGATGGCAGAGAAATTCTATTCAGTTCGCATTTGAATCAACTTTATCAAATTCACACTTAACTGAAACAATACACCTACCAAAATACAGCTGTGCTCTGAAATTAGCACTTATCTGAATTTTGAAGTGCAGTTCCCCAATCATCCTTTAAAAAATAATAATGCATGTATTAGGTTAAAACATGCATAAAAATAAATATACTCATGAAAATAACATGCCAAAAGGGCATCACAAAAATGTGAATTTTAGTTCAAAACTGAATACAGTGGTACCTCGGGTTAAGAACCTAATTCATTCCGGAGGTCCTTTCTTAACCTGAAACTGTTCTTAACCTGAAGCACCACTTTAGCTAATGGGGCCTCCTGCTGCTGCCACCGCACTGTCGCCACACGATTTCTGTTCTCATCCTGAAGCAAAGTTCTTAACCTGAGGTACTATTTCTGGGTAAGCAGGGTCTGTAACCTAAAACATATGTAACCTGAAGCGTCTGTAACCCAAGGTACCACTGTACAAAAGTGTGCATATTGGGTAGAACTGCATACAAAGATGTGCATATTCAGAGAAATTTGCACTACAATGCTGACGAATTGTCATGAGGATTTAAAAATAAATAAATTGCAAATTGCTGCAGAAACGTGTAAAAATGAGAAACCGAGAGAACGAAAACTGACAGATCCCTACGAAGGTGTAGTCCAGCCCTATGAAGCATCTAGTCTGGCAGCCTCTGAGGTCCAAGTGTCAGTGCTGTGCTGAGAGCGTGAGGCAACATTGAGAAGGGGCCAGTGGAGGAGTGTGAATGGCTGCCCTGACCCCATTTCTTCCTCTTCTGCCCTTGTACTGATCATCAATTTGTGCTTTCAGCACTTGCCTCCTACAGTCATCAATACGAGTGAGCGCCTGAGCGCCCTGCGGCTGCACATGCAGTCTCACAACTTCTCTGCCTACATCATTCCTGCCACGGATTCACACATGGTAAGGCAAAGGGTGCAGCCGTTCCACCTTTATCAGGGATGGGAAGGGACTGGGTTCTGTCCAAAAAGAAACACTACGTTTCCAGACCTGAAGCTACAAAGATAGGATGTCAAGTGTGTGTCAAGGCCTTGTAAGAGACCTTGCCTTGTATGTGGCTTCAGATTCCCATGACCAGCAGAATCAGGATAGGTTATGCAAAACAATCTATTTGCATATGGTAAAGGTGCAGGTGGCACTGTGGTCTAAACCACTGAGCCTAGGACTTGCCAATCAGAAGGTCAGCGGTTCGAATCCCCGCGACGGGGTGAGCTCCTGTTGTTCTGTCCCAGCTCCTGCCAACCTAGCAGTTTGAAAGCACACCAGTACAAGTAGATAAATAGGTACCACTGTGGCGGGAAGGAAAACAGCATTTCTGTGCAGTTTGGTTTCCGTCACTGTTTTCCGTTGCACCAGAAGCAGTTTAGTCATGCTGGCCACATGACCCTGAAAGTTGTCTAGACAAATGCCATCTCCCTTGGCCTGAAAGCAAGATGAGCACTGCAACCCCATAGTCACCTTTGACTGGACTTAAGTGTCCAGGGGTCCTTTACCATTTACCTTTTAATTTGCATATATCTGCACACTTTGTATAATGTATGCATATTGCAGAATTCTGTTTTTCTGGACACTTAATTTTGATTTCCTAGCTGCATAAGTTTTCTGTTTTCTTTTGGGGTTTTTAAGAGGAGATGATATACTGGTATGTTATTAGAAAGGGGAACCTTTCTTGCACTTAAGTGCATTGCAGGGGGTTGGACTAGACAGCCCTCGGGGTCCCTTCCAACTCTACAAATCTATAATTCTGTGAAGACAGTTCCCTGAACTCAGAGGGCTTTTCTGTTTCCCAGAGTGAGTACATTGGTGAACGGGACAAGAGGCTATCCTGGATGACAGGCTTCACAGGATCATCAGGTAAATACTCTTTCAGATTTACCATCCCACTTTTCCTGGTCTACATTGGCCAGTACCCTAAGATGCACAGGTCCTGGACAATAAATGGGGGACCCTTTGCAAGTTGTTGGCCTCCAGCTCCCATCAGCCCCAGCCAGCATGGTCAGTTATCGGGGGGATGGGAGCTCTGTAGTTCAGCAATATTTAGGTCCCAGGTTTCCAATCCCCAGCCTAGGCCTAATACAGACTTCTGTTCACCGGGAGTTAGAACCAGCACCTAAATTGAATGCCAAGTTAATGGAATGTGCGTAGAAATAACAACAGCACATTATTGTTAGCAAAGTTGCTTCTATAACACAGGAGTCCAGAGTAATATGAAATCCTGATAACACGTTACTCAGAAAAGCTGAACAAAACAGTATATAAATTGGGAAGAAATGAAAAAAGAGATTTTGTCTTTATTACTTCACAACATCCACATAACCAAACATACAGAGAAAAGAATTCCCTCAGAACTACACAGCCAATCAGGGCATGTGCTTCCTCAGCAAAGATCATTCCCTGCTGCCTGGCTGTTTCCCTCTTGGCTAGTCGACTTTAGCATTAACAGAGCTAAGCCTTAAGCTGTATGTGGGGAACCCCTGATCCTCTGGATGTTGCTGAACTACAATTCCAACAGCACTTGGCATGATTGCTGTCAATTGACTCATTATGAACATACGAAGGAAGGAAGGCAGGGAATAAATGAATTTTCTGAATTTTTGAATAAGAAAAGTAGCTGCATTTAATGTTTTAAAGATGTTGGGAGGTGTCATATTCAAGGCACTGTATTTGCTTGTTTAAAATTAAAAAATTAAAGGGGAGGGGGACACAAAGGGCAGAAATTTCCCGTATCTGATTTCTCACACCTGTAATGTGAGTGTGAAGCTTGCATTGGCAAAGATTCACATGTGGTCTAAACTTGGCGCTCATGTTCTCTGTGTCTTTTCATTGACATCATTTATAAATGATGCACTTCACATGAAAGAGCACTCACAACATCGGTTGTGAAAACACATTGCCACATCCATTCTACACCATGCATATAAAGGACATTTAAAGCACATGGCTCCCCCCCCCCCCGCAATGAACCCTGGGAACTGTAGTTTATCATCACAGAGCTACAGTTCCCAGCACCCTTAATAAACTACAGTTTCCGGGATTATTTGGGAAAAGACATGTGCTTTAAATGTATGGTTTGGATATGACCTATTTAGGACGTGGGTGGTGCTGTGGTCTAAACCACTGAGCCTCTTGGACTTTCCGATCAGAAGGTCGGCGGTTCGAATCCCTGTGACAGGGTGAGCTCCCATTGCTGTGTCCCAGCTCCTGCCAACCTAGCAGTTCGAAAGCATGCCAGAGCAAGTGGATAAATATGTACCACTGCAGCAGGAAGGTACACAGCATTTCCATGCGCTCTGGTTTCCATCACGGTGTTTTCTTGAACCAGAAGCGGTTTAGTCATGCTGGTCACATGACCCAGAAAGCTGTCTGTGGACAAACGCCGGCTCCCTTGGCCTGAAAGCGAGATGAGTGCTGCAACCCTATAGTCGCCTTTGACTGGACTTAACTGTCCAGGGGTCCTTTACCCTTTACCTTTTATTTAGGCCTTGTTTAGCTCTGGGATACCAAGACGTAGTAAAGAAGCTTCTAGGCATGTACAGAGTGCATTTCCTTCACCAAGTAGTAACCAGTTCCAGCAAGTGCTCGGAAGTAGGGCTGAACACTTAAGGAATGTGTTTTCCAAGCAAGCTCAGGTCATAGCAACTCTGATTTTAGGAATTTATAATGATACACACACATTAAATTGTTCTGCTTGTTTGTTGTAGGGACTGGTGTGGTCACTTTGCAGAAGGCTGCGCTCTTCACTGACAGTCGCTACTGGATCCAAGCTGAGCGCCAAATGGATTGCAACTGGGAGCTGCAGAAATCAAGTTAGTGCCCACCATAAAAATGTATTGGGGTGCAGTTCCCCCTCTGGCCACCAGGGCTGCATAGAGATAGGGAGAAATTCAATTCAGCTCACAATTAAATGTGAACCTTCTTAATTAGCTTTTCCTGAAACAATATGCAGACTGAAATGCAACCATCTTTCAAAATTGGCACTTCTGAATTTTGCAGTGGAGTCCTCCAGCCAAATAACGTGAAGAAAAATGCATCTACTAGGGCAGAGGGTGCATAGAAATGCATATAGCAGTGAAAATAACATACAAAAATGCATTGTACTAGGGGAAGTTGCTTTGTGAAAATGTGCATACAAAAATATGAAAATGAATATATTTGCACTAAAACGCTGGTGAATTTTCATGAAGACTATATATATATATATATATATATATATATATATATATATATTGTACCCAGATGTGGAAATGCAGAGAAGTGGACTTAAGACTGGAAAAATGAGAAACTGAAATCGACAGGTTTGTTCATCTCTAGTGCCACACGTCAGCAGACAAGCCCTTCTAGACTAAAGCAGGTGTCCTAGGAGACCTCAGTGTGAAATGGATGACCAGGTCAAACAGATACTCCAACCACAAGTCCTGGGCTGCTTCCACCGTGTGAATTTCTTGTGAAACAGCTATGCTTTGTTCACCCACTTTTTTTAATGAGGCACCTGCATAGCTAATTAACTAATTCAATTCATTAATCAGTGCCCATAAAATATCTCAATATGATTTCACAATAAATTCACATCAGGAATAAAAGCAATTATGCAATTTCATATATGAAAAACAGGCATGCAAACTCAGGAACCGCTGACACATGACACCTACATCTTGCTAGGATTCAGACTCAAGTCTGCTGACCTTTATCAAGCCCATCACAGAGCAACTGGTTCAGGGCTGGCATAGTCTCTCCTGATTGCTTCGTATAGTTATTGAATAACATTGGTGGCAAGATGGTACTATTTGGAACCCCCCAGCACAGCTGCCAGGGAGCCAAAAGGTAATCACCTGAGGCTATTCTCTGAAACCAACCTTGGAGGTGGTATCAGAGCCACTGTAAAACAGTGTCTCTCGCACCCATCTTCCCCCCACCCTAGTCTGTTCAGGAGGATACCATGCACAGTGGCAGCAAACGCTTCTGACAATGCAAGTAAAAATAACAGCATCACCCTATCTTTCTCCGGATAAAAGTCATCTGTTGGGGCAACCAAGGTCAATCCAGTCCCATAACCAGGACTGAACCCAGATTGAAATGAATCAAAACAATTGGTTTCACCCAAGAGTGCCTGGAGCTGCTCCACACTACCCTCTCAATCCCTAAATCCAAAAAGGGAATATTTGTAGCTGGGCAGTAGTCACTGCAAACCAATGAGTCCAGTGTGGGCTTTTTCAGGAGTGATCAAATCACTGCCCCTTTGACAATTGCCAGGACCACTCCCACCCACCCACCCTGCAAAGATGCCTTAATCACATCCTGGACCCACTTGAACCATACCTACTGCCCTGTCCAGATTCATCCAAGTATGCTGCTGTGATGTCAACATCAGGGAGGCAGTTCTACCCAAGACATTGGGTGCTACTGGCTCTGCCATTGAGCTATGGCATTAGTTGACTCAATGGCCAATGTTATCAATGGAATTACAGCTAGCTTCTTCTCTTGAGGTGGTCCATGCAGTTGCTGGAACACTCACCAGTGTTCACTCTCCTTTCTCTTGCAGTCTGGATCAACTCTATTGGGCAGTGGATTCTTCAAGAAATTTCAGCTGGGGAGAGAATTGGATTGGATCCCTTCCTCTTTTCTATTCGTAAGAAGCACTGTTCATCACATCCGCACTATGCATTTAAAGCACATGGTTTCCCCCCAAAGAATCCTGGGAACTGTAGCTTACCCCTCACAGAGCTACAATTCCCAGCAGCCTTAACAAACTACAGGTCCAGCTCACACAGCCCTTATTCTGCCTCTGGTCTGTGTTTCCTTTTGGAAAAATGAGGCACAGCAGAGACCATGTAGGTGTCTTTATGATACATGGTTTATTTACACATATATACAACCTGAAGCCTAGCTAGAGAGAGATACAGAGCACCACAAGGTTTCTATTTCTTCCCTGGTTGCAGCCTTGCAGCTCAGCAGCAAATCACTCATCTCTAACTTTTCCCCTGACAGCTTGCATCACTCTGTTCCTCTCAAGCTTTCATTGTCTCAGCTTCAGGAAGAGGCCCAACACTTTTCTGATGCTAATGGTTCATTATCCTCAGGCCACCACCTGAAAGGGAATTAAGATGACTCCATTACCTTTCAACTCATGCTGATTTCCTAACATTAAGAAGTGCCTAATACACAACACAGGAAGTCTGCCTGGCATAATATGCTAATTAAATGATTAGGACACAGGTCAAATACACACATGGATCTATGTTAAACACACATCAGTGCACCTATTTCCTGGCTCTAGCATCCCAACTTAATTAAATTCTAACACTAACCCGATCCAGAATTCAGGTTGTCTTGCACCACAGATTCATAATAATACAATAAATAAAACAAGATTACTTAAACAACATGCAGCATCCAATAGGGAAAATAACAAGAGAGCTTCACAGTTTCAGCTTAGTGCTAGAGATACTGCTCCCATTATGTTGCTCAGTGTCCCTCTCCTGCATTCACTTGCAAGGCTCCCAAGCACAAGGGGTTGGGTAGCTGGAAACACCCCTCTTATGAGATTTAGACATACTACTGTGTAAATTCACACTTAGCCATGGTGCTCAGTGGGCGATTTTACCTTCTAAGAGGGACGGAGAGGCCTAAGTCCACCCAGAGTCTAAGAGTAACTGCTCTACTACAGGTGACTTGCTCTTCCCCTCTCCCACAGACCCTGGCCAAGGAAAGCTGCTCTGTACCTGTGGGCAGCTATGGAGTCATTTTCAGTCCCTGGATTGAACTAATTCAGTTTAATTAACTTTAAAAAAAAATCTGAATAACGCATGAAACTAGTTGCTATAATTTCCAGGTGAACTGAATGTGAATTAAGGGCTCGTCCCCACTTAGAATCATAGAATAGAATCATAGAATCATAGAGTTGGAAGAGACCACAAGGGCCATCGAGTCCAACCCCCTGCCAAGCAGGAAACACCATCAGAGCACTCCTGACATATGGTTGTCAAGCCTCTGCTTAAAGACCTCCAAAGATGGAGACTCCACCACACTCCTTGGCAGCAAATTCCACTGTCGAACAGCTCTTACTGTCAGGAAGTTCTTCCTAATGTTTAGGTGGAATCTTCTTTCTTGTAGTTTGGATCCATTGCTCCGTGTCCGCTTCTCTAGAGCAGCAGAAAACAACCTTTCTCCCTCCTCTATGTGACATCCTTTTATATATTTGAACATGGCTATCATATCACCCCTTAACCTCCTCTTCTCCAGGCTAAACATGCCCAGCTCCTTTAGCCGTTCCTCATAAGGCATTGTTTCCAGGCCTTTGACCATTTTGGTTGCCCTCCTCTGGACACGTTCCAGTTTGTCAGTGTCCTTCTTGAAGTGTGGTGCCCAGAACTGGACACAGTACTCCAGGTGAGGTCTGACCAGAGCAGCTGTTCCACCTGTCCAGTGCAAAGAAAGCATGATGGGTCTGAGCAGTTTCACCTTTGCTCCCCACCCTGCCCTGCTTCCCCCAGAAAACATGCTCTTTAGCGATTAATCGGAACAAATGGCATTCTGCAGGAAACCTGATTGTCATTTGCTGCAATGCAACTTTAAGCCATGGGTTTTCCCAGGGGAAAGCAGTGGGGGAAACAGAAGTGAGATAAGCCCTCAGTTCTTTCTGCAGCGGAACTTGGGGAGGTTGTATAAATTCAATTTTCATTTTCATTCAATAATTTTATACCTTCCTGGGGAAGTGCCACACCTCAGTGGCAAAGCTCCTGTCCAGAACAAAGCCCTAGGTTCAATCCCCACTGTGTTTAACTCTGTGTTTGATTGTGGTCACTGCATTTCACACTGTTACCTATCTAAAAAGTATAGTGGTACCTCTACTTACGAATGCAATCCATTTCGCACCCCGAAAAGTCCATAAGTAGAGTGCCGCTACTGCACATGCGCGAAGTGCGATAGACCGCTTCTGCACATGTGCAAAGCACACAAATCGCTTCTGCGCATGCGTGAAGCGTGTAGATCGCTTCTGCACGTGCACGTGGGGTGAACCCAGAAGTAAACACTTCCGGGTTTGCTGCGTTCATAACCTGAAAAGCCGCAACGTGAAGCAAACGTAACACGAGGTATGACTGTAATGCTGCTATTTAAGTTCAAATATTGTAATTGTTGGGGAGGAGGAACACCACTCACATTACATAGTGTGTTTCGATGTTCTTTTAAGTATATATTCTAATTTAGCAGAACGACTTGTAAGATACTGAAGGCTGGGGGGAAACTACCGAGGATGACATGAATAAACTGAATTTAACTGTGGACTGAACTGGAACGGAATCAATTCCCTTTGGGAACAAAATTAGTTCCTTTTCTGTAATCGTTCTTGGCTGCTGTTCAATGTGAACTGGAACTAATTTCTTCTGGAAATGATATTTACAATCACTGGTGATTTTTCCGCATCTACCTGCTTGACATCCTCTTTCCACAGAAAACTGGGAGAGCTACAACCAGGTCCTGGAGGGTTCAGATATAATCCTCGTTCCCCTAGAGGACAACCTGGTGGACCAAGCATGGGGGGCACAGAGACCTCCTCCTCCCACCAACACCATCTACCAACTCAATGACAACTTTGTGGGTATGTTCTTGAGCCATGCATGGACTGGTGCCGGCCTTCCTGGGGAAGTGCCACACCTCAGTGGCAAAGCTCCTGTCCAGAACAAAGTCCTAGGTTCAATCCCCAAAATCTCCAGGTACAGCAGGGAATATCCCCTGACCCCTGTCTGATACCCTGGAGAGCTGCTGTTAGCCAGTGTATACAGCACTGAACTAGTGGGCCAATGCTCTGACTATAAGATGGGTTCCTGGTATGCCCCGCAGAGGACCTTAAGGTCCATGAATAACCATAGTTTAGAGGTCCCGGGCCCTAAGGAAGTGAGACTATCCTCCACCAGGGCCAGGGCCTTTTCAGTGATGGCTCTGACCTGGTGGAATGCTCTGTCCCTTGAGACTAGGGCCCTTCAGGATTTAACCTCCTTCCATCAGGCCTGTAAGTCAGAGCTATTCCGTCTGGCCTTTAATTTGAATTCAGCCTGATCATTTTCCCTTCTCTTCTCTCCCCCTACCATTTTATGAAGATCACCCACTCTGAGACCCCACAGCTAATTCTCCCCTGGCCTCCTCGCTGGCCCAAGTAGGACCAATTCAGCCAGCTAGCCCTGAGGGTTATCTAATGCTTATTTCCACTAAATTGATTTCTGAATTTTGAATTTTATTGTTATCCATGTTTTTATACTGTATTTTAAGCTGCTTTTATAATTAAGTGTTTTAAATTTGTTGTTAGCTGCCCTGAGCCCGGTTTTTGAACCGGGAAGGGTGGGGTATAAATAAAAAAATATTATTATTATTATTATTCCTATGTTCATACATTACATTAGAGTTACTTGGCAGGACTGGCCTGTTTTCTCTAACATTAATGAAGTTCAGGGGAAGCAAGAAAAGACATTCAAGTTGGCATGCTTCAGTGTTCTTATATTCCCTGGTTTGACTTGGCATCAGGCAGATAAGTTCTTCTGTATATATTTCCTATTTTCATCTGTTTGGTTTATCTCTCCTCCCATTGCTTATGTAACTCCGTAATGTGCCCTGTACACTGATAGCCCGATGCTGTCCAGGTTTTTACAGCTGCCTCTAATACCTTCATTTCTGGACCATCGAAACTGGTTCTTAACTGCACATGGTCTTGCATGTGGCCCTCATGGAGCCACAAGGTTAGCGAGGGGACAGGCGGGTGCCAACCAACCTCCCATTGCATCTCACCTCCTCTTCTTTCAGGGAGCAGTTGGCAAGAGAAGATTTCTGTTATCCGGACTCAGATGGAGAATCATGGCAGGAAGCCCACAGCAGTCCTGCTTTCTGGTCTTGAGGAAACCGCCTGTGAGTGCTCCGTTGTAATCAAGTTAATGCACAGCTTGCTTTCTATATTTCCACATTGCCTGTTTCTGCAGCCTCCTCAGCTATGTCGGTACACATTCCCTTTGTTGCCCTCACTTGCTGTTCCTGAGCTACTCCCACCAGGGCTGGCTTCAGAGAGTGGCATTGTTAGGAAAGCTTCAGATGCTTTGGAAGCAGAAGGTCACATGTTCAGTCCTGTGCTTCTTTAGGTAGGGCTGCGAAGTTCCCTTTGTGAAACCCCAGAGAGGTGCTGTCATTCACTTTATACAACACCGAGCTAGATGGACCAATCACATCCCTGCCAATTAAAATTGTACAGTGGATTGGGAGATCTTGTGCGTCAAACTCTTTCTCCCCAAAAGATCAGACTTTTTTTAATAAGGAAAGTGATTGGGAAATGCACTGGAGAACGTGTTGATAACATTTGCTTTGGCCAATGTCATCTAACCTCCCCACAAGCAAATCAGAATGAATGCACAATAAATATCCACCATGGTCTGATCTCCCTGCAAACAATTCAGAATGAACACTTAATAATAATAATAATAATAATAATAATAATAATAGGTTATCTGAATGTGCCCTTATATACAGTTTGCACACCACCCCAATCTCTGAGCTGTGCAAGATTCCAGGGATTTCAGAACGACACACATTCACTTCACACATTCACTTCAGGGCCTGCTCCTCTGCTTCCCCCGTGACTCTAATCCTGTCTCCGTTCTGCAAGCCACTCTCCCCATAACCCTACTCTGCTTTCTTCAACCACTTAAAAGCCTCCTGGGCGAAAAGAAGAAGAAGGGGGGAAATGGAATTTGTAAGAAACTCTTGCCTTTCCACAGGGCTCTTCAATCTTCGGGGAGATGACATCCCTTACACACCTGTCTTCTACGCTTACACACTTCTCACCAAGACAGATATCAGGTACTTGAGCAACTTACTCACTGTTTCAGACAAGGGTCTGGTTCAAACAAGTGGGATCCAGAATAAAATGGCTGCAGTGTGAGATGCTCTCCTCAGGGTGCATGCCAGCCAGCCATGCCCTCTTCCAGAACACTCCATTTCCTATCCTCCATTTCCTGTTTTACCTCCCCTCCCCCAAAACAGAAACTCAGCATTTTGTCCTGACTAAGCATTAGGGATGAGGGAGAAATTCTATGCAGTTTGTATTTACAGGCAATGCTACCAAATTCTCACTTTCAGTCTTCATATCGTTCCAGGAAACACAGCCCTCCTTCAAAATTCTCACCTATCTGAATTCTGTGGTGCAGTTCTCCAGCCAAACAATGTTAACAAAATTCCCATAAGTTCCCTGAGAAGAGGGATGGGCTGTTTTTAAACCACTCTTGAAAACTGGAGCTCTGTGAGGGGACTAGAGGCATCCTAACAGCTCTCAGAGCTCCCTTAGCAAACTATCGTTCCCAGGATTCTTTGGGGCAGGGGAGGCCATGACTGTTTAAAGCAGGGGTCAGCAACCTTTTTCAGCCATGAGCCGGTCCACTGTCCCTCAGAACCATGTGGTGGGCCGGACTATATTTTTTTTTGGGGGGGGGGAATGAACAAATTCCTATGCCCCACAAATAACCCAGAGATGCATTTTAAATAAAAGCACACATTCTACTCATGTAAAAACACCAGGCAGACCCCACAAATAACCCAGAGATGCATTTTAAATAAAAGGACACAGTCTACTCATGTAAAAACATGCTGATTCCCAGAACATCCGAAGGCCGGATTTAGAAGGTGATTGGGCCGCATCCGGCCCCTGGGCCTTAGGTTGCCTACCCCTGGTTTAAAGCGATTTTAGCTGTTTACTAGCACATTAAATGTATAGTGTTAGAGGGGGCCAAAGTGAATCAACAAAGTAACAGACAGTTGTTTGTTCTTCCAATCTCACTTGGTTTCCCCCACCCCTCCTTAGTCTGTTTGTGAACCAGAGTCGACTGAGCAAAGAGGCATCCCAGTCGCTGGTCTCTCAGTGCCCAGGGCCCCTGTGTGTGCAGGTGGAGGACTATGATCAAGCAAGCGCAAGTCTGAGAAAGTATGCCCAGCAGGATGGCGTTCGAATATGGATCGGGACTGAATACACCACCCTAGGACTCTATCGAGAAATCCCCCTGGTAAGTAAGAAAGATGGAGCGACTCATGTACAGGGGAACCATTGAATCAGAGAGGAGGCTGCACTGGAAAAATTGGAGGAGAAGCATAGATATCTGCCTTCCATTGAGTCAGACCATTGGTCCATCTAGCTTACTATGGTCTACTACACTGACTGGTCAGGGATGTAGGTGGCACTGTGATCTAAACCACTGAGCCTCTTGGTCTTGCCGATCAGAAGGTTGGCAGTTCGAATCCGCGCGAGGGAGTGAGTTCCTGTTGTTCTGTCCCAGCTCCTGCCAACCTAGCAATTCAAAAGCATGCCAGTTTAAGTAGATAAATAGGTACCATTGTGGCAGGAAGGTAAACAGCATTTCTGTGCGCTCTGGTTTCCGTCACGGTTTCCGTCACAGTTTAGTCATGCTGGCCACATGACCTGGAAAGCTGTCTGTGGACAAACACCGGCTCCCTTGGCCTGAAAGTGAGATGAGCACCTCAACCCCATTATTAAGTAGTGGGTTGACAAAGCAGACGACATAGAGATTTCTCCAAGTAGCTCTTTATAAGTAAGCTGGAACTGAACTGAACAGCTCAGCCGGCTTGCGGCTGTCAACATTATAACAGCAACCCAGGGTTTCCCGCCTAAATAAACTAATGTGGACCTGAGTGAAAACTATATACACAATACCCATGGTGGCCAGGGTGAGAACTTCAGTACTTAACACCCATGGTCACATTTGACTGGACTTAACCATCCAGGGGTCCTTTACCTTTTACCTTACCTTACACTGACTGGCAGCTACTCTCCAAGGTTTCAGATGGGAGGCACTCCCATGTGGAGATGCCAGGGATTAACCTGGGACCTTCTCTGTGCAGAGCAGATGCTCTGCCACTCAGCTATGGCCCTTCCAAGGTGAAAAGGAAGAACATAGAGAGTGAGCCATCATCACCACTCATGGTTTGGAAACTTAGGACAGGAATATGCCTTGGACCAAGTCAGACAATTGATTCACCTAGCTTAGTATTGTCAACCCTGGGCCCATCCATACGGGAACCCCTTTCTGTTTGCTAAAAGCAAAAGTTTTGTTATGTTTTCACATGGCATCGAATAGTGCATCGCCTCCATTCACTGTGCAGTTAAGAACATAAGAGCTTGCTGGATCAGGCTAGTCCAGCATTCTGTTCTCAGTGGCCGACCAGATGCTTGCGGGAAACTGGCAAGCAAGACCTGAGCACTCTCATCATGCAGTTTCCAGCAGCTGGTATTCAAAAGCATGCTGTCTCTGAGAGCATAACCAATATAGCTAGTAACTTCCTGCACAGGAAGCTCCCTGCATGGTTTTTGCATGCTGTTTGCTGTCTTAAATCCTGCAAAGTTTCTGCGCCACCTGACAATGTTTGCAGCGGGTGGCAGTGCATGACAACTGAGCTGCCGAGCCTTGCTTTTTAGGTCACACAAGCTATTATTAGGCACACCTCTCCTTTCACTCTGGTTAGGGCATATGCATTTGCACAGAAAGTTACCTGTGCAGAGGTGTGGTTTTTTTTCTGGGTGGTGTAACTGAAGTCTCTTTTTTCTGCACTGTCTTTCACCACAATGCCTTGTAGAACTAAAGGGGAAAGTTGTGAAAATGAAATAAAATGCCATGTGAATGCAGCCTGAAATTGGAAGATTTGCTAATCCCCCTAAACCTAGATAGACCTTTCATCTGATCCAGAGGGACTCTTCCTCATGTCTTATGTTTGTTACTTCACAAGTGTTTTTAATGTTGGGCTCTGGGATTGAAACCAGGCTCCAGGACCAGAGCCCTGCCTCAAATGGAGTTCATTGAGGGACACAGCAGACATCAGGAGATGATCGTGCGTGCATGCATGCAGGCACTCTAAGATATGCTGTGAGAACTGCCACACATAGAATGCAGCATAAGCAAAGGGGAACTGCGCAATATGCTCTGCGAGTGATGACAAAGGCCTTCCTCCAGCTGGTCTGTTTCAGGGTAAACCGACAGGTGCATCCCCCCTGAGAATGGACTGTTGACATGGCTGCCTCCTTCCTGTCTTACAGGAAAAAGTCTTGGTAGAGGAGTACTCTCCTGTCATGATCACCAAAGCAGTCAAGAACGCCAAGGAGCAAGAGATGCTGCGAGCTGCCCATGTATGTAAGCCCACCATGAGTGCAAAAGCAGTGGAACGTTGTGGTGCAATGATCTTGTGAGTTTAGATGTGGGTGGAAGCTCAAGGGAGTTCTCCTAAACCACAGCAAGTGGACCCTTTGCCCATGACTGGTCTGGACAGTGTTGCCTGAAGCCTTTGGGGCTGGCACCCATCAGGACTGGTGCGGGAGAGGGTGGCTCCTCATCTTTGACAGTTTCGGGGGTTCTTCATCAAGTATCAACTTGGGGGAGGACCCACAAGGGGATCTTCAGCATTGAACTCTAGGGACCCTGCCTGCTCACCAAGATTCTCAACCCATGGGGTTTCTGTTTTGTTTTCTGAGGACTCCATGTCCAGTACCAGGTCAGGGCTAGACATGATGCCGGTAGAGATTATATCATGAGGCCATGTTGCAGCCATATAGTCTGGCTCCAGCCAACTATGGTGCCTTCTGCAGATGAAAACTTGATGCAGGGTGTAGACAGTCAAAATGGGACATCTGTGAATGATGTGTGCATTCCAGAACAGACATGATGATAAAATGATATTTGAATATTTATTGCAATCATGTGTTTTATTTGGTTTTTAGAGAGAGAGAGAGAGAGAGAGAAGGGTGTTTTTGGACATGCTCATAAATTTGCAACGTGGCTATTTATTATTTTGCTGTGAGTTTCTCTGTGTACTTATTATAGAAAGGCAGGATAGAAATACTAAACAACGATTACAATCACAGGTACGAGATGCCATTGCAGTGATTCGGTACTTGGTCTGGCTGGAAAAGAATGTTCCCACCGGTTCTGTGAATGAAATCTCTGGCGCCCGTTATGTAGACCAGTTGCGTAGGTCAGTCTGAAAAGGGCAATGCTTCATTTAGGCTAGTTTTGCCATGGTCTGATGATTATCACATTGTGAGAACATGGAGGAAGGCCTTTTCACTGGTGGCACCAGTCTTGTGGAATGTCCTCTCTGCTGAAATATGGCATTCCCCCGGCTATTGAAGGTACACCTGCTTAGACAAGCATTCATTCCCCTGAAATTGAACTTCATGACCTATCTATTTTAATTGGGGGTTTTAAAAACTGTCTCATTGTTATGCTTCGGGTATAGGGTGGTATAGAAATTAAATAAATAATAAAAATAATGGTATTAAATCTGAGTGGTTTTACTATTTTGGTAGAGTTGTTTTATTCTTTTATTTTAATTATGTATGGAATTTATGGTAGATTTTATGCTTGTAAATGGCTTAGAAGCTATTGTGGCATGTGAAGAGTATGAAAATCAATCAGTGGTGATGACGCTGCGGAGGGTGAAAAGGGTGCCAACCAGAGTTTTCTCTTTCCCTCCACAGCGAAGAGGCCAACTGCAAGGGACCCAGCTTTGAGACAATCTCCGCCACTGGTCTGAATGCAGCTCTGGCCCATTACAGGTAGGGATTGAGGAGAAATTTGTTTTGGTTTGCAAATCTACCTGATTCACATTTACCAAAACAATACAGGAACTGAAACACAGGTAACCTTCGAAATTCACAGTTCCACAACCCAAAACACGTAGACAGCTCCCTCTCTCAGAACTAAAGTAGTGGAGGACTCTACCATTTGCTTCTCATATCACTCACCATTTCCATCTCCTTAACTAGGGCCTATAATTAGAGATGGATAGGGATGGAGGGCTCTGCCCTTATCAGTTCCCCCCTTTCCTCATTTTCCCACTCTTAAATTCAGTTCTCCACATTTCTGCAGAGATCTGTGATTTGTGAAAATTCATCAGCATTTTAGTGCAAATTTCTCCTAATAAACATGTTTGTTTTGTTTGTATGCAATTTTGACCCATGTACACATTTGGAGGCTCCATCTGCATTATACATTTAAAGCAGTATCACCCCCCACTTAAAACGGTAAGGGCTTCCCTCAAAGAATCATGGGAACTGTAATTTGTTAAGATTGCAAAGAGGTGTTGCCCCTTCCCAGAGCTACAGTTTCCAGAGTATTTTAACAATCAATCCCTCTTCCCAGGGAACTCTGGGAATTGTAGCTGTGTGAGGGGAATAGAGGAATCCTAACAACTCTCAGCACCTTTAGCACAGTTCTCATGATTCTTTGGAGGAAGCCATGACTGTTTAAAGGGGGATGATATTACTTTACATTATAGTGTATGCAGAGCATTACAGTAGGCTACATTCCAGCAACACAGAAATCAGGCTGGAAACACACGATCCTATCCACACAATAACATTTAAAGCACATCTATGCTACTTGAACAGTCACAGCTTCCTCCCTTCAAAACCTTGGGAACTGTAATTTCCCCCAACAGAGCTATAGTTCCCAGCACCCTTAACAAATGGCAGCTCCCAGGATTCTTTGAGGGAAGCCATGTGATTGAAATGAATCAGTGTGGCCTCTTCTCTCCCCATCTTTCAGCCAAACACAAGCGCCCAAGGAGGAGCACAAAATGGGGGTGGTGAGAAGCGTGGCCAGGGGAGAGGAGGTGTGGCCTAGAGAGGCAGCCAGTCCAAGGGAGAGCCCCAAAGGGCCAAACAGAGAGGTCTGGAGGGGCAGATTTGGCCTCTGGGCCTGATTGTTCCCTACTTCTGCCTTACTGCCTCCTTGCATTCTCCACGAGAACAGTTGAAAAATTGGGTTTGTTAAAACTGGCGTCACAGCCTCTGAGAACTTAGGTTTGGCACACATTACCACTTACTTTGGCTCCAGTGCAATCCCACCACTGGTGTTTGAAGCAATGCACACATGATACTGACCCACGGTCCCTATCCGCACTGTTGTTTCTTGAGATATACTGCTGTTTGATGCAGCTTCTACCCGATTTGAAAACCTAAACCACGTTCACTTCACAGTTAAGCTGAGGCGGGTACATTCGAAGCAGATGTTGCACATGTACAGATGGCAGATTCACGAAGAGCAATGCTGGGCTGGGGGTGGGGAGAAATCAAACAGTTAATGTGCATCAGCTGAAAATATCCCCCCACCCCCTCACTGGTTTGAACAGCAACATGCAAGCGCAATGTTGTTGTTGTTGTTGTTGTGGTGTGTGAGAGAGAGAAAGAGAGAGACTTTGTTGCATTTTAAGCTACTGATGTGCACATAGCCTTGGTCTGCAATGCTCACATAAAGGAGCCAGTCCTAAAAGCCGTGAGCGTGTAGAGGGAAACCACAGAGCTGCCAAGAATCTGCACAAACCGGGGTGGGCAGGATCTAAAAATGGCATGCCCAAATATAGGTTGTGGTTTGTGCACATGGGTTCCTGAGCGTGCATGTCACACCTGCCTCTGCAAAGCATAGGGAGAGAGAGTCCTGCTGGTGAATTCAGCATCCTGTTTTCTCAAACTTGCTAGCCCCCCCCGCCCCCCGCTTCCAGGAAACTCACAGAAAGGCACAAAGGCAATTATATCCCCACCTGGGAGCCTTGGGACATGGAGGTGCCACTAGGGAGCTCACTCCCACAAGAGGCAATAATGACCACCAATTTCAATGGCTTTAAAAGGAGATGGTTCGTGGAGGATGTGGCTGCCAATCTTTGCTAGCTGCTCTGTTTGTACGCTACATTCAGAATCAGAAGCAGGCTGCCTCTCTGGGGAGCTATCCTGGGAGAGAGCTGTCGCTCTCTTGCTCTGCCTGTGGGCTTTCCAGAGACACCCAGGAGTAGACATCCGGTGCATTTAAAGTATCTGGGAACTCTCAAAACTCCCAGAAACTTTAAATGCACCAGAGTTTTGATCGCAGCAAAATGGAAGAGTAATGAAATCCCCTCTATACAAGATTGGATCCAAAAGCTGACAGAATATGCCGAATTAGATGGTTTATCAGAAAAAATAAAGAATAAATCAAAACAGGAATTTGTTTCTAAATGGGAGGTTTTCAAAGAATATCTGAAAAATAAATATAGTAGTTTAAATTCTGTTGCAGCATTCGAGGAACTTCAGTGATAGTTGCTAGGTAGATAGAAGAAATTAGATTTATTGAGAATAAGTTTAATTATGAAAAAAAATGTGTGTATTGGCAATACGTAATATGAATTTGAAATATGGAATAGACGGGAAGTTGGGTCTTTAGTGTTAAGACCAGTAGATGTTTTATTGTTTGCCAAGAAAATTATGTGTCTATGGTTATTTTTGTAATTTGTGTGTAATTTGGTATTTGTGGGTTTTTTTGTGTGTGTGTTTTTCTTGTTGTATAAATAAATAAATAAATAAATAAATAAATAAATAAATAAATGGGGGGGGTATCTGGGAACTCTAGCTTCTTCATGGTGCTGGGAGTTGTAACTCTGTGAGGGGTAAACTCAGGGGCTGGCCAGGTTAGCCCACAAGGGCACAGGCCTAGGAAGGCACAAGAATTGCACCTCTGGCCTAGGAGTGGCTAGGAGCCTGCACAGCTCCTCCGCTGTTCGGTCAGGCATACAGGCTCCTCTGGCCATCTCTGCAGAGGAATCCAGTTGCTGGTGTGTACTGCTGTAGCCAGGTGGGCAGGAGCGGGACTGAACCTAAGGGTCAGAGGTACCTTTACCTTTACTTCACTGTTGCAGCAGCCCTGTGGAGCCCTCTCCAGTTGGCTGGCAGAGCTTTTAGAAGTGTGAGCAGGGGCTCGGAGAGAAGAAAGACAGAGAGAGCAGGGAAGAGTTGTAGGAGGAGGGAAAAGGAAGGGGAGCAGAAGGAGGCAGAAGGGAAAGCATGGAGCAGAAGGAGGCAGTAGGCAGACAAGCAGACAGACTGATGGGGGGAGGGGGAACAGAGCAGACCCAACTCTGATGGCCAGGGAGGAAATCGCTGTGGGAGTGCAAAAGGTGAAGGAAAGCAAACTTTAAGTTTCTACTCCATAGTCTCTCCTGACTTTGGAGGCTCCAATACAGTTCCTTGCCAAGGGCACAAGCGCCTAGGCTTGCCTCTGGGTAAACGACGATTCCTAAGATTCTTTGGGGTGGTGCTTGAAATGTATGGTGTGTACATACCGTAGCTCTGATTGGTCATTGTAGAAAACAGGAAGAGGGTTCTGGATTAGTCTATTCTTTGGTCTGATTCAGCAGAGCTTTTTGGGTTTTTTACTAGCAGCCTTTGTGGTGAGGTGGAGCAGCCCTCCCAAAACCAGCATCCCTGCCACTTACTGGGTGGGACTTGGGTGACCCATGGTGGAGGCTCAGATGGGATGCACCAGTGAGAGTGGCAGGTTGGCACTCGGTGCAGCCACACAGCCCGGCCTCACCACAGCCTCACTCCACACTAGGCACATTCCGATAAGCTACATCAGCCCTGGTGCTGGAAGGATGGCTTTGCAGCACATTCCCACCCCTTTGGCCACTATTGCTTCTTACATTCTTCCTCTGTTTTTCTGATTGTAAATTGTTGTGATCTTTTGTTTCTATATCGTTGTCATCTGCCATGGGACTTTACGGTGCAGGGCAGGGGAGGAATAAAAACCATCATCTAAACAGATGCTGTGTACAACCCATGCCTCTAAAGCACATGACTTTCCACCAAAGAATTCTGGGAACTGCTTGTTAAGGGTGCTGGGGATTCTAGCTCTGTGAGAGGTAAACTACAGTTCCCATGATCCTTTGGGGAATACTATGTGCTTCCCTGTGATAGTAATATTCCTTTACTCTTATTGGGTGAACACCTTATCCTGTTTTCGAATTTCCCTGCGTCTGCTGGCGACTGAACACTGAGCTTGGAGGCACAATTGCCTGACCCAACATGCTAATTCTGATGTTCCTCTCTGTGCCTTTCTTTTCCTCTTTCAGCCCATCCAATGCTACTGCCCGAAACCTGACTGTGAATGAAATGTACCTGCTGGACTCAGGGGGCCAATATTTGTGAGTATGGGATGCCCTTTCTCTCTTTGGCCAGGCTCAGGGGCCTGTACCTGGCAGCGGGTTTTATGGAAAAGCAGCTCACCTTGTGGGCCAGAGCCTCTGGCAGGTGGGTCACTGTACTGTAGGAGGGAGAGAGGAAAGTGGCAGGAAGGTCAGCGGAGTGCAAACATACTGGCAGAGCCAATGTGGCACTCCTGCTGATGTGCTTACACATCACCAGCTTCCCCACTACCTCACCCCTCCTCCTCCGTCTCCTGGTAAACACCAGTGAGCCATCTGCTGAGAAGGTAGCAAAGAGACTCCTCCCCACCTAGCAAGCTGCTTCTGGATTTATGGAGCTTTCTCCTATCAAGGATAGCACTCTGAGTATGCCCCAGTGACAACTCCTTGTACTCTAGGGTTTGGTTTCATCTATTGATCTCTGAAATACAGCATCCTACCCTACAGACTGTATCAGAGGCAGATCTAGGGGAGTGCAACTGGTTTGGTCGCACTGGCCGTGGAACCTGGGGGTGCCACAACTATTATTTAGAATGCAGTGAAAGAGGTGGAGGGGGGCACCAAATTTTGGCATTGCACAGGGCGCCGCTAAAATTTGAGAACTCAGCATCTGCCACTGACCGTATGGAGTGTTAAGAGCAACAGCTGGGACCCTCTTGATAGTTCTGCTGCCCTCACAGGCTCGGGGTGGTAGAACCATAGACTTGTAGAGTGGGGAGGGACCCTGTGGTCATCTAGTCCAACCCCCTGCAATGGAGTGATTGTGCCTGTGGTGGCCTCTAAATTGTGGAACTTCCTCCCCACAGAGGTGCATATGGTGCCTAAATTATGTAGTTTTTGTCATATGCTGAAGACCCACCTCTTTACCTTGGTTTTGACAAGGGGGGGGTGTTTTAGGACTCACCTGTGATTTGTTTAAACTGTTTTTAAATTGTTGTAACCCACACTGGGACTGCTGATGAAGGGCGGGTAATGAATTTGTCATAATACTTGTTGTTGTTACAAATTATTGGGCGCTTTCTCTATAAAGTCTGTAAAATGTTGTGAACAGGTTACAACATATAAACAGTCAGAATATTTACTACCCATCACATGATACAATTGAAATATCAAACTATGCCTAGGAGGAAGAGCAGAGGTTTTCCCAGATTGTCATTATTTTTGTTGTTAAGATTCATTAGGCTCCCTGCTCAAGGAACAGGTCTTGTGGAGGAGATCCAGGGTTGATGCGCAATAAATGGTATTTAAAAATACAGCTACTCAGAATAAAACAGGTAACCAGAAGGAAGAACAAAGGCATTGCTAAAAAACGAAACCCTCACTTCCTAAATCAGGGTTAAGAGTCAGGCAAGTGTCTGCGAGCAACAGGTTCCACGTAGCAAAGGGGGAACTGCTGCTCTCAAAGGTTCTCCACGTGCTCCCCTAAATATATCTGGCACGACTTTGGGGCTAAGTGTGGGGAGCCCGATCCACCAAAACAGCTCCTCACTACCTAAAACTAGGTAGTTTTATACACTCTGGACTCCTTAAGGAGTGGGGGACATGCCTCTTTGCATAGCAATTGGATTACCGACTTTGCTTCAAAATGTGGTAAGCCAGCCTTGCTACATTTTGGGAAGCCCTCCAGCTCCTTCTGCCAAGTGAGGCTCTCGACCTCTGCTGCAAAATCCTGACCTGACGGTCACCGTTGCCTGACAAAGCTCCCTTCGCTTTGCTTCTCTCACCCCTGCAGAGATGGAACAACGGACATAACCCGCACTGTCCACTGGGGGGAGCCCACAGATTTTCAGAAGGTACCGTACACCTGGATTGCACACCTGGGACTCGGGGACAAAGTCTTGTTTTCCTTCTGCTGTATTTCCACCCCCACCCCCTTGTCTAAGTTACTTTGCCCTCCTTTTCTCTTGCTCCCTTCAGGATGGCTATGGTAAAGCAGGTGGCTCCCAAGTGCGTTGTTGTTGTTGTTGTTGTTGTTGTTGTTGTTGTTGTTGTTGTTGTTTTTCAAAAAAATATTGATTTTTACAAAATTAAAAACACACTAACAAATAAACAAACATAAACCATAACCTTATTAAAACTAATCTTCTTAACATTGTTAAGTGACTTCCTCGTATCCCCCTAGTTGAATTTCAGTGCTTATCATTTTAACGGTTTTCCAAATCAAAGTTCTTATAATTTTAACTTAATCACTTAACACCACTCTTTCTTCCCAATTCAGCATTAAACATAATAATTCATCACATTACTTATTTAAGTCCTAAGCCTAACTGGTAATTGCAAGCTTTTTCCAATTAATTTAACTTAACATATTTAACTAAATAATCATTAATTTTCATCCATTCTTCCTGGTACTCCTCCTCATTCTGGTCGCGGACTCTTCCGGTCAGGTCGGCTAGCTCCGAAAAGTCCATCATCTTCATCTGCCATTCTTCCACAGTTGGTAGTTCTTGCGTTTTCCATTTCTTAGCTAGTAAAATTCGAGCAGCAGTTGTGGCATACAAAAATAATTTAACATCTTTCTTGGGCAATTCCAAACCTGTTATTCCCAGAAGAAAGGCCTCTGGTTTCTTTATAAATGTATATTTCAACATTTTTTTCAATTCATTATAAATCTTTTCCCAGAAGTCTTTCACCACATGTGATAAAAAGTTCCTTCTTTCTCTTTACATTTCCAGCATAGATTGTCACAGTTATGATAAATCTTTGCTAATTTAACAGGAGTCAAATTCCATCTATACATCATTTTCATTATATTTTCCTTTAACATTGTACATGCAGTGATCTTGACCCCTCTCTTCCACGATCTTTCCCAATCCTCAAACATTATGTTATGTCCTACATCTCTTGCCCAATCTATCTTCTCTGATTTAACTTGTTCATCCTTTGTATGCCACTCCAAAAGTAACTTATACATTTCAGACAGATTTTTAACTTTAGTGTCCACCAACTCCGTCTCCAACTTAGATTTTTCAGAAGCAAAACCATTTTTCTGATCTAATTTGTACAATTCATTAATCTGGTGATAATGTAACCAATTTAACTTATCTTTAACTTGATCAAATGGTTTTAACTTATATCCTTCTTTATCCTCCAGTAATAAATCTGAATATGTCAACCATTTGGTATCCATATTTAAATTTTTCTGGGTCTTCGCCTCCATTGGTGAGAGCCATCTGGGCATCTTCCTTTCTAAAAGATCTTTATATTTTATCCAAACATTGTACAACGATTTCCTAATTACATGATTTTTAAATGCATTATGGGCCTTTACCTTATCATACCATAAATATGTGTGCCATCCAAACACATTGTCAAATCCCTCCAGATCTAATACATCAGTATCTTCTAGCTGTATCCACTCTTTAATCCAGCAAAGCGCTGCTCCTTCAAAATAGATTTTCAAATCTGGCAGGGGAAATCCCCCTTTTTCTTTAGAATCCGTAAGTAATTTATATTTAATTCTAGGTTTTTTCCCCTGCCAGATAAATCTAGATAAAGCTTTCTGCCATTCTTTAAAACATTTCACATTATCTATAATTGGGAGGGCTTGAAACAAAAAAAGCATCTTAAAAAAGCAACACATTCATCTTAACCACTGAAATCCGGCCCATTAATGACAATTTTAAATTTGACCATACCTCCACATCTCTCTTAATTTCATGCCATAATTTCTCATAATTATCTTTGTACAAGTTCAGATTTTTCCCAGACAGGTTCACCCCCAAATATTTAACTTTTTTTCACAAAATCAAGGCCCGTCTTTTCTTGTAGTAGTTTTCTTTCATCATTGTCCAGATTTTTCTCTAATACTTTGGTTTTGCTCTTATTTAACCTAAATCCCGCTACTTGTCCGCATTCCTGTATCAGCTCCAGTGCTTTTACTGCACTGGAGTCTGGGTCTTATAATGTCAATACTAAGTCATCAGCAAAGGCTTTTAATTTATATTGTTTGGATCCTACTGTAATATGTTGTTGTTGTTGTTGTTAATTGAATTAATATACCACCCTATACCCAGAGGTCTCAGAGCGGTTCACAGAAAAGATCACAACATATATAATCAGAATAAAAACAATGACTCAATAACACCCCCCCCCCTGAAAAGAGCCACATTTTAAAGTGTATAGGACAGGCATAGGCAACCTAAGGCCCATGGGCCGGAAGTGGCCCATGGGGGTTGTTTAACTGGCCCATGGACCCCCGCCACCCACACGGCTGGCTCCTGTGCACCGGGCTAAACTGGTGCAGAGCAGAGCGGGGACCGCCTTCCGCGACGCAGGGCGGCTTCCCATTGGCTGCAGGAAGCTCCTCTAGCCAATGGGAAGCTGCACACGCCTCCTCTGCGCCGGAAGGAGTGCTGGAAATGGCATTTGTGCATGCATGCGTGCGCTCATGTGCACACACACACATGCACTCTGGCCCACCGTGGCGTCTGCAGGATTGCAAACTAGCCCATGCCCCAAAAACGTTGCTGACCCCTGGTATAAGATGTCAAACAGATCAACCATAAAGGTACAGGGACCCCTGACCATTAGGTCCAGTCATGACTGACTCTGGGGTTGCGGCACTCATCTCTCTTTATTGGCCGAGGGAGCCGGCGTACAGCTTCCGGGTCATGTGGCCAGCATGACTAAGCCACTTCTGGCGAACCAGAGCAGCTCACGGAAACTCCATTTACCTTCCCGCCAGAGTGGTACCTATTTATCTACTTGCACTTTGACGTGCTTTCAAACTGCTAGGTTGGCAGATCAACCATAGGCCTGGTTAAAAAGTAAAGTTTTTGCCTGGTGCCTAAAGGTGTACAATGAAGGCGCCATCACTTTGGGCAGAAATATCTCAACTGGCTTACCTCCTGAAACCTGTCCCCATTCTAGGGAGACCCCAGCAGTAACCAAGCCAAGTGGTATATTGATTCCCTTCTGGAACCGATGTCCCTGGTACCTCTGCCTATATTGGGCACTTGGTGAGAGTTGGTACAGGTCTCCCCCTCCCACCATGCATTTAAAGTGTACCCCTCACAGAGCTGCAGTTCCCAGCACCTCCATAAGAAGGAAGTATCAGCAGGCTTGGGGAACCCTGAGGTTTGCAAAAGTACCAAAAAAACAAAAAACACAACCAACAACACTTTTCAGGGGAGGATTCTGGGAAGGGGAGGGGACAAAAACAGCTGAATAAGAAATAAGTATGCTCAATGGAATGGCCACAGAATGTGGAGGGTGGGGCTGGAATGATAAAGGAATGGACTGCAGGGCAGGGCAGTGGCCAGGCAGCAGCACTCAACACTGCAATATTTTGTTGCAGGATTTGCATGTTGGTTTCAGTTCATGACTCTGAATGGAAACTCATCTGCTGTGCTCCGCAAGGGGCTTCCCAAACCAGACAAGGAAACTGGGTGCTTAATAAAACATACTGTTTGATTATCTTTCACAACAGCAAGTTGTTGGCATCCATCTGTCTCAAGAGACAATGGAGTGTGCCTCCAAGGGTGAAGTCAAACTGCTGCATTAGTAGCACCGAAGTGACGTCCCTTGGGCACAAACCTAGGCAGCGTGTATGGAGGTCTTGGGCTGCCCAAACAACAAGACCCACCCCCCTTGGCCTCACTGATGTGGTCCAATACCTTTGGTTGAGGAACAACAAATAAGGGATTATTCTGTAACCCAGAGAATTCTGGGTGAAAGGACTCTGAGTGGGTGGGTGAAAGAGGTCTTGGAAAATATGGTTGTTCCCTCGCCCCTTCATCCCTGAGTGCTAGATCAGGGTTGGGTTCATCACCCCTCCCTGCTGCCCCTAGTACTAAATAGACCAGTGGTTTAACAGTATAGGGCAGGTTTTGTGTGTTCTTACGGCAAAAAATTTTTCCATGAATCTGGCTCATCTTTTTTTTTTTCCCCTCCATTTCAGACATTCTTCCTTTCATCTCTTTATTTCTTCTTCTCTTCCACTTCTTAGGAAGCCTATACCCGTGTGCTGATGGGAGTCATTGACCTGTCCAGGCTCGTCTTTCCATCCAGAACTTCAGGTGAGAGGGGGCACCAAATAAAGTCAGCCCAGCTTCTGATATGGAGTGTTTGCCTCCTCCAAATTTAATTTCAACTCTAAGAGGGGCAGCCCAAGGTCAAACCCACACCATACACCTAAAACACATTTAAAGCACGTAAACGTATGGTGTGAATGTGGTCCAAGACATTTTGCTGCCTGAGGCAAATGAAATGATTCCATGGACAGAAGCCGGCTGTACTGCTGGTTGAGTCTTACACAAACACCAGCGGTGTTTTTCCACCATAACTGACAGCAGCAGTCTAGTTTAGTAAGCGTGGTTAAGGCAGACTACGTGCGATACATACAGCTCTGTCTTCCATCAGTTCGCTGCCAATGCCATCAGCACCACTCTTACCTGAGGCAGCTTCCTCACTCTGCCTAAAGATAGAGCTGGCCCTGTGAACATGCTTTGGGCATAGGTGAGAGTTTCTCTGCAAGTTGTTCTGTTCCCGCTCCCACACCGCTTTCCTCCCGTGTCTCAGTTTTACTTTACTGACCAACCAGGCAGTTCTCTAGACCTACAGCCTCAGGGGTCACCTCTCAGTTGCTGAGATTTGCAGGTGTGGGAAAGGGTGTGCGGAAAAACTAACTGTTCTCTCCTGCCGTTCCTCAACAAAACTTGACTTTTCTGTTTTAGGGAGATTTGTGGAGGCCCTTGCTCGCCGAGCCTTATGGGAAGCTGGGCTCAACTACGGCCATGGCACTGGCCATGGCATTGGCAACTTTTTGTCTGTTCATGAGTGTAAGTCGCACCGGGGTCAGGTTGAATTGCGCTTATATTGCCCTTCAACAGTGACAAACAATGAAACAAACATTTTAAAAATGGTAATCCACCTTCTACACTACTAGAAGCTGAATTCTGGAAAATCTATATAACAGCCTGCCCTACACATTTGCTTATAGATCGGGTCTGCTGTAGCAAAGGCCAGTAATTTGCACAGGGCACTGAAGCTTTGCCAAGCTTGGGGGTCACTGGAGGTGGGGCCAATTTATTCCAATTTCCTCCCCGTCCTCCTTCCTTGCAGATATACTATGGACATTTAACTAAGCTCAGTCCTATCAGGATACTTTCAAGCTGATCTCTGTAATATCCAGGACTAGAAACTTGGGGAGTTTTAACACGAAAAAAATGAAAACCAAGATTTCTCATGATATTATGTCTGTTTGCAGGGGTTGTGTAGCTTTGGTGAAATGCCATGGGAGAATTGGTTTTCATTGCGTTAAGAGGGGAAGACTTCATAGTTCAGTAGGGATGGCAAAATCTCTTGGGCTGGTTTTCTGATAGCAATAACTGATCCTCTCGCCTTTAGGGCCTGTGGGCTTTCAGGCCAACAATGTGCCCTTGGGAAAAGGCATGTTCACCTCCATAGGTAAGTACCACATGATCTTCTCTGGTTCTGATGCCACCAAGCCTTGCTTCCCCCTCCCCATCCTGAATCGCAGGCAGGGATTCTTGTTCTTTCTGGAGTTTGTATTTGGGAACTGCTAGATGTTTTATTCACTGCACCATATTCTAGAGGGGTACTTGTGTTAGTCCGTTACAGCGAGCAGAAGTAAGATTTTTTGCAGTTCTTTAAACCACATGAAATCACAATAATGTGCATGTTTACCAAAAGTCTTAGCGTGTCCGTAGTAAAAGCTGTCCACAGTTTCAGTCTAATAAGATTTATTGCAGCATAAGTGTCTGTCGTTCAGAGCCCATTTCGTGAGACCGCCTTCCTTCTGGATTTCCACCCTCCATACCCAGGAATTTGCATTGCTAAAGAGGGTCTCATTTAAATAAACAGCCTGACAGGTTTGGGCAATGAAGTAAGAAGATTTGCCAGATTGGTGGGGAGGGGGAGGCACAGAAGCACTCTGAACTCTCTCTCTGCCTCCTCTCTCCTTTGCCCCATTCTCTCCAGAGCCAGGCTATTACCAGGATGGTGAGTTTGGGATCCGCCTGGAGGACATTGCTGTTGTGGTAGAAGCAAAGACCAAGGTGATGCTCCTTCTCTGCCTTTCATAGGTCACTAATGGGTGGGTGCAAGACAACCTGTAGGACATTTTCTGTACAAACTGTGAGCTGTAACCTTAAATAGGTAGAGATTCTGCAACATACAGGTCAGGCCTTAAGGTATTTGGAATCCTCAAAGTCTCTTTCATTCCCATTTCCCATTCTAAGGAGGACCCTTCTACATGTTCAAAGGGGGGGAAAGCATTTATAATTGTCCTTTGTGTGAAATAACTGCAGCCCCTAATCCAGGACCAATTGCATAGAAAGAGGACAAGGGGAGCCTTTGTGGCTGAAGTGTGGTGCAAAAAATACAACTCCCATCAACCCTGACAATTGATCATGATGGCAGGGTCAGGTGGGAGCTGTAGTCTAGCAACATCTGGACGGCCACAGGTTCTTCATACCTGCTATAAAGCAATATCCAGTGCAAGGGTAGGTGGTCATTGTCACCCGTAGGATGGTGGGGGACAACCCCATCATCCCTTGGATTTCCCTGGGGCCAACTCAGTCGTGCATGGACAACATTTGACTTCTTCACTCTATAACTTGACAACTGGCAATTATATATGTGAACAGACTTCACTAAGGGCCAGACAAGATGTGAATCTAAAGGTGTAATGGCAAATCATGCCCATGGGTGGTTGTTGCTGCTGTTGTTGTTTTTAAAGAAAAGTAAATGGGGTGTGTAATTTTCATTAGGACTGTAGTATGTGAGGAACCCCTGAGTGGTTTTGGCTTGTTCACACGCCCGAGTTGCCCTTTGAGTCTACAGAAGAGAGAATGTACGTGCAAAACTCAACCTCACAAAATTGATGCAACTGCTGAAAAAAATGTGAGCCACCTCCTTTCTTTGTCTGCCATAGTACCAAATGTCTGAAGAGCCCTACCTGACCTTTGAGGTGGTGTCCCTAGTGCCCTACGACCGGAACCTCATTGATGTGAATCTCCTGTCCTCAGAACAGGTGGGTGCAAGCTAAGGGTGGGCAGATCAGTCTGTTTCTGGCATTGTTCATTCGTTCCAGCCCATTTCTACACCCATCTGCAATTTTTAAGAAAACACATACAAAAATTAACATTATATTTGCATGCACTTTATCCTAAAATATGTGTTTTTACCCTGATAGGGGGTACATAAATGATCATAAAACGTGCATTTGGTGTGCATCTAAAACATGCATTTCTGTATGCATTTTGGTATATTGAGCCAAGAACTGCAAAATTTGGAGAAGTGCAAAAGCTAGAAGAGAACTGTGTTCGATCTGTGAACTAGTATTTATTTAATTTAATAGGATTTCCTACCAGCCCTTCAGCATAAGGCCCTGGGGTGGGTTGCAAACCTGCACTCATAGAATATTAAAACCCAATGAAACAATTTGAAACAGTCCAAAGAAGGGCCCAGGGTGTATGAATTAGATTTGTTTGCTTAAAATTACAGACTGATTAAAATCCTCAAGCATCTCTAGCAAAAGCCTGGTGGGTAAAGAGAGCAGGGTCGTGCAGAGGGGAGGAGCCTGCCACAACAAACACAGTGTTCCATTTCTCTGTCTCTCTGTCTCTCCCACTCCGCCTGCCACACACACACACACACCCCAGATCAAATACATCAACAGGTATTACGAGTCCATCCGTGAGCACATCGGCCGTGAGCTACAGAGACGCAAACTGGATGAGGAATACTTGTGGCTGGAGCAGAACACAGAGCCCCTTTCTCACACCAACCTGCTGACAACATCCCTAAGTACCCTGGCTGTAGGCACCTTGACCTCTACTCTTCTGCCTAGGGTGTAGGGCTGAGTTTGGGGCATTACACCGCTTCACTGGTCCACATCGCTGCACTTAAGCCTGCCTCTCCTTGCTGTTCCAACTCCAAACGTAGCCTACAGTTAGCAGCCATCTATGGCTGCCGGACACTGTTGCTTCCAAAGCCTTCTACCCATCAAGTCTCTGACTCCTTACAGTACAAAATATATGCAAACAGCCCTTGATCTACAGAGATCCAGTCTGCTCTGAGAATTTGGAGAATCTGTGCTCAACTTTACCTACAGTATATCCAATAAAGGGCTCTGCCGTTAGGCCTTAAAAAGAAGGACCTGAGATGTCCATGTCTGAAAGTTCATTCGATGCCCTCCTTCATTCTTACTGCATTATGTGTCGGTGTCATTTTCCCCCCAGTCAAGAAAAAAAATACATCTGTATGTAAAAATGGCACACAGAAAAAGATACATCCCTATTTGACATCAGGATTTAATACAGCACTATATATAGCCCCAAAGAAAAATAAAAGGAGGAAATAATGTACTTGATTCCCTTGAGTCAGCACCCCTTCTGTGCATGGGATTGTCTTCTTCACGTTTCACCAACTAACATGGAGCATCTGTGGCTGTCTCAGCCTGGTTCCCTCCAGATTTTGGACCACAGCTCTCACAGTCCCTTGTCCACTGGCCATGCTTGTTGGGACTAATGGGAGTTGCTGTCCAACGACATCTGGAGGGCACCAGGCTTGGGAAACCTCAGTTTGGATTTTCTGTGGATTGTCGTTTGCTCCAATTGAGTTTTAAAGAGTGTGGTTTTTGCAGAGAAAGCTCCTAAGCACAAACAAAAACAGGTGCTTTGACATGGAGCTTTAAAGCACAGACTGTTCCTGGGAAGAGCAGAGGAAAGGTAAATGTGGATAAACCCAATTTCAAGTGCATATTGTAACTTTAGGTTTTTTGCAATTAAAGTGGGCCTAAGTGATCCATTGCCTTTGCTCAATAAATCCACTTAAAAAAAAGAAACAGACTTTTTGCAGTTTGGAAAGCAATAGAGAAATGCCTTGAAAGTGTGGCTTGAAAGAATGATGTATAAACACCTGCAAGCAAATTAAGATGAATGTGGGACAAACACTCATTGTTGTATAAAACCACCATGCAAACAGATCAGAAGGTTATATATTTTCTTCCCTCTTACTGCACTTACGATCATGATCTCTGCCCTGCTGCAATTTGGGGGTGGGGGCAGGGACAGAGAAGAGAGATGGACCATAGAGAAGGAAACTTTTAGAGCAACCCATACATGGCTGTGCAATAGACCATCTACACTTGGGGGAAAAGCACAGAAGTTCAATTATGCTTTAAAAGTCTGATTTTCTGAGATGGGAGGAGGGCGAATGGACCAAAACAAGAGAGGAGCATATTTTGATCATGGTATCATGCAGGTGTCCTATAAAAAGCAAATGAACAAAACACAAAGTTCCATAATAAATGTCAAGTGTTCAAAAAAGCCAAAATGTCAACGTCACGTGTTATGACTTGCATGGACAAGAAACCCTTTACTATTTTTAAAATAAAGTACAAATTATTCCAGTATTTCTTGACGTGAGCAGCGTGCGTCCTTCATTCTTGACATCGCACGAAGCCGGATTGCAAATGTCACGCAGCCCCATAACATTTTGTATGTTCCGTGTGCCTACCATCTCCTTGGCAGGGCTGGAATGTAATTAATTTCTCCCTCTCTTTTATTTCTTCTCCCCCACCCCCCTTTTTTAAAAAACATCCCTCTTTTGCTTTCAGCCTGGGACTATTATTCATCCACTTTGTTGGATTCCATTTTTATTGCTTGAGCTTGCTGCTTCAAATCACCAAGGTCATACTCATCTTCTGTGGGAGAGATTCATTGTGAGGGAAAATAAGATGGTCCCAGTAGCAGCTGCGCCACGGAGCGCATAACGCAGGCACAAACAAAACACATGTCCAAAGCGCATACGGCCAGGTTGTGTATTTACTGTGCAGATAGGGCATGCCATTTTAGGGAGTTAAACTTAATTTTTGTGAATTTCTTCAGTGAGGAGTTTTAACCCTATGTTTTTGGGTGTGAGGAATTCAGATCTGCTTTTATTCGTGACTAAACGTTTAGCTTGGTAAATCTACATGTGTTGAAGATGCTTTCAGAAAATCAAATAATTTTAATTTTACCTTCTGAAAATGTCAAGTAATGCAAACAAACAAACAAATGCATGTATCTGACAATCATTTTTAATGAGTTCTATGCAATTTAACAATTCACTTACCAAGCAAAACTAAATTACTTTAATACAACCAAAGTATCTTTTGAATTCCCAAGTCATGTTACAACCTTTTAGCACCTCTCATTTGCTGAATTTGAAAGTTGAAAAATTCAGCAGCTCCTACTATGCTGGCCAATATTGCTACCAGACTATTGTTTTATTCTGGGTGTATTCTGCAACAAGTTATTGGCACAATAATCATGCACTAGTGCACTAGTATTTATTCTGCTTTAGTTTGTGATGCATCTTCAATGCTACCACCTTGTTGCTGTCCAGAGGACCAACAGTGCAACAGAAGTAGCCCATGAAATCCCATTTGTGGCATTAAAAATTACGGGTTTTAAGTTACGGAATATATACTGACTGGAAATGAAGCGGTTCGATCACCTAAAAACTTTTTCAGGTGAAAAACAGTATCGAAAGTGAGGGTGGACTTTGGGGTGGACTTTGGTAATTTGGTGCTCTGAGTGAGGACAAAATTTGGCTCACCCCCACTCCCCACCCCAGATTTCTTATTTTCACAATAATTCATTTTGGTACAGTTGCTTTTTTCAGGATCTTCTCAGTAGGTACCCACATAAATATAGGTATGATGATGTGCCCTCTTAGCTCAGCACCGGGGGGGCGGGGGGCAACCTGCAGTGCGGTAAACCCATTGCTGTTGCACAGGACCACCCTAATAGAATTGTGGGCACAAATCATCATGAAGTCACATCGAGAAGTCTGCCTGGAAGGGGGCCTGCACAGAATGGAGTTTGTGTCAAAATGTAGTATCCTGACAGTGCGAAATCACGCTCTGAAATTATACAGAGGCTTTCTGAAATCAACTGCAGTATTCACCCAGGAAGTGCTGTGTTGCTTTTAGTGCTTGTGCAGTGAGCAATCTGTCACTATCCTGCACAGGAAACCACCAAGGCCTCATTCCAACTTACAAAGTTAGGTGCACTTAAGCCTATTGATTTCACTAGGCTTCAGCACGTCACACTTGTATTGTGGTGGCCTTTTTAAGCTGTGCAGAAAACTACAAATCCCATGATGTAATGTGACTTTGGATGCTGACTGGGTGACTTTCAGCTAGGCACTCCCTCTGAGCCTATCCTACCTCTCACAGCTATTGTGCAGATGAAATGGGGAGGAGCGCCTGCTAAATTCCTTACATCAGGTGGTGCAGGGGACCATTGGATCTCCAGATGTTGCCGGCCTGCAGTTGCCATCACCCCTGACCATTGGGCATGTGTGCTGCAACTGATGGAAGCTGTGATTCAGCAATACCTGGAGAGCCAAAGGTTCCTCATGTCTGCCTTAGAGGAAAGGCGGGCTAAAATGGAAATAAATATGGAAGTGTTAGTAGATAATCCTTTCCTTTGGCTCTCCAAACAACCTCTGTGCTCCAAAGACCCACACCACCACAGCAAGGGCCCCACTATTGTGTTTTCAGGGGGAGAGGCACCCTTTTGAGTCTCTTGTTTCCAGAAGACAGGCATCAACCTCTCACTTGGTCTTTGGTGGAGAGGTCTGCCTCTGCATGTAAGTCGCCACTTCCTTCCTGTGCAAATGTGCAAGCGTGGGGCTGGGCCCCTGACTTCTGCTGCTTGAGGCCCAGTTGCTGGGAAAGGAGCCCATGTGATGCAGTGATTTCCTGCCTACTTCCTGGCCTCTGTCGCTTCTCATACTCGCCTGCTGTTTCTCTCTGGCTTACTCTTCTCGCTCTGCCTGTCACTTAATGTACTCTGGAGAGAGAGCACCATGTTGCGCCGGAAGCCATCCAATGCCAGTGAGAAGGACCCAGTGCAGAAGAGGAAGGTGAGTGATTGGAGAGGCAAGCACCAGGTCCTCACCTCTTCCCAGAGCCTCTTCTTGCCCAACAGATTGCTAGTAGGGGCACAACAGCAGCACTTGACCAATGGGATGAGGCTGTGGAGAGCAACAGGGCCTGAATTGCTTACGTTTCATGCTAGTCCTTTGTACCTATTGTTTTTAGAAGACTTGGGGGGGGGCATAGTTTGCCAGCCAGAGGCTAGGGGTTGTGGATTTCCTTAGGGCACGGGTAGACAAACTAAGGTCCGGGAGCCAATCACCTTCTAAATCCGGCCCGCGGACGGTCCAGGAATCAGCGTGTTTTTACATGAGTAGAATGTGTCCTTTTATTTAAAATGCATCTCTGGGTTATTTGTGGGGCCTGCCTGGTGTTTTTCCATGAGTAGAATGTGTGCTTTTATTTAGAATGCATCTCTGGGTTATTTGTGGGGCATAGGAATTTGTTCTTTCCCCCCAAAAAATATTGGTCCGGCCCCCCACAAGCTCTGAAGGACAGTGGACTGGCCCCCTGCTGAAAAAGTTTGCTGACCCCTGCCTTAGGGGCTACGCTTTGGTACAGGGGTTGCTGTAGCTCAGCGGTAGAGCATCTGCTTTTCATGTAGAAGGTCTTGGGTTCAATCCTGGCAGCTCCAGGTAAGGCTGGTAAAAGCTTCTTAGCTGAGTCCCTGCAAGGCCACTGCCAGCCAGCATAGACAATATTGAGCTAGCTGTAGCAAGGTTCTGAAAATATGGCATCTTCTGTGTTCCCCTTTCCCCCATGCTGCTTGGCACCTGTTGCTGTAGAAGCTGTCTCAGGTCCCTTTGTGGTTGTGCTATGTTAGGCAAAGCTGGACCCAGCTAGGTTCACAGCAACTGCACAGTCCACTCAAGTGGTCTCTTTGGGCAGCAATGTTTCCTTGGGGTGAGGCTGTCACACCAGTGAAACTGAGTGCCACAATCCTAGAGGGGCTCTCCAGGACAGTTGACAGCCCTGCAGCTATCCAGAGCACCAAACTGTCTAGGACAGATGCTTTTTAGATACGAGTCCTCCAGCTTGCTTCATGGGCAGGGATGGGTAAACTGTGGCCATCCAAGCCTTCCATCCCTGCTTCGGGGGGGGGGGTTAGTTTCCTTCAACAGGCACCCTTGTTATGCAGTGTCTGTGTACTGCATATTGTGGATGTGTTTGTGTGTTTGTTTTCTGACTCTGAGCTTGTTCTAGTTTAAGTGGTATGATGGGCAGAAATCCATCAGGGACATTTTCCACACCACGGAAAACAGCAGCTGATAAACAGTGCAGCACTTATGCCAGGGCAAAGGGGAGGGAAGACTTCATCTGTAACCCAGAAACACAGGAGAAATGATCAAGCCATAGAAACATGAAAGATCAGAGCTCAGTGCCCACTCTGTTCTCTGCAGACAGAGGGTGCTCTTTCTTAGGCCTATTAAATAAATGTTAAAGAATTTATAATATGAGTACAGTATTGGTCATTAACCTGTCAGTTAAATTTGCACACATTAAAAGCAAATGTTTTTGAAGCAATAAGTCTGTTTTAGGAATAAGAAGCTGCATTCATGCTGACTATTGGCTCCATCTAGTTTAGTATTGTCTACGCCGGCTAGATAGCAGTTCTCCAAGGTTTTAAGTAGGGATCTTTCCCGGTTGTACTTGAAGATGCCAGGGATTGGAACTGGGACCCTCTGTATGCAAATGTAATGCCCTATGGCTGCGCTATGACTTTCTCCCAATTTTTAGCCTATTCACATGTGTTGCATAGCTTGCATCATCTTCAAAGCTGCTTTCCTCCTGGACCTAAAACAAGGAAGATGGTGTTTGTCATCTGCAGCTTTTATATATTTTCCAAACGGCAGCCTGATTGATTTCAGGGCATATTATTTCCCATTTATCTCACTCATTAGTGGATTAAATGCTACTGCCCCAGTTTCTTCCTCTCTCATTCTTTGGGGGATGCTGTTCCCCTCACCTCTCCATCTTTTCACTTCCTCATTTCTCTCTTCAAAAACCAAACAATGGTTCAAATTCCCACAGAACAACACCCCCTATAGAATATATTTTCTGGCTTCTTACTGGGGGGCAGAGCTTCGCTAGGCAACAACCTACCTCATCAGATGCATCTGTTCTCGGATGCATTTGATGAAATGGGCTGCAGCCCGTGAGATCTCAAGCTGTAACTCAACTACAGACCGCAAGTAGAGCTGTCACTGCACAGTTTCGTTGCGGCCGCCCCACCTGGGGGGCCCTCTGAGCAAATCAGTTCCGAGTTTTGCACAGCGCTGAAAGCTTGCAACTCCGACAAGAGCTGAAGCGAGCCTTCCTACGTGTGACCGGAGGGCTACCGCAAAAGAATTGACTGTGTGTGTTTTTGGTGTGACCGGCTGATAGTCCTGCTCCGGGGGGCGGGGGCACTGCGATGATGAGCAGCTTTTGCATCGGGGCGGAGTCGCGGGGTTCGTATTGTGTGGATCAGGTGTAGGCTTACCAGCAGCTCCCAGCTCCCCACATCCACCCCTTCCTCCTGCTTTGCTTATGCACCGAGGCTTGAACTCTGCTTTGCAAGTATTTGCATTTCCAGACCTCAAATGCGCCACCGCGTGCGGACACACACACACACGCAATACCCGTCCTCTGACTTCGGCAGCTTCTCTGTTCGCAAGCTAAGCCCCACCTCCCGCACACCTTTGCCGCTCTAGCGCTTAGGCTCGAGAGAGCTTGCTGTTGGTGGTGGTGCCAAGCCACACACTTCATTCGCTGAGTGGCGATTTTTGTAGCGACCTTACAAAAGAAAAAAAGAGATGCACGCCAAATGTGAAAGCGGGAACGGCTAGGTTGGCTTAAGGCCAGTGATTTGTCCGTGCACCCGTTTCCCGTCTCTGACGGCGGGCAAGACCCAGAGCAAGGTATTAATGCAATGCATGTACAGTGGTACCTCGGGTTAAGTACTTAATTCGTTCCGGAGTTCCGTTCTTAACCTGAAACTGTTCTTAACCTGAAGCACCACTTTAGCTAATGGGGCTTCCTTCTGCCGCCGCGCTGCTACTACACGATTTCTGTTCACATCCTGAAGCAAAGTACTATTTCTGGGTTAGTGGAGTCTGTAACCTGAAGCGTATGTAACCTGAGGTACCACTGTATATTGCGAGATGAGAGGACGGGGGACTCCAAGTGTTGCTAACACTAATTGGAGAGAGAGCAGGACAGGAGCGACTTGCTCTTTCCTCTTACCAAAATGTACAGTCAGATCGTGAGCTGGCGAGGAGCGTAGACGTGCAGCTTTCTACAGTACTTCCCTCGTAACAACAGTTCATGCTTCCTTAAAAAGGCCTGCTTCCTTCCCGAGCCACGCCTTCCCACAGTTCCCCATTTACCCCCCCCCCCCCAGCCAACATATTAATAACAGAGCTTGATGTGGGAGAGGTTGTTGTTGTTTGGTATAGCCATCGCCAAATTAGTACCCGCTCCAGCTATTTTGGACTACAACTCCCATCAGTCCCAGCTAGTCTGACGTGGGTGCCACCATCCGTGCGCATGGCACTTCATAAGAGGCCAGATCTCTGCCCCGCGGAGCTTTCAAATCTAAAAATACTGCACAGTGGATGCAAGAGAGGAATGAGGAAATGAGAGGTTGGGTTAACAGGAAGAATCTTTATTTTCTCCAGTTACACCAGCTTGGATTTGGTTGCAGAATTAGTTACAACATGAGGACTAGGAGGCTGAGCCTTCACATGCCCCTCCACCCGTTACCCGATGTGTGCTCCCTGCTTTTTTCCTATATTTACATTCTGCACCCTCTTGCTCCCCTTATCAGCTGTCCCTGCAGCGATCCAGCAGCTTCAAGGACTTTCCTAAATCCAAACCCAGCTCCCCTCTACCAAGTGAGAAGGAATTCAACCTAGAGGAGGAGGTGAGTACCCCCATTTATTTACCTATAACATTTTTAGGACACCTTTTCCTCCAGGGAGCTCAAGGTGGTTCTCCCAGTTTTATCCTCACAGCAACACTGAGATACAGTGACTGTCCCAAGGTGAGCTTCAGTGCTGAATGGGGATTCGAACTCTAGGCTCTAATACTCTGACCATATCACCTTCATCACAGAGCATCTGACTCTGCCCAGGCTTATTCACATATTAATCTGTTTATTTTCTTACCCTAATATCCCACCTTTTATCCATCATAGAATGGTCACATTCTTTTCTCCAAAGATTTCTATCTATGCACTGTGATTTGCTTAGCGTGCTGGGAATTTTAGCTACAAATCACAATTCTTTGGGGGAAGCCATGACTCTTAAAGCAATATAAGTGTGTTTTAAATGTATGGTGCTGCGGGTGGTGCTGTGGGTTAAACCACAGAGCCTAGGACTTGCCGATCAGAAGGTCGGCGGTTCGAATCCCCGTGATGGGGTGAGCTCCCATTGCTCGGTCCCTGCTCCTGCCAACCTAGCAGTTTGAAAGCACGTCAAAGTGCAAGTAGATAAATAGGTACCACTCTGGTGGGAAGGTAAATGGTGTTTCCGTGTGCTGCTCTGGTTCGCCGGAAGCGGCTTAGTCATGCTGGCCACATGACCCGGAAGCTGTACGCCGGCTACCTCGGCCAATAAAGCGAGATGAGCGCTGCAACCCCAGAGTCGGTCACGACTGGACCTAATGGTCAGGGGTCCCTTTACCTTTACCTTACCAGGCAACATCTATATGGCTCCGACCAATCACCTTCCAGGTGCTGACCACCAGTTTCAGCAAAGCAAGGAGTGGTCTCATGTGCCTTGGAACCATACCTGTTCCCACGCACTGTCTACAGTCAGTCCTGCTCTTGCCTGCCTTGGGCTTCCGCTGCTGCAGCCCTGAATTAGCTGCATCACATTTGCCTCTCATATTGCAGCTCATGTTAACTTCTCCTACCTGTGACATCCCAGAGCTGTTGGGACTCTCATCAGCCTCAGCCAACATGGCCATTGGTCAAGAATGGCAGGAGCTGCATCCCAAACAACATCCAAATGGCCACAGGTTCCCCATTTCTGCTTTATATTGACAATGTTAGAGCTCCTGCCCCTTTCAAGGGATGTCGCCTGGTCCTTATTTCCCCTCTTCCGTGGTTCCTGCACTGTTTGAAACACTGTTCTGTCCATCTCTGTCCCATCTCAATAGCTACAGTTCAGCAACTGCACATATATTTACGTGCACTTTCCCCTCTCGTATTCAGTGGGGAAAGGGTGTGTAGACAGCTATGCAAATAGCTCAGCCTGTCTGAAAAGGCAGGCCTCTTCATATCTGTTGCTGGGGGCATATGGAAGGTTTGATTCACCCCACCCCACACCCAGCAAGGAGGCATCCTCCTCCTCTCCAGGCCAGCTGCTCTCAATACTTTTCCTCTTCTGTACAGGTCCCCGAAGGCAGTCATACAAACTCTGTGCCCAGCCCAGATGACTCAGGCCGAAGCAGCACCTCAAAGCTGGGTAAGAGATGGAGAGCTGCCATCTCCCGGACCATGAACAGGAAGACCGGCAAAGCAGCCGCCAAAGCTCTCGCAGAGCAGGTGAGAAAGGAGGCAGTGTGACCAGCCGACTTTCCTTTCCCACTGGACCTAAACTGCGTCACTGCCTAAAGGGAGAGGCTTGCTCTTTTCTTGTTCTTTTCTCAGCCCTCATGCTTGCTAGGGGAAAGTAAATAGGCAGCAACAGAAATGAAGAGCAACGCCAGCAAAGAGGCTCTAGGGATTAGCAATAGGCCCCTTGTACAGCTGCCTGGTGATGTCAATTCACGCAGCAAGGCCTGGGTCGGGTGTCTCGTGCGAAACAAAACCACCAAGGTCTGTAATGCTTTGACACGTTGGGTCAAGGGGCCAACAACCTTATGCTTTCAGCACCTGCTAAAGACTTTTCATTTCACCTAACCCTTTATGGAGTAGCTCGCTGGCTGTGCATTTTATTGTCTCTTACTTGGCCACTGTGATGCTTGAACAGGTTTTATTTCAGTGGTTGGCACCGTGTGCCTTTTATCCTTTTCTACACTGCTTTGCGATTTTTTTTGGATGCTAAGTGGCTTATAAATACTTTATTAATAATAATAACTCTTTGAATACTTGCCCAGAGCCTGATAAGACTGAAGCCTAAGCACCAAACAAGACATGACATTTAAATGCATCATTAATCACTGTTTGTTTGTTTTTTAAAAAATTAAAAATTAATAACAGGTGCAGAGATCCATGAGCTGCTGTTAGCCCATCAAGAAAGCACCAGCAGGAACTTTCCTTCTGAGCTTAATAGCAGCTTAGGCAAGGAGATATTCATCCAGAGCAGGGTTTCCCAAACTTGGATCTCCAGCTGTTTTTGGACTACAGTTCCCATCATCTCTGACCACTAGTCCTGCCAGCTAGGGATGATGGGAGTTGTAGTCCCAAAACAGTTGGAGACCCACTTTTGGGAAACCCTTATCAAGAGCACAGGGCAGGGGGAATAAATGGCCAGAATGCTGCAGATAGGAAGCTGACTTATACAAAATGAGACCTAAGGTCCAGCTAGCTTGGTACTGTATCTACTTGTTAATGCTTTCTGGAGTTTCAGACAGGGTTCTCTCCCAACTCTACAAGGAGATGCCAAGGATTCAAACTGGGACATATGCAAAGCAGATGCTCTGCCCCTGAGCTCTGGCCCTTCCCTGTGTGGGTGTGTAAGAACAGATACACGATTGCTAATGACATGTTAACCACCCACAGCTAACCATGATGTTTAGGACTTTAAGGGATAAATCCAGGTCCCGACTCAGCAGCATGGCATCTGAACACTTATGTAAGATTTACATACCATATTTTGAAGGGAGTAGCATAATTCATGATACCCTCTAAAGGTTTGGGAGTGGGGAGAGAAGGAACATACGACCATTAATTCCAAAATATATGGGCCCTAATAGCTCAGTGATGGACCACTGGGCATGCAAAGCACATGTTCAGTTAAAGGGTTGCCCAGCTGGGAAAGACTTTTGGTAGTTGGGGGAAGAACAGAACCGAGCAGGATGCTACAAGAAAACAGGGTCTAGACACTAGACCCGAGCAAAGTCAATCCGCCCTTCTGTCTCTTCTTAAAGCGCAAAGGGGTGTTCATTGTGCCTTATTGACCTAATGCAGGGGGAGGCTGAAGACGAGGCCGCTGCATCTCCCATCAGCAGCCCCACTGAAGACGAAGGCCCAGTCTTTCCAGAATCAAGTGAGGAGACGAGCAGCTCTCAGTCACCAAATGGTGAGTCCAGCATGAAGGCTTACTTAGCACTGAGGCTGGGCTATATAAACACTTCGGACTGCAGACAGAAGTTCTCATAAGAGGACGCCTGTCTGTACAAATAAAACCCCACAACACCAACACCAAGCTTCCTCCATAAAGGAAACGAGGCATTGTGGAGAAGGGTTCGAACATCACTTTTTTTCCTTGGCACACTAGCTTTCTGTTTGCAGGGATTTCTTTTTCTGGATGGATGAAGCAGGAGAAAGACCACAAGCTGGAGGGTAGCTTTATATCAGCACACACTGCCATACGCTGAATGATGTAGCTTGGTGAGATCTCCTAAACCCTGAGTAGCTCACCCCCTGCTGAAAAGGGAGGAGACAGTTTACATCCATCAATCACTCTGTCTCCATTTCACTGAACCTACCAGAGGTCCAGTGTCCAAACTTTAAGCCCCAGCAAAATCCACCCACTACAATTTCTTTCTTCTGATCTGAACCTCTCCTCCTGCAGGGACTGAATTGTCCAATCCCAGACTGATGGGAAGCAGCTGCAGCAGCAGCAAGAAGGGAGATGAGGCCAGCCCCATACCCTACGTTGGCCCTTTTTGTGGAAAAGCCAAAGTTCACACTGACTTCCTCCCCAGCCCGTATGATAAAGACTCTCTGAAACTTCAGGTGGGTAACAATGCAACACTTGGCATTTATCTTCCCATGCAAGTTTGCAAAGGCAGACCTTGTTCTAGCAGAGAGATCTCTTTTGTCATCAGCCTACAAAGGAAATATTTCATGCCAAGTTATTGATCAGGCCAATATGGCATCATCCTGAAAAATGGTGACCCACTGTAGGATTAGGACTGTGTAGCAAGAGTTGGCTCTGCAGATGTTGTAGGACTCCCAAGTCCCAACACTGCAGCCAGCATGGCCAGTGGTCAGAGATGGACAATATAGTCCAGCAACAGCTGCAGGACCACAAACTCCACAAACTGGAGCACTTTAACAACTGAGAGGGATAAATTAAATTTTAAAAAAACCTTTGTCATTTCTCAAGTGTTGGTTCTGGCTTTCTTCCCTTCACTCAGTATAATAGCAGGTGAGAAGCCTCTCTTTTTTTTCAGCCAAAGGGCCTCATTCCCTTAGGCAACTTTCCAAGATCAGCACACCAGGGGTGAGCAAGGCCAGAAGCGAAAAGTGGGTGCAGCAATAGATGTGTGACCATTACTTGTGTACAGCTGGCAACACCACAGCAACATGAAGAGTGGGACTAGTTTTCAGAGGGTAGCTATCTCAAACAAGACAGATCTAGGCTGGTGGCTCCTCTGTTGGAAGGCAGTAGCTTGGCTGAACCATACCTGAAGGTCACAGAAACCCCACATCCTTAGTTTGGGGGTGGGGTTGGGGAGGAAGTAGAGAGATACCAGGCTGATACCAGCACCTGTGTTCCTGTAGGACTGAATAGTCATGCTGTGTGGTGCTGTAATATCAACTAAAAGATGTGATGATTTTGCATTTGGCATAGAAAGGAGATGTCATCCACATCATTGCAAAGGCACCTGCAGGTACCTGGACTGGCCTTTTGAACAACAAGGTGGGCTCCTTCAAGTTCATCTATGTGGACATCATCCCAGACGACCCTGCACCAGTTGCAAAGAGCAGTTCGCGAAGCAGGAGCAAGAGGCCCAAACCCAAAACCTTGCACGAACTGCTGGAACGCATGAATCTTGAGGTGAGGATGTTGCCCTACCAGTAGAGCAAAACAGCAAGGCTACTAGAGGGTTGGGTTTGTGGTTCAGGGACTGGGCACACATTTTGCGTGGAGGACATCTAAGGGTCCATCTCTGAAATCTCCAAATATGGCTCGGAAACGATACCTGTCTGAAACTCTGGGCCTTACTGCTAATTAGCAAACTATAGTTAGATAGACATTGGACGGGCTAATGGTTTGACTTGGTGGAGTTGTTTTTGAGGAATGTTTGGAGGGTGCATGTAGCTCTAGCTCATTGCTGGCATTTTGCTGTACAGAGGGGCAAGGAACAAATGCGATTAACTAGCCCACGGTACTCTATATACATACAGTCGTAATTCATTTCCTGTAAAGGAATGATAGGCCAGCATGAATTTTAGCAGCCTGAGTTCAACCATAGAGCTGTCGTAGCCACTGCATAAAAGCTCTTGCAGCTAGTACAAAAGTGCAGCAATGAAGGATCTAAACGTATTGGCAAAAATTCCACAAGAACTAGCATTTGAGCTCCATTGCTGAAGATCTGTTTTGACTGCATCTATTGTACAGATGTAGGGTATCCCCCCCCCCAAGTTGCTAGTCCTCACTTTTTAAATCCTCCCTCTCTCTATAAAAACACTTATTTATGCTGTTGCACAGAGGCCTCTATCAGAACTACTATTGCCTCTGCTCGTTTCTCCCTTTGGGGGTTTACAATGAGACTTACTTCTTTTATCAGCATGTAGGACCCTAGGGCAGTTGTTGGGGGCAGGGGCTAGATCCTTGCTTTGGACTCCACTTGAAGAAACAATTTGCTTCCTTAGCACTGGGTGTTTGGGTCTGGTAGCCACCAATAAATTTCCCACAATGCTCAGGACTTCTGGGGCATTGTGGGAAATTTAAATGGAAGCAACCACAGCCCAGCACTGATCAGAATGCTGCTGTGGCCAATGTCAGGTAAGTCTACCAGAGTCTACACATGAAGTCCCCCAGTCACTGAACCTGGCTAGCTGCTCATAGCCAGCACATTGATGCTCTTTCCCATTCATCAGGAGTATGCCTCTACATTGCTACTGAATGGCTACCAGACCTTGGAGGACTTCAAAGAGCTGCAAGAGACCCACCTGAATGAACTGAATATAACTGACCCACAACACCGTGCCAAGCTGCTAACAGCAGCGGACCTCCTGCTTGATTATGACAGTAAGTGCTTTTATTAAAAAGCTTGTTTCTTCCCTTCCCATTCACAGACTCTTTAGCAGACCTTCTGCTTTGCCTGCAGAAGGTCCTAGATTCAATGCTTACCATCTCCAGTTAAAAGGGTCAAGTAGCAGACTATAGAAGATACCCCATTCTACTTGAAATCATGGGAGGCTACTGCATTCAAGGGTAGACAACACTGGCCAAATAATCTGGCCTCATGTCCAACAACTTCCCATTTTCCTACAGGTGGGCTTTCCAGTAACAATAGTTGCTTTCTCTCTCCCCAGCAAGCAGTGAGGCGGAAGATGAAGGAGGAAGCTTGGGGGGCCCTGGAGAGCCAAAGGGAGACATTCCCCGTGATTCTGGATGCTTTGAAGGGACAGAGACACTGGACAGCGGGCGAGAAGACTCTAAGCTGGGGGAAGAGCTGCAAAATCTCTCTCTGGCTGGCTCACGCTGAGAAAAGGTTTTTCCTTCTTCATCCTGGGGGTTGGTTTGGCAAATGTAAGCAGTCATCCAAAATGTGCCTGCCTCCAAGACAGAAGATACAGCTGCAAAATCAAAAGCTCCCTCTTCAGAAAGAGCAAGAGCATTGATGCAGCCTTACTACTCCCGGAGTATTGGCTGGATAAATCAATAAACCTGTCAGGTCCCAGAAACTCTGCCTTTCCCCAGGCTAGAAATTTTAAGAACAGGTTTTTGCATTTAGAAAGGCTTGTTGTTTAGCCTTCTTGCATGCAGTTGGCTCAAGCTGTCCCTCCACCCACAGGTACTGAGAACTATTGAACATGCTGCTGAGCTGAGGATGGTTACTGTTCTCCCTATAGGCTCGGTACCTTCTGGCTCAAAGGACACCCCACCCCCCCTTACTCAAAATACAGAACCGACACAATAGGGGTCATGACTGAAGGCTGGAGGTAGAACTAAATAACTGTGGTCTGTATCCCTGAAGAAGAGCAGCAGATGCAGAGATTAATGCTCTGAATGTAGCCACTGCTTTCCCCTTCTTTGTGTTGTGGAATGGAAAAAGGCTCCCCAGGAGGAACGGCGACCTAAAAAGCAGGGTGGCTTGCTCTAATGTGGGGAGGAAATGAAGATGGACAATTTGCTACTTTTTTTCGCTTTGAATATACCCATAATTATCTTGTTTAAAAAGACGTGTGGTACTGCAACGAGAGAAAGAAAGCAGGGAAGGGCCATAACTCAGTGGCAGAATGCATGTTTTACACAAGGACAGTCCCAGGTTTGATTCATGGCATAGCCAGGTAGGACCACGAGATGCTTCCCATCTGAAACTTTTGGGATGCTGCTGGCAGTGTGGACTAAAGCTCGATGGACCATTGGTCTGGCTAAATATAAGGAAGCTTCTTGTGTATCTGGTCAACATCAGGTAGGTGTAATTCACAGGCCAGCTGAACTGCCTCTGAGAAGCAGCACCATTTGGATTAGGAGATCTGCACTTTACTGGCTGGGGATGTTGGGCTGTGTTTGGCAAATTGAACCAGGGTTTCTTGGGGTAAGATTTAGCCTCTTTGTACAGGATCCCAATAAAGCACATTTACCCCCCCCCCCCCCAAGCACAGGTCTGGTACAGTGCCTTTTTGAAAAAGTGGGTTTAAAACCACCACCCTCTACCCAAGCAGCAGAAAAAAGAAACCCTCCACTCTGCTGTGGAGTGAGGCATACTGGCTCCTCTCACACAACTGTGACAGCCAGTTCATCCTGTTTGTTTCCATCAGCCCCTCATCCAATTGCCCTACGCCAGCCTACACAGAAGCCATGTCTTATGAAAACTTGAAGGCAGTTCTCCAAGCAGGTTTCCATGATAATGACTGGCAGGAAGAGATGTCAAGTATACCACACCAGGTTTTCCCTCTTTGACAACAGTTATGGCCACTGATTCAGTGTGGCTTCTCTGTTTGTATCAAAAGGGTGGTGTCCTGGCAAAGTACCACTTCACAAGGCAGGCTGCCTCTTTTTTTACTGCGGAAGATTCAGTTTAAAGTAAATGCTGCACTATAAACAGAGGCAGGGGAACTACCTACAAGCCTAACACCAATAATGGAGACTAGCAGTGGAGACAAACTGGTGCCAAGGCAACACACATAACACACCAGATAAATTCCAATACCTTCATTGAGATCAGAGGAGCACACCAAAGCATCAAGGCAGCCAGGACCATCCTGCTTCCTGGAGCAATTTGACACAGTACATTATAAAATATAATCCAAACAATATGGTTGCAACACTTGAGATTTGGTCAGTAATTGGGGAAATACGGGAGTAGCCTCTACCTTTGCCTCAAGGAAGGAGGGCAGCACTGGCAAGGCATCAAGCAATGATTGTTGGAGGTGCATCTGCCTATTCCTGGCTCCCACCATGCCCAGTGGGGGAAATAAGGAAGCTACATGGACCACACCACCATGTTAGAAGAGGAACCACCTTTCTCTCAGTCACTGCAGGGGACTTGCTTTTCAACATCAATGTTGAATCCGGGGACACTTTTCAACATCAATGGATTTTGTATGGGGACTGATATGTAAATCCAGGGACTGTTCCCGGGAAACAGGGACGTCTGGTAACCTTATCTGGTAACACACTGATTCTACCCCTGCAGATGAAGAGAGCACAAACTTGGCCAGAGTGCTTCACTACTTAGAAACACAGTGGGAAGAACTGGTGATGTGACTGTCCTAAGCCAAGTGGGAATACACTGAGATATAACCTCTCACAGCTGCAGACCATCAGGGAGAGGTGAGGGGAAGATAAGCTTCTCTGCTCTCCTGACCTGAACAGTTAGCTAAATCTTAGGAATAGGCTAAGCAATGCTCTGCTCCCACCTCAGAGATGCTGTTCACTGCACTTTGGATATGGTCTACTTAGTGACAGCTGAACTATGTTAGAATTGCATGATGCAGGAAGAAGGCTAGTTTTTCAGGAAGTGAGGGTTCCAGCTAGTTTTCTCCCCAATGTTCTTATGCGGAGGGGGAGTTTTAAAAAAGAAGCATGTCCCTACCAACAGTCTGACCAGCAGCCACAAAATTATCCTATGGTGAAGAATCCTGATGATGTGCAGTTAAGCTGTTATGAGTCTTGCTTGAAATGGCACTGAAGGCTACTCCACCCACCCACCCACCCACCCCAAACATACTACCACTCATTCAGAACCCTTTTTTTGGCAACTCCCCTCCACTTATAAACAAGGAGGGATTGGGAGGCACAAGAAGGTCTGGACAGAGCAATTACCATTTAGCCAGATAATACAAAGAGCATCACTCAACACTGGATCAACTGAGCTGAAGAGCACCAGGTGGTTTATGGGCCACAAGGAAGTTATGGAACCTCCTATGCCTGTATAGTAGTATCCTTTCCAAGCAAATGCCACTGGCTCTTTTGCTCCCAAGTCACTTTACCACCTTGTGGTCCACCCTGCCCCTTCAGTAGCCCTGACTGAGCAGCTTAGCAGAATGGAGGGGCCAGCTTTTACCAATGCTACCTCAGAAGACTGGAATGGTTGGGAGGAGGGACTGAGAGAAGACCAGGAAGACATACTAACTGGGATAAAAGAGGAAAGAGAAAAACGTACCAGAGTTTCAATATCTAGACAAATAGAGGGAGTTGGGGGGCAAGGACAAGCTAGAGCTCCCTTGGCTGGTTGTTTGATGATTTAGGACCACTTGGGGTTCAGAGGTACCATATGGCACGGTCCGGCAGGAAACATTTGGGAAGGAGCGCTATGTAGAAACTTGGTTGTCTTATGTTCCCATTATCAACTTGGCTCTGCTGGCTGCTGAGTTCAGCCAACATAAAATACTGCAACCACAGGTAGAAAGACAGTACAGAAAAGTGCCACCAGCTCAATCTTCTTCCCAGCTGGCTCCACGCTTCAACGATGTCAGGCTAGAGAGGCACTCACTTAGTAGTGTTAAGAGACCAAAGACAGGGGAAGTGGGCCTGCCCTAGGCAGCAGCAATTGCCTTTTGAGGGGGGAAGGGTCCCTCAGCAGCATAGTGGGTGCTCAGCATCCATTAGAAAGGGGAGTGCTGGCACTCATCAGTTTGTAGACACAGGTCACAACCACTGGTGAACAAACAGCCAAAGGGAACAGCAAGGCCACTGTCCTGCCAAGCTGTTTCCTGCCCTGGTCCTCTCCACAAGGAGTATGCCAAACAAAAACAGCGTTCATGTCCACTTTGAAGGCTAGTGCGTTGTCTGCTCGTGATCCAGGGATGGAACAGATGGTTCTGCTGCAGAAGGGGGCTGCGCTGTTTCCTGTGGCACCTTGCCTGTTGGCACAGGGAGCTGGAGAGGAGAAAGGAAAAAAAGAGGGAGAAGAGAATAAAGGGTGAGTCACAGCAGAGTATTAAAAAAAAAATCTATTTCAGAAGGAAAACTGGCAATTCCTGGAGGTTTCTTTTAGGACTGCATAGCAGAAATCACACCCACACACACACACCCCGCCCGAGAAAACCCCAACCAAATTCCCTGCCCTTGGCCACCAGATTGCAGAGCTGCTTACTAAGTACATTCAAAGCAAGCTGGCATCTACCACACTTACCACACTCTCCTCTGGCAGGGCACTGTCACCACTGGTTTCCTGGGCACTGGGTTTTTCTGTGGTCCCTTCTTCTTGAGTGTTGGGCTCGGGTCCAGCACTGCTTTCAAGGGCAGCACTCTCCTGCTGCAAGATGCCTCGCCTATCCAGCACGCTACAAGGAAAGGATTCGGTGGGGTGAATCAAGAATAGTAGTATACATTTTTGATCTTTTAAAAACATTTTATTGTGTTTTAATGAGTAGAGTCTGGATCATTAGGGTGAATAGGTCAATGCTTTTTTTTATTATTTCCCCTCCTCCTATGTTTTTAGCTGTTCTTATTTCTTTCTGTAAGCTGCCTTGAGTCCCTTTCAGGGGAAAGGGTGGGGTATAAATAAATAATAGTAATAGTAATAGTAATAATAGTGGGTCATTGTTGCACCAACCTCAGTTGCTCTCAGCAAGCCCTCACCTACCAGGGAGAACCAGCTGCACAAATATAAGATGGGGGACACCTGGCTTACAAGCAGTACATGTGAAAAGGATATTGGGGGTCTTAGTGCGCCACAAGCTTAACATGGGCCAACATTGTGATACAGCAGCAAAAAAAATGAATGCTATTTCAGGCTGCATCAACAGAAGTAGTGTCCAGGACAAGGGAAGTAATAGTACCTTGCTATTCCGCCTTGGCCAGACCACGCCTGGAATACTGTACCCTGTTCTGGGTGCAACAGTCTAAGATATTGACAAGCTAGAATGTGTGCAGAGGAGGGCAACCAAAATGACCAAGGGTCTGAAAACCAAGCCTACTGAGGAACAGTTGAAGGAGCTGGGTATGTTTAGCCTAGAAAAGAGGAGATATGAGAGCCATCTTCAAGTATCTAAAGGGCTGTCACAGAAAAGGTGAAGCAAAAGCTTGTTTTTTCCTCCTCTGGAGGGTAGTACTTGAACCAATGGCTTCAAGTTACAAGAAAGGAGATTCTGACTAAACATCAGGTAGAATTTTCTGACGATAAGAGCTGTTTGACAGTGGAACGGTCTCCCTCAGAAGGTTGTGGACTCTCCTTCCTTGGAGGTTTTTAAGCAGAGGTTGGCTGGGCTATCTGTCTTGGATGCTTTAGCTGAGATTCCTGCATTGCAAGAGGGTTGGACTAGGTGATCCTTGGAGTCCCTCTTCCAACTTTATGATTCTATGATAACCACTTAGGCTCTGCCTGTCATTAATTCTAGCTCAACCTACCACTGGGCTTTAAAGATATGCAGTTCAAATGGAACTATTTGATTAGATAAACAAACAAACAAACAAACAAACAAACACAGAAGGCTTGAGACATGATTTCCCTGCTCCACTGGGAAGAGCAGCAAGGAACTAGCCCAATGAAGCAGTAGCAATGTAAGCTGTCTTATCCATTTCCCTGGAATGTGATATTTCACACACACACCGCACCTCATAGACTAATATACATATCAGAACATGATTAGCTGTCCAGTTCTGTCCAGCTGTCCACCCTCAGTGGTTATCATAGAATTTTATGGTGCTTGAACTAAACAACCACCACCAAGTACCAAAACCCACCTTAAAATAATGTGTACTTAGAAATAAAACAAGTTGTTAAATATATGTTGTTGAAATACATTCTAAGTACTATGCAATTATGTTTTTTTTTTTAATGACATTCATATGGAAAGTGAATGGAACAGATGTATAAATCAACACCTGCAGAACTGACATGAGCCTGTGGCCCTGTTGTTAAAACATCAGCTTCCATCAGACTCAGCCACCACACCCGAGGGACACGGAATGAGGACATATATAATCCCACAATGCCTGAAGGACCACAAGTTCCCCATGCCAGATGTAATAAACTATAACGTGATCAGCTTTTGTGCATGTGTCTGTAAAAGTATCTTCAGCCATATGCCTCAAATAGGAGCATAATTGCTATCAGTTCTACAGATTAGTAGAAATAAATGTTTCTGCCATTCTAACTGGTTGTTTTAGTTATTTGGTTTTTTCTGCTCTTATTTTATATTACTGCGCTGATGGATATTACTTGTAAATTGAGTTATTGTACCCCACTTTGGGATCACTTGTGATGAGAGGTGGGTCAAGAATATTTAAAATAAATTAAATTAAATGGACTGGAAACAGATGGATCTGTCCATATCTCCCTGTAACCTCAACATGAAACAAGACTGGGAGATGGAAACAGGAGGAATTAAAATATGGAGCTGGTAGTCAAGGAGGAAGATTATCCCACCCAATTCCCAGAAGCTGCCATTAGTCTCTCATCACTTAGATGCACATGAGGGCCTTCAGTCCAAGCACCCCATACCCTACTATGCCCAGCACTATTCTCAGAGGCATAATGTAATATCCAAGCCCAAATCAGACCATTACCTGGGAGGCAGAGGGCCACACAAGACCTCACAGCAGTTCTTCATAATGTTGCCATGGCTATAGGGATTCTGCACACGGTTCTTCCCTGTCCAGGAACCTTTGATCTGAAAGAACAGCAAAAGGTGGAAGGAAGACCAAACACCAAAATTAGCACTCATCTGCATGATGACAGACCTCCCCCCACCCCCAACCAAAAAAGCACCTGTCTTGTTATCCTAATTCTCCCTCTCCCCTTACACTACTCTAAGAGGATGGTCCCTGCTGCTTTCTTTCTTTTTTTTAAATAAACCAAACCAATTTTTATTGTGTATATGGTACATTATACAGTATATAAAACAGGATGAATAGAGGTTTTAAATATCGCAGTCCAGATTCGGAAAGGCAATCATTTTCTTTTTCTTTTTTTAAAATAATATTTATTAATTTTCAACCGTTTAAACACAACAAAACAGAAAGACAAAAAAAGAAGAAAAAAAAGAAAAAGAAGAAAAACATAAAACTGACAAAGCAAGACACAAACCATTTCAAACACAAAACAATTTCAATGTCTTATCTTTCATTCCCTTATTTCCACGACCTCCTCACACCTCCCTTTTTGTTTCCCACTTCTATTAATTATTTCAGCAATTCCTTTCCATCTTCCTCTGTTTTCTATCCTATAATTATCTTAACATATTCTAGCCTTATTTTCCCTTTAATACACTATTAATCTATTTATCCTTGATTCCTTATAGCATTTCTACTAAAGCCATATAACTTCATTCCAACATTTTTCTAACATTCATTATTTTTACAGTATTTCTATAAATAGTCTTAAACTTTTTCCAGTCTTCTTCCACCAACTCTTCTCCCTGGTCTCGGATTTCTGCCAGTCGTTTCCGCCAATTCCATATAGTCCATCAACGTCATCTGCCATTCTTCCCGAATGGATAAATCTTGTGTCTTCCAGTACTTCACAATGAGTATTCTTGCTGCTGTTGTTGCATACATGAAACAAATTCTATCCTTCTTTAACACCAATTAGCCGACCATGCCCAGGAGAAAGGCCTCTGGTTTCTTCGAAAGGGTATATTTATTTATTTATTTTTTTTAATGATATTTATTGGAATTTTTTTTTTTTAGAGTTACAAAAGAAAACAAAGTAGAAAAAGAACAAAAAAAGAAGAAAAAAACAAACCACATCCAACAATACAAATTAAAAAAAAAAAATACACCACAAACATTTAAAAACAAATCCATTATTCTCAAATCCTCAACTGTCATTACCTTCTTTCTTTGACCTCCTCCTCCTCCCTTTTTTTGTATCCTAGTTGTTAATTGTCGCAGCAAATCCTTTCCATATTTCATAATATTCTGTCATTACATTACCTTAAACTATTTTAATCTTATCTTACTATAAAAAACCTTGAAACTTAAAACTTAAATCTTATTTTTACCAACTTCTCATAACCATAATATTCTTACATAATTCTTTAAACATTTTTACTAAAGCCAAGTAATTTCATTCCAACATTTTTCTAACATTCATCAATTTTATAAATCGGTCCTAGTAGAGAATAAATGTAATAAAAACAATCCAATCTTCATCCAGCGTCCCTTCCTCCTGGTCCCGGGTTTTGTCAGTCCTTATTATCCCATCGATCTAGCGCATTAACCTGGTAACCTTATATCCGAGGCCCTTAAGTCTCTTCCATGTCCCTTCCGCAGCTCTTCTTCATATTTGTAACTGTATTTTCCCTTATCTCTTGCTCGTTTCACTCGTGGGAACTCCAGCTTAACAATATTTTTGACCCTTGTCGAGGAGATCAGCCCCTTTTCCATAATCCACACTAAATTCCATGTGGTATTTAAGAACATGTTTCAAAATCCCTCCAAAATTAGGAGCCCCCACAATCCCAAACATCTCACGGCCCATTGCCAGACTTGAAAAGTCCAAACATCCCTGTATAGGGGGGTCTATCCAGCCCCCCATTTCCAAACCAAACCAAACTTTTTCTTTCGAAATCTGGCTTTTTCCAAGTTCATTTGTCAAATCCGAAAGCTCATGTTCCTGTTGGGCCTGTTCTGTCAGGGCACACTCCTGATTTAATTCCTGGGTGGGCTCCACATATTTTCCCACTGCCTGTTCAAAATTTCCCACTGCCTGTTCAAAATTTCTAATCGAATCAGCCATCAAATTCGTCTTCTCATGTAGCTGTTCCAGTAGGGCATTTGTTTTATAGAAAGCACACAACAGAGCTTCTGAATACATTGTCCTGCAAGGTCAGATGTCTATTCCCACGATTGTAATCTGTAACAGCTGCAAGCTCCCCGGAGTTGGTTACAGTTTCACAGTCTCCCTCTAAGGGGAAAACTTCTATTTGTTCTTTCTTTTAAAGACAAGTCTAGCAACAAAGTTTCCTTTTTCAGATATTTTGTCAATATTTGTTCCTTTAAGAAGCGAAGGGGAACAATGGAGTCAAAGTTTCTCTTCTTATAGCTATCTGTCAAAAACGTTGTCTCTGGTCAATGAGCTTCAAAAAACGTCAGTCCTAACACCCCGCTCCAGGATCAGGACGGTGGAAAGTTACTTTACTTTACCCTCACTTCTGCAGATTTAAACAGTCCGAAAAAATCCCCCCTCTTCTCCTGCTTCTGAAGGGGGTTCAACAATTTTAAATGATGAAAGTTAATCTTTTACAGGTGATTTTCTGAGCTCTAGTTTGCCATGTCTTTGCTTTAATCTATCTACAAAGAAACGGAAGGCTGACTTCCTGTTTAGACCTTCCCGTTTCAGCGCCAAATTAAGGTAAACTTTTAAGTCCAATTTTCCTTTCTGCTCACAAGTCCTTATTTAGAGTCCAATTGTCCGAGTTTAGGTACTCACGGGTGATTATTTTAGAAGCCAGATTGTCTCAGGAAAAAGGCAGCGCTCTCCGGCAACGGCTGTGCGGCTTCGCTCCACAGAAGAAGCAGTTGACTCTCAGCACCGCGCCACTTCCCCCTCTTCGCTCCGGAGCCCGTTAATGGGTTCTTTTGCGGGTTGGGGGGGCGCTAAGGGTGCCGGCAGAGTGCCTTGGTCTCTGGCTTCATCCGCCTGTGATTTTTGAATGGGTCCCCGCTTCGCCGTAGCGGAAAAGACCCGATTCCCGTGGAGCTGGTCCCTCCAGTTCAGAGGGAATCCGCCATTGCCGATGGCGCCACCCCGGATGTCCCCCGAAAGGGTATATTTAAATACCTTTTTCATTTCGTTATGAATCATCTCCCAGAGTGTCTGAATCCTTGGGCATGTCCACCAAAGGTGAACTCTAATCCTCAAATTCGTGTGTTTTTCTTTAAGTTCAGTCATAGCAAGCGTCAACTTATGTTCATCCAATTGCCTCTGTAGGGCTGGGGCTCTCTTTCTCTTTCTCTCCAGTTGTGTTACTTTACCTTCAGCAGCAACAGCTTTTCCCCTGACTTCCTCCACAGTTTGCCATATCAAAATAGGTTCTTGTATCAATTTCTGGGTGGTTTCTGTATTGGTATTATTTATACTTTCTGTATTTAAGTTAATTTTGGTAATTGAAACATCCACTTTCGCATTTATCATGTCCATTTTCCTGTGAAGCTGATCCAATGAGTCATTTATCTTATATAATGCAGCCACTAAAGCCTCTTCTGTCAACATTCCTCTTGGTTTTAAATATACTAGTACAAAGACAACAACAGAAGGAGCAGGAGGGCCTAATGATAGACCTCTCCTGGATTGTTACCAAGTCCTCCCAGACCTTAATGTTTTGTCAGCAGTTGACTGGTCTGTTTTTTCTCTTCCATTTACCATAACACTTAAAAGATTCAAGGTCAGTCCCAGAGTCTCACGGTTTTTAACTTGCAGCTGGAAATTCCCCTAGTCCAGCTCTTGTAAAGAGCTCTTGTAAAGCAACCGGTTTCAAAGGCTTCCACTAGGGGGAAACAGTTTCTATTTGTAATAGTCAATAGTATCCTCTTTTAAACAATCCAAAGTTAGTTTCAAATTAGTTTCAATTTTCAGTTACTTTTACTCCTTTTTAAAGCAGCCGGAGACAGTAGAAACAATGTATTTCTCTTATTTAACTAGCTGTCAATGAACATTCTAAACGCTGTCAATGAACATTCCAAAAGACATCAGTCCTACTAGCAGCCCGTTTCCAGGGTAAGAGCGGCGGTGTTTTAAGTCTCTTCGCTCTCTCCCGCAGGCATACTCAATCCGCAACTTCCCCCTCTCTTCTCCTGCCTCCAAGAGGGGGTTTAATGTCCTTTACCGTTGGAAATTTGATCTTTTACAAAAGACCTTCCAAGACTGCAGCTTGCAACTTCATTGCCTCAGTCTATTTACAAAAGGTGAAGGTGGACTTCCTGTTTTGAACCTCCCCGTTACGGTACCAAATTAAACATTTAGAAATCCAATTCTTCCGCTTCAGCTCTACTCACAGGTAATTACTTTAAAGTCAAATTGTCCACAGGAAAAGGTCAGCGCTCTCCGGCAACAGCTATGCGGCTTCGCTCCGTGGAAGAAGCAGACAATTCGATGCACCGCGCCGCTCACCCCACGTCGCTCCAGAGCCCCAAAAACTGGGGTTCCCCGCGAGTGGGGGAGGCGCAAAAGGTGCCCGCCGAATCCCACGTCCACAGGCTTCTCCCGCCTGTGATTTTAACGGGTCTCTGCCTTCGCCGTGGCGACCAGACCCAGATTCCCACGGAGCAGATTCCTCCCGGTCAGAGGAATTCCGCCATTACCGGAGGCGCCTCCCCGGAAATTTTGGTCCCTGCTGCTTTCTTAATTACTTTGGTCCTAATAGAAACCTTTCTCATTTACAGAGCAGATTTGCTCCCAGAACATGGGCGCAGCTGGGGGTGGGGTGGTGCAGCTGCCCATCATCATATAAATAATAAAAATACTTAACTGACCAATCGCATCACAGACAACTCAGTTTTGCCCCCTCCCCAGCCTCCCCCCCCCCCGCGCTAACATAAATCCTGGCTATGCCCATGTCCCAGAATCTGGTACGTCACTGAAAGACTCGACAAACTGTTGTCCAGCAAAACTTTTATCTTGCCTATTAATCTGCACTTGAAAAAGTTTCTTTCAGTTTGGTAGTCTCTGGAGGCTATGACTGAAAAAGAGGCTCCCAAAGTAGAGAAGCCAGAGCTGCACCTTCCCCAAACCTCTAAAACATTTCAGAAAGAACTAGAGATTTTAAAAACAAAATAAAAGAAAGGTTCTGCAATGTTATTTGAAGGAATCTGATTTAGTTCAAATCCATCCAAGAGATGTTTTGGACCATGTTCCGATGGTATTTAACCACTCCTGCCCATCAAGATTCCCAGCCCATGTTTGCATTTAGCAGCCTTCCTACAAAGAGTGTGAGGAGTCACAGCTGGAAGGCTGCTTGCTGGAAGGGGTGTATCTTTGTATTGACACTCACATCTTCGTTAGTTGTCTGGTTCAGTGCTACCAGAAAAGTGTGGAAGCCAGTTAAACCCACGACAGACCAAAGTGTGAAGAAGCAGATCAAAACCTCCAGGACTGTGAGCAGCTGAGTTAGGGAACAAGAACTGAACTACAGATGGCTTAGCTTCCCCCCACATTGCAGACAACCCCACCCTGATGCCCCTCCATTCGAGATGGTCTCTCTCATTCTCCACCTGCAACAGGCAGGTTAGAGACAGCTGCAGCGGAAGCAAAAAGGATATGTCCCTGGGGTTTCTTTCAGAGTATTCAAAAAGCCAATCTTCAGGGATTCTATGTGAAAGGAGAAAAGTTAGTTAGTCTACAGGTGCCAAACAAACCAGGAAGAGCAGGTATTGTTTCCCAATAAAACCACCCCCTTCCCAAGTGATCTTTCAATCACCAGCAACACAGCCCCTCTTCTCCTCCTCCGCCCCCCCCGCCAAAAACATGGACTCACTCAGGGCAACGTAGACAATGTTGAAGGAGAAGATGTAGATTGTGAGAAGAGACAAGGAGAGGATGAAGAGGTAGAAGTAACGATAGTTCCTCTTTCCCACGCAGTTGCCCACCCAGGGGCAATGATGATCAAACCGCTCTGCAAGAGCCAGACAAGCACATCAGCAGAGCCATAGCTGTACCTCTCCACCCTAGCCGTATAACTCTCAGCAAGAAGTCAGTACATACATATATAAATATATATGTATTTGAATTCCACTAACATGTCAAAGATACATTGCAATTTCCTGTACTAAGTTGCTAATGGACAGATTCACATACCCATTTTTGGGGTGGGAGAACTGCCAAGGAGCAACTTTTCGCTTTAGAACCCACATGGTAAAAACTGCCCTTTTGGAAGGAGGCTTTTGTGATTATATCCGAAGTGGCCACATCCCAGGAAAAAAAAATACACTTCTTTTCTAACCTTTCACAGGTATAGAACAAGCAGTTTTACCACATGGATTTATTTATTTTTGGCGGGGGGGAGGGGATTGGTGTAGGGCAATGCCTCCTCCCTCTGAATCTGTGACAACTCTTAAACACAACTGCCGATGCACTACTCTCAGGAAGAGGTAACCTAACCTTGCTGTTGGTTAGGTTCCAGATCACAGCACACCCAGACTGCCTGATGATTGTCTAGGCACCAAGAACAAAAACTGAGAATGTAAAAAAACTGAGAATGCTTTTATGTAACAAAACCAAAATCAAGTTCCTAGCCCTTATGGCTGAACAGAGGACTGAAGGTGTGGAGACCATGCCTGGTCAAATTTTACATATTGTAAAGATGGAAATTCAGTGTTCCTTCCGTGACTAACAGAACCAGGACACAGAATTCAGCCATTTACAGCAGGGAGCTTCTTTATTTGTAGTAAATATACAACAGTTTTCTTGTGACCTCTGTCACAGATTATCAGGAGAACTCCTTTATTAAGCTTCTTTTTTCAACCACAATCACAGTCCCACTACTCACCCACACAGTTGTCACAGATGCTGCAGTGTGAGGCACGTGGTGGACGGAAGATCTTGCATGTGTAGCAGTATTTCAGCTTCACTATCTGGTTATTGATCTGAAAGTTCTTAATGCGTGGGGGTGGCCGCTGGCCTGGAGGCACAGTCCCATTGGTTGCCTCTGCAAATGAAAACCACTTTGAATAAGGCAGGGGTCACTACCATTTTCAGTCAAACTTCTGAGAGCTGTATGCCAGGGTAAAAGTGAAAGTGGGCACTACCAGTCTACACTCTCTCACACAGCATAATCACCACCCACCCAGGCAGACAACTAGACAGATATAAGGGTATCTTTCTCACACACAATGCACAAACCACTCCACAAAAATTAAATCTCTGCTCTTTGGAGATGGTGGTCTTCTTCATAATTTTGTTCCCCATCACAGGGTTGGGCTGGGAGGAAGCAAAGACACTTCTTCCTGCTATTGCCAGTGTTTATTCTTCCCCTTGTGCTCTTGCTAATGGCTTAGAGGTGCTCAGGAAACAGGAAGGAGCACTTCCTGTTTCCAAAGCACTCTGATGTCATAGCAAAGGCAGTGCACAAAGGGAGGGAAAGGTGCATTTACAGGGGGGCTGACAAGCCACTTTGGACAGCCTGGCAGGCCTGATTAAGCCCATGGGTTCAGCACCCTGGTATGCAGCATAAGGTAAGTGGTGTGTGCCCATATCTCTGGCCAGGACCCTACCCTCTCATACCTTTCATCATCCAGGAGCAGAGAGGGAATACTTTCCATACCTGCAGACTCAAGTGGTTAAACTATGCTTGGAAGGTTTGAAGAAGGCACAGAACAGGCTAGAACTATGTTTGGAAAGCTTGAGAAAGATGCCACCCACTCACCAATCTCCATTTCAATGAAAGCTGCCTCATCAGGCAAGGCTCGAGGAATCACTCCTGGGTCACTGAAGCTTGTGCGCAGGAGGGTAGCCATTGCAAATAGGAAGAGGACAGCTCCAAAAACAGGGATAGTTGGGGACAGATGGACAGCAAGATAGCGACACCTGTAATGAGAGAAAAGCCCATAGCAACTGAAATCAGACACAAAGCCTGTTGTGTGCCAAATTATGCTTGGGGGGTGGGGCTAAAAAAAACAAACCAACATAATTGCTTTAAAATGTTGCCCTTTGACTTCATGTCTCCTTGATGCTCAGAGGCAGTGAGGCATGAAAAAAAGACCTTGTACCAATAGAATCAGAATTAAAGCAAACGCCATGGATTTCCCAAGTCCCCTGGCTGGAGGGTAGAAACTGATATTTGCTGCAGATTTCTGTGTTTTTATTTTGAGAACCCCTCTTTTCAAAACATGATTTTAACTCTGCCATTTTTTTAAAAATTACACTTTTCAGTTCCATTGTTTGTTGACGAGAAGAACTAGGAAAAAGCTGAGCAAATGCTAGTGAAGTCTGATAATCGAACAAAGTCTACACAGCACACTTTTGGGGCCTTCTCATATACCTATGTTTGAAAGTTAATGTTTGAAAGCATTTATCTGCCCCAGGAAGCACTGAAATCAAAGGGCAGTCTTTTGAAAGGCAAGACTCTGGCAAAAGCACAATGTTTTTGAACAGCCCTCAAGTACAATGTATTTGCATCCATAATATAGGCTGGACTTTCCATTCTAGCATCCGAGCCTTGTGGGCACCAAAATACAAGGGATTCAAACAGCAATTACTTTTAGAGATGTAAATGGGGTGGGAGGGAGAGGAGAAAAGCCCTGTATGAGAATAGGCACACTGTACCATTTTCTAACAGCTAATGACACCCACTTCCAGCCACCACCTGGGATTTTATTTCCATTTTATATCCCACCTTCTTCCAGTCAGAACTGAAGGTGACATGGAGAGGGTTCCTGGATGTTGAAAGCTGTCTATCTAATTCAGTATTGTCTACACAGTAACAGGCAGTAGCTCTCCGGGGTTTCAGACAGGAAGTCTTTCCCAGGCCTACCTGGTAGGACTGAGCCTGGGATGTTCTGACTGCAAAATATGTATCCCACCCAAGTGCTGATTGGACTGGGACCACCAGCTTACTTTCAGAATGGTTGCTACAACATGCACCTTTGCATCACCATCCCGACCTTTTACAGTTAAAAAAAAAAAAAAGGACAGGAAACAGAGATCTGCAGAGCATCACTATGTCTATCCTATGCCTATCTTAACAATGTTCCTGCCCAAAAGGATGCTATCACTAAGACAACAAGGAGGTAGGTAAACTGTGGAGGAAAATCTAGCAAGAACAAGAGAAACAAAGGAGAGGGGGAGACAACCCCTTTCCTGCAGCAAAAGCAGGAAGTGGGATGCTGACAGTAGCTCTGCGGCCTCCACATCCCTGCTGGAGCCAGCAGGGAACAACCTCTGCATGGAGGGAGCACAACCCATGAAGAACAGCTGACTCTCTGGAAGCCTTCTCTTCTCTCTCCCCCCCCCCCCGTTTTCTTTTTTTACACACACTCTCCTATTGAATTAATATCTAACAAGAAATGCTGCGACACCATTTCCAAGTTTCTACCTCTGGTTTAACAGCTCACTGATATGACAAGACCCCTCAATTCTGAATTTGGGAGTCAGAATAATTAATCATGGAAGTGTGCACATACTTCTTTTGCACAAATAATTCTGCTTTTAAGAATGAGGTGTTTACAACAGTACCTGTTTTAACAATTGTTAGAAGGGAGGGAAGGAATTATAATTGAGATAGGAGTCAACTTGAAAGGTCAAGGAGGCTAATTAACAGCCTTCGGAAATGGAAAACCACTGCAAATGTTCCAGTGCCTCCTGTGCCATTTTAGAGTATTTATTTGGAAGAAAATAGATGATCTTACTAGTATCAGGGACAAGTCTTTACTGTTTTCAAACCAGCTTATCTGAGGGCTAAATACATGTTACATTATTTACACTTCATAAAAAGTGTGTGCTTAAATATGAGCACTTTTATTTGGAAGAAAATGTTGTGGGGCCCCAATCCAGATTAGGAACCAGAAGCAGTTTTCTGTTCAAAAACTCCTACCTTTCAGGAGTACACTGCTATGGGCCACCAACCTGGAATGGAGTCTCACAGCTGCTTTCTCCAAAATAAAGGTGGGTCAGTTTTAAACACACTTTAAGAAAGAAGAATGAATTATATTGTTATTTGGCCCCATGTCTAGTACTTTAGAAATCAGTAACTTGCACAAGCCACCAGAAATCCACTCCAGCAACTACATTCTCCCAGCATTCTAATGTTGCTTCACACATATTTTTGGCATTCCAAACATTCAGAAGGCTTGTTTCATTACTCATCTGATATGCTCTCTTTAGCGAACTAAAATTAAACTTTCAGAACAAAAACACCACCATATGAACAAGGGTGGGGTCACGTGCATCAGCCAGCTAAACTTGTGTCACCATTAAAACAAATCAACTGGAACTGACAGACAGAATTTCCTTCCACGCCCTCATTAGAGAGAATATGGGAAGAACCCCAGAAAGAGGAATCTTTAGCTGAATGTCCAATATGCCCATAAGCCAAACAGAAGCCCCATTTGATAGTGGCTACCAAGTAACAAAAACAGCCCATGCCTCTCCCTCCATCCCTTAATAGGAAATTTTCAGTATATGGACCATACTTAAAATCTTTCCAACTGGCACCCGGGCAGCTTACAGTAATAGAAATTCCAACCAACCAATAGTGTTAAACACAAAAATAGAAGGAACAGATGCAAGAGCAGCAGCAACCACCACCCAAATCCAGGCAAGTGGTGACTTTCCCACCCCTCAATCAATCAATGCTAAAAGCTCATCAGCATCCACAGTGAAATACTTTTCAATGCACTCTTCTGTACTCCAAGCAACCTTCACATTACTAGCAAGTGGGATTGCCAGCCACAACCCTTTCAGTGAAAACATGCCTCCAATATCTGAGATTAAATATTTAGCCGTATGCCACAGCTGCAGCAAGAATTTTGTTAGCCAAAAATTGGAAGCTACAAGAAATACCAACAGTGGAGGAATGGCAGATGAAGATGATGAACTTTTTAGAGCTGGCTGACCTGACTGGAAGAACCCACAATCAGAAGGAGGAGGAGCATCAAAAAGAATGGAGGAAGTTCAAGGACTATTTGGCTAGATATTCTAACATAATTTAAGTAGAACTACTTGTAAGTAACAAATTGGCCTAGGAGTAAAATAGATTGAATTGTATAACATTATGGACTAATAAGACTAATAAGAAAGAAAGATGTTAATGGAACAAGTTAATTTTATTTGAAAGTGGATTTTGGAAAACTGCTAAAATGAGTACTATGGAAACATAGTTAGGGCGGATCTGAGGAAGTCATTTAACAATGTTATTTAAATTGGGTCTTTAACAGTTAAGATATATGTTTGTTTGTTTATTGTAATGTTTTCTTTGTGTGTTCATTATAAATTTGGAAAACCAATAAAAAAATCTGGGGGGAAAAGAGAGATTAAATATTTAGTATGGAAATTTTTATTTGAAAGCACTAGAAGTTTGGTAGCAGGCAGGGAATATGTTCAAATTCAAAGGGCACTTTAATCATTCATGGAAATACGAGCAAAAGACTTTTTAAAAAAACCTTATTTGTAGGCACAACTATGACACAGAAGCTTGGTACTTTGACAGGAATTTTGCATACCATCATTTATGAAACTGATCTAGCCAAACCTGCAGGTTCATTGTGCATCACCCTAAAAGAGAATCTCTGTTCTTGGTGTCAAGTAAAAAAGCCTGTTCTTTGTCATTTCTTGTTCCAAGACTCACATTTTAAGTCCTGTTTTTCTACATGTGCACAAGTCACTTAATATATCCAGATCTATTTCACTAGACAGATCTCTAGGTAGAATAACTTTAGAAAGAAATTGGACAGAGTCATGACTCATCAGGAAGACATACACATCACGTGAAACTCTTGCCAGCCCACTAAGCTTCCTTGGGAATTCCACCTCCCCTCTCAGGATATCATATAAGGGTTCTTCCCTATTAAATAATGTTTAGCTTGCCGGGCTTTCCTCCACAAAACCAAACACCAGCCAGCGAGGCAGCACTAGCAAAAGCAACAAGCAAGTCCCACTTGTGAAGGAAGAATCTCCTGGCCCCACCATTCCTAAGTCAAGCTGTCATATACCTTCCTCACATGCTCTTCAAATGCAAAAAGGTATTAAGATGCCTACCTGGGAGACTTGAGTTATCTGCCCAACTAGCTCTGGCTCCCCATTGGTTAGAAAGAGTCAAAGGTCATTCCCTCAAAAGAGAGGTAAAGAGCCTTTAAAAAGTTGAGCTGCCTGCCTTTTGGGGGGGGGGGGGTTGAAGATTGGGATTTCCATGCCACTGGGAAGCTGACCATCCTTGAAGCCTACTCTTAAATATATTAGAAGTATTATATTGTAGTGGGTGAATTAGGATTAGCCCAGTTTTAGAGCCACAGTGCTATGGTTTATTCTGTATTCAGTTTTTACCTTCCACTTGCTCCTCCTCTATCTATTACTTCTAATAAAATTTCACAATTTGGCCACCGATGTGTGTGCAATTGCCAATCTCAGGATTCTAAAATCTCCATGTGCCATCTGGGTGAGTCTTAGGGAGTGTGGACTGCCTTTAAACTCTGAATAACTTAGAAGGTAACTGTCTGGGAAATGAAGGGTGCATTGGTCCCAGAATTCCTGGGCTTTAGGAAGTTTGGGGGGGGGGGTATGACAGGGAAACAAGAAAGCTGCCGTGATATCAGAGTAGGAGAAGGCAATTGGAAGCTAGCCCTGATTTTCCCAGCAAGTTGTGTGCAAGTTGAACCAAGGACTGCAGAGTACACTGGCTCAGAACCTTTTTAGAAATTAATTCTGTACATGCTCAGTTTTCCCCCTTGCTTCTGGGGCTGTGGGTGACAAAAAAGGAGGGTGGCAGCAACTATCGGAGAGCAGGACCCAACTGATAACACTGCACAGCTGTTGTGCAGAGTTGGGCAAAGAAGGGGATGTAAGAGGCTCTCCTGGGCATGCCTCCTTTGCCACATCACTATCATAATAGCAAGGCTTAAATAGTCATGATCAAATTGTACCAGGAAGCAAATGTGTCTTGACACAGTCGCATCGCATTAGCAAAATAGCAAAACACATTACTGAAAACAGACTACATGGCATACCAGTTTTAAATGAATGCCTACTGGGCAGCAAAGAGCAAGTCACACACCCACTGACACAGCCTTGTGAAGAATAATAATGTTGAGGATGATCATTCATCTCCTGTTCCACTTGTCTATGCAGCTTCTTCTCCCTACCTGTTATATACAACTGCTGGGTCATTTACAGTCAGGAGTGGGTCTGCACTTCTTTCCCATGCAGAAATCCCAAATACGCTGGTTGTACCAGTGACACACTCTCTCAGCACAGTCTCTCACACCCCTTTGCTTTAAAAGGCCAGTAGCTCTTTGAAAACTACAGAACCAATACACAGCCAGGGGGATTTAAGCTGCTAGTCCCAGGTTTAGGTGCTAATGCTAAGAGGTGTAGCAGTGTCAGCAAGTAATCAATGGCAGATGTGAAGCGAAGTGGCCAGAGCATAGGAACATGGGGTCTGTTTATCCAAGCTCAAGTGAGCATGGCTACACTAAGATTAAACTGAATGACGGTTTATTTCCCTTTCTCTTTTGCTCGTGCAAGTATTTCCCAAGAAAAGACACATTTTCAAAGGTTTAATTCACTGCATCAGGTTTGGAAGTCACATTTTGGGAGGCGCTCTACAAATAAAAACAGAAGGGCAGATGGTGCATATACAAAACATGACTACACCTTGCTGGGACAAAAGCCAAGTTGCCACATGACAACAATAACAGAGCAAACTGAGGTCATGCCAAACAGAATATAATAAAACTTACATTAGATAGCTCTTGTAACTAGAGAGAACACATGCATCCCCAAAAAGAGTAATTGAGAAGCTGACTTTCACCAAAGGACTGTAGCTCTAGGACAGCACCTGATCTGCAGGTAGAAGGTCGCAGATTCAGTCCAGGTGTCTGCAGACAGGGTAGGGAGATACCCATCAAAAATCCTAGAGAGCAGCTGTCAAGAGAGTGTAGACAAAACTGAGCTAGATCAGGGGTGAGAAACTGGATCTGTTTGGTGGGTCAGATCATCACACACCTACCTCCTATGGGCCCAATGTGACAAATGGGTAGGGCCACCAATCTGTCAATCACCTGATGAAACAATGCCAAGCAATGACAGGACTTTAAAACACTATGCAGGACTCTTTACAAGTTTCTTACAAAGAACTCTGACCCGTACTTTGAAGCTGCTAAACAGACCAATGGTCTGACACAGTATAACTTATGTTTCTAATCCAAGGATAAATGGATAGAAGCGTCCTGAGATTTCTTCCATGGCTTGAACAAGCTCCTAATTCAGTTTCAGCAGGCAACACAACATTGCTATAGTTAAAACAGCAGCAAATAGGCACTCTTCTACCCAAAGAGTAACTCAAGTAACAGTCAAATGAATAGTACATTAAGATTTTCAGGAATCTGTGACACTGATTTGACCTCCTCTAGAAGACAGGTTCAAACACTGAACATTCCAGACTTTCTCCACAACGCCATTTCAAAAGTGACATGGTTTTTTTTAAAAAAATTGTTTCACTTTGACCACAAGAAGGGGAACAAATCGCAATAAACCAATTAACCTGACCCCTAAGGTTAGACCAATACAACAGAATCAGCAATAAGTTCCAGGGTATGTACACAATGAATGTACATAGCAGTCCTTGATTTTACCCTTCACCATGTCCTGTTCTCATTTCTGTTATTGTATTTGCGTAAGGAGGTGGTGCCCAGGACCTTAGAGAAACACAAGAGAACTGGAGTGGTACGAAGATTCAAACTCTTCTTTTCCCTTTAAAAGCATGCCCCAACATTACAGATGAAAAGAAAAATCCCTGCACAATCTGCTTTCAAATGTGCATCAAGAAAATAGAATGGCTGGGGAAACCCAGTTAGATGGGTGGGGTATAAATAATAAAATTAATATAGTGAGACAGAGCTGCACAAAGTGCCAGGACCTGGTTACTCCAAAACTTCTTCCCATCCATAGTCAATTATTGTCAAAAACATTTAAATGGCTTGACAAATGTTCAGTGTTCTCAATTAGGGATCTACCTTACCCAAACAAGGACCCATCAAGGAGCATGTGTCACTCAACAAGAAGATGCCAAATCACACAACAGTCAAAGGAGTCTTGGGTGTTCACTGTTTTATCAGAATCTGCTGCTAATTTGGCAATAACTTGCTGTGCACCACTATGACAGTAGTGATGATCATTACTCCAAACCCAGGATCAGAGGGCAGCTTCTCAACAGTCAGTGAGGTATAGCAGCTACAGTAGTGTATGTACATCAAGAGAGACCCTGGTTTGAATTCCCATTTGGTAATGAAGGTCACTAGATCACCTTGAGCCAGTTACCATCTCTTACTGCAGCAATAGGGAACCTGGAGCCCTCCTGATGTTGTTGCATTACAACAACATTATAATTCCCATCATCCTAAAACAATGGCCATGCTTGTTGGCACTGACAGGAATCCAGCATCTGGATGGCCTCACCCCTGTCTTAGCCTAACCTACTTAACAGTGGCACTGTGAAAATAAAAGTGGTGCTGGAAGAGAACCATGTATACCTTAAGTTTAATGGAGAAAAGGCAGGATTTAAAATACAACAATAAACTCTATTATGCTAGTTCTGAAGCATCAGTTCATATGCTTCCCACAGGTAGCTGGCTCCTAGGGGTAGATCTGTCAACTTGTTTGTATCATGTTTAGAAGAGAGTCAAAGTAAACCTTCAGGCAGATAAACCTGGAGACTCAACATGCATGGAATTTGAACATAAGAACCACCTTCTGGATTAGGCCAATGGCCCATCTAGTACAACATTCTGTTCTTAAAGTAGCCAACCCAGATACCAATGGGAAGGCTGCAAGCAGCACAGGAGCACTCCGCCCACTTGTGATTCCCAGCAACTGGTATTTAGAGGAATACTACCTCAGGCAGTGGAGATAGAACATAGCTGTCATAGCTAGTTGCTATTGATAGCCTTATCCTCAGTGAATCTATCTAACTCTCTTTTAAAGCCATCCAGGTTACTGGCCATTAATGACTCCAGTGAGTGGGAGTTTCATAGTTTAACTATGCGCTGCGTGAAGAAGTACTTTCTTTTATCTGCCCTGAATCTTCCAAGCTGGATTAGAAATACTAGCTTAGTCCTACCTACCCCTCCCTCCATCTCATCAGCAAATGCTTGAGTGCTTAGCAAGGTGAGCTGGAAATGATGTGAGTGCCAACACACAATCTAGTTTTGCGCAACAGCTGCTGGGTAGAAACTGGATCAATCAGTCTATTATCTGCCAGAATGTCACATGCACAGTGTCTTAAGGGGCTCATTACAAACGTAAGTTAGCAAAATCTCTAAGAAAGAAGGCTGAACCTGTGGCAGCATCCATGATTTCAGGATCTTGATATGGACATACCTGGACATATATCTGGACATATATATCGATTAAGAAATCAAAGGATCATAACCCTTAAGTGATTGTGTGATTCTATATTAACCTCTTTCTGTATAATGTACCATCTTTCATTAATTACTGGGGATTATTTCCAAGTAAATGTACATAGGATCAGATCATAATGATGATTTTAGAAGAGACATTCAGAATAAAGCAAATATGACCGTGTTTAGGTTCCAAATCAGAATTCAAGTTTGCTAGTGCGAAGAGGTGCCTTCTAAGCTGATTCTTGATGACAGCAGAGTTAAATCTAGCAACCTGCACTGATATAATTAGTTGACAGACTTCATGCTTGGCTACATAAAATGTTAATATCAAAGTTTAGAAGCCTTCACAAAAAATTCCCAGTCTCAATAACTTCTTCTTTATATCATTTCTTGCAATGACACATGAATTCAAAACAATTGCATCTTAAGAGTTAAAAAACCAGCACCTACAGTGGTACCGCGGGTTACATATGCTTCAGGTTACAGACTCCGCTAACCCAGAAATAGTACCTCGGGTTAAGAACTTTGCTTCAGGATGAGAATAGAAATCATGCTCCAGCTCCGGCAGCGTGGCGGCAGCAGGAGGCCCCATTAGCTAAAGTGGTGCTTCAAGTTCAGAACAGTTTCAGGTTAAGAACGGACCTCCGGAACGAATTAAGTACTTAACCCAAGGTGCCACTGTATTTCCAGAGATGATCCTAATTTCAGCTCTCAACAATGCAATCAAGGTGAACTATGGGATTCTTAGAAGGTTATTTCTTATATTTATTTTTTTCTACAAATATTGGCTCCAAAGTTTACTTACAGTAACACATAATCTACACTCAGAGATATCTCTCTTGATGCATACTATATTGCGGCATGGTTTCAATAGCTAATCTGGAAAGCTCCTTCCAAAAAAGCACACTCATTTGTCCTGGGTAAGTGACTAGCCATAAGTTTATTAACCTGGACATTCAACAATCTGAGTAGATAAACTTCAGACCCTTTGTGTTACCAAATGATTCATAAGCTCTAGTGATGAGCTGTTCAGTTAGCAAGCCAATGGTTCTCACAAATGACGCTGTAAGCATATTTGGCATAAATAAACTGAAGTAACATCTTCTGCAATGCCACTTCCTAGTTTACAAGCCATCATAATCAGATTATCTTTTCACAAGCAACTCACACATATCAAATCCACAATGGCAGCAGCAAACCACTAAGATACAATATTCATATCTTCTGTCCTCAACCAAAAACAACACCTTTCAGAGGTGGTACAGTACTTTATAGAGGCTAACAAGGCCCTGTGGATCTAAAGGGCCTCACCCTTATTCATCCCCTTGCATGAGACAAAGGCAAAATGATTTCCAATATATTCACACAAGTTTGAGTTGGCTGGGTCAGATTATGAATCAAAAAAGGATTTTAAAAATATCAGCATTGTTTCACAAATACTTCTCAAGATGGATAAAGACATCTGATTACCAATCTACTCTGCCCTTACAATAGCAGGCAGCAGCTCAATATTTCCAATGAATATGTACTCTTCTAACAGTCAAAGCAACTCAAAGAGTGGAGCCATTCCAACCAACCACAGCCTTGAAAACACCCACACAAACAAAAGTTTCAACCACTGTGAACTTACTCAAAAGCAAAGAAGAGAGCACAAGTTCCCACAATGAGGAAGAGGGTCAGATAGAAGATGCCTTTCTGTCGAGCCATCATGATGCGTCCATCACAACAGAATGTGTTTCTTCCTGGCAGCTTCTCCCATTTCCGTATCACTTTCTTCCTTGCTATCATCACAGACATGGCTGCACCTTCACAGAAGGCAGGACAACTGAGCAACAGTCGATCTCCACACTAGCCACTGGGATTCACACACCATTCTCAGAGATCCAGCCTCAGCCCCTGTAGAGGTAGAAGACAAGGAAATTAGTTAGCATGGTTGTCACGTGACACCTGGATTTAAAAAATTGTCTGAAATATCATTGCTGGAAGCATTTCCTTCCTGGTACACTCACATCCTACTCCCAAGCTTAAGTCATTCACTGAAAAGCACTCTTTTAAATGACATTAAGTGCCTATCTTATCCAACAGGAAGCACAGAATATGGCTTGCGCCATATCTCTAGTATGAGGAAGGCGTACACACTCCCAATGTTTTACAGTTCATCAACAATTGCAATAAAAGAGACCTCACACACACTTGTGGCTGGGTGTGTTCCTCAGAATCCTTCCCTATACCTCAACCAGGAGGGATGCCAGATAGGTACCAAGAATTGCAATAGATTTGCTCTTCTCCCAATGACTTGCCAGTTTGGATCACAAAGAGCAGAGTCTTGCCGGTCAGAAGGTCAGTGGCTCAAATCCCCGCAATGGGGTGAGCTCCCGTTGTTCGGTCCCAGCTCCTGCCCACCATCAGTTTGAAAGCACGTAAAAGTTCAAGTAGATAAATAGGTACTGCTCTGGCAGGAAGGTAAATGGCGTTTCCTTCCGCTGCTCTGGTTCACCAGAAGCGGCTTAGTCATGCTGTCTTTTTCTGCGGACAAATGTTGGCTCCCTCGGCCTATAGAGTGAGATGAGCACCGCAACCCCAGAGTCGTCCGCGACTGGACCTAACGGTCAGGGGTACCTTTACCTTTACATTATAGTATGATCCATAATGGCACATGGATTTCCACACTAAATGAACATCAACCATTTTCATACCCTGCATCACACAGACCACAGAACTCTCTAGCAGGCAGCTCCTGGATCCAGCCCAGAGTTTATGGTTCAGCATGTAAAAAAACAAGCAAACCTCCCTGGTGCTTTGCCCCAAAATAATCCAGTGATTGAACCCACTCAGTTTCTACAGAGTATCCTCCAACAGCTGTTAAAAATCACCTTCCCATCTATTTCTTGGTTCTCTGTTGTTGCCCAGCAATAAGAACAAACAACCATGAAGAAGAAAAATTCCCCGCTTTCGCTTTCCACCTTGGCTTTACAAATCCTCTCATAGCCATTGCTCTCTAAACTATCCAACAAGGATATGGTCAATGCAATATAGGTTTCTTCATGGTGTTCTAGAAATGAAATAGGCCTCTAATTGTCTGGGATTCTGGATGCAGGCTCAATAACTTAGAACATATTCGTTCCCATTAGAATTTTTTAGCCACCCTTTGTAGTAGCAACAAGAAAGCAGCAAGGTTCTTTGTATTTAATAATCTTTCACACCTTCAAGAAGCAGGTTGATTAATGAAGAGTCAGAATCATTGCACTACAGTGACTGAGCAGTAGGGAGAAATAACCCAGCCTAGCTAAACAGAAGCGAAGCTTAGGCTCTTGTCGATGTAATATTTGCCTATTCTTCCTTTTCCTTGGTTTTTCAGCACGTGGGACAGCAGGAGCCTGTTTGGGGAAGGGGAATGTGCGGCGTGGGGAGGGGGGCTATCGATTGTACTGACGCGCCTACCCATGAAAACACTCGAGAATCTGCCTTTCTTTCTTTGGGATCAAAAAGCACCCGCCCAAGACGCCCGCTTTGTTTATTTTGGTTTCGATTACTACAAGGTCCATCTTTCTTCAGCGGCTTTCTGCCGTCTCCACGTTTAATGCCTGTCGTTCTGCACAGACAATTAAACGTACAAAAAACAACAGTAACAACATGCATTACAAAACTGAGCGTGATTTCTATTCTCGTCCCACCCCACCCATGCCCACTCCCAACCCGAGCACAACAAAAGCAACCACCATTAGCATGGTTGGTTATTAATACCTGAATAGTAGCAATAGTAGTTATACAATTAATAAGGGGAAGAGGGAAAACCGAGTAGAGACAACCGAATAACTCACACACACACACACACACACACACCACCTTCTCTTACAACCTGGCTCCTGCAACGGGCTCCCCAGACCCACGCGCGGCTGCCGCCCATTGTTTCCAGCTGGGCGCTCCGCGACCTTGCACCATCCGCAAGGATCCCGACGATCGTCCGACACGTGTCTCTCCCAACTCCCACGTGCGGCGCGAGAGAAGAACCGCCGCACAATAAACGCAAAAACACACACACACACCACGTTCAGCGGCAGCAGTGGGGAGAAAGAGAAGCCGCGCTCCTGCCGTGCACGGCTGGCTCCACGGATCAGAATGACAGCAAGGGAAGCTCGCGTCGGGGTGACAGGGAAAGGGGCCCACTCGCGGACCACGCCCCACGCGTAACAAAAAGAAAGAGGGGAGGGGGACACCACGCCCACCGCCGCGACTGGGAGCAGGACAGGCCGTTTGTGTGAGGGGCGGAGGGCACAGTGCGCTGTCCTGAGGGAACACCCGGGGCCCCGACCTCACCCGTTCCAGGAACGAGTATGGGAGTGCTTCATTCTCCTCTGCCATGGCTCTGGATCTTTTTTCCCATTGCCTTTTCCCCCGATCCTCCTCCCTTCCCGCTCACCGGCTCGCTCGCGTATTTCTGCCCCCTCACCTGCCGCTCAGCGCCGTCGGGGCCGAGGCTGGGCTGCGTGCTGCCGAGGCCTTTTCTCTGGCAGATCGGCTGCTTATTGGTTGAGCTGTGCTTCAGCACCGCCTCCCAGCTCAGAGGGGATGGCTCGATTGGCTGAGCTGAGGATCGCTCACTCACAATGTGGTGAAGGGAAGAGGGTGAGGCTAAGTTGCGGGGCCTTTTCTCGCTCCCTCCCACCTCACCCATTAGGATCCTGAGTGGGGGGCGAGCACTGGTGCGCTTGGCTCAGAGGCCGCTTCCTAAGACCAAGAAAGCGGCTCATCGGCAGCGGGGCGGCAGGTTGTTTACGTCAGGATCGTAGTAAAAAACGGGGGGGAGGTTTTCACCCTCCTGAGGAGAGGAACTAGGCTTTCCATTGGGCATCTCGTTCTCAAGAACCGCCTGCTATCCCTGCTTTCGCATTTTCATTGGCCGAACCGCACGTCATTCAAAAAAAAAAAAAACCAAGCCACGAGGGGGGCGGAACGGCCTGACGGGCAGAGATGAAGGGCAGGACCCGACCAGAGTTTTTTTGCGTCAATGGATCAAAGGCGGGCATTCACGTGGTTGCCGTTTCGGGCACATCATTGGCTCTTGCTAAGCCCCGCCTTCTGTGGTCTTGTCCAGATTCCCAATGAGGCGTGGTCATGAGCTGGCCACGCCCCCTTATTAAAATAGCCAGTAGCCTCAGGGAAGAAGCCTTTGTACCCTTCTTGCTCACTTCCCTTTTAGATTGCAAGGGTGTCGTTGCACGTATTTGCATATATTTTAAATAATTAATTGGCATATTTAAATAAGGGCGGGTCACGTGCGACATGTCCTTGCCCTCCCAGAGCAGCGCAATAGCGGTCCCTATGGCCTCACCAGTGGGGGAGGGAGGGGAAGTACCGCAAAAATTTAGGTTCACAGCCGGAAGTGCTGCCGTGCTTTACGGCGCGCAGGGTGCTATTTGCTCCCTGCCGGGGCTTGACCATCCACGTGCTCAACCTCCCTTTCTCAGCCTCCCTTCCTGGACTGAAGAAAAAGGGAAGGGGAGTATTGGGGTGTCTGAGCTCCCCCCCATGGCGGCCGCAGAAGAGGAACATCCCTTGAGGAACGGGCTGGTCATGAGTGAGGACGATGAGGAGAAGGAGGTGAACTTTCAAGCCCAACCGTATTTATTTCCAAAGCTGTACAGTGGTACCTCAGGTTACATACGCTTCAGGTCATAGACGCTTCAGGATACAGACCCCGCTAACCCAGAAATAGTGCTTCAGGTTAAGAACTTTGCTTCAGGATAAGAACAGAAATCGGGCTCCGGCGGTGTGGCAGCAGCAGGAGGCCCCATTAGCTAAAGTGGTGCTTCAGGTTAAAAACAGTTTCAGGTTAAGAACGGACCTCCGGAACGAATTAAGTACCTAACCCGAGGTACCACTGTACTCTGTGTGATCCCATGTGTGGGGGAGGGGTGGTTTAGAGCCATCCGCGCGTGGGGGAAGCGCTCTGTAAGCTCGGGGGGATACCTTTGTTGCCTTCTCGTCGTGCTGCGGTATTCCTGCTGAGCCGCTTTAATGCAGTTGGCTTTAAGGATTTCTTTGCCCCGTGAAAGATGCCCAGGACAGCATGCCATACGCGTAGCCAAGGGGGAAGGGGGGGGGCAGTAACGTCGGTTCTGCCCCCCCCCCAACAAAAGTCCTGCTCCCCAGCCACGTCCTGACTCACCCCCCACAAAAATTCTGGCTACGCTTATGCAATAAGGAATAAATATATTAAAGCTCTGCGAGATTAAATAGCAGAACTGGATTGTTGCCTCCTTGCAAAGGCTTTTGAAAATTCTACTCTTAATCCTGAGTTTTGATCCCGACATCTGTGTCTCCCCTTGTCCTTTCCTTTTTGCGTTTTTCCTTACGGCCACTCTTCAAAGCTATAAGCAGTGCTTTTTTCTATTAAAAGAAGTGCTGGAACTCACCTTGAACTCCTCCCTTGTAATGGCAATGGCACCCACCTGAGAGGTGCAGGAACCTAGTTCTGGCAACTTCCAACTGGGGAAAAAAGCCCTGGCTGTAAGGCAGTAAGTCCAGTGAGCAGGTCAGTCTGATTAGCTGGCAGCTGCATCTCCTCACAGGTTAGCACTGTCATGCTAGAGGCTAGGTATGCTCAGTGGAACCCTTTGAAGGTTTTATTCATCATGTTGCAAGGATGTCTGGGTTCACCCCTCGGTGAGATGGTCCTTGGCCCTTATTCATTGGTAACCTTTTGTTCCCCAGGCGGACAATGAAGAAGCAACAAAGAAGCACCACCAGCTTGTGGATTCACTCACTGCCTTGGCTGGAGCGAAGCGGTAAGAAGGAAGGGAGACTGTTTCATGGCCCTGGTGATGGAGACAAAGAATGAGCGATCTAAATAGCTTGATTTTCCATTCCTAACTAGGTCAATGTCCTTCCTTTCTTTTTTTGCAGACGGAGGGCAGTTGAACGCACTGAGGCGAGCAGACAGATCTCAGAATTTGATCTTTGTGGTGGAGGTGAGAGCTCTTGGAGCATAGCAATCACTGGCACAGATGGATCCTCTGTTACCCCTGGGGCATAGCTAGGAGGGAGCATGTGACCAGATCCATGTACCATTTCTCAATCTCTAGAGAACTGAGATGCATGGCTATAGAACAAGTTTGGCCTTCCAGATGTTACTGGACAACAACTCCCATGATCCCTAGCTATTGACCATGCTCGCGGGGCTGATGGGAGTTGTAGTTCAGCAACATCTGAAGGTGCCAGAGGTTCCCCACACTTGCTATAGAACATATGCTTTGCATGCAGAAGAAAGTCCCTGGTTTGGTATCTCCAGGTTAAATGGTCACAAATCAGGTGATGGGGAAGGTCTCTCTGAGACCCTGAAGAACTGCTGCTAATCAGAGTGATGATACTGGACAAGACGATGCACCCAGATCTGGCCTGTCATCTAGTGTTGCCATGTGTTGTGCATTGCAGATGCCAGAGAAAAAGTTCTCCTCTCAGAACTGCTGCAACCAGCTTCCAGCTCACCAGCTCTGAGTTCCATTCAGAAGCAGCTGAAGAAAGCCCAGCACAAAAAAGCCATCCAGCTCCCACTGAGCAAGGAGGAGAATGAGCGGGTGAGTTCAGTGGGCTGTTTTTGGGGCAGCTGTGCTTGGGGTGGTGGCAGGAAGGAAGATGTTGGCATTGGAGGTAGAAATGTGAAGGAAAGGGCACTGGAGGGAGAAACCAAAAGGAGAGGAACAGAGGAAAAGTGTGTGTGTGTTGGCACAAGTAGGATAGGCTGGCAAAAATATCTTTTCCTGTGGTACAGGTAATTCTCAACTTATACTGTTATGTTCTGTGGTCACAGCATAAAGCCAAAATCACATATAATCACAGCACATTGGGTACAGTGATGGGTGGGATTGCCATTTTCCCCCAGATGCACCCTGCCTCTTTTAAATGTTTACAAAATTTGTTCGCCAAGCACATGAAGCTGAATGCATGCAAGTTCAATGTGTGTATGTTGGGAGTTACCTGTACATCTCTTAAATTTTGTTGTCAAATTCATTTTCTCTTTTTTTAAAAAAAATACATTTTTATTAATTTTAACATACAAATTATAAAACATACCACACAAATAATTACAAATACACCTTTTTTTTGGACTTCCATCAGCACCTCCGATGATCTTCCGTCTTAACCTATTTTTATGCATTACTTAATTTTATATTGTTTTTACCTCTCTTAACTTATCATCTCCCCTTTTCCATTTTTACAATATTTCCAACAATACTCACAGAACTTCTTGCAAACCTACAAACGTCGTCTGATCATCACAAATACTTTTCATATAGTTCATAAATTTACTCCAGTCTTCGGTAAATTTCTGGTCCCGCCGGTCTCGGATCCTTCCTGTTAATTTGTCTAATTCTGCGTAGTCCATCAACTTCATCCTCCATTCTACAATCGTTGGCAATTCTTCTTGCTTCCATTTCTGGGCTAATAGTATTCTAGCTGCTGTTACTGCATATAAGAAAAGCTAACATTCTTTTCTATTTATATCACTTCCCACCATTCCCAATAGAAATGCTTCTGGTTTCTTTGTAAATGTATATTTCAACATTTTTTTTCAACTCGTTATATATCATCTCTCAAAAACATTTCACCTTTTTACATTCCCACCACATATGATAGAATGTTCCCTCTTTTTCTTTACATTTCCAACATTTATTACTAGTTTTATACATTTTCACTAGCTTCACATGAGTGATATACCATCTATACACCATTTTCATCACATTTTCTTTTAATGCATTACATGCAGTAAACTTTAAACCTTCTTTCCATAATTTCACCCAGTCACTCAGTTGTATATTATATCCAAAATCTTTAGCCCAGTGAATCATAACCAACTTAACCTCCTCATCTTTCAAATGCCATTCCAGCAGCAATTTATACATTTTAGACAAATTTTTAAAATCATTATTTAATATTTCTTGTTCAAATTTCGATTCCTTTTTGTCAAATCCTCTTTCTTTAAAATCTTGTTTAAAACTTTCATTGACCTGGTAATAATGTAACCAATCATAAACATAATCTTTGATTTCTCCATATGGTTTCATTTTCCATTTACCATCTTCCTTACTTATTAGTTTCCCATATGTTATCCATTTCCCACTCATATTGACCTTTTTCACACTCATCGCTTCTAATGGAGATAACCAATGCGGTGTTTTTTGTTCCAATAGGTTTTTGTATCTATCCCAAACCTCTATTAGAGATCTTCGAAAAATATGGTTTCCAAATCCTTTATGGACTTTCGTCTTAGTATACCATAAATAAGCATGCCAACCAAATCTTTTGTCATAACCTTTCAAGTCCAGCAATTCCGTATTTTCTAGTTTCATCCATTCCTTCAACCAACAAAGGCGTGCTGCTTCATAATACAATTTCAAGTCTGGCAGTGTGAAGCCTTCTCTTTCTTTAGCATCTGTTAATGACTTAAATTGAATTCTCGGCTTCTTACCCTGCCAGATATATCTTGAAAATGTCTTTTGCCAATCTTTAAATATTGCAGCCCCTTTAATTACAGGAATTGTCTGAAACAAAAATAACATCTTTGGTAGCACATTCATCTTTATCGCTGAAATCCTACCCCAAAATGATAACTTCAACCTCCCCCATATCTCTAGATCTCTTTGGACACTATTCCACATTGGCGTATAATTATTTTAAAATAGATCAATATTTTTAGGAGTTAATCAAATTCCTAAATATTTCACTTTTTTAACAACTTCTATACCTATTTGTTGCTGCAATGTATCAACCAAGTCCTGTTTCATATTCTTAACAATTATCTTAGTTTTACTTTTGTTCAATTTAAAACCTGCCACTTGCCCAAACTGTTCTATCTCCTCTAATACTTCTTTAAGTTGTCAAATTCATTTTCTCAAGGTTTGCTCCTAGGCTTATCCTTTTTAAAAAATAAATAAAGGGTCTTATAAATTAATGAGGAATAGGTCCATCAGGGGTTATCGGCTATAACAGAACAATTCTGAGGCAGTATGCTAGACAGAGCATAAAGAGGAAAAAGCCATCAGGTGGAATGTAGAACTAACTGTTCCTGTCTTGTGTGATAAAGCAAGGTATTTTTTTCTGCCTTGTGAAGAGGAGGGGTTCATGGACATGAATTTAACTTAGGTGTGCTGTGTTCATGGTTTCAGATCAAATAGATGGAGCGGAATTGATACCTGGCTACATTGCCAGCTCTCACTAAATGAAGTATTAAGATTCCAACAATGGGATTGCATCATATTCTGGGTGAAGTAAATTCCTAAATAACTTATACTGAGGCTTGACTATGGGCATCTTTATAGTGGGTGCTCTGAAATATGCCTCTGGGAAAGCTCGCTGTAGCTGGTCTACCATATATACCGTATTTTTTGCACCATAACACTCACTTTTTTCCTCCTAGAAAGCAAGGGGAAATGTCTGTGCGTGTTATGGAGGGAATGCCTATGGGTGGCGGGGGGGATCTGCTGCAGTCGTGAGCAGAGGATCCATGGTTCCCCTTCCTTCCCTCCTCCATGACTCGCTTTGAAACAGTAAAGCGGGAGAAGAGCCGCTGAGTGGGGAGGAGAGAGGGACAGAGAGCCTGCTTCTTTAAAGGAGCAAAGTGGGAGAGGAGAGGAGCCTTCTCCCCTTATACCCCTCTTCTTCATTATTAGCAGCATCCTTCTCCACCCACCCCACGCGTGCTTCTTCTCCCCTTAAACCTCTCTTCTTCATTATTAGCAGCATCCTTCTCCACCCACCCCACGCGTGCTTCTTCTCCCCTTAAACCCCTCTTCTGCATTATTAGCAGCATCCTTCTCCACCCACCCCACGCGTGCTTCTTCTCCCCTTAAACCCCTCTTCTGCATTATTAGCAGCATCCTTCTCCACCCACCCCACGCGTGCTTCTTCTCCCCTTAAACCCCTCTTCTGCATTATTAGCAGCATCCTTCTCCACCCACCCCACGCGTGCTCCTTGTCCCTTGAGTGCTTTTCCTTCCCTCTCCACTTAAAACATGGTTACAAAGCATGGATCCACATGGATCCTCAGGATTTTTGCACTGGGTCACCCCAAATTCACCATCAGATCACACAGCATGTCCATGGCTACATCTTGCACCAAAAAAATCACGCACCCACTGTTGCCTGGGGCTGCAGTGGTGCAAAACGTGGTTACAAAGCATGGATCCACATGGATCCTCAGGATTTTTGCATTGGGCTACTCCAAACTCACTGTCAGATCACATGTCTGTGGCCACAGCATGAACCACAAAAATCATACATCCACTGTTTCGTTTAGAATACTTTTTTTCTTGTTTTCCTCCTCTAAAAACTATGTGCGTGTTATGGTCGGGTGCGTGTTATAGAGCGAAAAATACGGTATATATTTATACATATACATGCATGCGTGTGTGTGTGTGTGTGTGTGTGTGTGTGTGTGTGTCTCTCTATATATATATATGTTTCAGACTAGTCGGAGCCAACGGAGGGTCACACTTTTATAGTATGTTCTTCCAGAAGTGGGTTCTGGCTTGACAACTCCCACGTCTCCTTAAAGAAATACCTGTGTGTCACTGGGATCTTCCTGCTGAAGGTTGTGCTTGTCTTATCTGTCTACCTGCAGGTGGTGAGGGAAGCTGCCTACACTCAGACATCTCAAGCCCTAGCTAAGTGGCAGCCAGTGGTGCAGCAAAACAGACGTGCTGAGCAGCTAGTCTTCCCATTGCAACAGGAGAAAGTGACTGTCGCGGCCATTGAGGAAGTGATAAATGGATGGCAGGTGGGTGTTGGTTGACCTCAGCAAGAAGTGAGAATTAGGCTTGAGCTGGACCCAGCTGTTGCACGGTGCTCTTGCCTCATGTTCAAGCCAAGCTATATCCCTAGGAGTGCAGGAAACTGCTCTTCTGCTGTGTCCCATCTAACTTAATATTTTCTGCTTTGACTGCCAACAGTTCTCTAGGGTTTCAGGCACAGTTCTCTCCCAGCCCTACCTGGGAGGTATGTGGGTGTGCCAATCATCTACTGTGGCTTCTATAGCTTGTGGTCTGGTAGACGGAACTCTGACTTAGCTATTCAGCTTCATAGCTCTAATCTCCTATTTGAGCAGAACTTACCAAGTTGCTTTCTCAGTTCCTCCTCTGAAAAAAAAAAGAGAACTAGGGAGACACTTACCTGTTTTATTGTGCAGATTAATACCATATAAGTTGTTAGGCAATCCAATGTTACTATGCAGTTACAGACCCATTCAAAAACAAAGGAAACCCCCAAACCATATAACTTCTAGCATAAAATTTGATATGGTTCACAGGTGTATATGAAACAGGGAAACGAAAAACAGCCCATACAACACTTAACTGTCAGAATATTTTCATGAAGGTTTGTTGTGGGAAATGAATATCTGAACTGTTTCTGTTATTGTTTTATTCATATCAGCCAATAAGCAAGCTAAATAACACTCAAAAGACCTTTCTGGATATTTTAGTCAGACAGGAATAAATCTGCTTTGCTCATCTCTTTAAAAAATTACAAAAAGAATACCTTTTGGGATTTCTATTGCTCCATCCCCACAGAGGGCAGAATTCATTGTAAGAAAACCCCAATAGGCAGTTAAGGCAATTAAATTTGGTCCTAGAGAAGATCAGCCAATATTTGGGAACAGTCACATTATCCATATATTTGGCACAACCCTTGAAGCAGTCAGTGGACAAATCAAGATAAATTGGGGAGCAGGTTTTATAAGCAGCTGTCATGGAGAAATTTGCATCAATATCTTTAACCTGAAGTTTAAGAATACAATTTGCCCAGTAGTGGTACTGAGTAGGAAAAAAATCAGCAAAGGTCTAATAACTGTAATTTATTGATACCGGCTTTGGAATTTTCTTTTTTGTTGTTGCTAGAAATAATATATGGCAATTATGTGGTAACGCTATCTTATATGGGCTATCCAGTTCCAGCTGATCTTTGTCCATACCTCTGAGTTACTTTTAAAAGACAGCTGAAGTAAAATCTAGAGAGTTTAGCCACAGGTGCATTTTTCTGGAAGAAAAGTACCCTTCTGAAAGTTTTATAAGTGTTTACATTTTACTTAAGATGATGTGGCATTTTAAAAACTGGGAAGTGCAACAGAAAAGGAAAAGGTAGCAACCAACCACTTCCCTCTGTTTCTGTGCCCATTCAAGCTCTGTTGCTTTAACTGCTCTTCCTGCCTCTATCATGCTATTTGGTCTCCATGAGCCTGTTCTTTTATATAGCTTTGCCATTTCAGCCAAGGCAGCCCTCCCTCTCAACATGTTTGGAGAGCACTCATTCTTAAAACTTCCTGTCTGTATTGGAACTAAAACCTATCCTTACTAAAGACTCTGAAAGGTGTGGTATTCTCCCTTTTTTGAAAAGGAGGGTTGTGTAGAAATTATTCATGAGTTCTTCAGTAGGGGTGCAGTATAAATGTAACAAATAAATAATAATACATTCTATTTATTTATCTATCTATCTATCTGCCTGCCTGCCTGCTATGGTTTTTGCTCGGCCAATAACTAACATGCTTTTGGTACGATAAAAGAATAAGTTCTAAAAAGTAGTATTACAACAGTCTGCATAGGGACAGAGAAAAGCTAAAACCATAACGACAGCATCTAATCACAACCTAAAGTATTTCAGGGGTAAAACAAACAGAGTTTGAATGCCTGTGGGGGTTCCCCCCCCCCTTTTAAAGGCTTTGCCTGGTTCTAAAACAACATTAGAGTTCAAGCAATCCCCTCTTGCAGAGGGTCTTATGCAAGTCGGGGCCACTGCAGAGAAGGCCCTTTTACCTGGTGAGGTGAAGCAATCCTTCAGATACTGCAGCCCTAAGCCATGAAGGGCTTGAAATGTCAAAACCAGCCGAGCCTTGGAACTAACTTGGAGCCAGTGAATATGGGAAAGCACCTATGTAACATGCTCATAACTTCGTTAGTTCCTATGTTGCCTCAAGTTTCCAGATAGTCTCCAGAGGCAGCAATGACAAGCATAGTCTGCAAAGGAAGAGGTAGCATCCCTTCACCTAAAATCAGACTGGGAAATAAAGTATTGTGAGGTTGGGGGTGGGGGTCCCCTGTTTTGTTAGTGACCTTTTGCAACCTTGTTGGACTAGTCTTTAGAGTAAGCTGAAACTTACCTCTCTGTGTCCATCCTTCCCTCTTCCCACCCGCTCTAAGGCACGAACACCCCTGGAGCAAGAAATCTTTGATATTCTGCACAGAGGAAAGCAGCCGGTGAAGGACCCACTTCTGACGCCACAGGAGAGGTCCTCGCTGCAGGCCATGAGTCTGGAGGAGGTGAGTCTAGATCTGGCTGTTTCTGTCCCATTCTCCATCTCTCCCTCCCTCCTGGATCCCACACTGCCTTGCTCTGTAAGCTTTTACAGTCAGCCCTCCTCTCCATTTGTGCACATTTCCAGGCACAGTTGCGACGTATGCAGCGCCAGAAGGCTCGAGTCCTGCAGTCCTACTACGAGGCTAAGGCACGACGTCAGCGGAAGATCAAGAGCAAAAGGTAAGCAATTGTTGTAGAGCAGCGGCTGGGAACCTACAGTCCCATTAGTTCTGATAGCGGACCACAAAACTGTCGTTCCCCCCTCCCCTGCAAGCACAGTTACCTGCTCCATACCTGATATCAAATTTTACATTGGGTGTGGGGGCAGGTAAAGACATGGCTGTGGAAGAAGAATTGGGAATCTGCAAAGTATGCTCCCAGTTGTTCCTGTTCCAAGAAAGGCTTGCTGTTAGTCCTGATCAGATGATTGGTCGTGACAGCAAGGCTTGCAGGGATTGGCTGCACTACAGAGTTCTTGATCAACTGATCCCTGCCCAAAGCAGGCATTGCTGTAAGAGCTGATCAGCTGACTTAAGTTGGAGAAAATTTGTGAGCAGCCATCCCACCTACCTTCACCTTTTTAAGTTGGCTGCCTAAAAGAAATGAGGCTGGGTGGGAAAAGTCCTCTTCTCACTTTTGTGGATGAGCCCTGTTCAGTTCCTTGCAGCCCACAAAGGACTAGGCATCTTGCGACTTGCTACACTGGATTCTTTGGGAGGGAAGGGCAAGACATAAATGTAATTTTTAAAAATTTAGAATTTAATTTTTTAAAAATAATAATAATAATAAATAACATTTGGAGTATGTTAGAAACAGATTCAAATCCCTGTGCACGCAAAACGAAAACATGCAGCCCCATGCATGGTTTCTCTGTTCCCCAACAGGTGTGGGCTCTGTTTGTTTATTTTTTACACTTTTCTTTCAATGATGTCTCGAGAAGATGGTATACATTGCTCTCCCCCTCTCTCTCAGCATTCCCATGCCCATTTTATCTTTATCCTGTGAGGTGGGTAAGGCAGAGACATTGACTCAGTCAGGGTGACCCATTGAGCTAGACAGCTAGCAGGGATTTGAAACTGAGACTTTCTGGTCCTAGGCTGATACTCCAAACAAGGGGTGGGTAACTAGTAGCCCTCAATAAGTTGCTGGATTCCAACCCCTATCATCCCTGGCCATTGGTTGTGCTGGGTGAAGTTGAGGGGAGGGCAGCAACATTTAAAGTCACAGTTTTCTTGTCCCTTCTCTAACCACTTCACTGACTCTCTGCTGCAGGCTCTGGCCCTCCAGATGTTTTTGAACTACAATTCCCATCAGCCTCAACAAGCACTGCCAATAGGCAAACAGGTTCTACACACCAGCTCTATTGCCTCCCTTGAATCAGGAGTTGGCAGTGATGTCAGTTAGCTGTGTGTCCTTTCCCTCTGGCCTGGCTATTCAAGCCTCTGACATTGCTATCTTCCTCTTCCTGAAGGTATCACAGGATGCTTAGGAAGATCAGGAAACGCAAGGTGCTGAAAGAATTCGAGACGTTGCGGAAAACTAACCCTGAGGCAGCTCTAGAAGAGCTAGCTAAAATTGAGAAAGCGCGTATTGAGGTGAGTGCAGCCCTCTTCCTGTGGTACCGAGATGAGGCCCCTCTGCCTAGTGGAGGGTGCTCTCTTACTGTACTCCACCATCGTGACATTTTGCCTTATTTCTCTGTGCAGGAGAGGATGAGCCTGAAACACCAGAACAAGGGCAAGTGGGCCAAATCTACAGTCCTCATGGCAAAGTACAACCTAGAGGTGAGAGACGTGTGGAGCGAGGAGGCTTTATCAGCCAAAACCCGCTCTTAACATGTAATTAAACCAAGGCAGGTGCTTGAGAGATTTGATCGAGCTGAAACGTAGCTTCCAGAAAAGGGTTGGCTGAAAATATCAGGCTTTTCCCATAGAAGTGGTTTTTAGAGCACCTTTAACAACATTTGCAAGTGGGTGACAAAAGGCCTTTCTTTTGTCCGCTTGCCTTCCTGCCATTCGGTGGATTTACATCCAAAGCCAAAAACAGATGGCAAAACATTTTCTGGCCAGTTGCAATTCATACCCTTTCTCCTGGGAAATTGACTTTCTCTGGAGAGTATTGTTTGAAATTCTTACTTGGGAGGGGGAGGAAATAGTAGTGAATTATTGTAAGTTGGGCTGTTAAATATTTTACTTGCCTCCGGGGTGGTTATTAGATGGGTGTATGCTTTGCTGGTCCCCTTGTTGCTGAAAACATGGGATACTATAAGTCAGGGGAGGGCCAAAGATAGATCTACAATCTACTGGTAGATTGTTGGACAGTTTGCAGTAGATCAGTAAGGGTTTCTGACTTCTGATTGTTTAGCAACAGCTGTGTCAAAAAGAATCCTCCAGCACCAGACCGTTCAAGCTCTTATCTGAAATAATACAGAAACAGGTTTGTCTATGCAAACCATCCCAGTATCCATGTTGACTGTTGGGATCCTCCCCCTAAGCCTCCATTTTGCATATGGCGCCACCTTCAAAGGTAGAGTTGTCATATTTCAAAAAGTGAAAATCTGGACACAAAAGTTGTTGATATTTTGGCTGGTTGTTTTTTTTGCCAGAGTTTTTGAGCTGTGTGTGTGTGTGTGTGTGTGTGTGTGTGTGACAGACATTTTTTTAGCTATTTTATGGAAAATAGGCAAAAACGACACTGCTGACATGAGTTACCATACGTCCAGATTTTCCCAGACATGTTGCTGATTTCCAGCTGGACACTGCTTCCAACTGCAGTATTCCGGATATGTCCAGGAAATTCCAGACGTATGGCAACCCTATTCAAAGGCTCTACTCTGCACCTGGCTTTGGGGGTTGGCTGGACCTGGGAGAGTTCTAGTGAAGAAGCAAAGAATAGCTTTTGTAAGCCTAAGGTCTGCAAGTAAATGCTATTGCCTGCCTGCTTTTCTAGGCTAGGCAAGCCATGCAGGAGCAGCTGGCCCGGAACAAAGAACTGACCCAGAAAGTACGCCCGGCATCCGATAGCGAGGAAGGTGGCAACGACACTGACGCAGAGGGGGATCTCGTGCCAAGTGTTGTCAATGAGAGGCCTGCTGGGCTGGATCCAGACAACCCCTGGATGTTGGGACGGCCCCACGCAGAGCCCAAGGAGGACCTTCCAGCTGCACCAGAAGACAGCGAAGAGAGTGACGAAGAGACGGAGCCACCTGCAACCAAGGAGGAGACTTTGCTGCAAGGCTTTGTTGCAGGTCAGCAGGGCCAGGGCCATAAAACAATGCGTGGTGTGGGGGAAATGAACAGACAATGTGCTTTTATTACTTGTTTAATACCAGGGCAGGGTCATCCAGTGAAAACGATAGGCTGTATATTCAGGATACAATATTATTATTATTATTATTATTATTAATAATAATAATAATTTTCTTTTCTCATAACAATTATTCAATATCATCATTTAACATCCATTTTCTAGTTTTCCCCCTCCCTGTTGACTTCTCCCAACTTCTATTTCTGGTTTGTTACATTCTGTTTATACATAATGTTTTGTTATCACTAATTATATTTCTTGTTATCTGTAAATAAAGTTGTGAATGTTTATTTAAATCCTGCTGTCAGGGGTTCAGGGACAGAGGCACAGGGTAGGGAGGAGATGGAGAGCGATGGGGATGAATCCCAGGACAGCGAGGAAGAGGATGACAATGACTCAAGAGATTCCATGAGTCTTTCCAGCGAATCAGAGGATTCCCAGAAGGGGGCGCCAGTGGTCAAGGCCAGGGAGCCCCAGGGGGACGTGTCAGGAACAGGGGGCCAGCCGGGGATCCCAAAGTGGCAGCTGGGCGTCAGGACCAGCCTCCCCGCCAGAGTGCAGCGAAGGGGGTGGAGGTTCCAGTGTATCAGGGGAAGCAGCTCCGGCAGCAGAGAAGGGAGGGAGGTCGGAGCAAGCCACCCTCCCGGAAGGGGAGGGGAGTAGTGAAGGGAGTAGTGTAACTGTCAAAAGGAAAGTTAGAGGTTGGGCGCGCGCGCCAAGTTCAAATGTAGAGGCGCGCGGAAGTACAGGGAGCCCGGAAGAAGAGCCAGGTCCTAAAGCCCGCAGGAGGGGGGAAGAGCAGTCGGGGGATAGCGCGTCAGGGGAATCCAGGAGGGGCGAAACCCCAGCGGGCAGGAAGACCCTGAGGAAAAGGAAAGAGAGAAAGAGGTGGAGCAGCGCAAGGCTCTTAAACTGGTGCAGGGGAGGGACTGATTCAGAGGGGACTTCAACGGTCTAAGCGTACAGACGTGGGGCTGCGCGCCTCGGATATGAAGCAAACAATGAACTGCAATAAACACTTTTGTATATAAGAAGAGATTGGCGTTGGTCTTTTGTGAGCTGAGACCTGAGGCAGCCTTGACACCTGCCAACGAGTCTATGTTTTTTTCTTGTTTCTGCAAGTATGTTGTAAAGGGTTCCCATTCTTTTCAAAAGTCAGTGTTGTCCTTTTCACACAGTTTGGCTGTTAATTTTGCCAGTTCTGCATGGTTCATCAATTTTTCTTGCCATTGTTCTTTAGATGGTATTTCTCCAGTCTTCCAGTTTTGTGCTATTAGGATTCTTGCTCCCGTAGGTAGCGTACATGAATAATGTCCGATTTTTCTTCAACATTTCTTGTCCTAGAATACCTAACAAAAAGGCTTCTGTTTTTTTCACAAAGGTTATTTTAAACATTTTTTTCAATTCATTATATATCATTGCCCAATTTTTAAAAAATAATCTTACAATCCCACCACATGTGATAAAATGTACTTTTCCCTTCTTTACATCTCCAACAGTTCTTTTGTTCTGTTTTGTACATTTTGGCCAGTTTTAATGGTGTAAAGTACCACCTGTACATCATTTTCATATAATTCTCTTTCAACAATATACAATCCGTAAATTTCAAGTTCACTTTCCAAAGCCTTATCCAATCCTCAAATTGTATGTTATGATCTATGTTCTGTGCCCACTTGGTCTTTAGTTTCCCATTCCAACAGAATATTAGACGCCTCCTTTAACAATTTAGAATTACCATCTATGATATCCTTTTGGAATTTGGAAACTGTGTAAGTGAATCCTCTCTTGTTATCTTCCGTGAAGATTTCATTTAATGCCTATAATGCAACCAACTCTGAAGGTGTTCCTTTATCTCATCGTAATCTTTCAATTTCCACTTTCCTTTTTGTTCTACTAATAAATCTCTATATGTTGGCCATATTCCTTTCATTGTTAATGTTTTAAGTGATAATGCTTCAATAGGTGACAACCACCACGGGGTTTTGGATTCCAGTAATTCTTTGTATTTTTCCCATACCCTTATCAGGGACTTTCTAATTATGCGATTGTGGAATCCTTTGTGTACCTTTGCTTTTCTATACCACAGATATGAATACCAACCGAATCTGTTGTCGTGTCCTTCTAAGTCTATTGCCTCCTCTTTTTCCAATTTAATCCAATCCCGAATCCAAATAAGGCATGCTGCTTCATTGTAAATTTTAAAATCTGGAAGAGAAAAGTCTCTTCACTGTTGTAAGTCTGCAAGTATTTTGTGCTTTATTCTTGGCCTTTTCCCATTCCAGATAAATTTTGAAATATCTTGCTGCCATTTTTTGAAGCAAGCATTATTACTTATTATCAGTATTGTCTGAAAAAGGAACAGTATTTTTGGCAATACATTCATTTTTATGGCAGCAATTCATCCTAAAAAAGAGAGGTTCATCCTATTCCATATTTCCAAATTCCTTTTTATTTCATTCCAAAAAAAATTCATAATTGTCTTTGTAAATACAGTGGTACCTCGGGTTAAGAACTTAATTCGTTCTGGAGGTCTGTTCTTAACCTGAAACTGTTCTTAACCTGAAGCACCACTTTAGCTAATGGGGCCTCCTGCTGCTGCCGTGCCACCAGAGCATGATTTCTGTTCTCATCCTGAAGCAAAGTTCTTAACCTGAGGTAATATTTCTGGGTTAGCTAACAGTTTTGTTTTGTTTTTATTAAGTTTAAAACCTGCCACTTGTCCAAACTTTTGAATTTTTTCTATTACTCTAGCGAGAGAATTCTTTGGATCTTCTACAGTAATAACCAAATTGTCCACGAAGGCTTTCAATTTATGTTCATTTTTCTTTATTCTTATTCCTGCTACTTCTTTATCCATTCTAATATTCCTTGCCAGAACCTCCAGGACCAGAATGAACAAAAGCGGTGATAATGGACATCCTTGTCTAGTTCCTTTTTGTATTTTACATTGGTTTGTTATCACCTGGTTAATAATCAATTTTGCATTCTGTTCTGAATATCTATTCCCTTGCTAAATTTTACTCCAAATTCCATTTTTTCAAGAACTTTTTCATGAAGTCCCAAGAAATGCTTTTTCTGCATTTATAAACATCAATGCTGCTTGTTTTTCATTTTGTACTTCCAGGTATTCAATTATGTTTAAAATGTTTCTGATAATATCTTTCATTTGTCTACCTGGAAGAAATCCTGCTTGGTCTTGATGTAAATGTTCTTCCAAAGAACTTTTCATTCTGTTAGCAAGGATATATGCAAACAGTTTGTAATCGTTGTTTAATAGTGAGATGGGCCTATAATTTTTTACTAATGTTATATCTGAATCTTGTTTTGGTGTTAATGTTATATAGGCCTCTTTCCATGTTTCTGGGACTTCCCCTGTTTTTAAAATCTCATTTATCATATCTTTTAAGGGAATCACAAGCTGTTCATTTAATTTTTTATAATACTTTGCTGAAATTCCATCTGGTCCTGGGCATTTGTCTGTCTTTGCTTGATTTATTGCATCTAATATTTCCTGCGATGTTATTTCGCCATTTAATAGTATCTGTTTTTCATCTTTTATTTTTGGGAGAGTGTTGCTTTTTATATATTCTTCCATCAGTGTCTTCTTTTCAATTCCCTTTTTGTAAAGATCTGTAAAGTACTTAATGAAGTCTTCCCTTATTTCCTTTGGTTTGTCAGTGACCTTACCATTATGTTTTATCTTATTTATATATATTTTTTGCTCACTTTTCCTCATTTGCCATGTCAGTAATTTCCCTGGCTTGTTGGCATGTTCAAAATACTTTTGTTTCATCCTTTTAATTTTCCAACTTATTTCCTCATTAATCAACAGTGAGTATTGAATTTGTAATAGTTTAATTGCCTGTTTAACCATGTCTTTATTTGGTTTTTTTATTAATTCTTTTTCTTTCTCTGAAATTTCATCTAAAATTTCTTTCTTTTTGTTTTTTCTTGCCTTTTTCTTAATTGAGTTTTGTTGTATAAACAGTCCCCTCATGACTTATTTGTTAGTGTCCCATACTGTTTGCAGCCAGGTTCCATTATTAAGATTTAATTCAAAGTAATCTCCCAGAACCTTGTTTGCCTTTTCTAACAAGATTTTATCATCTAATAGATCCTCATTCAATCTCCATCTAAAGGTGGATTAACTTTCTTTCAGAATTTCCATTATTATAGGACTATGATCCGACAATGTTCTGGGATCTATTTCAATTTTTAAAACTTTTGATTCTAATTCTTTTGAAATCCAAACTGCATCCAGTCTGGCACTACTGCCATATACATGTGAAAAAGGTGAACTGTTTATCAAACATATGTTTTATTCTCCAGATATCTATTAAATTCAATGCCTCTGTCATATCAAAAAAAAGTATTGGGTAGCCTACCTGCTTTACTGTGTTTTTCCCTAATTGTTCTGTCCATCTCTAACGATGGTACCCCATTCAGATCTCCCATTAGTATTACCTTCTCATCTGCAATCTCCAAAAGATCTGTTTCCAATTTTTGAAAGAATTTTGATTTATTTTCATTTGGTGCATATATCCCACCAATACTATCTTTTCTCCTTGGACTTTGATTTGTACCACTAGAATCCTCCCTTTATTGTCTTTTTGGATTAGCTTGGGTTCAAGTGCAGGTTTAATGTAAAATACTACACCACGTCTTTTAGCATTGTCTGCTGAAATAAAATCCATTCCTAATTTTTTTTTATTAATCAGAATTATTTTGTCTTTGTTTGCTATGTGTGTTTCCTTCAGGGGGGAAAAGTATATTTTGACTGCTGTAAGAAGCAATCATTTTATTTAGCTAGTTGACAGAAGTTTGCATACTGCTTACTTGACTGCTTAAATCTCCACACGGTTTTAGAAAGCACAAACTGAAATATTTCTTTTAAAAATACTGACAAATGCAAAAACAGGTCAACATTTATTTTAAAACTCAAAATAAATAGAAATAAAATTGAATGTATTAAAACGATATGCCTGAGTATGTTTGCTGGGGGGTGGGGTGATGTATTCCAAAAAGTTGATTAGTGAAAATTTTGGGTCTGCTGATATTAACCATGATGGCAATATGGAGCATCCACATCCCAAGGCAGTGTACCCTTGAGTACCAGTTGCTAAAGAGCAGCAACGGAAAGAGAGCCTTGGTTTTCCTACCTTGCAGGATGCTGGGCTAGAGTGGTGTCTGATCCAGCAGTGCCCTTCAGATTCTATGTTAATTTGTGTCGTGTTCTTGCTTCAGGTCTTAACAGTGAGGAAGCGATGCCCAAGATGACGGACGTGCTTTTACCAGCACCTCCAAGCCCTGTGCCGGAGGGGCCGCTCCTGAATGAGAAGCTGGAACGGCTTCGTACCTTAGAGGATATGGAGGCCATAGAGACAGAGGAAGTCCCACTGGAAAACGGAATGCCAGAAGTCAACGATGCTGAACTTCAGCAGCCTCCGGAAGCTGAGTCATCGCCCAAGGGTGGCAAGACCCAGAGCTCCAAGAAGAAAGCCAAGCGCAAGGCTCTGATTGATCTGAAGGCAGTGCTGGCTCAGCCACTTCGTCCCATTCAGTGTCCGTTTTTGCCTTCTGCTGTACAGGATGAGGTGAGCACCATTAGGAGGGGCTAATCAGGGGTTCCATGGATCTGGAAGAGCTAAGTGCTAACGCTTTACTTGCACTGTGCCCCTTCAGGCTAACGGCGTGAGAAGCATTCATCTTTGAAAGCTCCCCAATGGGAGAAAGCTAGTATGTCAGGGAGAAGGTTTAATCTCCTTGGCGTGTTTGTTTTCCAGCTGCAGGGAGCCTGATCCCAGTGCATCAGGGAAGAGACCAATGGTAGAGAGCATGCTTTACATTAGGGATGGGGCGGGGCTGTGGCCTCCAGATGTCATTAGTCAACACCCATCAGCTCCAGTTAGCATAGCCAACGATGCTAAGGGTAGTTGTAGTCCAATAACATCAGGAGGTCCACAGGTTCCCCTTCCATCACATGTAGAAGAGCTTTGGTTCATTTCTTGTTTTGTTTCTCATTAAAAACTGATTTTGGGTAGCAGAATTAGAAGCCGTATTTGCCTAGAGTTATTGGAGAGCCAGCACTGAGCTAAAAGGACCAACTGTCTCATTGTATGAGAAAGCCAATCATTGCCTTCACAGATTAGCTTTTTCAGAGCAGGCTGGCCCAGTTCAGAAATGAATGGCAAATTAGGGTTTGTTGTTAGAAGAAGAAACCTGAGGCTCATGCACTCCTCCACATATATAAGAGGAGGCTGAAAGCTTCTACTTTACCCCTTTTTAAAAAATGTTTTTATTTGAATGCACACACATTGTGTGTGTATACATATACATATACATATACATATACATATACATACATACATACATATAGAGTATTAACAATAATAATCTGGTGAAAGCACCTAAATATCAACAACAGCAATTACAAAAAACAAAAACTAGGCTATTAACATTAGTACAATTTATATGCTATGCCTAGAGAAACTTAGACATTAAATAGGAGTAACTAACAATAGAATGGTACCTTGGTTCTCAGACGAAATCCATTTGCTTTTTTGAAAACCGAGGCACGGCTTCCCATTGGTTTCAAGAGCTTCTTCCACTCAGCGGAAGCCGCATTGCACATTTGGGTTCCGAAAAGCGTTCAAAAACGGAAGCATTTACTTATGGGTTTTCAGTGTTTGAGAACTGAAACATACGACAACGGAGGCATTTGGAAACCAAGGTTCCACTGTATAACCAAGGGGACATTATTATGCTTTCACTTTTGAATTAATCACAGTTCCCTGTTAAGTCCAAACTTGAGGAACTGTGGTTAGGTGTCTTCAATATGCTGGTTTATTTTTTAATGAGCAGCAGATAAAACAAATTTCTGTTCCACAAGTGCAGACATAACAGGGAACTGTCCAGAGCTTACAATCAGGTGATTTCAAGCTCCTTTCACATAAAGAAGGGAGAGAGGAAGGGACAGCAGCAGCACACTGACGCTAATAGAATCATCGGAAGGAAGCATGGAAGGAACCATGAGGGTAATCTAATCCAACCCCCTGCAATGCAGGACTCTTGCCCAACATGGGGCTCAAACCCACAACCCTGAGATTAAGAGTCTCTTGTTATGCAAATGTATTATTATCTGATCAGCCTTCCAGGTGGTGTTTGACTATGGCTCCCATTATCTGTAAGCATTGGTTTTGCTACCTGGGGGATGATGGGAATTGGAGTCCATCAGTTTTGGGGAGGGGGCACATTGGGGTGGGCTGCAATGTGACAAAGCATGCTTTGTCATTTAGTTTGAATCATGCCAGCATGTCTTAAGCAGACAGCTTGTGTATTACAGGAAAGTATTCGAGGACCGAACTGCTCCAGAGAATTCTTGCAAGCGAGCTGAGTCACATGCTGCTGGGAAAGGGAAGGAGGTGTTTTAAAATCCAAACACCAGAGCTCCTGGACAGACCTCTGGGCAGAGAAATTCCTTCCTGCTCCAAATCCCTGCACTGAGTCAGACTCTGTGAGCAGAAGCAATTCAGCAATCTCCTCAAATGAGCTTTCATTGGATGCAGTTCCGTGCCACTCAGCAGTATCTTGCTCCTTGTTGGTTAAGGATGCAAAGTGGGGAGGAGACTCATTTGTCTGTTCTCTTCGTTCATTGTACACCTGTCTTTTGGCTCCAGCAGGGTCTTCAAGAAAGCTTAACAGCACTTTCCGTAAAACAATTACATTTCCAATTGAGCATCAAGGTCACTGTTAGATTATACTCTTCCTGTTTTAGTTACCTATTGTCTGGAAATCCTGTGAGACTCCATGTCCACCTGCCTGCTGATCTTTTTCTCCCTTGCAGCTAGAGATGGGCAAAGACCAGCGACAGGTGATCCGGGAGGCCTTTGCAAGTGACAACGTCGTTGCCGACTTTATGAAAGAAAAGCGTCGGGCAGAGCAGAACAGCAAACCGAAAGTTATCAATCTGGTGCTTCCAGGATGGGGCGAGTGGGGAGGCGCGGGACTACAGCCGAGTAAGATGAAGAAGAGACGGTATGTTTCAGGGTGGAAGCTTAGTGGTCTGTCACTGCCAGCTGTCACCTGCTTCTTCACCTCCCTTCTTCCTTTTCTTTTTTGCCCTCTAGGTTCCTTATCAAACCAGCAGCTGGGCCCCCCAGGAAAGACAGGCACCTGCCCAATGTTATCCTGAGTGAACGGCGCAATATTTCAGCAGCGGTGCATCAGGTGAGTTTATCACTCTGGCCTGGGAGACTGCCGTTCACGCTTTCACCTGCAGAAACAATGTGGGGGAAAGAAGATGCAGTATAAATGTTCTTAGAATCATAAAATTCTAAGATGTTAGAATTGATTTATTCTTCTTCTTAATTATAGAGTTGGAAGGGACCTCAAGGGTCATCTAGTCCAACTCCCTGCAATGCAGGAATGTAATTAAACTCTGTGAATTTAACTGAGGAAAGACTATAGCTCAGGCAGGAGAGCATCTGTGCTGCGTGCAGAAAGTCCCAGCTTCCATCCCCTGCCTCGCCAGTTTAAAAGGATGAAGTGATGGGAAAGAGGTCTGCGTGGATTGCTGAGAAGTAGACAGTTCTGGGACAGATGGATAAATAGTCCAACCTGTTATAAGGCAAATTCCTAGGTACTTGATTGGGTATGTACAGGCAACACCCTGTTTGCATGGGGGTTGTGTTCTGGGTTATCGTACGTGTCAGCAGTTGCGCAGAAGCCTGTTCTGCCCTGTTACGGGGCCAAAAGCAGCACGCATGTCAGAGGCCAGGCTACAATCAGATGTGCAGAAAATGATCACTGCCTGTCCTATGTACCTGACAGCAATTCCTTTCTTTTGGTATTTTTTATAAGGATTGTTTTATCTGCCTGAAGGTTGACAGAGCAGGTTGCAACTACAAAATAATAAAATGCAAGCAGCTCACCAAGGCTTTGTGCACGTGCTACCTCACTCCCAGGAACTGCCTGCTTAGCTGTGTGTTGTTCCTAGCCTTCCACTTTCAGGGTGCCATTAAACTACTTCTTCACTACACTGCAGGTGAGCCAGCTGCCCTTCCCCTTTGAGAACAGCAAGCAATTTGAACGCAGCATCCAAGCACCCATGGGCCCCACTTGGAACACCCAGCGTGCTTTCCAGCGTCTGACAGCTCCTCACATTGTCACCAAGCCTGGCCACATCATCCGGCCCATCAGTGCTGAGGACAGTGAGCTGCTCTGCAAAGTGGAAAAGGCAAACGGCATGGGAAGGGAGCCGGATTTGGCACTGTCATTGTCACCCCACAATCATCACCCACGCCATGCCTCAAAGAGGAAGGGTCGGCGGAGCTAAGTCCTACAGGGACTCTGCCATACAGGCCTGACTCCTTGGGCTAACTGGCGTTGTTGTCTTCTTATTTTCTTCAGTCAATTTTATTGATTTTCAGTATATAACACAGAAACACATACAACAAATGTCTTCGTTTCCCATCCCTCCCTCCCTCCCTCCATTTATTCCCATGGAACAAATCAGTTTATTAAATTCTGCCAGAGTCCATTGAGTGAATTAGGTGGATGCCGGTCATCAGGGTTATCATTTTGAAAACCCAATGAAAGGATGACAAGTTTCAGACATCTATGTCTTCTGTGCTGTTCAGTCCTTGTTCGTTTTTCCAGTAAGGGAAATTGTCTGTGCATCTTGCTTCCACACAGAATTCTGTGAATGATCCAGTCTCTTCCATTTCTGTGCCACCAAGTGGAAAGTGAATCTATTAACCATTTGTATTAAACTGTGGAACAGTAGAGTTTGAAGGGATCTCTGAGGGTGACCTAGTCTAACCCCCTGCAATGCAGGAATCTCAACACGCGATCCCTTGTCCAATTTGAAACCGTACCAGACCCTGCTCAGCTTTACAAATGTGTTAGTAGTTTTATTGCTGCAGTTGAAATTAAGCTGATCTTCCCTTTAAATGGTTAACAGTCCTAAACTTGATGTGCAATCTGCATGTTGCCCCTTGATGTGGCTTCCTCCCCCCACCCTGTGAACACCTTTTACCAAAAGGATGTACATAAGTCACATGTGGAACATTGTACCAATTGTATTGCAAGCTTACAAACACAAGTATGATAATGATTTATTACTATAGCTGCATGTTAGTGGTGTCAGATGCCATTTATGTAACAGCTTAAATGTAATCACTCATATATGAGTTGAGACTAATGCTGAGGATTTTTTGGCCCATAAATTATTCCAATCCACATCTTCACTTTCTATGCTAAATCAGTTTCCCACAGCCATTTTACATGATCATGTTGTCCAATTGTTAGTTGGCTGAGTATTTTGAAAAGCATAGGTTTGTATTGCATATTATCATTCTAATTGCATTTTGTAGATGAGCCGCATCATTATACTTCTGGAAGTGTTGGTAAATCACTGTCAATCTTAGGTCTTTTGCCTTAATGGACAAACCTTACCAATAATTTTAAGAGTTTCGATCAATATACAAATAGGAATAGTCTGAAATGAAAACAATTTTTGTAATACCGTCATTTTTACCAATGACGCTCTTACCATTCATGATAGGTTTAACTTGGGCCTATTACTTACGGTCTTTAACAGTATCTTTAGTAATGGTAAAAAAATACTTTTATCGAGCTTTACCCAAGAATTCCTAGATATTTTACATGCTGTGGACAGATCTTAAAGCCTGTGATCACTTTGAATGTATCACAATTCACAGGATAAACTAAAACACAACTACTTGTTCAGAGATAGCCCAGCAATTTCACCATATTCTTTCCATCTCCCTGTTGGCCTCTGACAGTGATTAGTCTGGATCAGAGATCATCAGTGCGATATAATCAGCAAATAAATTGAGAGGGTAAGTCTGACCGTTGCGCAGATGACGTCACCACCACCCTGTCTTTTTAAATAAGTGTTATTTGTTTTTTGAGAAATCAATAAACAAATTTAACAAAATACAACTTGCCAGTTGTTCCCTCAATGTCAAATTTTCAATGTCATTTTCTCCTGATAACTCAACAGCCCATATGCGCGTATATCATGAGGCAAGTGACAGACCCATCACCAAATTTCCAGCATTTAGCTTTTTGAGGCCAACTGGAGTTTATTCTAGTGTTTAGCTTCCACTTAACTGAAGAAGCTAGCTGTCTGTGAGTTCAGCCAGTTGTGTTTTGTTGGAGGGAGAGAAGGGAAGATGGGATAGGGTATTCAATGTGAAGACATAGGTCTACTAGCCATGAATTTGGTGACAAGGTTGGTTGGCTTAAAAGTGCAAGCTTGTATTGAAAAATATGTTTAATACCTGGCTCTTTTTCGTAAGCAAATTACTTTAAAAATAATGCAGTTGGGTTTGTTCATCTCTTCCAAGATTAATTGGCATCCTCTATTCAACCTACTATGGGGAAAAACTATAAATATACTGCTACTTCAACAAGCTCAAGGGAAATAAAGCTATTAACATGTATTTATCTCCAATAAAACTTCTACATTTGATTGCATCATGTGCTGAATTGTTGTTGTTGTTGTGACATCCTGAGGTGTAAATCTAAGAATCAGTGCTGAAAGCTTCCTATTAATATTTGCACATTTAAAATGCTGTTAATTGTGTGCATGTGTGTGTAGAAAACAACTACACCTTGTAAGCAGAAATGGGAGTGAGAGTGCAGAATACAAATAATTACAAATGACACTTCTATGGCAAATTGTTCCTGTGTTGGCTCTAAAGACTGAAAGCATATTTTGCAGATCAGCACTGTCACGCTACGTGTTTCCATTGCCCCTGCTGCAACATATGAACAGCCTGCTATAGAGATAAGGAGTGTTCAGGTATTTGCCTGAACTCTCAAACTCTGTATCCAAGGGCAAAAGCAGGGGTTTGCATGGCAGCCCCACTCCCAAGGTGCAGTGTGCCCAATGTTAAGTGGGAAAGGTATATCAGAGTCCTCAATGTGAGATGTTCTATGTTCAAGAAAACAGAAGTTATAAAAAACCCCAGCAGACCTTTCTTGCTACACACAAGGGAGGTTGGGGACAGCAAGAGTGCTGCATGAAAGGATGTTAGAGCATGTCCACATTTGTTTGATACCCAGAGTTACATGATTCACACAACCAAGTTAATGCCTGTAGCATTTAGGACAAGGGTCAGCAAACTTTTTCAGCAGGGGGCCGGTCCACTGTCACTCAGACCTTGTGGGGGGCCGGACTATATTTTTTTTGGGGGGGGGGGGGATAACGAATTCCTATGCCCCACAAATAACCCAGAGATGCATTTTAAATAAAAGGACACATTCTACTCATGTAAAAACATGCTGATTCCCAGACCGTCCATGGGCCAGATTTAGAAGGCGATTGGGCTGCATCCAGCCCCTGGGCCTTAGGTTGCTTACCCATGATTTAGGACCTGGAGAGGAAGATTAACCCTACACAGGCCCATGGTCCCAATGGAAATCACCTGCCAGAAGCTATTGGTTGCATGGGATGTGAGCTGCTCTTTGTACCAATGGAAGCTTTTATCTCAATGCAAATAGTTTCAGGAACACACTTTTTTTTGGCAGGACCACACAAGGCACGGTAGGATCCAACTCTTCTCCGATTCCCATGGTCTGGAGGCTGCTATTTGCATATTTAAAAACATGCATGTTGAGATTGTAAGAATAGCCCAACTGGATCAGACCAGTGACCCACCTAGTCTACCATCTTGTTCTCATAGTGTCCAAGCAGATGCCTGTGAGAAGCTTGCAAGCAGGACATAAGCACAATAGCACTTTCACCTCCTGCAGCTTCCAGCAGCTGGTATTCAGATGCATTTCTGTTTCTGATCATGGGAGCAGAGCAGAGCCATCATGGCTAGTATCCCATCAACAGTTTTCTCCATGAATTTGATTCAGCACAGAATCCAAGTTGGGCCATCACTGCCTCCTGTGGGAGCCATGCAGCAGACTTGCTAAATATAGTTTCCATCCTCTCAAGTTCCCATTTTGGGAAGAAGGCAAGGAGAAGAAGAGTTTGGATTTGATATCCCGCTTTATCACTACCCGAAGGAGTCTCAAAGCGGCTAACATTCTCCTTTCCCTTCCTCCCCCACAACAAACACTCTGTGAGGTGAGTGGGGCTGAGAGACTTCAGAGAAATGTGACTAGCCCAAGGTCACCCAGCAGCTGCATGTGGAGGAGTGGAGACGCGAACCCGGTTCACAAGATTATGAGTCTACCGCTCTTAACCACTACATCACACTGGCTCTCTAGGAATGCATAGTTACCCCTGTGGATTGCCAATATCAAGTCCACTGGGAGATGTTTGTTCAAACGAGGACTTGCCCCTTCCTACCTGCTGCTCCTTTTTTCTTTTCTTTTCTTTTTTTTTTGTTGTTTTAAACTCTCCATTGCCCCAACAATGGCAAACAAAAACAACCAAATGCAGCATAAAAGCAAACTCTATGCTGGGAATCATTAGGAAAGGAGCCACCAATATCCATTTATTGATACAAATCTACAGTGTGATTGCACTTGGGATACTGTGCAGAGTTCTGGTCACGGCACCTCAAGAAGGATATCACAGAGCTGGAAAAGTGCAAGCAAAATGATCAAGGAGCTAGAGCAAAGGCAAGGGGCAAACATGACAAAAGGTATATATAATTAAGCATGGAATGGAGATAGTGGACAAAAAGGAACTTGCCTCCCTCTCGTAATGCTAGGGCCCACCCAATGAAGCTGAATGTTGGGAGATTCAGCACAGACAACATGGAAGTATTTCTTGACAGAGCACATAATTAAAATATGGCATTTGCTACCACAATATGCAGTAGTGGCCCAACTTGGACAGCTTTGGACATTTTCATGAAGGATAAGGCTAACAATGAGCACTACTAGTTAGTATGGCTGGATACTACCTCCAGACTTGGAGATAGTATACATGTGAATACAGATTTCTGGAGACTGCAGGAGGTGACAATGATTTAATGATACTATATCTGCAGTTTTATTCTTTCCCAAATGATCTGTAGGGTTGAATTTGCCTTTTTCACAGCTGCTGAAAACTGGGTCGACATTCGGCAAGCTATCTACTGCAACCTCAAAGACTTGCTCCTCCTGGTCAATCACCACCAGTTTAGACCCCATGAACATATTCATATGTGAAATTAAGATTATTTGTCCTGATTTGAAGCACTCTACACTTGTTTACCCTGAACTACCTTACATTAGCCATTTCTGTGGGATAACCAGCCTCATATAACCAATCTGTTTAAGTCTACTTAATTGCATGAAGGGGTTAATACCATACTGCAAGCTATCCCGCCCGGCTTAGCTCACCTTGGGAGGAACGAGGTCAGGCATAAGCAAACTCGGCCCTCCAGATCTTTTGAGACTACAACTCCCATCATCCCTAGCTAACAGGACCAGTGGTTAGGGATGATGGGAGTTGTAGTCCCAAAAACATCTGGAGGGCCAAATCTGCCTATGCCATAGCTGTCAACTTTTCCCTTTTCTTGTGAGGAATCCTATTCAGAATAAGGGAATTTCCCTTTTAAAAAGGGAAACGTTGACAGCTATGGCCTATGCCTGAACTAGGTAGACAAGCATTGTTCCCATCGAGTCTACCAGAGAAGCTCAATGTGTGAGGAAGTCTGAGCTCGCTGCTGAAGCTCAGATCACATGGCTATTACAGAACTCTGTTGAGCTCCTATACCAATAATTTAGGGACTTTCACTGCTTTGCAACTAAACTTTTACTGCCTGTGCAACCTTTTCTGAATGCTATATGGTAAAGCACATGAACCTGACCTTTGGAGAGTGTGTAAGTAAACCATTTTTAGCTTACAAAATGAGTAGTCCTTTTCTATGCTAGGGGAAGTGGGAAGCTTTGGAAGGAACTTGGAAGGGCTTATTTTAAAGGTCTAACAGCCCATATCTCCATGCTTTACTTTGGTGCATTTTTTGTGATTTTAAATCTCTGCTGGGGTTCTCTCATCAAAGAGTACTTGCCTCCAACTTAGATCTTGGTATCCAGGGAATTATGCTTTCTATATACCTATTTTTTAACTTGAACCAACAATTTTAACTGTCAATTTGCTCAATTTGGAGATATATTTTAGGAGATCTTCGCAATCCCTTATTAATGACCTTGAACAGCTCCGTATCATAAGCAAACTTGGCTACCTCACTGTTCATCCCTAACTCTATATCATTTATGAACAAGTTAAAAAGCACAGGTCCTCTCCAGAAAACCAAAGACTAGTTCCAAAGGTTTCTACTAACTTGTGGAACACTTAATAAGAATGTGTTTCACAGATGTATACGGTTAAAAGTTGAGGTGCATGTATGAGAATACTGCTTTTCATAATGTATTTGGGTGGAGTTTCCAGGGATGTTGTCTTTGTCCATGGAGTTTTCTTGGCAGGGATACTGGAGTGGCTTGCCGGTTCCTGCTCCAGGTGGATCACATTTGGTCAAAACTCTCCACTATGACCTGTCCATCTTGGGTGGCCCTGCACGGCATAGCTCATAGCTTCACTGAGTTATTCAAGCCCCTTCGCCACAGCAACACCAAAGAAGTGATGCTTTTGAATTATGGTGCTGGAGGAGACTCTTGAGAGTCCCATGGACTGCAAGAAGATAAAACCTCTCGATTCTTAAGGAAATCAGCCCTGAGTGCTCAATGGAAGGACAGATCCTGAAGCTGAGACTCCAATACTTTGGCCGCCTCATGAGAAGAGAAGACTCCCTGGAAAAGACCCTGATGTTGGAAAAGAGTGAGGGCACAAGGAGAAGGAGACAACAGAGGACAAGATGGTTGGACAGTGTTCTCGAAGCTACAAACATGAATCTGACCAAACTGCGGGAATAACAGGTTTGGAAATGCCCAAGAAAGATGTTAAACTATTTTTCTATGCCACAACTGCGGCTCGTATTCTGTTAGCTAAAAAGTGGAAAACCCAAGAAATACCAACAGTAGAAGAATGGCAGATGAAGATGATGGACTTTTTGGAACTAGCCGACCTAACTGGAAGAGTCCGCGACCAAAGGAGGAGGAACACTATGAAGAATGGAAGAAATTTAATGATTATTTAGTTAAATGTGTTAAGCTAAACTAATCAGAAATAGCTTCCAGATATTTAATGGGCTTAGGATTGTATTTATGTTAACTGATAAAATAATGTGTTTAATACCATAAGGAGAAGATTTAAAGATGTTAATGTTCAATTTAAAGTTTATAAAAATTGGGTTTTGGAAAACCGTTACAAGGATTTGCAATGAAATTCAACTAAGGGGAAACGAGGATGTTGCTTTACAAAGTTAATAACTGTTATTTTCAATAAGGTTATGATTTATGTTTGTTATGTTTGTTGTTTTGCGTTTTTGTTTGTCGTTAATATTGTAAAAATCAATAAAATTTTTGAAAGAAAAAAAAAGATGGAGGGCACAAGGAGAAGGGGATGGCAGAGGACAAGATGGTTGGACAGTGTTCTCGAAGCTACCAGCATGAGTTTGACCAAACTGCGGGAGGCAGTGGAAGACAGAAGTGCCTGGCGTGCTCTGGTCCATGGGGTCACGAAGAGTCAGACACGACTAAACGAATAAACAACAACATCCAGGGAAGTAAAAAAGTAAAATAAGCACAGATCCCTGTATAAATCCTTGGTGGGCTCCATTTTCTACATCCTGCCATCATCATCATTTGCTCCTATGCTCTACTTTCTGTTACTTAACCAGTTCCTGATCAATACTTCACCTCTCATTCCATGATTGTTAAGTTTACTCAGTTTTTGGTAAGGTACTTTGCTGAAAACTTTTCAGAAGTCCAGCACACTGCATCAGCCACATCTCCTCTATCAGTATGCTTGTTGACACTCTCTATAGGTTATGAGACAGCAGCCATGCTTGTTCTGCTTCAACAAGGTTTCTTCTTCCACACACAGTGGTATTTTATCTTTAACAACACTGTCCATCAGCAAAATACATTAACTAACCTATAATTTCCAGAATTCCTCCTGGATCCCTTTTTCAAAAATTGGTATTTCATTGGGCTACTTTCTAGTCCTCAGATATGAAAGCTGACACTAGGGATAAGTTACATATTCTTCTTGAAAGACCAGTAATTTCACCTTTGAGTTCTTTGAGAACTCTCAGGTGGATACCATCTGGACCTGGCGATTCGTTGGTTTTTATTTTGCCTATTAGGTGTAAAACTTATTACCTACCACCACTGTTTGCCTCAGTTCCTCAAACTGCCTTTCTGCAAAAGTTACTTCAGGCAGAAAGGTTTGTCTTATATCGTCTTCTCAGAAGACAGATGCAAGAAGACAGATTCAGCTTCTCTGCAATAAGTTCCAGGACACCCCAAATGACATGCATATTGTCTCCTACAAGGGCTGTTAAATTTAGAAACCTTTATTACGGCAGAACATGAGCTTTTAATAACTAACACAGGCTTTCAGACAGATGTTTATGTTTTATTTTGATGCTGACTTAAATTTCAGTGAGTTATGCAGGCGTGCAGTTGCGGCATTCTGGAAAGCGTAAGGAAGGTGATCATGTTTAAAAAGGACCGAGGTTTTGAACCAAACATCTGGATCGATCTGCTTAGAAGAGTGAAGAAGTTGTGACTCTCCAAGTGGTGCTGAACTCCCAGTTCCCACCCCTCCCCTCCCCCAGCAAACATGGCCTTTGGCAAGGAATGATGCAGGATGCAATCTAGCAACATGAAGGGTCACATCCCAGGTCTAGTATCTAATGACATGTACACATTAGCAGCTTAAAATACAGGAAGGTAATTTCCCACACACATACACACACTGTGTTTCAAGCTGTGTTTTATGTTGCTGTACACACCATTACCTGCTTCCCCCCCAACACACATATTACCTGATTTGTTATCCCAAACCTCCAAAGTCCTATTCAATGAAGCTGTCAACTGCACATGCACTGCTATTTGTGCATGTATAATGGCTTTTTGAAATGTATCAAATAGCAATATTTCTCAAGAAGATACAGGATGCAGATGGATTGTGGCAAACATCATGTGTGCTTGGTTTCAGAAACCAGTGGTGGGAGCCAGAGTAAACGGCAATGTGTACATAGCCTAAGAGTGCTGCTGCAATGCAAGCCTGTGCAGATGACGCTGTTTCTCAACTGGAAACCCACCTCTTCTCAAACCTCCTGATTTGGAAGGAGGTGGAACCGTGGTTACGAAATGGAGAGAGGGAAATGCATTTTGCAAACACTCAGAAGTAGGATTTCCCTCCCTCGTTTCTTCTTCTATTTCTACTGCAGGCAAGCCTTAAAAAAATATTATAGGGCTGCATTTTCCCCCCAGTTCAGCTCAAGACCAGGTCAAGTACAGATTATGAGACCCTCTCCACCAGGGACAGATAACTGCAGCAGGCACAGAATGAATGTTAAATGAACTAGCAGGCTCAGGGTCATAGCTGTCAACCTTCCCTTTTTTTGCAGGAAATTCCCTTATTCCAGCGCCGTTCCTGCTGCTTCCAGCTGCTATCGCGGATTGTTAGATATCCTGTAGACTGTCCCCGGGACAGGTGAGGCTGCTGATCGCTTATTTTCAAATCTGAAAGTTGACAGCTATGCTCGGGGTTCACACCGTCCCCCACACAATTGGACTGACAACTATCACATGCAAATATTTTTACTTGAGAGAACTATAACACCGGGAAGGCTCTCCAAGGTTTAGTCCAGCCACCTGCTAGGGGCAAGATCTGCAATGCAAGGTATTAGCATTTGAACTGGGGCCTTCTGCATGCAAAGCATATACCCTGCCAGTGAGCTAAGACTTTTCCCAAATGGCAAGTGAAGTGTTTGCACACCTATGTGTGAAAGTGCCCTTTCCCAGTGTTTGGAGGCATTATACCTCTGAACACCAGGTGCTGGGATCTGTAAGCATGGAAGACTGCTGTGGAGCTGGTTTCCCATTAGGCATCTGGTTGGCCACTGTGAGAACAGGGTGCTGTACCAAAATGGGCCTTTCATGTACTTCCCATGTGATCCAATTCACACCAAATGCACCATATTTTATACAAAGAAATATGTTCCAGGTAGATAAGAGAGAACATGTGAAACAGCTCCCCTCAGCTCCCCCAGTCTTAAGTTGCCTGGTTTCTAGAATGAGAGGTCTCAGAACGTGCTATTGGAGACAAATAACCAGAACTTAGTCATTCTGGCCACATGACCCGGAAGCTGTACGCCGGCTCCCTTGGCCAATAAAGCAAGATGAGCGCCACAACCCCAGAGTCGGTCACGACTGGACCTAATGGTCAGGGGTCCCTTCTGCAAACAAATGCAGAAAAGTAGAGAGAAAGAGAGAGAGAGAGCAAAGAATCTGAAGCTTTTAAAGAACATACATAAAAGATACCTAAAGGATATGTATAACATTTGCCTGATTTGTGTCATTTAAAAAATACAAAATCAGAGTCACATTCTAAATAGCTTATTCAAGCCAGACAACCAGCACACAGCAAATAGCCAGGACATTTTCTTGCACTTTTTAAGTCAACTGCAAGAAGAGATATTCTACCTGATGCACATCACTGGCCTGCTATCCATCATTATTGCAATACAACAGTGGATATTCCGGGCAGGCGAAAGGCAAAGAGTGAGTGGGAAATGAGATTCTCTGCTCTTGCGTTCACTGGAAAGTAACGTGGCATCCTTAGCGGAGGGTGAAGCTGCACTTGTAGGCAGAGGCTTCATGAATTAAGTCTGCGCTCGTCAGACTGCAGGTGGGAGTATTGCATCCACTTCTGGTCAACACATTTTAAGGATGGGAGCATTTGTCAACAGGAAGGCAGCTAGGATGGTGAGGTGGTCTGGAAGCCAAGCCCTATAAGGAATGGTTGAAAGAGGTATGTCATGTGGAAAATGGAGAAGGATTTGGTTTCAATTGCAGCAGAGGATGGGACTAGAAACAATGGGTGGAAACCCATAGGGATTCATAGAATCATAGTGCTGGAAGAGACCACAAGGGTCATCTAATCCAAAGCCCTGCAATGCAGGAATACTGCCCGCAGCTGCCTTGTTGGCTCAAACCAACAAACGTCTGGCCAACAGCCAGATGCACTGACCCTTCGCACCAAAGACTCCCTTAGAAAGCGTACAGCACCCAGTATTCCCAGGCAGTCTCCCATCCAAGTACTAACCAGGCCTGACCCTGCTTAGCTTCTTGCACATTTTTGTTCAACTTCAGCATGGCACTGAGAGCTGCATTCCCTTCTGGGCAACCCTCCAAGGACCACAGGACAGTGGTGGGTGGGACCATAGGAAAAAGCAGGCAGAGCACGCATACAAAATTTTGCCTTTCTGCAGTAGTCGCTCATCTAGGCACATATATAATCAGGGTTCAAAGACACATTACAGCCCTTGCAAAACTACCTAAGGAATGAAATGGAGTGTACTAATGGGTGTCACTGGAGAGGGTGTGTGGCCTTGGGAGAGTCCCAAGGGCCAGAAAGACCAGGAACGGACACATTTGGCCCCTGGGCCTGAGCTTCCCCACCCCTGCATTAAGAGGCTGTGGAACAACTTGTCTTGGAAGGCGATGGGGCCCCTTGGTGAAGGCTGAGTGGCCATTTGTCAGGAATGTTACTATGCTAGAGTTCAGGTGTTACTGGACCCAACTTCCATCACACCAAGTCAACAGAGCCAACAATCAGGGTTGAAGGGGAGCTAGAGCCCATCCACATCTGGAGGGCAAGACCAGTAGCCAACACCACCTCCTACAGACAATCCCACAAATTATATGTGTGAAGGCACAGCAACCAATGAGCAATGAGCATACATTGGTGAATCAGAAGTGTTCCCCAAATGCTCCAACGGTATTGGTTCCCCATCTCCCCTTTCCATGAACCACTTGAAAATCGCCGATAATTCTTGATGATTTTTTTTCTGCCTGTTGTCACAATTGTAATGTGCCGTGCTAACATACTGCATGGTTTTCGATTGTATTTTTATTGTTTTGTGTGTGTTTTTTTGCTTTTTTGCATTATGATCCGCATTCCATAGAATTCAAACTCAAAAAGAAAAAAAAATACAATATAAGAAATAAAAAAGCCACAAAGATGCAATTAGAAATCAATATGAGCATTTAATGTGGAAATGCCGCAGGCCACCTGAATGCAGCTTGTGGACCAATGGTGGTCCTTAGACCACAGTTTAGGAGCCCCTCTTCTAATGTGCACACAGCCTATTTAGTTCGCTAAGCATCCCCAGAAAATTAAGAATGGTATATTTTCCTGGTAGGTGTGGGACCCCCAGACCCTTCTCTCTTTTTTTGACAATTTTATTCTCTTTATAATTACATTTACATCCCACCTTTCCTTCGAGGAGCTCCAGGTGGTTCTCTCCATCCTCAGTTTACCCTCACAAGAACCCTGGGAGGTAGGCTTAGGTTGAAAGACAGAGGGTACCTAGTGAGCTTCACGGCTGAGTTGAAGTTGAGCTCTGGTCTCCCAGGTCCTATTCTGTTCCTCTAACCATCATACATGCTGCACGGAAGAACACCAGCGATGTGGATCGTTGTTTTACCGCGCATTTAAATGTTTCTGCCTCCTTCATTTAAATGTACTCCAGCGCCCTGCCCCTGGCAAGCACTGATCAAATAAATAAATAAATAACCAAGGGAGAAGCACGGCCACGCGGTTCTTAGCGTCACATGTGGAAAGAAAAGCCTCCGCTTTCTCTGGCGTGCTACACAATGATTCCGAGGGGCGCAGAGAGGAATGCAGATTCTGGCGGAGAAAAAGAAAAGTGAAATAAACACGCAGCTTTTGCAAACAGACCCGGAGGATGGAGTAGTTAGTTACGGAACCTCCCTCCTTCCCTGCGACCGCTCGATCTGCTAATGCCAGCCCCTCGCTATATGTTTCTCCGGCTCCGACACACTCACAAGGCCCGCCGCCTCCCCACCTTGCAGGGCGGGTGGTGCCGGGGGAGGGTTCACTTGCGGCAAAGGCGAGCGGAGCGGCCGCAGCAGAGCCTGTCTGGCCTACTTTGCAGAAGCAAAGCGCGCGTCCCCTACCAGCTTCGCGGAACAGATTGGCGGCGGCGGGGTTTAGAGGGAGAAAGCAGCCACAGCAAAAAAAAAAAAATGCAAAGAAAAGAAAGGGAGTCGCTTCCCGTTCTTTGGTTTGCCGCCCTCCCTCGCTGCGTGCTCACCCGGATACCCTCCACCCTCTTCCCCGACTACACGTCGGGCAGATTCGCAACCAAGACGGCCTTCACTCAAGGGGAGAAACGCGTATGCCGGAGCCGCTCCGGAGTCCGGTTTCCACCAGGGTCAGAAGCGGCCGTTTAGAAAAACACAAACAAACGCCGCGCTCACGCCCTTAGGCGGCGGACTCCTCCTCGCCGTCTCCTGGAGAGAAATGCAAGCCAAATCAGCCCCCAATCCTTCCCTCTAGGCCATGCACGGCCGCTTCACACATTACACACGTGTCGTTTACCTGGAAAGGAAAGCGCTTCCTTACAGGCAGTAGCGTGCTGGCAGCTCGCATGTATAAATCGTCAATGATTTGGTGCCGTCGAGGATAGGTTGTTTTTTTTTTGCAGGATGCCCCCTTCGTCACCCTCGTTCGTCCAGCCTCACTGAATGTCTGGAGTGGGGACGTAGTAATGTTCGAGCCGCGGCTTCTTTCACAGTTAGGACCCACAAGAAAAATGAATGCGTTCCCTAGCCACGGAACTAGGTATTGTACACCTATCTCTATTCTCTGTGTCCCCACCTTATATCATAACGCCGTGCACGTCTGTAAAGCTCTTGCGAGAGCATAGTTAAAGGCGACTTTGCCCGCTGTGGTAACGAATGTTTGGCGGGCTGGGGGCAGTTGACAGTCACGAGTGCAATTTGCTGTAGCCGCGTAACTCTAGTTTGGCTGAGGCTTCCCTTGCAGGTATGCCAAATGCACGTGTGTGCTGTCATACCATGTGACGTTCGACACGTGGGTAGCCGTCCCTTTCCCACAACCTATTTCCCACAACCTGCTTTCTGCGATGGAAATGCAAAACATGGGAAAGGAGCCTTGGGCTTCTCAGGGGTTAGTAGACTTCAGCCTTCTCAGACCCAGGAGCCACTTTTAACTCAAACATTTCTTAATCTTTTTTTGGCTTAGGCGAATCACCAGTTCATTAGGTAATTTCAGCCTTGCCTAAAAATGCCACCTCCAGACTTGGAAGCCGTGAAAGTGAGGGTTGCTCCCATGAGAGCCCTTTTGTTGGTGTTGGTAGAGAAAGAGGCTAGGATTAGGAATTGAGTAGCAAGAGAGAGAATACTTTGCTTGTAGGAGGTGTTCTGCTGTTCCACATTTCTCAAGGAAGAGTCCAGGACTCCTGGCTTTACAAAAGCACTTGCTCCTTCTTACTCCACCCGGAACTGAGGTTGGGCCACCAAAGCTGATTCAAGGTTTGAGTAAAAAAGAGTGATAAAATGATGGCTGCACTGTAAGTTTGCTCAACCTTTTCTGACTGCCCGAGTCTATGCAGGAGCTTGAAACCACAGACAGTGCCGCTGAAATTCAGCAGGATGGGTCAGGAAATATGGCAAGAAGGAAGGAAAAACAGGTTGTGTGGAGGCTTGGCCAGGGCAGCCAGACAGGTGGAGACAGGACAAAGCAGGGAAGAACCATTTCTGGCTTTGTCATAGGAAGCTGTCTTATACCAGATGAGCCCATTGGTGCAGCAGTTGGCTGCCTGGGGTGTGAGGTGGAGGACATCCCCAGCCCTACCTGCAGATGCTGGTGATTGAACCTGTGGCCTTCTGCATGCATAGCAGATGCTCTACTGCTGAGCTACAGCCCTTCCCCAACATTCTGTGGTGCCCCCATGTGCTCCCAGCCATACCAATGAGGCTTGCACAGGAGAAGTTCCCTTAGTGAATTGTGGCCTCTTACCTTCTCTTTGCTGTATGCTAGGGAAGCTTTTTGTGACCCTTGGTCCTGGATTCCTGAAATGCAGCCTCTGAAAAAAGGGGGGTTGTGTGTGTGTTTTATGGCCACATTACCGCATGGGGAGGATGTTCTGCTTGTTACGGCTGGTTATAGCTGAAGGTGGTGGTGGTGGGGAGCTGTTTGCAACATATTTGGAAGGTGCTCCAGATTTAGCTGCAAGTAAATCCTTGTTGCTGTAAAACTCTGGACCAGGAAACTTTGAATTATTGGAGAGTTTGATGTTCCTGCTGGAGTAGTTTAGCAAGCTCCGTTTTCTCTTTTACAAAAGCCATCCTGTGTGTGCTTTGGAACAAAGCAGCAATCTGGCAAGTTGAGGGAACTGTGTTAAAAAAAAGGGGGGGTTGTCTTCTTCATTCCTAAAGTCCCCACCCTCTTCTGCCACAGCCCCTGTGTCTGAGGTCTGAAAATTCCTAAGAACATAAAATGCACTTACTGTTATAACCGTAAATAATAAGATCGCTTACACCAGTGGCTTCCCATCTATTTCTTAACAGACTGCTTGAAAATTGCTGAGGGTCTTGGACCACTTCAGCGAGTTTTCTGCCTGTAGTAGCTGTGCTAAATGCTGTATAGTTTTTTTGCTGTATACTTTTATTGCTTCTTTTGTTACTTATCTTGTATTTCATTGTAGTACAATTTGCATTCCATAGATTTCAAACTACAATACAATAAGATATAATTTTTTTTAAAAAAAGCAGTTAAAAACCAGTATGAATGTTTAATATAGACATGCCACAGCCACCTGATTGAAGCTAGCAGACCACTGGCAATCCACAGACCACAGTCTGAGAACTCCTGACTCATATCAAATGGGGAATTTTACTCATGGCACCACGCTCTATATAATCCAGTGTTTCCCAAACTTGGGGCTCCAGCTGTTTTTGGACTACAACTCCCATCATCCCTAGCTAGTAGGACCAGTGGTCAGGGATTATGGGAATTGTAGTCGAAAACAGCTGGAGACCCAAGTTAGGGAAACACTGATATAATATTACAGGCACATTTTTTGCGCACATTTTTTGCTCCTGCTCTGCACTGTGGAAAGCCCTTCCTTCTGCCATATGCTCCCTCTGCCAAAGTGATTTATCAGTCAGTCCCCCTTCCCAGGGAACTCTGGGAATTGCAGCTCTGTGAGGGGAAAAGAGGTCTCCCTATCTATTTTTAGCACCCTTAACAAAATACAGTACAGTTCTATGATTCTTTGGGGAAAATCACAAGTGTTTACAATGGTGTGATACTGCATTAAATGCATCTTCTTCTTCTTGTTCTTGTTCTTCTTCTTCTTCTTCTTCTTCTTCTTCTTCTTCTTCTTCTTCTTTGGTGATCACTCATAGCCGAGTAAGATTGTCTTCCATAAACACGGTTTTAACAATGAGTCCTTCAGTGACTGTGGAGGCCAATTCTGGATCCACACGTCCTTCCACAGTGGGGACATCGGTTTCTGGGTGGGAGTTGATCACAGTGTGGATTTGCCAAGCGTGCCTTCCTCTTAGCACGTTTCTCCCTTGCGTCCTGAGTTCAAGTGTCTTCAAAGCCCATGACACCTTTGGTAAAGGCTGCTCTCCAACTGGAGCGCTCGCAGGCCAGTGTTTCCCAATTGTCAGTGTTTATACTACATTTTTTTAGATTTGCCTTGAGACAGTCTTTAAACCTCTTTTGTTGACCACCAGCATTACACTTTCCATTATTAGGTTCGGAATAGAGTAGTTGCTTTGGAAGACGGTAACCAGGCATCTGCACATGACCAGTCCAATGAAGTTGATGTTGAAGAATCTGCATAGTGCAGATGTGGCCATTCTTGCACATGGATAGGGAGCCTATGGCTGTCCAGATGTTGTCTGAATACAGCTACAGCTCTGATCACCCCTGACCAATGGCCCTGCTGGCTAGGACTGATGGGAGTTGAACTCCAGCAGCATTAAACATATGGAGGATCACAGGTGCCCCATACCTGCTCTAACCACCATACCCCATGGGTTCTAATACAGGAAGCATAAGAAACTGCATTATCAAGCTCAGTAGCTCAGTCCACACTGACTGGCAGCAGCTGTCAAGGGTCTCAGTCAAAGGCCTTTCTCACCCAGACTATTTAGAACTGGAAATGCCACAGGCTCTCCCAAAGCTTTGATATCACCAACCCCAGCAAGTCTGATTTTAAATCTGATCTAGTCAGACAATTTATTTGTGAGGGGGAAGCAACGCTAAAGCTTTGTTGTTAGCTTGGCATGATAACCACATGTAATAGGAAGCCCCACTATGCAATGGCCACATTTCCAACCCAGAGAATTATATAGTTACCTGTTACCTTGGTCAGTTTATATGGAATGTACTACTTAGTCATCAATTTTGTATAATTCTCTACAACTGAAATTTTGACAGTGGAGGAGTCAACAGAGGGAAGGCAGAAATGGGAGATGCAAAGAGAAGAAATAATGAATATATGCAAACATGGGATGTACTGTTCTTACATGTTACCTGGGAGATCCATGTGACTGGCTGCTTCCAGACTATTGCTACTTTATGAGTAGAATTCAGTTGTGCATGGTCAGATTCAGGTTGCATAATTAAAGTGGATTTTGTACCCTTGTACAATCAATCCACTTTTTTAAAGGATTTTTTTTTCCAGTAAGGAAAGTGATGTGAAAATGCACTGAGAAGTTTGAGATTATAACAGCTTGACCTAACTTCATGGTTCAAACAACTAAGCCACCATAGGGCTGGTGTGCAGCAACTCTTTCTGGTATTTTGAATTACTATAACATTATTAGTTTACAAAGTTTTGATTAATTTGTTGCTGTTGTTTGCTTTATTTATATGCTGCTTCGTTTGTTATTACAGTGATCACAGTGTTTGTCGTTTTTTAATGCTATTGTAACTATTGTGAGCTGCTTTGAGCTCAACATTTGTTGTTGGAAAAGTGGGATACAAATATTAAGCCAAGTAAAATCAAATAAAAAGCAGCATGAATGTTCAACTCTAGTCTTCTAATATATTGGTCTACTTGTAAAGGAAGTTATGCAGAGCCCAGTTTGGATCAGGCCCATCTTGTGGGAGCAAAAGATTAAGCAGCTGGCATGTATGTGTTGGGAGGATGCAATTCCATTCCAGACCCTGCACCAGTCCCCCTTCCCCAATGCAAATTGCACCTGCAAGAATTTGCTGCCCAGCTCTTGCTCTGTCTTTTATGTTTCCCCCAATACAGCTAATATCAGGTAGCAGGGGCTAGGATTTGAATTTTAGTATCGGTATAGGGAGGACGGTCCTAATCAAATCACCTCCCATTCTACCCATGATGTTTTTAGGAAATCTCAACAGAAATCTCCTGCTTTACATGCAGTCTGAGGCTTTCTGGCAGAGTGGTTTGTTTCACTACTGTACCGAGTAATCACACACCTCTGGGATGGGAGACAAAAGTGTAGGCTTTGTTTTGTTCCATTTGGCGGGGCGAAACTTGACTTCATTTCACCCGGGTGAAAGACCCCGTTTGACACCTCCCATCGTGCATTTGTGTGTGTGCACGCACAAACACACACACACAGGCTGGGAGCCTCACTGACACTCCTCTGGAAGCTTAACCCGGGGCAAAAAACCTGGCTAGACCCCTGTACCCATGGCCCTGCATTTGGTGAAAGTGCTGCAGCTCACCTGTGTGCAAGAAGTCCCCGGTTCTATCCCCAGAATCTCCAGGTAGATCTGGCGCAGAATCCTGTCTGAAACCCTGGAGAACCACAACTAAGAGAGTGCTGAGCTACATCAGCCAATGGTCTGACGCAAGGCAGCTTCCAATGTTCCATCTGCACTACTCAGATCTCATTTGGAGTGTTGTGTTCAGGTCTGTGGGTCACACTACTAAGATGGCGATGTAGTGATGGCCACCAGTGTGTGTGTGTGTGTGTGTGTGTGTGTGTGTGTGTGTGTATGTGTGTGTGTGTATGTATATATATATATATATATATATATATATATATATATATATCTCAATAGGTTTAGACCATAGTACTGATAACACCAAGGTTGCAGGTTAAATCCCCATATGCAACAGCTGCATATTCACAGTATAGTAGTAGGGGGTTCGACTAAATCAGTGTTTTTCAAACTTGGGTCTCCAGTTGTGGTTGGACCTCAACTCCCACCATTCCTGCCCGCTGGGATGATGGGAGTTGTAGTCCAACAACAGCTGGAGATCCAAGTTTGCTAAACACTGGACTAGATGATCCTCAGGGTCCCTTCCAACTATGATTCTGATTCTAATTTGGATAGAAGAAGAGTAGAAGAGTTTGGATTTGATATCCCGCTTTATCACTACCTGAAGGAGTCTCAAAGCGGCTAACATTCTCTTTTCCCTTCCTCCCCCACAACAAACACTCTGTGAGGTGAGTGGGGCTGAGAGACTTCAGAGAAGTGTGACTGGCCCAAGGTCACCCAACAGCTGCATGTGGAGGAGCGGAGACGCAAACCCGGTTCCCCAGATTACGAGATTACCGCTCTTAACCACTACACCACACTGGCTCCCCAGCTCAAGAATTAGGCAAATACATGGAGGATGGGGTTGTCAATAGTCACTAGCCACTGTGGCTCGGCTCTGCCTCCACAATTGGAGGCAGTAATGCTTCTGAATATGCCACTTGCTGGAAACTACAGGAAGGCAGAGTGTTATTGCACTCAGGTCCTTCTGACAGTCTTTCCACTTTAGTTTCTGGTTAGCCACTGTAAAAATAGGATGCCTGATTAGCTGGGGATATTGGTCTGCTCCAGCAGAGCTGCTGTTATGTACTTCTGAAAGCATTTTCATTTGTATTGATCAAGTGACTAGCAACAAGGTTATTAACCCAGGTGCTCAATGAGGTAAGTGGGCAAGCTTGAGACCTGCTGTGTTACCAAATGGTTCGCTTGCTCTAGGGATGAGAGGTCTGGTATGCCTCTGAATATGCATTGCTGGGAATCACAAGTGGGGACAGGGCACAATTGCGCTCAGGTCCTGCCAATCCAGCAGGGCTCTTCTTCCGTTCTTATAAACAGATTGGAATAGGTTAAGAGGGAAGCAATGTAGATGGTCAACAGTATGGAAAGCAAGTTATTTCAGAAAAGATGAACAGAGTTTGGTATGATTAGCCTAGAAAAGAAAAGACTGGGAAGTCAGGGGGCAATGATTACCACAACAACATGACAGCAGTCTTCAAGTATCAAGTTGTTGTTTAGTCGTGTCCGACTCTTCGTGACCCCATGGACCAGAGCACGCCAAGCACTCCTGTCTTCCACTGCCTCCCGCAGCTTGGTCAAACTCATGTTGATAGCTTCGAGAACACTGTCCAACCATCTCGTCCTCTGTCGTCCCCTTCCCCTTGTGCCCTCAACTTTTCCCAACATCAGGGTCTTTTCCAAGGAGTCTTCTCTTATCAAGTATCTGAAGATAATTACTCTCTGCTGCCTAAGAGGGCAGGGCAAGAAATTGAATAGACTTAAGAGGAGGGTGAATTTTAGTTGAATATTAGGAGACGCTCCTTTACTGTTAGAGCAATTTGACATTGGAGCAGTTACTGGCAGGGTTTGGGGGGCACTAGAGGACCTCAAGGAGAGGCTAAGAGAGACTGGCCCAAGGCCACCCAGACAGCTTTACGACTTACTGGAAACTCGAACCCTGGCTTCTCAAGGTTCTTACCCAATTCAGGGATATGGAACCTATGGCTCTGCACATATTGCTGGACTACAGCTGCTGTCATCCCTGACCATTGGATGTACTGGGAGTCCAGAAACATCTGGAGGGCCACAATTCCCCCATCCTACTCTAACTATAGAAACATAGAATTGGAGAGCCAGTGTGATGTAGTGGTTAAGAGCGGTAGACTCGTAATCTGGTGAACCGGGTTCGTGTCTCCGCTCCGCCACATGCAGCTGCTGGGTGACCTTGGGCTAGTCACACTTCTTTGAAGTCTCTCCACCCCACTCACCTCACAGAGTGTTTGTTGTGGGGGAGGAAGGGAAAGAAGAATGTTAGCCGCTTTGAGACTCCTTAGGGTAGTGATAAAGCGGGATATCAAAGCCAAACTCATCTTCTTCTTCTTCTAGAGTTGGAAGGAACCCTGTGGCTCCTCTGATTCATCCCTGGCAATGAAGGAATCTCAACTAAAGCATCCATGACAGGTGGCCATCCAAATTCTGCTTAAAAGCCTCCAAGGGAGGAGAGCCCACCATCTCTTGTGGGAGTCTGTTCCACTGTCAAACTGCTTTTACCGTCAGAAACTTCCTCCTGATGTTAAGTCAGAATCTCCTTTTTTTGTAACTTGAAGCCATTGGTTCAGGTCATAACCTCTGGAGCAGGAGAAAACAAGTTTGCTCCTTCCTCCAAGGGACACCACTTTAAATGTCGAGTCTCTTATCGTAGCAGTTTTAAGAATGTAAGAAGAGCCCTGTTGTATCAGACCAAGGCTCTTTTAGTCTAACAACCTGTTTCCAAGAGTAGCCAGCCATTTTTTTTCAAGGAAGGCTTTGCACCTCTCCATTTGCCCCCAGGATCTCAGATACAGAGGTACACTGCAACTGCAAATGGAGGCTCAGTTTTCAATCATGCCTAACAACTAACAGCCATTATAGTTATAATATTGTGCTTTAAATTGCACTGGGAATCACTCTGGGGTAAGAGTTTGTGAAGGGAAGTGTGTGATTGTCCTAAATAAATACACAAACCTTCCATGGATCCATCTATCAGAACTTGCCACTGTCTTATAACCCACCACACATGCTAATGCTGATACAGTAGAAAAAATATTTCAACATGGTACTGTTGAGTTTGTGGACCTTTCTCTCTCCCCCCCCCCCACGTTCTTTTTCTCATGGCTGTCCTCTCAAGAGCCCTGTAAGGCAGGTCACTTTCATTCCTTTTTGCAGAAGGGGGAGCAAAGGTCGAGAGATAAGTGACTTGCCTAAACAAAGCCATGGGTCTGAGGCAGAGGTTGACGCTCCCTTTCCTGACAGAAGCTTCTGTGCCTCTATAAAGCCAAAATCCAAAAGGCTGTGCTTCTCATGGCAGTAGTTCCAAGACACATAAAACACTACTGGTTGAGTTTCCACCTGTCATATTACTGCTGCAGCCTCTGTCAGGAAAGGAGTTGAAAGTACACCAGCAAAAAGTCTCCCTTTTATTGTTTCCCAGCAATCTGGGCTGCTTTAAACTCTGATCAACGAGATGATAACTCACCTCCTCTGTGGGAATGAAAAATGCACCTTTGATATTGGCAAATGTATTAATAGGGGGAAGTAGTCATTAACAGAAACTCCAGTATGAAGGTGTGTGCGCTGCATTCCCATGGAGAAAGATGAGTTGTCATCTATAGAGAAGGTGAGTTATCGCCTTGCATGGCAGCCAGGAATTCAGCACAGGACTGTTTCTCCATCAATGCACATTTATGCTTGAAGAAAAGCTTCCCCTGTGGAATATCCACCTGTTGTGTAGCTGCTGAAAGCGAAAGGGCCCTTGCCAGGAAGAAGAAGGAAGAAGTTGCCAGCTATGCCTATCTCAGTTCACTGGCAAATAAAAGGCAACTTTATATTCTGCTCTGAGAGCATCACCTGTTCTTGCGCGACCCCTGAGAAACACAGTTCTATTCCGTTAGGGAACTTCTCCAGGTAAATGTTGCTGCACACTCGGCTTACCAGGAAGGAAACAAGGGTCCCCTGGCAGGGGAAGGTCTGCTTGCCCTAGGGCAACCTTGGTCTGCTCTCAGCCAGTCCACCACCTATCTTCTTGCTTACAAGCGGAATGGAGTAGCTCTGCCTGTCATTGGCTGTGGCTGGAACCAGTCACCACGGGCAAGGGGGAGACCACCCTGGGCTCCTAAGAAGCAGAAGTTGCAAGAAGCTTGCCTCCCTCTCCCTGCACCGCCCCCCTCCCTGCCCTTCCCAAATAGCACTCAGCTCCAACTGACAGTTGCTCCAGGATTGCAGAGCGGAAGCACTTCTGGTCCCATTTATCAGTCAGGGGACTAAAGACCGCTGGGTTGGGTGGGTTTGAGGCTTGTGTATATAACTCTCTGTGTGTGTGTGCATTATTGCAGTCTATTGCAAGTTGTGCTGGGGACCACTGAGGTTTTGAAAGGCAAGGTAAAAACATATTAATTAAATGATAATTAACAAATAAGGCAGAGGCCACCCACTTTCCTTTTAACTCTGCGCTGAGCAAAGAAGATACCCGTGACGCCCAAATCGAATGCCGGCTCGGGTATGTTTGTCTGAATCCCTTAAAAATGAAACAATTCTCTATTTGCTCCCTTCGGGTAGACATCCTACTCGACGAAAAACTCTGGACAGCTCAAAACCTCGCCACTGTTTTTGTGACATTTTGGCTGGGTCCTAATACAAGCACCGCCCTGCTGTGGATTTTAGGGTTCATCGGAGCGCGATTCGTATTCTTCTACTCCTCCCACCAAACCCCTCAAATTTTTAGATTCGTGCAATCTGAGAACTAGCCCTTGGCTAGGTACTCCCAATTCAATCACCATCCTTTTGTTCTCTTTGCCTCCCCAAGAAGCGATCGACACAAACAGAGCCTAACCCGGCCGTTCAAGAACTTTTGATAATTTAGGGGCTTGAGCGACCCGCGTAAGGAAAGGGAAGAGAGAGAGGCTCGTTGCGAATCCGAAAGCTTGCCGCACTTTGAGAGAAGCAGCCAGAAACGATCTCCACATTCCGAGCCTCCCTTTTGCGCGTGCGGGCGTGTTGAAGCCCCGATCGGTTCACTCCCCGCTTCCTCCTCGCCATCCCTCCCTTTCACACGTTGCTTCGGCCCCGCAAACCCCTCCCTGGCCATCTTCCCCTAAACTCCCACAATCCTTTCTCCGAAAGCCAATCGCACGGTGGTTGCTTGCGTACATTCTGCCACAAACTCCGCCCTCTTCCCTCTTCACGCGACCAGCCTTTTTCGCGGAGGATGCGGTGGCGCCGAGGCGATCGTGCCCCACGGACGCGTTCCGAAGCCGCTGGAGGGCGAAGGTGGAAACACGTGTTTGTCTGCCATTGTGCCGCATGAGGTAATCCTTGCACACGACCCGGGAAGTAACACATTCCGCCGCTTAGCTTGCACGCACCGCACTCGGCTGCGTGTGTGTGTGTGTGTGTGTGTGTGTGTATGTTTACATGCATGCATGTATGTATGTGTGTTTCTTCTAATCTGGAAGATCGTGCAACTTTGCAGAAAAGTTTCTTGTTATTGGTCAGAATAAGACGCATAGGAATAAAATGTGGGGCGAGGAAAGGGAGCACTGGAATACCTGTGAATACAAGCTGGGTTTTCGATGGGGTGTGCAATCTTACCTATGTACAGTGCAATCTCGTGTATGCCTACCTGGAGGTTATCCCCACTGAATTTAATGGGATTTGCTCTCAGGAAAGAGTGCATATATATATATATATATATATATATGGCATTAAAAATGCAATTATATATAATTGCATTTTTTAATGCCACCTTTTCTACAAGGAGCTCAAGCTGGCACACTTAATTCACTTGTGCCCCCCTTCCATTTATCCTCACAAGAATCCTGCGAGTTAGATTAGGTTGAAAGAGAGATCCCACATGATCATGAAGCTCACTGGGTGACCTTGGGTCAGACACTGCATCTCAGTTTAAGGTACCTCACAGGGTTGTTTGGCGGATTAACTGAGGAGGAGGAGAACCATTAACCATTAACCGCCTTGAGCTCCTTGGAGGAAGTGCTGGGATATAAGTTCGACAAATGCACAAATAAGTAGATGAGTTGGGATTTGAACCCTGGTCCTAGTCTGACATTATAACAACTGCATTACACTGTCGTACTTACCTGTGCCCACTTACCTGAGAGCAAGTTCGCATGGAACTCAGTGGGGTTATGAATAGACATGCATGGGATTGTTCTGTCACTTTATTTATTTTAACATTTATATTATGTCTTTCTATGACAAGTATGCTCAAGGTGGCTTGCAGAATTTGAGCATGTGTGTGTGTGTGTGTGTGTGTGTGATGAAGCGAGTGAAAACCCAATTGTTGTATTCAATATGCAGCGATAACAACATCGTAAGAGACGCTAGGGGAGGGAGGGAAAATAAAACTGCCAATAACATAACACAGTTATACAAATCTATGGTGCAGCTGCACATACAATGTTGAGTTCTGGTTGCTGCACCTCAGTTGTAGAAATTGCAGAGAAAGGTTCAGTAAAGAGCAAGTAAAACGGTGATGGGGCTGCAGCAAGCCCACGTGAAGTAAAGCTTACAGTATTTTGGGCTTTTTAGAAAAAGGCAAGTTACAGGGGACATGACAGAGTTGAATTATGTATGGGGTGAAGAAAGTGGGTACAGTAGAGACTTTTCTCCCTCTCTCATATTGTTAGAACTTGGGACCATCCAGGGAAGCAGAACATTGGAAGATTCAGGACACACAAAGTAATAGACTTCTTCATAAAGTGCATAGTGCAACAGAATGGAATTTGCTGCTAAAGGATGTGGTAATTGCCACTAATGTGGCTTTAAGGTGTTTACACAAATTCATGGAGGATAAGGCTTTCAGTGGCTAACTAGCCCCGATTCCTATATTCTGCCTCCGCTGTAGGGGACAGTCGTACACTGACAAATAGCTGTTGCAGGAGAGCGAGCACAAGAGTGCTTGTGCGGTTCACTTCCTGCTTGCAGGCTTCCTGTAGTCATCATTCTGGATAGGATGGGCCTTTGGTCTGATCCAGTACATAAAACACATTGCTATATATAAGCTGTAGTTAAAACAAATGAAAATAAAACCCTGCCAGAATAACATTTGGGAGCTTGTTCAAAAGCAGGCAAAAACAGAACCCTTGACAAGGTACTTTCCTGTTTCAGTGCCACAGCTGAAAAGGCCATGCTATGTTGTACCTGCCAATTGCGCTGTTTCCTCAGAGGGGACAAAGAGGAGTACCTCAGAAACTGAACTAAGACCTGAGAGAGGTCCAGAAGTTTCTCTTTGCTGCTCACCATGGACTGCTTCAGGTCTGAGGTGGCCCTGAGCAAAGTGTGGAACTTCTGTCACTAGGCCCTGGTGAGATTACTTGGTTGTGCCCGCAGGAAACTTTACTCAGAACACAGCCAGACAGTTGATTTTAGCCGCCATTTTGATTTGCTTCAGGATGCTACATTGTTGGCATGGGTTGAGCGATGGAAATGCGAGCTAAAGTCAGCTATGTGGTCTTTCTGTAATTCTCAAGTCAGTATGGATTGGTAAAATAGGAACTGGTCCATCTATCTATATCAATAAGTCTTCTCCAGGGTTTCAAACAGGAATCTCTCCCAACCCATGCTGGGGTTTGAACTCAGGACCGTTTGCATGCAAAGCAGATGCTCTGTCGCCAAGGCACAGCCCATTTCCCTGCAAATCAATATCTCCCTTATCTTAAGCTCTTTCCCAACATGATAACTGAAGCAAACAGTTGAAACTGGAAGTATACTTGGGGCTAGATTGAGGGGCATGTGTCACAGCTGACTGCCAAACCTCAATGGGCAGGAGTGAGGGGATGAACACATAGTAGAAACAGCCCGTTGAAAAGCTGGCACCAGTGATGTTCCCGGCCAGCGTTGCATTCATGTTGCTGTCGTCATTTTGGTCACATCCGCACCACATCTTTAAAGCACTATGATACCATTTCAATCATCATGGCTTCCTCTAAATCATTCTGGGGACTGTAATTTGTTAAGAGTGCTGAGAGTTGTTTAAGGGGCCTCTGATTTCCCTCACAGAGCTACAATTTCCCTCCGATTTCCCTCATAGAGCTACAGTTCTCAGAGTTCTTTGGGAAGAGTGAATTTTAGTTCTTTGAGGGGAAGAGGGATCTCCTAATGCAGTGAGGGCCAAACTCGGCCCTCCAGCTGTTTTGGAACTACAGTTCCCATCATCCCTGACCACTGGTCCTGTTAGCTAAGGAGGATGGGAGTTGTAGTCCAAAAACAGCTGGAGGGCCAAGTTTGGCCATCACTGTCCTAATGGCTCTCAGCATCCCTAACAAATGACAGCTCTTGGGATTCTTTGAGGGGAGGGAAGCCATGACTGTTACAGTGGTATAACAATGTTTTAAAGGTGTGCTGCCAATGTAGCCTTAGAATCACAGAGCTGGCCCTGACTTTCTGCAGTGGGGCTATGTACATAATATTCCTTCAGAGCAAAATAATTTCCTCAAAGAATTCTGGGCACTTTAGTTTGATAGGGATTCTGGGGAATTGTAGTTTACCCCGCACCAAGTTATAATCCCCAGCAATCCTTAACAAACAAAAGTGCCTAGAATTTTATGAGGAATCCCCAGCAAAACTTAACAAATGATAGTGCCCAAAAGTCTTTGAGAAAGAGAATGTGTTTTGAATGTGCTTTAAAGGTATAGTGTATACACAGCCTGAATCTCTTAAGGTGTCACTGCATGCACACCATACATTTAAACCACATGGATTTCCCCAAAGAATTATGGGCACTATCATTTGTTAAGTGTTGCTGGGGATTGTAGTTCCCTGAGGGGGTAAACTACAGTTGCCCATAAATCTTTGAGGGAAAGAATGTGCTTTGAATGTGCTTTAAAGCTATAGTGTGTACATAGCCCGGGGCAGTGGAGAACAAGCCCTTTTCTTCTTCTGTGCGACAGCCCTTTGAGTAGTTGAATCGTAGAACCATAGAACTGCAGAGTTGGAAGGGACCCCGAGGGTCATCTAGTCCAACCCCCTGCAATACAGCAATCTCAGCTAAAGCATCTATGGCAGATGGCCATCCAACCTCTGCTTTAAAAACCTCCAATGAAGGAGAGTCCACCACATCCTGAGGGAGACCATTCCACTGTCAAACAGCTCCTACTATCAGAAGTTCTTCCTGATGTTGAGTTGGAATCCCCTTTCTTGTAACTTGAAGCCACTGGTTCCAGTCCTACTCTCCAGAGCAGGAGAAAACAAGCTTGTTCCCTCATCCATGTGACAACCCTTGAGATATTTGGAGATGGCCGTCATATCTCCTCTCAGCCTCCTCTTTTCCAAGTTAAACATACACAGCTCCTTCAACCGCTCCTCATAAGACTTGGGTTCCAGATCATTGGTTGCCCTCCTCTGCACACGTTCCAGCTTGTCAACATCCTTCTTAAATTGTGGTGCCCACAACTGGACACGGTATTCCAGATGTGGTCTGACCAAGGCAGAACAGAGTGCTACTATTACTTCCCTTGATTTTGACACTGTACTTCTGTTGATGCAGCCTACAATAGCATTAGCTATTTTTGGTGCTGTATCACAATGTTGGCCCATGTTAAGCTTGTGGTGCACTAAGACCCCAAGATCCTTTTCACATGTACTGCTAGTAAACCAGGTGTACCCCATCTTATATTTGTGCATCTGGTTTTTCCTGCCTAAGTGCAGAATTTCACATTTGCCCCTGTTTAAATTCATTATGTTAGGTTGGGCCCAGTTCTCCAATCCATTAAGGTCATTTTGAATTCTGATTCTGTCTTCTGTGGCATTAGCTAACCCTCCCAGTTTGGGATCGTCTGCAAATTTGATGAGCATCCCCTCAATTTCTTTATCCAAGTTGTTTATAAATATGTTAAACAACAGTGGGCCCAAGACAGAACCCTGTGGTACCCCACTTGTCACTTTTTTCCAGAATGACAAGGCACCATTAATGAATACTACAGTGGTACCTCAGGTTACATACGCTTCAGGTTACATATGCTTCAGGTTACAGACTCTGCTAACCCAGAAATAGTACCTTGGGTTAAGAGCTTTGCTTCAGGATGAGAACAGAAATCGTGCTCTGGCGGCACAGTGGCAGCAGGAGGCCCCATTAGCTAAAGTGGTGTTTCAGGTTAAGAACAGTTTCAGGTTAAGAATGGACCTCCAGAACGAATTAAGTACTTAACCCGAGGTACCACTGTATTTGGGTTTGGTCAGTCAACTAGCTACAAATCCACCTAACAGTTACCTTGTTCAACCTAGCTTCATCACAAGAATATCATGGGGAACTTAGTCAAAAGCCTTACTGAAGTCAAGATACACTATGTCCACAGCATTCTCCTTATCCACCAAGCTTGTAATTCCATCAAAAAGAGAGATAGAGAGAGATTCGTCTTGCATGACTTATTTTTGAGAAACCCATGCTGGGTCTTAGTAATCACAGCATATCACGTCCCTCCTCAGTCTGCTTTGCATACAGAAGGTCCCAGATTCGATTTCTGGCATCTCCAGGTAGGTCTGGGAGAAACCCTTCCCTGGAGCCTTGCAGAGCTGCTGCCAATCAGTGTGAACAATTCAAACATCAGTGTAATGAAGTGATTGAAATGCAATAAAAACGAAGATATTTGGAAACTGAGCAAATGGAGAAGGAGTGCTGAAAACTGGGGCTTTTGGTCTGGGGTGCAAAAGATTCACTTTTGAATTGTGTAGGAAGAAAGAATGATGTGCCATCAAGAGGATCCCACTTCAGGTGGCATGACTGACACAGTATTATGGATAGATCAGCGGTTCTCAAAAAGGGATGCGGGTGGCGCTGTGGGTTAAACCACAGAGCCTAGGACTTATTGATCAGAAGGTCAGCAGTTCGAATCCCCACGACGGGGTGAGCTCCCGTTGTTCAGTCCCTGCTCCTGCCAACCTAGCAGTTCAAAAGCATGTCAAAGTGCAAGGAGATAAATAGGTACCGCTCCGGCGGGAAGGTAAATGGCGTTTCCGTGCGCTGCTCTGGTTCACCAGAAGCGGCTTAGTCATGCTGGCCACATGATCCGGAAGCTGTACGCCGGCTCCCTCGGCCAATAAAGCTAGATGAGCGCCACAACCCCAGAGTCGGCCACGACTGGACCTAACGGTCAGGTGTCCCTTTACCCTTTACCTTTACAGCAGTTCTCAACCTGTGAGTCCCCAGATGTTGTTGGACTACAACTCCCATCATCCCTGAGCTCTGGCCTTGCTAGCTAGGGGTGATGGGAATTGTAGTCCAACAACATCTGGGGACTCACAGGTTGAAAAAGGCTGGGATAGATGCAGTGGAGAGGTCT